TGTCATCTTGCAGAGTCCATGAGTATGCATGCATACAAGTTATGGGTATGGAAGCAACTCTTAGCATCTATCAAGACTAGTCGTGCACGAATTACGTCACATGTATTTGGACAGAATTTAGACTTTTCTTGTCTCGAGCGTGGAAAGTAGAACAGGGAAAAAAAAAAAAAAAAAAAAAAAGAAAAAAAAAGAAAATGCTGTGGCCAGAATCATGCATTCGTGCAGAACTGTGCCTGCGGTAGCGTTCCCGATTAGGTTAATTGTGTCTCACGAGGAGGATATATCTTCTCCTCGTGAGACCTTCCTAGGTTAGAGAATACATACATCCTTTGCCTCCGGTTTTCTCTCCTCCATATCATCCATCAGTCAACTTCGCTTCTCTGGTGACTGCTCAGTATCCGGTCCTCGTTTCAGAGCCGACTCAAGGTTTGTCTGAACCGGGTGTACGAACCCCCTAGAGGCCTGTGTTGATGCACTGCTTCCATTTCGGCTTTTGCCGTTTCCCTGCTTGGCAAGGGACGGACCACCAGCGTCGTCGATTTTCATACCCGTATGAGAGGCCCCGTGGATCTCTGAATGATCCTGGTTGAGTCCACCGAGATCAAGAGAAACTTCCTGTGAGCCGTTTGGAATAGCAGACCCAGATTGATGTTCAACAGGGTAAGAAACCTGCGATTTAGAATATACGTCACCGGTGGGTTGGGATGGGTTCGTGGCGCCAAAAGGAATATAGTTGCTGCTAGTGGTAGACGTTGCGGGATAGTTTTGGCTAGTCGGCAGAGTTTGAAGATTTGTATACGCATTCCCGTTATGACTTGGATTCCAAGTAACTTGTTGCTGTTCCTGGCTTGGCATCTGAGTTATCATCGTTTGTGAACAGCCACTCGCTGCTGAGTTCTGGGGCTGGATGCCGGGCGTCATCAGCGACATGTTCTGTAGGTAGCCATTCAATGCTTCCCCATTCATTGCCATGCTAGGGACTGCGGAGTTATCAAGGTTACTAAAGATGGTATCTGGCTCCATATTTGAAAGCAAAGCATCACAACCAAGAGAATTCTCTTCTTGTGAACCGCCTGCCGTAGTATCGGGCTGAAGTCGTTGAGATACCGTATTATCGTAGTTGTTTTCGTATGGATTGTCCGAAAAGAGAGAACTTTGGAAAGTGGTTTGGGGATAGCTCACTATAGTGTTGTTTGCCATTGTGGTCTGCATCGAGGATGAGTACTCATTTGGGAAATTTCCTTGGCCATTTGAGAGATATCCCCGGTTATCCAAATGATTAAACTGGCCCGATTGCGACATTTGGTAAGTCGAAGATTGTGCCTGATTCGCAGATTTATGAGGGCCACTGGAGAAAGGTTGAGAATTTCCAACTTCAAACCCCCCATCCTGATCATCAACTTGGATGGAAGACGTCTCCGATATATAATCATGCTCACCCTTAAGTCCATGAGGAAGTGTTAGATTTAGTCTAGCAGAGATAGGTCTCCATGGCTCATGAACTTGCAATATGAATTTGTCATGTCCTATAGCATGGTGCATGTCACCAAGTACAGCAGCGGCCAGTGTAACATCAAGTGGGTTTGGGTTCAGTACACGTTCATAGAAAAGTACCGGCTTGAATTTGCCAGACCACCATGCTTCTGGTATCTGGCCTCTCTGGGACGGTGCAATACCGTCGATAACTCTTCCTTGAGCGTAACGCGGATCGTACATGCGGATATTTTTCGTTGGCTTCTCTCCCCGAACTGCCTCTGACCAATAAACACGATAGTGGGTGCTTTGTTCTTCGACTTCTGTATCCGAATAAACACCGCCTATCCAGCGATAAACTACAACTTCCTCCTCGCCCCGTTGGTTGAATAGATTGATTCTTATGTCTTCACTGGTATGATCTTGAGGTGATATATGCGAGGGTAGCTTGACAGCTAGCCGTAACGGCATGGAATGCCTCAGAAAACTTTGGCTGATATCCTTGTTGCAATCATTAAAACCACAAACATCATGCCTTCTGGAGTTTCTTCGGAATGGTGCTTCAATACGCTGTGGGAACATCGATTGCATGACTTCCTGCATACTGGAGCCGGCGTACTCTTCCGATGTATATCCGTTTTGAAGACAAGCAAGTGTTCCCTTTGTCTCCGCTATCGGACGCTCGTGGCCGTTGTCACATCGGAGCAATTTGATGGTAGTATAACTGAACTGTCGACGTAAAATAGTCGTCTTGCCCAAGAGATCTTCAAAGCTTGTTGGGGCAAGTTCTTGACAGAACTGATGTAAAGTATTCCTCATTCTTTTACAAATCTGAGGGGAAGCCAAATCATACTTGATCATGCTCACAAACGTCCGGTGCGAATGTGTCTCTTGCACACCGCGCGAGCCAAACTCCTCCATATCGATCCTGGTAAGTCCAGCGTCCAAGAACTTCCCAGCCATCAATATGCAATCAAACCTCGTTTTGGAAACATCGTTAATATCCCCGATTGGACCGCGCTCACGACTCACATAGTCCATTCCATCAATTGCAGGATCCACGTTATGATTCGTATCGAGGAACAATCGAATCTTCTCTGGTGGCAAGTACCTCCTGTAGGTACTCGAGGCTTGCGTTTGCGGTACCTCCAGGTCATGATATCTCAACTGGATCAAAAGTTTTTCCAAAGTCTCTCGAATAATATTCAGGTGAGGCGGAGTTTCTTCTTGCACAAGTGAGTCTGATCCACCACGGTCGGGAGGCAGATTACGAGTATTTTCTGCCGGCGCAATAGTCGTAGGAAGTGCAGGTCGTGATCGTTGCTCTTCCCAGTCCGCGTCTCCTGTGTAATCCGGGTAATGGCGACTGATGGGAAGTCTATGCAATCTCTGAAGCACTTCGGGCTTGAGAAGTCTAGGACCAGCATCGCGTCTCAAATCACAAAGTTCATCCATGCTCCGCACTGCATGCTTTTCGTCTTGGCTATAGAAGAGTTTCCGGAATGCTTTCAACCTCATCTCCCCATTGTGCAACTTTCCAGGGTTAATATTCCAGAAATGGAACCTCACCAGAGCACAGCTATTTGGCATAATAGGATTTCTGCTTGTGAGACCTGGAATTTCAAACTCGTCGGGGGGATCTTCCAGGTCTGCCAGATTGATGATTTGGTCTCGGACCTCTTCGGGCTCGGGATAGGGTAGAAGAAATGGCGCCGTAATTTTGTTCTTCTGGTTTTCTTCGTGATATTTCTTGTCGATCTCCGCTTTAGCGACATCATTGCTTATTACTTCTGCGTCTTGGTTGCTGCTGCCGCTGCCGCCGTTGTTTCTTGGAGCCATCTAGGATGTGCTATTTGCTGGAAACTAAGATTGCTTGTTTTTGATTGTTGGGAATTGTTGAGAACCGTGGTCATCAAGATGGGGGCGTTGGAGATAATTTGAGTTGGCCATTAAGTTGGCGATTGTGAGTTTCATATATTTATCCATCAGGACGTGCCGTGAGAGTATAATCAAGTCTTTGTGCGGCATTTTGTCGATGAAACTCCTTTGAAATTCTCAGAGAATACATAACGGAATACGTAACTTATTGTATTTTGACAATGCATTCTAATGCGTCAAAGATCACTTTCTGATCAATTACCTAGGTATTATTACTACCATAGAGATGAACAAGAGGGCGAAATTTGGAGCAACAAAGCCCAAGGAGCACCGTCTGGCAGCATCCACAGTACATCAAACGGTCCGTCATTCGTGCTTTCGGAACGAATGCTTTGTCTCTGCGTCTTTTTGACGCATATTTGTCTCCTTCGTTCATCTTGTCTTCAGCCGGTAAGACTTTCTTTTCAGCGTCAGGTTTGGCGCTGGGGGCATTCTAAAGATCGCTTCAAGCCTGTCCAAGGTAGAACGGCATCCATTTTATGGAACGCAAAATACCCGGTTGCTGATGAAGGCTAAGGAACTATAGTAAAAGTGTTAAAAGGAGCAAGAGAAAATAGATATTTGAAAGACGCAGACCTATTTATATAACCACCAATGCCGTTGGCATGTTTTTAAAAGAAAACCACTTCCAGGATGCAGCTCAAAGGATGAACACCAGTATAGCTCGTTGATTTCTTTGATCCTCATAACCAACTGAAACAAATAATCGGGGCCGATAAATATACTCCTTTCTAATGTTAGATCTAGTGCTGATCATCGCATACATTCGTTAAACAAAATATGATAGACTTTCCAATTTTGACAACCTTGTGCAGGGCAATAGATACTGGGCTGAGAAGCCCCCATACTAAGATTTGCGTAATGCCTTTCTCTACTAAGAAAAGTTAGAATCCCTCTCAATTTCAAGGAAGTAATAATACTTATGAATTAGGACTATGTCTGGTCAGAAGCATAAATGGATCCTTGCAATTGATACTCAGCAACCGAGAATGATTTTACGTCGTGTTAGTTGGTGATCGATTCTAGGCTAAGCCATTTAGCATCCTTGGATTTACGTTTGAGTGTTTGTTGCTAGTCAAAGTTGATGTGTGATTCAGGCTCTCAGGCACACAGAAAATGAAAGATCGACGTTGGCCCAGATACGTGTCTCGCTAGCGCATTGGTCTACTGTACATGAATGGAGCTCACGCTTGCTGCACAGCCAACATGGAAGGAGCCATGATCATGACAGCATACTTCGTACTCCGTACGGAGGGAAGAATGAGCAAGCGCGTTCAAATATGGTACCAAGGCTTCGCAATCTTAGTACGCATTATTGAGCACATGGCCGAGTCTGGACAGGGAGCAGGAAGAGTACGCATGGTGGCTGCAAGGGGTGCTCTATATGAAGCATATCAGTCACAATAAAATAACAATAAGCCGCGGATGATGCGCACGAATTTAAGCACAAAACACGTATATCTATGATACTATCTGTAGTTCGTCGTGATGTCCGAAGCATAAAATTGAGGTTACGGATGTGCGTACGCCATACGGACTGCATAGCGGTGTGAGGACTCGAGATACTGATCACCCCGATCATCGATGGTTTCCTCCGCAACGCCGATTAGTTAGCTGACTGCCCATAATCGCGGTCAGCGGTGTAACCTGGAATAACCGGTGATTGCTCAAACAAGTGGCAAGCTCCGCAAGCGTCAAAAGTAAAAGCCACCAAACTCAATTGAATCAGTACTTATTTGTGAGCTGGTAAGTTGTCGTACTGCCGTCGTCAACCCCTCCGGATTGGGATACAGGATCGAACTAGGTTCGTTAGTGTGGCCACCCTCAAGATCTCGCAGCTAAGTTTCTGGATCCCCGCAATATTGGCCTGGTGGCCAGTGGTAGGTGCTCCGAACGACATGGTGGCTTGTGTAGGATCGCTGACTCGGGATTGGCATGCTGCAGGCGCCGGCGAAAATTTATATTCGTTGTCGACGCACTGAATGGACGAAGAGAGCGATAGAATATACAATACCATTCACGATGCTGTCATCAAGGCCCAGATAGCTTGGTTGATGCAGTCCAGCTGATAGATCACAAATGTCTAAAGATTAGCAAAGGTACAATGTGCATTGTGCACCGAGGAGAAGCAAACCATGGGAGGAGGCCATGCGAAGCTCTTCAACTATTTGCCGAGATGCAGCAGTAGTGTGCATTGCCATCCAGTCTTCCCTGGGTCTGCTGCAGGAATCAAGCGAAGTTCACAGGAGAAAAGATTGTCGTCGCTTCGAAGGTTGTTTCTGCGCGCAGCACTTTTGGGGAAGGAGCCTCCTTCCCTGCTCCAGCCCGAGTCTATAAAACTTGCCGTGTCGCCCAATCTGTTTCTTCGCTCTACTTCTTCTTCTTCTTCTTCTTCTTCTCTCGTCTGCTTCTTCATTTTGTCGACAGCCTTCGATTCAGTATACATACATATTTAATAACGAATCGAACACACTAGCCAGCTTGCTCTCACATTTTAGCCCATCTCTGTTTCGACATGAAAGTCATTGCGCTCACTGCAGCTGTCTTTGCGACAGCTGTCTCAGCTCAAAACCTTACCTCCTGCGCCGTAAGGTCTTCACTTGAACGTTCCTTGATAACCTACTGACAGTCTCAAGCAAATGTGCTACAATAATGTCGTCGGTCTGGCTTCTTCCCTGGGATGCCAGGCCAACGACCTCTCTTGCCTGTGCGCGAACCAGGACTTCAGCTACGGTATTCACGATTGCACGGTGGAGGCTTGCCCCAATGTTAATGTACAAGATGTGGAGTCGTATGCTTCGTCCATTTGCGCTTCAGCTAGTGAGTCCAAATCATGCAATATTCTCACTAATGCATGACTGACTAGGTGTATTTTACAGCAGCAGCTTCGGGGTCCGGATCTTCAATTGTACCTACATCAACTACGGGAACACACGATATTACTTCAGGCACAGTAAGTGGCATACTCGAAGTCTATAGCTTTTGCCAACGTTAGCCACAGGGGACGAGTGCAACGGCAACTGGTGCCACTTCGACACCATACACCACAGAGGCTGTTTTGACAACCTTCACCTCAGGGTCTAGCGTCATCACTAGCACTGTCGGAAGTACCACCTTATATAGTTCTGCTTCTAGCACGGCTACCAATTCATCTAGCGCTACATCAAGTGCATATACAACCGAGGCAGTGGAGACGACTGTCACTTCCGGCTCTGAGGTATCCACGAGCACAGTCGGCAGTACTACGCTATACACCTCTGTGAGCGGATTGAATTCGGGCGGTACCTCTACGACCGGATCTACAACTGGCACGGAAACTACAGGAACTACGACAGGCGCTGGCGGTTCGTCTGCGTCATCTGGATCCGGTGCCAGTGCGAGCAGCACTTCCTCTCATGCGGCCGCTCATCCAATGGCCACCATTGGCAGTGGTGTCGCTGGGGCAATTGGTCTCGCTGCTCTTCTCGTACTGTAGAAGAGCAGTATCTGGCACGATTCTCCTTGATTCCATGCTTCTCTTATCACGAACAATTGATTTTATTACGTCTCCACGATACAATTAATAATTTTGATACCACTCATGTGATATGCAAATCGTTCCTTTTATAACATGAACTTTGGACGGATGGTTAAACTACACGACAAAGCCCCGGCCCTTATTATATTGGTTCATCAATAAATCCCTAATCCAACTTTAAAAAATGCAAGTACATTAAGTTCTCGGACTTACCAAACATCCCTTGGACTAAAATAAAGAAATGCAATATGCAGAAACCAAAAAATCGATTAAATGCATTTGTATAAATGCATATTCACCAACACCGATTGAAAGACCAGCCAAACCATCTATATAACTTAATACCTTCACTCCATTAGCCAACCACGTACGCATGCACCGATAAATGCAAATGCCATTAAACCGTTCTTATGCCAATATAACCAGTACCAAGAAGTCAATCAATCAACCATAGAAGGGAAAACACCCGCCATATGCAAAACATAATACCCTACCTACCGCAATAAAAAAAACAAAAGGTGTGAGAATCTCAAAGTCGAAATTTCTCTCCGCCACCCCCAGCTGTCACACCAAGAGCTTCGTGCTCTCTATTGGCGGGATCAAATTTGGGCTGTGATCTTGACCTGACAATAAAGGAGCCTCGGTTGTCGCGCACAGGTTGGTAACGGAGATCTGGGTTCTTTGAGAAAAGGGCGTAGAACGCAGATACGAGGACCATGAGCAAGAGGACAAGAGCGAATATGGCATTATACAAGACGAATACGATGCCCATTATGGAGTTGACTATGGCCTAATGGAAATGAGTCTTCGGATTAGTGCGTGAAATGAATCAAGTGTGAGGAAATCGGCCAAAAAGGCAAGGGAAGAAAGGAGCCAATTTGTTAAGGTGCACATGGTACATACTGGCTGATCAAAAACACTTGTAAACATCAGAAGAAACACTGCATTCACAAAGTGTACTGCGAAAATGGCGATGTTGAAAGTGTTGGTCCTCCGGTCCATCCACGGTCTGAAAACCGACGAGAAGATGAGTGCTACCGTTTCAACGCACAGGAGACCAATAGCTTGCGTAATCGGAGATGACTGGGCTAGTCCGATGAAAGCCCCTTTCACGAATATATAAACCAAGGTGGGAAAGACCCAGTAGTAGGCTGTAGCGCGATATGAAACATATAGAAAACCCCATGTATGAAGGACTTTCGGGTCAGAGTATAAGATATACCCTGGGTTCTGATGCATGGAAATAGAGTACCTAGCAAATTGAACGACTTTAAAAGCAGCCCACAAGAGCACACCCGTCATTGACAAGATCATGAGAACGGCGAGAACCACTTCGGCAGCAGAGTCTCGCCGAGTAAACTCCCATAGACACAAAACTACCATTTGCGGATAACTGATGAGAATCTGAACATGAAAAGTTCAGTATTTACGCACTGAAGGCAGTTTGATAGACTTACAAGTCGAAGGAGAATTCCACGCATGACATTACTCCATCCATTACGGAAATCTTGAAAGGTCTGGGAGTGAATCCATCCACGCCTTGCAGCAACTGCGATGCATAGTTTAAAGATGAGGATGAGAAGGATGATGATGATGAAGAAGGCCTCTAAGAAAATCAATCCGGTCATAAAGATGTTACTTGGTTCAATCTTTGCACGAAAGCCAACTCGTAGAATCCCCGTCAAAGTGACGTTTGCCGGATACGTGGCGTCCGCGCGAGCCGTCAGTACATGTGATGCTCTCTTGACTAGCTCAAGAGATCTTTTTTGGACACTGACAGACTGTACTGATAGATTCTCTAGTAGAGTTGATGGAGTTCCACCCGTTGAGTGTTGATACCAGGTGCTCAAAGTTTGCAGAAAACCCACGCGGATAATACCCATACTCCACTGAAAGTTTTGAGTCCATGCTCCTACAATCGGAGGCATGGTAACTGCAGTCATTCCGTACATGGCCTGGGCCTGGAAGAAGGAAAAGAGCGACAAGGCATTCGCTGCAACGTGAGCTGCAGTATTCGAGAAACCAAGACCTGACGCAACAGCTGAGGCAGTCAATGCTAAACCTGCAACGACAGCTAAAGTCCATCCCACAGCCTTTTGATAGACAGTTTTACCATTGGTTAGGTCTGTCTCTAAGCAGGCAGCGGTAGTATTCTGGTTGGTTGAATCGATGAGAATGCGAACCTTTCCATCGAGGTCCGGTACAGTATATGCCACCGCTGTTTCCGGCTCATTAGCAACTATTATGACGTGAAAAAAGAAGGTAGGTGAGAGGGCGGTCACTTATTCGTACAGGGAATTCTGCTTGTTATGTCTGTCGGTACGAAACTCAGGGCTTGCAGGTCAATGGGTTCACCGGCAGTTTCAATCGGACAGAAATTTGTTGCTAAAGATGAACCCTCACAGGGATCAATGTCGATGGGTTGGAGGTAGTAGCCGTAGGCAATTACTTGCAGAGTCATCGAAACATTGCCGGTGACTGAAGCGTTTGCATGGATGTCATAATAAACGGTGTCGTTACCGGGGAAAAAGGTGACGTCGAACAGGCTTGCAGTGATGAGGGAGTCATCTTGACAGGTCGCTAGGGAAGTTGATTGCAGGTATTGGTCGGCGGCCACGGAGGGAAGGTATATAAAAGCTGCTGTCAGCAGCAGGTCCAAATGACGCATAGTGAAGTATTGCCTGCGATCTTCTTGCACTTCTCGCATCTCGGCGTATGTTTTGGTTCGTTCGTAGAGAGGAAGAGTGAATCCTCAAGCCATTCAAAAGGCCCCTTGTGTTCTGATTTTACTGTAGTTCCTTGGTGTCACGCATGAAACAGCTGTAGGGAATCCCGCAGGATGACGTGGGTATATGAGACGACTATGAAGATTTGGGCGAGAAACGGCCGGCCGCTTCGACGGAATCAGATCTCGTGTAGATGGTGAGTGAGACTGAGTTTCGGTGATATAGGAGGGTTGAAAAGAGACTGCAGAGATGAGTATGCATACACGACGTGCAGCGCATCCCTAGTTGGAGTAAGACATAACTCCTAGTAATTCGCCCTGCCGTCATAATACATGGGCTGCGGGCCTGGGGCTGCGGGCCTGAGGCTGAAAAACAAAGCAATTGACCAATGGATGAGCTGTATTCCAGACAGCCGGTGGGCCTCTCTAGCCCAGCTGGACCTAGCGTATCCGCCTCCCGGCCCTGAGCCGCCGACGGTTTTGATTGGCTGTTTGGCTCTCGACCAGGTACAACTTCAACTTCACCACCACCGCCTGGGAATCAAATGGCTTGTGCTACCCCGATAGGTATAACAACAAATCAAAGACGGTAGTGCCAAATTAGGATCAGCTGAAAATCCTGTTTGAATGCGACGTCGTTTTCCTTCTTCGTTCTCCCAGAATTGGCTCTACGGACATGCTCTCAAGGAGTATATATATTGCCCACCATGCAGCCGGAAAGAACCCTTTTTTCCTTTCACATACAATGCCTAGGTACAGGGCCGAACTGTCGCGTACAGTAGTTGTCTCTGCGCCCATAGCGACTTCGGTCGAACAAGAAACGTACGACCGAACTATAAGAGCCCTATCAGACAGCACGTCCATCTGCAGATATTCTTCCAGACAAGGTAGCTGTCATGAACACCTGGGCATGTAATAAACGGCTTGCTGACTGCAACGTCAGGTTTAGATTGACAGTATCGTGTACTTGACCAATTGTTCTCACGATGCGCGGGTTATCCTTGATTTGTGCCCTAGAGTTTGCGACCTTCTCGCTGGCAGGGAGAAACAACTACCTCAATCTTTACAGCGACCGAAACTGTGCGACCAACTATGCCGAGTTGGCTATTTTCGACAACGATAATTGCTATGATTCTCTGCCCAACAAGGGACAGGCGAAGGCCATTGCAGGCGTTCTCGTTGAGAATGGATGCTACAGTTCGTATTGTCTCTTCTTCTTCTCGATACGTCAGCTAATAATGGCAGTTCTTGGCTACGAGCAACCGAACTGCACTGGCACGGCTGTGAATATCAGCTCTGCGGACGGAACTAGCTGCTTCAATGCTGATTCATACTTTCAAGGCTTTGTATTAAAAATCTGTTATTGAGCTTGCCTGCAACATGGAGATGTATACCCATAGGGGCATTCTTTATGTAGTATTGACAATGAGTGATGGAAGAAGTCAGTTAATTACTATGTTTGAATAGAAGTATCGCGATAACAGTTTTCTCCAAACGCCTTCACCAAGGACGCTGGAGTAAAGTTGCTTTTGTTTAGGCCAACATGAAAGGCACGCCTTGGTCTGCGTCCTGTAATTTTTGCTAGGACTCCTTGGTGAGCGTAGGTAAGAAAAACCGTCTCGGTGAATAAACAAAAGTCGGATGGGGCCAGTTGGCAGGGTTACATCTTGCTTACCTCAGCGACCCGGACTTTATGCAGCTCGCCGGCGTTTAAAAAAAAAGGAAGGAACAACGGACTCGTTGGCAGCGCTTCGTCTCAAACACTCACACGTCGCACCATCTGTCAGCCTACTGCTCGAGCAAACACAAGCGCCCACAAAGAGCGTCAGGATAATGGCCGTGACAAGCTGATATACAACTGCCCGTGCGACTGGGCACAGCAGCTACCCCGCATACTAAAAGGCCATCTTTGAAGCTATTATTCTCCTTCGAAGCCAGCTCTTCTCTCGCCACACGATGGACAGGTTGCAGGCGGGAGCGCACAAACCGCCGGCGGTTATTATCATCGCAAGGTACCCAAATGACGCTTTCAAATGCCTGTTCTCATCTGATCATTACAGATCTAACAACAATCCACTAGGCATGGCGCGCGCATCGACGCTGTCGACAAGGACTGGCACCTCACGTCCCCGACCCCGTACAACCCCCCCTTGACATATGGCGGATGGATACAAGGTCGTGCATTAGGAGCACATATTGCTAGTCTTCTAAAGGCGAGAGAAATTTCGGTTCTTGACGACGTCATACCGTCAGCCAGCAGCTCCAATACTACCATAAATAGTTCAACAACGGCGACAACGTCCGAAGACATCCATCACGAAATTCCGCGGAAAGTGCGAAAACACAACCTGATAATACACTCGTCCCCGTTTTTGCGATGCGTCCAGACATCCGTTGCAATCGGCGCAGGTATAAGTCAATATTATCGATCCGAGAATGAGCAAACGCCGCCGTCCTCAAACCCGGCATCTAGGGACATTTCACCGCTTGCCAGCCCCTTACGGCCATCTACACCAAATGCGACCGATCAATGGACAAGACATATAGGGAAGGACAGAGCAAGCAGTCACGGTAGACGCGCAAAGGCTGCTCCGAGGACACGCCTTCGCATTGATGGATTCTTAGGAGAGTGGCTTTCCCCAGATTATTTCGATCAAATTACGCCGCCTCCAGCGTCGGTAATGATGGTGGCAGGCGCCAAATCCGAGCTCTCAAAACGGGGCGAGACTCTCCATCGTGCGTACAACGTGGGAGGAAACTCGTTTTCTGGACATTTCCCGGGTGGCTGGAAACGCAACCAGTCACCCACAACACCCGACGCACCCAATAACGGAAGCGCTGGTTTCGGGATGTCTGCACTAGCTGATGCCTTGCCTTCAGAAAGTCGATTCGGTGATGATGGGTTCAACTATCATCGTCCGATTAAAGCAATAACCATTCGAGATGTTCTTTCAAGATCGCCATCGCATTCTCATGAAGACTATTCCGACGGTTACATACCCCCAGTCCCTTCCTATGCCGTCTCGACGTCCGATCCAATCCCCCCAGGATATGTCGCTCATGCAAGAGATGCTTGTATAGATGTCGATTATCAATGGGACAGTATGAAGGGCCCACAAAGTTGCGGTGACGGTGGAGAGTATGGTGAAGAGTGGAGTGCGATGCACAGGCGGTTTCGAAACGGACTTCTGAATCTGTTAGATTGGTACAGCCATGAGCAACCACGGAGACATCACCAGAATCATCGTTATCATCATCATAATCACAACAACCACCATCATTATGAAGGAGAGGATGATACCGATACAGTCGTTGTTCTTGTTACGCATGGGCCTGGGTGCAACGCTCTCATCGGAGCATTAACAAACCAGCCAGTCCTTATTGACGTGCCCATGACATCCTTGACCATGGCAGTGCGCAAGGACGTCTTCAAACCCAAAGAGTCACTAACCCATCAATCCCCAGATCGCCTCGACAATCGCGAAGCCGAGCAGCGCGTCTTACAATCCGCCACTTCCCTTCTTCAATTATATGACGTCTCGCTCGTTGCGTCCACTGAACATCTACGGGCGACCTCCAATCCTCTTTCGATACCACAACTTCCCAGTCCCGTTCTGGAACGACCAAGGCCAATATCCATCTATCGACATCGCGTTGACTCGAGCCCCGTTCGATTTACGAATGACAATGAAGAAACAACAAGCCAGCCTGCTACCCGCAAGCTCGGTTTGCAACGATCGGCAACCATCAATTCATCGTCTCATCACCACCATTCAACTCGCCATGGACCTGGCCTATGGAGCTCAGCCAGCAATATTCCATTCAAAAATAACTACAGCGCTGAAGTAGAAGAAAGCCTTAACCACCGCAATGAACGGCCCGAACTAGCACCACTTGAAACCAAAATTACGAATGACGAACCCAAATTACAAACAGTGGGAACCGACGCCAGACCGTCCTCGTCCTCGTCATTGCAATTTTCATCGCCAAACCAGCCACATGAGCCTCTCCAAGAACAACAGCCCAAAAGTCAGCTTGGTCTGTGGAGCAGTAGTGCGGCCTTCGTGCAGGCACGCGAACGTGAATCCACAATTAGGCGAAGGTGGACTGTCACTGAGCAGCAATGATTATCCTTTCCTCACGAATATCTCCTTTTTCATTCTACCGTCAAGGTCAACATACCAAAATATTATGACGCAACTACTACACTGTAACAATATTGATACCACCTTGCTTGTCATCTTCGTTTGCTCGATTTATCATATGAATCACCACCAATTTCGGGATATTTCCTACGGACCTCTTGTCTTCATCTCCCCTTTAAATTTCTAGTAAAAACCGCGATTATGTCACAATGAAAGGCGGGGTCTATTAGGTCAAAAGTTCATAAATCAAAATACCATATCTCTATCCATTTCTTCATTTATTTCTGGTATTCTATATCTCTATCACAGACGAATTGATTATCACAAGGCAAAAGGCCAAATGAAATCCAATCATACTCCATTCAAAACATTCTCCTTCCTCCTCCCAACCCCATTCAGCTGGCCATCTTCAACAATCCTAGTCCGCACCAAAATCCGCCCCTCGCATCGCGGGGCAATGCCCCATGTCCACGACGGTGTAAACTCCTCACCGGCATCATCTACGCATCCGCTACTTTGCACTCCTGCCAGCCGCATCCATTTCTTGAGTACTTTCCGCGCCAGTCGGATACGGTACTCCTCTTCTGCGGCTGATGTGGCTGTGGTGGTTACGTAGTTCATTTCTTCGTGCGAGGAGATCAGAATTTCGGGTTCGGAATCTGATTCCGAGTCCATGTGCGCCCCTTCGGAGTGTTTTGTCGATGTCGACTCGTCAGATGAAGGATATGATGAGGCTGGTAAATGGGATAAAGGTTTGTTGTCGGGGTTATGAATGTCTTTGCGGCGTTTATTCAGGCTGCGGTCATGGTAACGGCCGTAGCGTCTCATTTCAGGGCGTTTCGGTGTCTTATGATGTGTGCGTTGAATGCGATGTTCAAGTGTAGTAGTGGTTGTTGTGGTTGTCGCCGCATTCAGCAGCATGTCTATATTACTCTTCTCAGCGGCCGGGGAGGGCGTTTTGATCCAACTTCCTCCACACTGTGCATGTAGGCGGGAATGAACGCCATCCCAGTGCTTATGCAACGAAGGACTCATTCGTCTCCATTTCCCCATTATCTTCAAACTCATGAAATATTGGCGTATGATAGCAGAAATTAACATCCCGTTTTCTTCACTGACCAACTCCTCGATTTCACCGCCCTCCGACTGCACAAGCAAGGACGTATAGCCATCCTTTCCACGGCCCATGTATCCCCTTGTTGCAAGGGTATAATATTTCTCGTAGTCAAGTGGCTGGCCATCCACTTTCACCCAGTTAACGCGACTCCCTGGTGGTGCAGAAGCGCTATATTCGAAAGTGATGTTTGAAACCTGAGGGAAGCGACCCTCAAGAGCGGGCAGTTGACTAACACCATTTTCCAGTGAGTCGACCAAGTTTCGCCCGGAAACCTTAAGAACCACGACTGGGTCTTCGAATGGAAAACAGTTCAGCACGTCTTTTAATTTGAGCAGACCTGGAGGATAGACTTGATCTCCGCGAATCGTCCCACCAGCCATGATAGCACAGTCAGCGTGATAGTAGAAACGCATCAAATCGCAAATGAAGTTGCCCAAGTTTGACTCGCGGGTTCGCACAGTCGTAAATCTTCCATCAAGAGGAGCTGCCGTGTAGCCCACAGGCTTCTCCAGTTTTGTTTTAAGCGCGGAGGTAAGCTTGGCGACAAGAACACCTGTTTCTGGATCGATTGGGATGGATCGAACGATGTCTCGGCGAATGATGTTGAACTCCCAGCCCGAAGAATTCGGCTTGCGAAATGCTTCAACATAGCTCAATTGCTTGAAGTCGGTACCGGAACGCAGCACATGAATGCCATTAATTACCGCGTGCGCGTAGAAGTGATCGTGGCCACCAAGGACAATATCAATCAGGCCTGGCGGAACACTGTTGGCTAGCTTAATATCGTTGGGCTCACGCTGATGCGTTACTGCAATAACAATATCTGCACCTTGTTCCCGCAACTTTGGAACCAGTTCAATAGCTGTCTTAGAGGCAGACTTATATATTAGACCCGGCGGCAACGAGTTGATTGTACCTAGCCTACACATATATAAAATCAGCAACAACGTGACGTATCTAAACGTGAATAAACTGACCACTCTCGTTCACCCAAGCCAATCACACCTATCTTTATGCCATTAGACGCAGTCAACATTATTGTTCTTTCGCAATTGGCGAGAGGTACATCATCACCCAGTGCGGGGTCAAGGACGTTCGCCAACAGCCAGGGGAATTTGCATTGCCCACGTAAGTGTCTAAATTGGGCAACGCCAAAATCTAGATCATGGTTCTTTGTAAAGAATATCAGCGTTGGTGTATGCGCACGAAAGAGGAATCACGACATCACGGTCGAACGACGACGACGAGGAGGATAGCGACATACACCAATACAAGCAACGTCCGTTCCAATTTTGTTTAGAAATGGTACCATATGCTGCCCCTTCGTGACCGTACTTTCCAAGCTAGGATTAAAGACATCTCCGGAGAAAAAGGTGAGAAGTTCTGGGAGATTGTGGTATCGCGGAGCAGACCGATAATCATCAACGACAGTTTGGAAACGCTCGACCCCGCCGATAGGTTCCGATGACCCTGATCTAATAGCAACAAAAACGTTAGCCTCTAGACCCGTTCTTCCATGTTTCCGTACTGATCCGTGTCGCCAGAACTGGCCAGGCTGGCAACAGCTAGAATGCATGTCCTTGAACTCACTCGACATGATATACATCATTGTAATGGATGAATCGCAAATCCGGAGGTCCCTCGCGACCGGAATGCGCTGTAATAGCCAGGCCATTGATTTCAGACTCCGAGCTCATCTTGGAAAGGCCCTAACACCCCGACCTTCACAGCTGGCCTCGAGCAGAAGAACGTCCAACAAACTTGCGGGGAAAAGATCTCTATACGCGGGGAAGGAAGCAAACGTCACGGGCAGCCTGGAACACGAGGACTAATTGCATATATGCTGGCATATAAGTCGAAGATCCGTAATAATGGTTTTGTAGGAATGTATAGCCCTAATGAAGGTGCGAATATATAGTTACTGTCCAGGACGGCGAGGTAGATGGAAGGTGGAGATGACCGCGGGATGCCCGGCCCAGATTTGGGTGCCTGAGGAAACAAACAGCCGAATACTGCAAGTTCTTCGATTTTCAACCTCTGATCATCTAGATGGTCTCAGATCAATTGGAATTCCATGTCATTGTTATCTATCGCTAGCTCATTAGTTGAAGTATTGTATATAGAGGCATAATCCAAACACCAGGGTATTTATTCTATCAATATATATCACCAAACCCCCTTAATCAACGAACGCCAATACTCAAAGAGCATGCATATTTTGCAATGATACCAAAAGAAGGACATGATCAACTTCCAACCGCTTTGGCACCTTTTAGATTAATTACACGGCCACCACCGGTGCCTTGAAATGCTGGCTGAGTAGGCAGGGCCTGTCGAGTAACAATCCATGCAGGTACTTCGTCGCCGTAGCTCTGTTGTTGACCGCTGATTGTTTGCCAAACATTCGGGAATCCCTTCGCCAAAACTCCCACGTGCTTTGCCCCAGGGATAACGAATCGCGCTGGATTGTGCGTTAAGTAGCCGCCAAGAAGATTTTGTTTGATAAGAGATGATACGATAGACTCAATTTCTTGCAGCAGTTTTGAAGAATGTGTGTCCTGCGTAGGCAGTCCAAGAGTTCCCCTGTATAGATAATCCAGCGAGTCGGTATATTGCTCGTATTCAGGCCCTTCAATAAGCTGCCCACTAGGGTTCTCGACCCATGCCCCATTCTCATCGTAGTAGCCTGAAGTTATCAGGTAGTCGTCAACTTCAGGATCACTAGCTTTTGATACAAGGCCGGCAATGCCGTCATAATCGCTGTCCTCGGGCAAGCGAATGGTAATCACATTTGCATCTCCTTTCGAGAACAGCTCCTTTGTGAAATGCTCTTTATGTCGAGATTGTAACAATCGAACAGCTGTTTCTACTTTGCTTAAATGAAGCATTGGCGGTGGTGCTCGTTGGGCAGATGGATCCCCATGGAAACCACCAAAGATAAAAACTTTGCGAATCAAAGACCGCCAGACGAGAACTTCACAGCGGTTTCGCATCTGGTACATAAGTCCCTTCCTGAGGAACCATTGCCCGGCAGAGCTGCCCGTTGCAAAGTGGTCCCTTAAAGCTAGGTAGTCACCAGACTGGATGATGCGGCACACTGGATAAAAGATGTCATAAAGGCCCTGAGCCTCTGGTTTCTGCAAGAGTTGAAGTGAGGGAAATCGGCCCATTATTATATTGGACGAAATAAGGTATATTAATATAAGCCGCCGTTGCTTGAGGCATTGCACATGGCATTGGTTGTAAGCTTCGTGCAACGCTTTGTTTGCGAGATAGAAACTGTTGTTTGCGAATAAATATCGACCGAGGTAGTAGAGGTAGGTAACGCGGTGAGCTGCAGGGTAGTGTTCGAGTGGAGGCGATTGTGCAGAAATACTCTTAAAGATCGTGTCTGCGCTTCTAAGCTTGCCACACTGCCGCCATGTGTCAGTTAAGGGTCTTTGCGTGTGGAAAACAAGAACAATAATTACCCTATGAAGCAACCTCAGGCAATGATTGGCCATCAAATAGATTCCAGCCCGTTTGCCCTGTGGTTTGCCCGAGGGACCGGTTGTGCCACCGCGATCAACCAAACATTTAATGAATCCTTCTCGTACAACATTGGCAGCGTCTTCCACCAGACTTGTCCGCTCAAAGGCATCCTGAGGCCGATCTAACCGTAGTTGAGCCAGCAACTGTATGTTTTTCTCGAGCGTCATGGCAAGACCGGCGACGATTTGGGATAGGTAGACAACAGTACGAAGAACGATGGCGCCCATCTGACTGTCCCCGAGAGCTTGCAGGCATTGACTAGACGGGGGTAATGAATTGGCATTTAATTCCACATGCTTAATCCGGGAGATCGCTCACTTCAAAAGTCCACTGAGAGATTTGTATGCCTCTAATGGATTTGAGACATTTCCGTCTCGCAGATAGGCAAGGTACGATCGGATGAAGATCGGAAAAGCATGCCATGTCGTTCCATCTGGGTTCTTGGGGACTAATGCTTCGCATCGCTTCAACAAGGAATCGTCACCAGGCCCCTTGGGATACGACTTTTGTAGTTCCAGTGCCATGTGTCGGTATCCATCGCGCATATGTTCCGGCACGACCTGAAGGTAATCCTGTAAGTGGTCGCCCTGGCGATTGGAAACCAACGCCGCAATACTGGCCAAAAACTGGTCAAGCATCGGAGTGCCCATGGTGAAATTCGCTATTGCCGCCAGTTGATGCGGTCGCAGCGGGCGTGCTTTATATCAACAATCTGATGGAAGAAAAGGTGGCGCAGATGGGTCGGCACATGTTGATTACTTTTTGAGTTTGGAAGGTCAACAACGTCGGTCGGAGCTCTGATGAGTATTATCGATAGGGAAGCAGTGCTTGGCCAATCACAGCCTATTTCTCGGGAATAAAGTGGGCCATAGACATGGAAACTACCTCGGAACGGATAATCTCGCTTTCCGGCAGCTACCTAAGAACGTCCAGCCTCGCAATAACTATTGATTTATGCTTGAACATGGGTTCTATTCCCACGATCGACCCCATCGCTTGACTTGAATTGACTATTTACAGTAATGGTTGACTAGGTGGTTTTTGTCCGATAACAACTTGCAACATATGGCAGCGCACGCCGCCTTGCTGCAGCTCAGCGGCGCACTCGGCAACCAGCTTTCTCAGGCTGTCTGCCTTTTGTTTATTACCGCTCGCGTCATGCAGAGAAGCATGCTCCAGATACAAGACCAACGAAGTCTGGGTAAATAGCTTGAGCAACTCAGGCGGTGGCCGCGTACGGATACAGTCGAGGTTTTGGAGGCCATGGCTCGCGCAGATATCTCTCAAAGACGGGACCCAACTAGGATGGCGGGGAAAGGAAGTTAGACAAAAAGTTGCATTAGCGGGGAAAATCTAGAACAAATTGTGGTAACCAACGTCAATTGTCTTCCGGTTTTAAAACCCTGCGTCATGGCAGCTATAGCCTCAGTTGGGGCGTGAGGCGACATTTTCAATATCATATTGTTTGTTTGGTCATACTCGTCCCATTGCAAAAAACCACCAGGCTCTGCGCAGCACTGTTAGAACAAAGATTACACGAAACCCGTCGATATCATGGAAACAAGTCTTACTAAGTAATTTCAAGCAGAAGTTCAAGGCTGGCAGGGGATCATTATTCTCCACGACGCACACAAAGAGCCGCAAATGCACAATATCGAACTGGCTCTGCAGGTCATGTGGCGGCTCTGTCATTGCATTCGCGACTCGAAATGAGACGTTTTTTGGGATAGATTCTGAAATAGGGAATTGAGCGTCTGATATATCAAAGCCGACGAAGCTGCATGATGGAGGCAGTCGTCGGGCGAGGCTGAGGATGAATATTCTATCAAGGAAGTCAGAGAGAACCGCCGTTTGATATATGGCATTCGTATTATGTTTCATCACGCATGGTTATACAAACCCTGTGCCCGTGCCTACGTCCGCGATGCGTAAGCCTACTGAAGAGCTGTCGGCGCCAGCACGGGGATGAAGGTCATATCTGAGCGTTTCTTTCCACAGATAGTGTTGAAGGTCTAATCTGTAAAATGCCTATTTAGGGGGCTTTCGAAGATGTCGTCTAGGGAAATCTCACCTTACGGATGCAACAAAGTCACGCCCAAGGTCATATTCGTTGCCACCATTCAAACGCTCCATTGTAGAAAATGTTCCGGAGGGTACTATGAACCCTAAAAGGTAGTCAATTTATGCTTTTTTAGTTATCTAGGAGGACGAGAAGAGGAAATCGGCAAGCAGATATATTTTTGTGTGCGAAGTGGTATTCCAAATAGTGACTACCTAGGTAGAACATCAAATCATGTGCTTTGACACCTTTTTCAGTCACCATGCAGCATATTCCACTCTAATGCAACCTCATGCGGCCTTCACGATAGGCACTGGTGAGAAGAAATGCTCTATAATCAAGCCATCCAATAAATATTCCGCCGTGTCGGAGCATTGCTTCAGAAAGCGATCTTGCTGCATCATCCGGTCCCATGATTTGCGGATCCGAGTTTAGTCTGGTTGTTACAGGCATGGATGGCCTTTTCTACACCAACCATTCTTCTATACTTCTGCGTGATCACCAATGCGGTTGAGTGATTTTCAGGGGTCCTGATTATTTGATTGGATGCGGCATATTTTGGTCGAAAATCATGTGCGCCTACCAAGAGTGGGCGAGAAGAATTTACCTATAGAGAGCGCCACACAGAGCTGTAACTACTATTCCCACTTAGGTAGGAAATGAAATCTCTCTTTGCCAACATTTCAAGAGCTTTTATAGTCTTTGATAGCATCCTCGCATGTATCTCGTATTCAAGAATTTAGTCAATTTGAAGTAGACGTCTACCCTAGAAATACCAGCATACACAATACCAGGCTAGACCACGCAGTGATATGGACAGAAACAGTTTTCAGGCCTTATCTTTACAACGAGGAATTTGTAAATTGTACATCAAGTGTGATAGCGCACGGCGAAAGCGATCTATTGTACCGTGAGGACCAAAAAGGCATCAGTGAACCAAGATAAGCATGCTAAATCGCTTGCTTAGGTATGCACTAGATCGAGATTCGAAGTCTGGTAAACGTATATTGGCGAAATCATACAGCAAATGTTTGGGGTGCTTATCTGTCTAGTAAGCATGCTCAAGCGTGTGTTGGAGGAGAACTTGGAACCTGATAAATAGTAAGTGTCTACAGTAGTAAGAAACCACGATTTAGGATGACATAATCTTGGGAATAGATCTCAAGATGCAGAAGATTAATCTAAAAGCTTCTAAGCGATATGATTAGTCTTAAAAGAAGTTGGAATATGTGTTTTCGATATAGAGGATGAGCAACCAATCAAAGGAGGGTAATTAAGGACTATAGGCGCTAAACCGGATACGGCGAGGCGAATAGTTCAGCCAATGACATTTTCTTTCTGAGTGGTGTCCAATCAAATCTGCGCGATAAGAATCATCTCCGGTATTTGGTACCGCACGGCGTAGCCGGCCAATGAGCGACAAGGAAGTAGATATGACTAAAACATAAGTGGCTAAACGACAGACCCGCTCTGTCCGATTGGAGAGACTCCTGTTATTAGAGTTCACGCTATCTCCGTATTCAGAAGGGGAAGATTCTGCTGGAAAGAGCTTGTTCATGTTGATGCTTTTCCGCACTCCATCGTCCAAACGCATTAATTAAATACATCCTGGATAAGGAGTACCGCTGTGATCATGATATCTCCACGGTCATTGTGTTAAGATAACTACCGTACAATCTATTATCTGAGAATCAGAACAGACACCGCGATCCACCACAGATCGTCCCACATAGTCATTCCGATCCGCCGAGTGGATCCTGGAATGGCAAAAGAATGTTCCCGACGAAAGAAGGCTGGGAAGTGGACTGAGAGAATTAAAAGCTCGCAGGCAAAAAAATTTGAAACCCGTTGCATAACAAAAATTGCTTCTTACTACTCGATTGGAAGACTATAACTGTACCAAGTTATAGGGTACGTAATGTCGTCGCAAAAGGGAAAGTTGCCGCACTCCGCGGATTTGCTGTATGAAATTTCAGGTTCAACAGTTCCCTTTTTGGATACGTCTCGCGTGCGCTGATGGAGACGACAGAGAACGTTGGTGTACGGGAGTGCGGGTTTTTTTTTTCTCCCTTGCCAATGATTCTGCCTTACTCCGTACATAATACTGGGTACATACTGCTACCTGACGAGGCGGTGTGCGGCGATGGAACTAAAGCAACCCAATGTCATCATACATTAATTAGGTCGATCTAAGTACACTATGTACTTGTGTATGGGATTGTGCAGCGCATACCGTCCTGATATGTGTAAATAAATAAATTAAAGGCTATATAACGAGGCCTGAGCGAATCAGAGCCGCCGAATTGCTATCAAAGTCGTTGACGTTGATGACTGGAACCGGCCCGAGACTAACAAACGGGCGACTAGTAACGTGACATATAAAAAGAGACGATGTTAATTGGCCGCGGCCGAGTAGTGGGGCGTCCTGCTGGATAAGCGCTATCAACGAGGATCGTCTCGATGTACGATAATCTTCAATGGTGATTGCTTTCACGAGATAAGCTACGTATAACATACGTCTTCCTGACAATGAGAGATCCTGTTTTCCACAAAGGGCAAGTCAGCTATCCCATTGCTTTTCCCAGCGCGGACTTGGCATCCCTGTCCAGAGTCTTGGAGTCGTCGTAGACAGCAGCATGATTAGAATCCCTGTGTAGCATAGCATTCCGGTCTAGGCTATGTCCACTAATCCCGTAGTACGCGTGCCACCCTCTTCGGCATTGCGAGAGCTCGTTCTTTCTTTTTGTTCATCCTCATAGTATCACCATCCCGGAGTGGCGCATCTAGGGCTCCTGACGGCTTTCAAGGGCTCACGCGGACATGAAATAGACTGTCAATGGTTCTCGCCTTGGGTCGATTTTTGGCCATGCCGTTTATACTTTCGGGGATGCAATCAATGATAGCTACATGCAGTAATTCATGCAATCTCTATGGATGCTTGCTATTAATTCTCGCCACAAACTGAGACCGACAGGATCCAGAGAGTCGGATAAGGGCCGACTCCACTGCCGTAACAGGCTAGCGCGTCCCAGCCTCGCCGCCATGATTGGCCGAGGGCTCCCCGCCATCGCAGCTAAGCAGCATCACCTCGGGGCCTCAGGCTCAGGCTTAGCCTCAGGCTTAGGGGCAAATAATCGCTACGTTTATTATTGTTATTATTACCTCCTCTCACCCTCTCCTCCCTCACCACCAACTGCATCTCCTCTCTTCGCCTCTCCTCTCCTCTCTCTCCCCTCTTACGTCTATTCCTTCCGCTCTCCTCTTATCGCTGCAGACATAAGCTTTCAAGCATTCGGCAAATTATACATACCATGGCCACCCACGCACCCCTCCCCGCGCGGCCCATCACCAGTCCCGGCCAAATCTTTATCTACGGCCATCCCTCTCCTACAAATTCCGCCAGCAATACTCCTGCGAATAGCTCGCCCACATCACCACAGATGAGCACGGCCACCACCAGCCGGCCCGCGCAGTCTCGCCAGATCCGTCCTCCCAAGGCGCCGTTGTATGTCCCCGCTGTGTTGCGTCCGACCGAGCGTCCAGCAAAATCTCAAAATCACGCAACAAAAAACAGCTCTCCCATCACGCCGCCTCGTAGTGTCCATGGCTCGCTGGACAGTCTGAACGAAGACCCGGCTCTAGATGACGACCAGCAAATCACCATCCACACACCGAGGAGTGCCGTGAGCAAGGTAGCCGAGGACGCATGGAAAAAGGGCGAACGGCTAGGCGAGGTAACGGGAGTTCCGACACGCGACCACTGGAAGGTATGTCTGTTTTTCCATTCTTTCTGCTTTCTTGCCCTGTCGATTGTTCCTGGAAAAGCAAAAGAGAAAAGTCAATTCCTGAGGCGGCCATGCTATGAATTATAAATATTTGCACCGTGTCTGTGGGGTCGACTCAGTGAGCCATTTTCCTCGCCTATTACGTGCTTTGCGACAGCTTCAGCTCTCGCATCGCCCTCTGCCTTGCTATATATACCTCTGTCGCTTTTTTTAGAGTCCTTTTTGGGCCCAAAAAAATGCCTCACTATCCATTATCCCTTGCTTGCGATATTTATTTCTCCACTTGGCCGTCTCCGATCAGCACACAATAGTAGCTTTTCACAAGAGCAAACACGGCGAATATATAACGCATTAGCTGTGGCAATCAGACTAATCAAGCATGTTCTCGTATAGGCGGACTCTGCTTCACATGTCTGCGACTCGCCCACGTGTCGTTCCTCCTTTGGCATTTTCACTCGCCGTCATCACTGCCGCCACTGCGGACACGTCTTTTGCTCGACCCATACCCCCTACGTGGTACCTCTAGATCAGAATGCGCGTTTCCATCCGGAAGGCAGTCCCTCTCGGTCTTGTGACCAATGCTACAAGGCCTACCAGCGCTGGGAAGACAGCCGGGCCGCTGGCATGAATCGCATCCAACAGAAACTGGATGCCCGCGACCCTCAAATTCAGTTTACACATGAAGAGGACGCTGATGATACCTCCGAGGTTCCTCATCGCCAGACAGAATTCACCATTGCTAGCAGCGTTCCTCGCGATTGGAACTGGAGCACATTCTAGAGCTCTGGCACCTGGTCTTTCTCTTTCTGTCCACGTTAATTTTCCTTTTATCTTTCTGGGGAGGCACCGTTGATTTCGCTTATTGATATACATGATTCCCCACTTGTTTTAGTCGCCTTTCAGTGCATTCAATGCCTGCGGCTGAGCGCTTGTTTTTGTTTCATTGTTGCTAGGAGTTGTCGGCCATATATCTTTTTTCTGTTCTTGGGTTCTTTCATATTACCATTTCACGTCATTTCAAGGAGTTTCCATTTATTCTTTGCTTTCCACGGAGTTCTTTATTAAAGTGGATCGGGATATTTACTGAGCTTTCATCATTCTCTGTTTCGTTTCTTTTTGTACATGTTTTAATCCATTTACTTAGCTAATCGCATATTTACCGGGTCGACCATGTACCTGGCTCGCATCGCTGAGTTGGTATATTATTTGTCCTGCCTTTTCCTTAATAACTATGTTTGTTTTCCTTTCTAAGTCAGTTAATAGAGTCTATATTTCCATCGTCTATGAAAAAGACGCTCAAACTATACTAGAATATCCACTCTCTTAAACATGCCCACATGCTCAATTCCCTCCTCATCCCATGTCCCCATCGAAACATCCGTCTCATAACCGAGACTAGCATACATCTTTTCCACCTGTGCCTGGGCATGCAAACCGATCAACCCCTTCCATTCCTCCTTCCTCCCCTCAACGTTACCGGCATCATCCTCCAGAGTCGTCATGTACATCCCATCTATACTCGCCTTGTTGTCTTGCGCCCATTCCTCCACGACCCGCATCAAGAGTCGCGCCAGACCGTAGCCGCGGAATTCTTTGAGGATTGCCACTCTTGTGATTTTGACGTATGGTTCATGCTGGTAGTCGAATTTTTGCTGCTGCTGCTTCTGCTGTTGCGGTGATGGTTCAGTGTTTGACGAATAGGAGTTGTTGACTATATCATGGTGTGGTGCATGAGGTGGCGGAACAAGTCTTATCACGCCGACTGGGTTTTCAATCTTATTTTCAATCTCTTCTTCTTCTTGTTGTTGCTGTTGTTCTTGCGCGTAAACAACCCACTCCCAGCTCCGTGGATCGTCCTCGTCGATCTCTGCGTCTGCCGAGCAGTGTTGCTCGACTACGAAGACCTGGTGCCGTATAGACATTGCATCTGTGAAGACCGGGTGGTTGTTTGCTGGCGATGGGTTGGTTGGTGTTGGGTAGATGAGGGTGGTTGTGTCTGCTGATATGCACTGGGGCGGGTGCAGGGCTGTTCTGAAGGTGTACTGCGGTTTATTCTGTGTGACCATGGTGGCAGCAGTTATTTTACATGGGTGTGAGGTGTTTGGGGTGGTGAAGAAGAGACAAGAGATGAACATTATTATTATTATTATTAGGTGACTAAATAGATATGTTTGTTTGCTAACCAGTTACGGTCCTTACGGAGGACCCCCAAAACAGCCAATCAGCAGTTGTTCTTCCTCACAATCACAGTCCAGTTATCATCTTCGTTTCGCACCTCTCCAGCAATGTTAACTCCGGTTTCGTCGTTATACACATTACACTTTGTTTCTAGATACCTTACGCCATCGGCGATGTCGCCGAAAGAGTCGAGTGTCAATGTAAAGTCATTCTATAATTGAAGTAAATATCATCAGCTCTGTTGACTAACCTTGGAAACTAACTAGGCAAAACGATGAGGGGCAACAAAAACATACCCAATTGCACCACCATATAGCGGACTGCCATTCACAACTCACTCTCCCACATTTCCCTGCTTCGTTGACGGGCTTTCCCTTGACTCCGTGCAGATATTTCACTCCTCTTTCAATGTCCTTGCTGGTCGCATATCCCAGTTCGTCCCCGTTGCAGATATATGGGGAATTTGTGAAGTCGTAGCGTTTTTCCAGAGATGTGTCGCCCATGTTGGTTGAACGAAGAGTATCCACTGGGTGGTTTGCAGGTGCGTCCATGTTGACTCTGTCGTCCATGTCTCTTGCCCAAGTCTGCAATATGGTCTTAGTACTATGCTTGATATTCAATTTGAAGTGATGACTGACGTGTACCGTACTGCACAGCAATTTAATAGACAGCCATGTAAGAACTATAATATGCAACATGCTGCTCGGTGGACCAATATCTCACTATAAAAAAAACAAGTCCTGAATTTGTCGTAATTTCGAAGAAGAATTGACGAGTATAAAGACATTTGAGGTATTCAGAGGTTTCGATGTCATCGCATCATGATGGATATAGAAGATATTATAGGGACTGGAGCTCCTATTGATACCCAAAAACGATCGCGCTCAATAGCTTCCAGCCATGTCTTTGTATCTGAGCCGAACAAAGACCGTCTCGACGAAATTAGCCGATATCACGATACATCCTTCCTTGGATTTGCTTGCGACTTTTAGCACTTTTCAAACTCGTTAGTTGCTGGGCAGGTTGGTCGAGCAGAGCGTTGTCCAGCCTGCTTATATATAATCGCAGCCCGGCAGACGCTGCAAATCACCGTTTGTTGAGATTGTATTCTGATCTGCTTTCATGAAGAGACTTGCATCAAAGAATCATCATACCCTCATGATTAGCTGCACGCGAGACGAATTGCTGAGCTCGGCCTCGGCTGTTTCATCTTCACAAGTAGTAAGGATATAATTAGAGGCAGACAGTCCAACGAACGGGTGATGTCCGTTTAGCGTGCGGACGCCAACCGTCCTTCAATGACAAACGAGTACCTAGGCAGATGCACACTCGGAACTTCTCCGCAATAACGTACGGGATGAACTCGGGGGTTCTGTAGACCTGCGCATTGCGCGGAAACCCCCAGTAGGAGACGAGGAATTGACAACTCCGGGGAAGAAATGGTGGTTCTGACTGGGCGATCCCCGTACCGCATTCCCCGCCCCAGGGTCTTAGCGTCACGATTGCCGGGGCTGGTCTGAGCAGGAGCTTGCAAGAGGTGAACGTGAAAGTATTCGCGATTGTTCGCAAAGAGAGGCGTAGTCTCACCTGATGTCACCTGACTGCTCCGAGGGAAGGTGCTGCTGCCCCTCAAGGCAAGAGCGGAACAGCCAAGCCTCTCCATATTTTTCTTCCTTCTTTCTCTCAACACCGGCTCTGTTTTGCTGTCTATAATTCTAACCCGTCAACCGTCATGGTCGCCACCAGCTTCACCCCTCTGGAAGCTCCCCTCTTCCCTATCCCTGACGACCCTGTCTTCGCCGAATCGCAGTGGGAAACCCTGCTTTCACTTAGCGACGTGGTCGTCCCTGCATTGACCACCGAAACGACGTCCAAGGCGCTCCATGAAAAGACTGTTTCCGCCGGAGAGTATGAGTCTGCACTATCTAAGCTCAAAGCTCAAGTCAAGGCTCCAGATGCCGCTCAAATAGCACTGCAGTATTTGTCCGAAAATGCATCATCTAATCCGCTGTTCAAAGAAGCTTTACGTCGGACTCTACTGCTATATGTACCTCAGGAATCAAAGAAAGGCCTGTCTCTAGTCCTAAGCGCCTTGAAGTAAGTCTTCCGATGAATTGGTTGTACCAAATTCAGCACGCTGAAAAAGCCTGAATTCGTCAAGCACTCGTGCCGGATCTTTACTGTTGACTGGCTCAACGGTACCTATCCAGAGCCAGTCTTTTGAGGCAAGGGAGAAGGTGTTTCGCAATTGGACCAGCTCGCGACTGCCCCAATTGCGTCAGGTAGCCAGATCGGTTATTCTCCTGACAAAGCGGAATTGGCTTATCAATAGTCCAAACTTGCCTCAGATAATTGGCTTCCCCAGAGTACCCATCTATGGAAAACCAGTAGAGACTTTTGACTACCAGTTTTTGCAGTTCCCTCCCGGCGACGGACAGGAAACCATTGAGACCGATGTGGTGATAGTCGGTAGCGGTTGCGGAGGAGCTGTTGCAGCAAAAAATCTGGCCGAGGCCGGTCAGCGGGTTCTCGTTGTAGAAAAGGCCTATCATTACCCATCGACATATTTCCCCATGACTCAATCTAGCGGACTGGCGCACATGTTCGAGCGTGGTGGTACTTGCGTGTCAGATGATGGCTACATGGCTGTGTTAGCGGGATCAACCTGGGGCGGTGGTGGAACGATCAATTGGGGGGCCTCACTTCAAACGCAGAACTATGTGCGTCAGGAATGGGCAAATACAGGGCTACCATTCTTTACATCATCCGCGTTCCAGAACTCACTTGATCGAGTCTGTCGTCGAATGGGCGTGCACACAAGATATGAGCAGAATTTCCAAAATCGAGTGACTCTCGAGGGATCCCGCAGATTGGGATACAATGCGCAAGTCATTCCAACAAACACGGGAAACGAGCCCCATTACTGTGGCCATTGCACTCTCGGCTGTCACACTGTGGGAAAGAAAGGTCCTGTCGCGTCGTGGCTTGTTGACGCTGCTAATGCTGGTGCTGTTTTTATTGAAGGATTTTATGCCGACAAAGTCGATTTCGATGTTATTCATGGGAAAAGAGTAGCTTCAGGAATTCAGGGTGTATGGACATCTCGAGATACTTGTTTGGGAACGTCCGGAAAAGATGCTACGCATAGAAAGATTGTGATTAAGGCAAAAAAAGTGATTGTTTCATGCGGCGCTTTACAAAGCCCCTTGTTGTTGATGCGGAGCGGTATTAAGAACCAGCATTTGGGTCGTCACCTTTATCTGCATCCAGGTATGTTTTCCAATGACTTAAATCTGTTATTGATAACAATCCCTAGTCTCAGTCACAGCCACTGATCAGCGAACGAAATAATCTAGTCTTGATTTCTGGCGCCGTGTTCGAAGAGGAGACTCGACCGTGGGAAGGTGATTGTCTGACCTCGTTTGTCAGCGACTTTGAAAACCTGGATGGCCGCGGGCATGGAACTAAGATCGAGAATGTCGCAATGCTGCCTGGCATATTTCTGACTACAATTTCATGGTTGAATGGGGCGCATTTCAAGAATTTGGCAGCCAGTATGAGCCATATGGCGGGGTTTATTACACTTACAAAAGAGAGAGATGCAGGCCGTGTATATCCCGATCCCGTTGATGGCCACCCGCGAATTGACTATACGATATCAGCATTTGACCGTAAACATATCCTTGAAGGGTTGGTTGCCTGCGCGAAGATCGCATATGTGAGCGGAGCTAAAGAATTCTATACCTCGTACCGCGACATGCCGCCTTTCATACGATCACCAAAGCGCTATACAGAAGATGCAGACCTGAATGAGAATGATGGAGCCAACGATCCAGACTTTCAGTCCTGGATTCAGCAATTTCGCAAGAAGTCACCCCTAGTAGCAGAATTCGGCACTGCAGCAAGTGCACATCAAATGGGTACATGTCGCATGGCTAGCTCTCCGAAGAAGGGAGTTATTGACCCGGACGGCCAAGTCTGGGGTACCGAGGGCCTTTACGTTGCAGACGCATCTGTGTTTCCCAGTGCAAGCGGCGTGAACCCAATGATTACGAACATGGCCATCGCCGACTGGACAAGCGAGAAACTCGCAAAGGCAATGAATAGGGATAAGATCAGCCAAAATGGAACGGCTCGCCTCTGAAAATGTGGACAATGAGCCAGACATGGCAAAACAAGACGGTCGGGCGTGTGAACAGAGAATATCCTTATGATTATAATATAAATAGTTAATTGGAACCTGCAACAAGTTCTGGAATAATACTAGAGTAAACCGGAAAAGAGCAAGCCCAGGAATTGGTCGAAAGCATCATCTAGAGGATGTCATATTATCTTGATATCAATTGTTATTATTACAGCAGAAGACCAACTCACGGTAGGTCTTGGCATAGTAGTAGTAGTAGTAGTAGTATTCATACCCTTTCAGCGCGCCTTTACTACGGCCGCTATGTCGGGGGAGCTGGGCTCCGGGGAGCCAGCGTTCCTATCTGCCTTATATACACCAAGAACGCCAGTAAAGCAATGAGCAAGCAAATACATCAGCAGACCAACAGCAATACCGTACAAATGAAATATTAAGTCTGCCCATACCCGTTTGCCACTATTTCCAATCACAGATAGATATACATGTTATATATTGACTCAGTAAACATCTATCAACGGAATATTAACTAACCAGTTAGTCACTCTAAACAATAGTGATCTGGAATTATTTTGCCGCACTATACGTATACTAATTAGATATAACATCCATGGATTTTTAGTGTTTAGATACTACTAATGGCCACCAGACATGCTATTATACATTAATGGAACATTAACCAGTCAGCCACCAAAAAAAAAGGATTCTTAATGGGGCTTCTGGTAATGCTCATTTTATGTGTAAAACATGCCTTATTCCACTATCAACATCCCACTTTCCTACTCACCCACCCGCACACTTGGCTGCTGCGTCACTGAAGAGGTCGATATGTCATCTCATTCGAACCCTCGCTACGGTCTTCTGTTTTGCACAGGAGTATACAACCATCATTCCGATTATTTCACTTTCTTCAATATACTTGACGTTGGGACTTAGGGCTGCCATCGTCGGTGAACATACGTCATACCGCGCCTATCTGTTAACTAATACACGCGTTTAAGTCCCCGCGTATTCGTATTGTAACGCTCGTTGCACTCGTACTCTGCATGCACTTCCTACGTGGCAGAGCTCACGATTGATTTAAAATTGGGAAATAGGTGTTAAAACAAACAGTTTAAAAGATACCAGATATAAAAGAATATATTACCTTAGCTGACATCCATGCACTCCTGTTGTTTTCTGCACTGACTGATTTCATGGTAGTAGTGGACGATGGGACAAACATAAAAACTTGAGGTCATGGTAGGGAAAAGTCGTGGAAATAAAACTTCTAAAGAAGTATTTTTCTAAATTTCCTTTTTTTTTAAAAAAAACCTAACAGATGGCTTCAACTAGGTACATTATGCACTCCGTGTGTGGGTAACCGCTCAAGGGATAGATTTATACCTAAGTAGATGACAGGTCATATCTCGAAGGTCGAGGTAATTTACATGTCGACTGATAGTTCACAAGCCACTCTGATTATTTTGACACTTATTATTTGCAGAGTAAAAATTAAGGTGCATAAAGAATTATACAGCTGTGCTCAATCACTCTTCATCAACTCCCATCATCCCATGTAATCCTTATATTGGGCTTCTCGCCCTGCCCTTCTATATATTTACCTGCCTAGTCCGCTCACAGTATGATAATGATCGTTTCAGAACCGATGAATGCTCATATCAAGACCAGACAAGTTGCGTTCCTATCATTTGGATGCATCCCGATTAGGGAAAAAAAATCGATCACTCACACTAACTAGCGAAGACCCTGCATGAGCCCCTCACAGAAAACAAGCCCAGTCTAACTGCCCTCCTTATCAAGGCACATTTAATTTCTCATCACCTACTACCCAATAAGGTGTTAGTTTCTCATTGGTCGATAACATAGTAATACCAGGCATGGTTCGTATCAAGATGTGGGACGATAGCCCCTGAACAACTGTCCCTATTCGGTAAATCTAGCTTTAAATTACAAGCAAATTCCATAGAGTTCCCTCAAATGAGAATACCTAGGTATGCGCCGCAATTATATTCTCTTTTCCCGTCAACACTGATAGAGCCGTTACTTTCTAGCTGGCCGGCTACTAACGAGTCAACATGTACTTGCCTAGGTTACTGGCTTTGTTCTTTGTTGGTATCATCGTCTACAGGACGATCAAAGCCAGAATTCGAAAGCGTCGTATCCGACAGAAGGAAGCCCAGCTAGGATGTCTACCGCCACCAGTATACAAGTTGACCAATGGGCTAGGTTTACCAATAAAGAAGGGTATTTCTTCAAGCTTGATGATCTTCAACCTGTACAATTTATACTAACTTCATAATGCGATTCAAGAATCTCTCCAGGCAACGAACGAGGATCGTAATCCACAATACATAATGGAAACAATGGATAGCATCTCGCCTGACTGCCATACCGTTCGAGTGCCGATTTTTGACTATGAGATTTTCGTCACGCGTGATCCCGAAAATATGAGGGCTATATTCTCGACCCAGAGCAATGACTTTGACATTTCGTATTTCCGCCAGATGAGCTGGTTGCCGATGATTGGAAAGGGTATTTTCACCACACGCGGGTGGGATTGGAAGCACTCTCGATCCCGTCTGAGACCCCAATTCGCGAGGGATATTGTGTCGGATGTTGATCGCGAAGAAAGGCATGTCCAGGCATTGATGAAGAGATTGCCTTCCAACCCAACGACGAAGTGGACGGACAAGGTCGACCTACAGCCCCTTTTCTTCAATTTCACTCTCGACACGGCATCCGAGTTCTTGTATGGACAGTCTGTCCATTCGCAGCAGGGCACCAAAGAAGGAATCGAAATGGCAACTCATTTCCACAATGCCAAAATGGCGGTGCATAGACGTATTGAAATCGACAAGTTTTATTGGTTGCTCAACACTAGGAAATTCCGAAAAGCATGCAGCAGCCTGCATAAATGGGTTGATGGGATTGTTGCCGCGAGACTTTCACAATTAAAGAAACAGGAGAAAGTTGGCATCAACGACGAACCGAACGCCCAACGATTTGTGCTGCTTGATGAGCTGGCCAAGGACACTCAAGACTTGAACGAACTCCGTGGTGAAACACTTAATGTTCTTGTCGCCGGACGTGACACCACTGGGTCTCTCATAGGCTGGGTATTTTATTTTCTGGTTCGTCACCCAGATGTTTACGCCAAATTACGAGACATAGTAATTAGAACTTTCGGAGCCCATCCTACTCGCACCAAGATTGACTTCAATATCCTGCGCAACTGCTCTTACCTTCAGCACGTCATGAAAGAAGCTTTGCGTATCGCAACGGTCATTCCGATGAATGAAAGAGTAGCGCTACGAGACACAACCTTGCCCGTCGGAGGTGGCGAGGACCGCAAAGGCAAAGTATTCATTCCAGCCGGTACACAAATCCTGATCCCGACATATGCAATGCAGCACCGAAAAGATCTGTGGGGTCAAGATGTTGAGGAATTCAAACCCGAGAGATGGGAGACCATAAAACAGCAACCTGGATGGGAGTTTATTCCATTTGGTGCTGGGGATCGGAAATGCTTGGGACGTGAGTATATAAATATCTCAACTCGCCCAAAAATAGCAATACTAATAAGAGATGCAGAGCAATTCGCCTTCACGGAGACCGGGTATGTCATTGTCAGGTTCTGCCAGAGATTTGACAGAATGGAAAATCTGGAAGAAGGTGATGGACGAATTCGACTTCATCATGCCATTGAAAACAGGAGTGGAACTGGCGTGCAAGTTAGATTGCACGAAGCGAAATATGAGTAGTACGTGAGCTCTGATGAAAAGTTGTGGTGCCCCGGGGGGGAAGGTGGGTTTGGTTGAATTGAGAACCGAAACGATATGTTGCAGACAATCTGGAAAATCATGGGAATTGGATAATTGACGTAGGAATTGGTTGTCATAAGTAATCAAGTGATAAGAGATTTATTAATTGCCACATATTTTGAGTTGGGCCTAACCTTGGAAAGGTTACATAATGCAATTCTAACACCTTTTACCTCAACAGTCACACTGTCTGTGAAGTGCTGTACAAATGACCTTCCTATAGACTAGGAAGTGTTATTCCCTGAGCAACATTCCAAGCCTTCCATACAGCGTTCCAATATCGCTCCGGATCTACCCTGAGATGTGAAACATGCGCAGATCCATCAAATCGTTCTTGAAGAACATTAGTAAAGCCCTTGGCTCTAGCAGATTCTGCATGAGCCTCGACAGCTTGATATCGAATAAGCGCGTCTGATGTCGAATAGATATATAGCCGCACACTCTTCAGTGGCACATTTTGTGGTGTGTTCAACGCTTTGGGACCCCGGGTCGCCATGATCTCGATTCCGAGTATTTGGGGAATCACCATGAGTACCGTGACAATGGTGGCTGCAAGACCCCATTTGATGAACTTAGGCAGTGGCATTTTCATACCAAGGGCGACACCAGTAGCCCACAGAGGGAACTCGGTTTTGTATGTTTCTCCGCCGGGCATCGAGTCGAGGATCAATGTCTTAAGCGGCAGTGGCTTGTCTGATCCGAACGCGTCGTGCCAAACAGAGATCGTTGCTTCATAATTTAGACCACCGCTGTTGGAGAAGACATGCGCAAGAATCCCAAACTGTGATATTTGGTCGTTTGTGCACAAGGGTATAAGTTCCTGATGAACCATGTCTTGAACAACGCGTTGCGCGGATTTTTGGCCGCCGAAAAATGTTCTCAGCGTCGTCGCCTGGGTAAGAATAACCTTCGCGTTGGGATATAGTTCATGGTATCCTTCAATATATTTCAGATAGTGACGTGGTTGTGCATCTGCCCAGGTGAATAGAAGTATGATTTTGGGTGGTAGAACCTTGGGCGAGACTCTGTTACTAGAGGCTTCGTTTGTGCTACCATCGGGTTCCCATATCAGGACCTGTTCTGAAAATTTTCGGCAGGGAGGCAATGAAAGAGACATGGTGAGTGGAAATTTGAATCAGTAAACTGTCAAGTGAACATACTGACTTGTAGCTTTATATAACTAATGATGTATGTTGAGAAATTGATAGGAGGCTGATCACGATGGCCATAAGCCCTAACCAAAATAGGTAATATCCTATTCAGGCAGTATTTCCATGTTGGGAGAAAAACGCGACGAGCTAGTACAGATTAGGTAAAGCAAACTGGTGTTCGTAAACCAACAACCAGCTAACTAATTAGATAAAGTTTATCATGGCATCAAATATCTTTCAATAATATGTCGGTTCTGGCTGAAGAGTTGAAAAGCTTAAATTCCATATATCAACCAACGCCTCTGTATGGTAGGTAGCCATCAGCTAGTGAGGGAAGCCCGCACACATGGACGACAGCATCGGTAACATCTAGGCATGGTTGTGGTATCTTCTCTTCCCATTCGCGTGACTGGCTTATTTGCGTTTGGGGGGATCGGCTCCATTCCAAGGTGACTTATGACTCAGGGCAGTTATACACTATGTAGATTATCTGAAGTCACCCAACTCACGGTGTTCCCCGCAAGGAATTCAAGACATACACTCTTGACCCGGCCTTCTGAGAGCTCCTCTCGATAGCCGCAATGTATGTCTTTATGGCATTGTTGCCGGAATACATACAACATACCTAGAATGGACCAGAGGCGTTGCCGCGCGCTTTCAATCGGGAAGCCGAGGCTTCCGGCCACCATCCACGCTAGATTGAGCGCATTTCTTAGAGCTTCTTCCACTCCAAGAGTGAGTAGCCCATTCTCCAACTCAGATACACACTGGTTAGGAACCACAGTTGAAGGCTCATAGTCCATAAATATCGAGCAAAGACTCATCAGAACTGCTAGTTGTCCATGGCATTCAGAAAAGGAGTCTCCGGCATTGTGCTCTGGGACTTTAATGAGGCATTGCCACACCAAACTTTGAGGATGAACTCTAGGTCTGCACATATATTTCATTCCGCGACTTGCTGATGCTGCTGATATCGTGTTGGCATCCGATACTCTACACACAAACCTGTATAGGTTTTCTCGTAGATAGACTAAATCTCCGCGATCCCAAAACAGGCTATCCGGGCCGTGATGTGTACCTTCAAAAGCAGTCATGATATGGTGCAGTTGACGATTGCGAATAAAAGACGGCATATTATCGCAATGATCGAAGCTCGCCATAGAGTCACCAGTGAATGAGCGCACCAACTTCCTGCTGGCCGCAAAATGTGCCTGGGCTTGCGTGGGAAAACAAAAATAGTCCATCAAGACAAGTTGCAAAATTATGATATATTGCGACTCGACAGCCAAGTCTCGGTGATGTTGAACTAGGCTAGAATTGTCTTCAGCGGTATTTGTAGCGACGCATAACTGTTTCCGGGCCATCTTCATTGCTTCTCCTCGGTAGGTAAGAGCTAGAATCTGCATCTTTCTCTGTTCGTCCTGGTTTTGCCATTTGCTCAGATGGACTTTACTTGCCAAGGCAATTACTGGTGAGATAAGAGATACTATGTTGCTAGTGCGAAATGCACTGCGACCGGCTTGCGAGGGATTCGGGCACGATGCGTAGCTGACACCCCATTGGCATTTGGACTTGACGGATCTCTTGCTGGGGAGCTGGATAGGCCTTTCGAGGGGAGTTAACTCCTGTTGTAATCTCAAGGCCAGCTCCATTACAGGCTTATGGGTGACTCTCTCGTGTCTCGTAGTCTCAATCGTCTGTTTTTCAGGAGTGATAGCCCTCTTGGACGCAGTAATAGTCCGGTCTCTCGCCCGTTTCTGTTCCGCGAGTCGCTTTCTCATCGCCTTCTTAGCCAGGAAAGACCGTGCCTTCTCTTGGAAGGGGTTACAGGAGGAATCATCCATGAAGAATACCTCCATTTCCTAATGTGAATATATATGTGTATATATGTTAATTCGACGTCTTGCAATGGTTGGCCGAGGTTGAGGCGGAAATTAAAGAACTGTTGGGGAGATGCAAGTTTTGCTTGGCAAAACTTGAAGCCATGCCAAAAGTAGCTACTGTCATAATTTAGGGTTAGGGCTATATACTGTTCGCTTGCAACGTAGAGTCGGGGAAACGCTTTCGAAGGGCTAAACAGCTATAAGACAGATTAATGTGTAGATCGAGTGACTTGGCCCCCAATATAAGTCTAACTTTTGGGCTCGGATCAGATCTGGCAACTTCTGGCTGTCAAAGATGTCAAACAATTGGAGACATCCTACGGAGTTTAGAGGTTTATTTTTTGAACAAACAAATCGCGTCTGCTATGGAATAGAAAATTTTGTCTATCAGGTAAGTGGAGGTAAGGTGAGATGTGTCTTCTTAGTTTGCCCAGAACACTGAATTTGATGGAGACATTATTTTTCCATGGCCGCATACAAATCGTCAATATCCTGTTTATACAGCGCATACGTCGGGTTTCGAGCGACCGAACCCTTTGCCAAGCGCACAAACGGTCGAGACTTATCAACAACAAGGACCAACGACCTGTGTAAACGCACAGATCCATGGGTGTATCTGTTGTTGATCTCCTCCAGGCGAGACCAAATATCGTCTAGAGTAGCAGAGCTAGGAGAGGCGGTAGCAGAGTCAACTAATTCAAGCAATAAAAACGGCCATTTTCGTTGATTGCCACCAATAAGGGCGGTGCGAATTAGAGGATGCGCAGATGAGATCTTGTCCTCTAGGGAAGCAGCATACATTTTGATTTCTCCGCTGAGCACGACAAGGTCATCTGTTCGCCCTCGGTAGAGCCAGTGGCCTTTCTTTGCTGGATCTGAATGAGGTTTCCATAGGTCCCTTGTCGGCCACTCTGTCAAATGTGGTCGAGAAAGAAAGATGTTTGTCAGAGTCTCTGTTTCCGGGGTACGGCGAACGATTAGCTCGTATAGCTCGTCATTCTCGTCGTTCTCTTTTCCAGATTTTTTCGCATCTTTGGCACCTTCAAGGCCAACAGGCTCGAAATGAAGACCATTGGTAGGATAAAAGTGAATATAATTCCAGTCATTTACTGGATCAATGACTCTCGCGACGGGCCATCCGAAGCTCTCTGTGCTGCCGAGGAGGTTTCTTACAGTCCCAAAATTTGATGCTAGCCACTGACCCGTTGTCGTTTCGAGCGGCGATCCGCTATAGAAAATAACTTTTAGTTTACCTAATTCTTGTCGCTTGTGCTCGTCGCGCACGAGGTCTTGCAGGAGCGATGGGTGGTACATGCCGCCATCCAAACGGGCATATCGATGCATTTCGTCCGCCAAGTTAGCGTCTATCAGTCTCCCTGGTGGCGCCATAACCCCAACGCAATTAAAATATATAGGGCAGACGAGAAACCCAGCATACCCTAGCAACTGTAATATCATTAGACAAGGGGTGTACATATATAGGATATATGGGACACGTTGATTGTATATGAAGTTGGATCAACAATATTAAATAAGCGCCTAGAGGAGAAACGTACATGGAAAGGAGGCACCGTAGTAAAGATCCGTCCATGCCATTCATTGACTAAAGGGGGTTGGTCGTTTATCGGTGGTTGAAGACTCTGAAACAACGGATTTGCAAGCATACGCTGTGTGTAGTAGATGATCTTGGGCATACCAGTCGAACCGCTGGTATGGATAATGAGACAAGGGTCATGACATGCCTCGTCCCAGCGTTTGTTATACGGATAGTATCTGTCTTCTTCTTCTTGTGTCTTCTCTATGGGAAGGATGTCAAGAAGTTCCGGGACGATAGTGTTCGATATAGTATAAGGCGATGGCGAGTCTTTCTCTGCTTGTGGTTCTTGGAATTGGGCGATTATTTCCTCTACCAGTGGAACCGTGGATGGAACACACAAGAGATTGTGGCAATCGGTTTCTTTGACGAGATACACATGTGCATCCATCGCACAAAGCAGTGAAGGAGAAAGCATCTATATATATAAATCGGAAATATAAAGCATGAACATGATGATTTCGAAGACTCGATTCAGGGAACACGGGAATAGAAGCCATCTCTGCCCTTGGGTTTTCTACATACCTTATAGCCCGTCTTCATGGCTGCAATAACGAAGATTGAATACCTCAGATCCCGTCCACCATAAAACGCAAATGTCGGAAACTTGGAATCAGAGCTCCCGTCCGCCTGTTGGTCCGGGCTGTGTGTGTTCTTAGGTGGGACTCCCAGCGTCTGTTCAATCCAATATGCAGCTTTGTCGACCGCTTTGCGGAGATCGAGATAGGTTATGTCTCGGAAGCCTTGACTCAGGTCATCGTTGTCGAAAGGTATTGACGCAAAGATCTTTTCAGGGTTGTTAGTAGCATGTTGATCGACAATGTTGGCAATGAGCTGCGGCATGCTTTTGAGATCATGTGGATGATAGCTGCTGCTACTACTTTTTCTTGAGGATTTGTGATCTTCTTGGAGGGAGGAGGACGGTGGCTCCCTTTCTTCCTCCTGAGGAGTCACCGGCTCATTATGAGAACTTCCATCGTCTTCTTTGTTCTGTTTTGCGTCTGTTTGCCTGCCCTTCTTCCTCCAGAAGGAAGTTAACCTAGAAATGGCCTTCGAAAATGTCGACTGCATCGTAAGAATTTGACGTATGGAATGATGATTCAGATATTGAGGAATGAGAATGAGTGGCAAATCTCACTTCAAGCCCAACAAATCACAAATTCAAACACCGATGTGTATACAACACATGTCTGTTAGGATAAAACGACATTGTATATATATACACAACATCCGACCACCTGGCTAAGTACGGAGTGTAACAATTAGCAGCTAGCGTGTTATCGGTCTCAGCCCCATCTGGCTTGGAGATTACAAATTGGCACTTCGCGTCGAATGCCCGAACAAGTAAAGTAACACAGTGATACACGTGTGTAAATGTTACTGCAATTCGTCTCCGGCGATCTAGGGATGCCTTTTTGCAATTCGTCTCTGCCAAATTATGTCCTGGTGCTCGATACCAGCCAATTGGCGGCCGGTGCCTATCGTCCTCCGTTGATTGCGGTTGTACGTGTAGCGGTCTGGTGTGGTCTGAGCCCAGCTGGCTGGTGACCTTGTGCTTCCGACAGATGCCATTGAAATCAATATATCGACCCTCTTGCAGAAATCATTGCCTAGTGACTGGGCAATATATTCAAACTGGTAATTGGGATTTCCCTCGGGTTTTGTCAGGTAAACTAGCTTCACCGTCTTGTATTTGTAGATAGACTGATTTAGCACACGGGCATCAGTCGCGGCTTTTCCCGTGGCCACGCCGTTTGAATCTGAGCCGGGCTTAATATCTAGCTACTTATTTTCCGTTGCACCAAGCGCTAGTTAGTGGGTAAGCAGGGATGGCGAGGCCCGGGGATAACACGAAGACGTTTACTTCCGTGGGCTCGTTTAGTTGGGTGTATTGGAACCAAGGCTTTTTATCTTCCACGCTACTTTAGGTGCCTTTAGTCCAGGTTAGCGCGCATGTTGGCAAGAAGAAAATACATTATTGTGGCTGACAGAATGGTTGTGCAGCCATGACCGACAGAATAAATCGCTCGCCCATATTTGATATAACTACACGTAGGGATATCATTAGATGACTAGTTGGTTAGCTAGTGATGCAGCTTATGTCTTAGTAATTAGCCTTGTTATTTAGGTAACGTAAGTAAATCACCTAGGCAGCTATTAATGCATTGCGTGAAACAAAATGTGAAGCCCTAAGCTGGCTGACTTCACTGGGGTTGCCGAGCAAGGAACACTATATACAGACAGCATCACGGTGTAACTATACCTAAGTACGCAGGTAATCTATCTAATACCAGATTGGGCCACCTGATAGCATGTTCTCGAGTTTTTATGTAAGATTCCTGTGGGTATTGAAAGTAAAAGAGTACTAGCAGATAAAATATTATCCATGAATATCATACTAAACTTGAGTATTACCTGAACCACGAATAAAGCAAGTCATGAAATGAAACCTTAACTGAGCATGTACCACGATTCCAATGCTCGGCAATCATTCTCTCGACCACCAGTCCACCAATGACCCTCCACATGCTTCACCGTAAGGCCATACACTCTGAAAAACCTACGTATTTTCATCTCTCTGTCTGAAAAGTTTCCTGAACTGGCGCTGTGTACCTATGAGCCATATGAAAACGATCGACAGATGCTACAAAGTTTACGCATAGTCGTAACTCTATTCGAGCATTTCTGCACGTCGAAAAGGTGACTTGAAATATGTGGACTGTTTATGAAGAACATAACTGACGGTATTATCGAATTCCATCCACTCAATGGTTAAGACGCCGTGCGAAGGATAGTAAATTCTGCCTTACCACGATTCGTTGTTTCCAGGGGAAAAATGGATGCAAAATGGCGTAGAGGAGCAGCCACCACTATCTTTCTGTTGGCTTGTCTCCTATACCCTTCTTAGCTGTCAATAAACGCAGGGTTATGAAGCTAATTTTGGAGTCATTTCTTCATAGCCCTTGTACATATCCTACATCTTCTTAGTAATAATAGGACGGATCTTTACATGTTTAGATAGGAGAAAGACATAGTTTAAGAGATTGTCTTTGCATTCTGTTTATTGTATTTCTCAAATTTGAGCCTGGATTATTGTATTCTCGAACAAAATGACAAGACCAAGATACTGGGGCGCAGGTTGAATCCGCAAATAACCTCAGTCCCCCAGATCTTTTTACAACAAGGCATCACATCGTCTGAATATGATTCTTAAAAGCGTCGAATAAGGCCTCTCGATAATAGTTACGTCAGGTGTGCCTTGAAGAATAACTATCATTAAATTGGTGGATTTTATCGTTTCAAAGAGCAGCAAAAGAACTGGATTCAGGAGTAATTGATAATCAGGCTCTTGTACTAAAATTCTGCAGTTCCTTCCTGTTGTATTCTTGCTCGCCATCTTCTAATTCTTAGCCTTTTGTCCCAAGTAGAATGATCTGAATACATGCAGTACTATCCTTTTAGTCAAAGAGCATATGACATCGCTGATTAATCACAAAGGCCTAACTTACACGATTGATCTATGTATTAGAAGTCCGATTCAAAGTTGCACATATAGTATGTACTACAAACATCGCTGGCTTTCGTCCAAAGAAAGAACAAGCTGCAGACTTATTGTCTTCTCCGTCTGCTGTTGGATTAACCACTGCCTACCTATGTAACTTACGATATATTTCCATCTGACAATCTCCAAGTGTCATCACCTGACTTTTCGATAACATCCGGATCGAGACACATATTATAACCGAAACGAAGCAAATTTCGGGCCAACATCATCCGAGTGCACGTCAAACCCTATTTTATTGATTGAGGAGGTTTGGTGTTTCGATCTAAATCACAGTGAAGCGGGACTCCATTTTCTCCACCAATAACTATTAAGGGTGCGCATCATTCATCTCTCGTCTCATCTGTATTTAGTAACTACCCTGCTAGCGCCGGTCCTTACGTAGATCAAGGCCTCGTTTGAGGCTAGCAGGATGTTTAAGGTGCTGGTTTAAGCCCTTAAGACATGAGATATAATGATTCAAACTGTGCGTTTCTCGTGGAGGGGAATGTAACCGCTGTAACAGTTTGCAAGGTGGTGGGAAATCAAATAAATTCTCCGGTTCAGGTGATTTCAATCGAGCGGGGATTGCTTTTTCAAGGAAACAGGAAAATTTGCTGTACGCGTTACCGGAGTCGACGTTTCATATATTGCCGTTTAATTTACTCTACACACTTACCCCCTGGTTGAAGAATTATATCCTCTCCTTTCGTGTTAGGGACCGCCAGTATAAAATCCCGAGCATACTCTCGCGAGGGAGTAGATCCCACACGGGCAGAGAGAAGTAGCAAAGGCAAAAACAAAAGCCAAACATGGCTCTATTCTCTTTATTTCTGGCGTCGATTTCTTTCTTGGCTTATGCATCGGCCCAACTCTCTGGCAGCGTCGGGCCATTAACATCTATCACCAACAAAAAGGAAACGGCACTATGCAATGTAGTCGACTACGGTGCCGTGGCAGACAACTCGACCGACCTAGGACCAGCATTAAAATCGGCCTTCGAAGCGTGCATTGATGGTGGACTTGTTTATATTCCCTCTGGTGACTACCTGCTTGAAACTTGGGTCACGCTCTCTGGGGGATCAGCATGGGCCTTGCAAATCGATGGCATCATTTACCGAGGCGGAACAGACGGTGGAAATATGATATACATCGAGCATGCGACAGACTTTGAGTTATTTTCGTCGACCTCTTCGGGTGCAGTGCAGGGCAGTGGGTATCTTTACCATATTGACGGTAATATCTCTGGTCCTAGAATACTCCGGCTGTATGAGGTGACCGATTTTTCTGTTCACGATATTGCTTTGACGGACTCGCCAAGTTTCCATTTCACCATGGATACGTGCACGAACGGAGAGGTATATAACATGGCCATTCGGGGAGGTAATGAAGGTGGTCTGGATGGTATTGATGTATGGGGTGACAACATTTGGATTCATGATGTATGTGAATCAAGGAGTCCAAAACTCGCATTTCTGTTGTACAATGACCAGACTGACATCATCAATACCGGATAGATCGAAGTCACGAACAAGGATGAGTGTGTCACAGTGAAGGTATCTAGTCCTGGCCTCGTCATAGAGACACAGACGGCTTTTTAACAACAATATCGAAGCACTACTAATGGCTGCATAGAGTCCCGCGGAAAATATCTTGGTAGAAGATATATACTGCAACATGAGTGGCGGCTGCGCAATTGGCTCGTTGGCTCTAGACACGAGTATCAGTAATATCCAATACAGGAACATCTACACTTGGTCTTCCAACCAGATGATGATGATCAAGTCAAATGAAGGAAGCGGCACTGTTGAAAACGTCGTATTTGAGAACTTTATCGGTATATTATGCGAAAACTTCCTCTTCCTTTGTATCTTGCTGACGTATGTGCTCCAGGTCACGGAAACGCCTACTCACTTGACATTGATAGTTATTGGTCTTCCCAAACAGCCGCTGGCGGCGAAGGAGTTACTCTTACTAATATTACATTCTCGAGTTGGACCGGTACAGAAGCCAATGGCGCTCTCAGGGGTCCCGTTCGCGTAGTATGCTCCAGTACAAACCCTTGTACCGATATCACCATCAGTGATTTCGCGATGTGGACCGAAACCGGGGATACCCAATGGTATCTGTGCGAGAGTGCGTATGGAAGTGGGTTCTGTCTCAAGCCTGACTCGGGCTCGTTAACAAGCTATACTACAACCACGACAGTATCAACAGCTCCCACTGGCTATTCGGCGCCGACAATGGCTGCTGATCTGGCGACAGGCTTCGGAACGACGAGGTCTATTCCGATCCCGACGATTCCGACCAGCTTCTTCCCAGGAGCAACGCCTATCAGCAGTTTGGCGGCAGATATCTACCATTGAGCGTGGCTCTGACTCCCTAGTGCGTAGCATACTTTCCTGTTCTTATCTTTGAATGAATCACATTAGGTAACACTCATGAATTTGTACAATGGAAGATGAACCGAGGTTTCCGTACTGATATTCTAGACGTCATGTGTTTTATAAATGACTGAATACTCTCATTGGACGCCAGAAAACTGCTCCGAATCGTCTGGTATTGATAAACGTATCAAGTGCTTTTCTCTAACCGATCTATCAAAAAAACTCATCCCTATTTAAGTAGTCAACACGCGTGGCGTAGAGTGGTCCGATAAAAACAGCTAGATAGTATCCATAGCCATTTATATCTACATTGGCAGAGCCGCTCTACTCCATGTATTCATCTATGCGGTTGTGGTCTTCGGCCCCGTGTACCACTTCCTTGCAAACAGGAAATAGTACAAAGCTGCCCCAATCCAAATAGCTCCATTGATAACAATAGTATAGTTCATCTCATCAGCTAAAAGCAAGGAAAAAGTTAATTCCATGACCAAATCGGAACGAAACAGAGAAAAAGAGAATGAGGATAAGTCAACTTACGTGTCGGATCCGGCCCGCCTGTAGGGAACATGCAGAGAATAATAGCAAAAAGCAGATACACAACCGCCGTAATAGCAATTGGTTTACTGAAAACTCCAGTATAAAATGGCCCTGGACGAAATTTACCGGTTTTGTCGCCCCATATCAGGCGGCATAAAATGGGCACCCCCCAAGCAACGTCATTACCAGCAACAGCGAGGGAGAACAAGGCATTCGCAGCGGCGCTGTCGATAAGAGTCAAGAGCCCAATAACAATAGCTATGAAGGCAACACCCCAAACTGTTCGCACTGGCTGGTATTGGATGCGTTTGCTGACGTGTCGGAAAAAGCTTGAGAATGGGAGGGCTCCATCACGGGAAAAGGCCCATGTCTGACGAGAAGCTGCAATCAACTGTTTTTTTTTTTTTTTTTCAATGTTGTTAGTTATATCCTGCGCTATATAAAGACATATATAGGAAAGCGAAGGAGAATGAGGAAGAAAACTGACAATACTCAAGCCCATGAAGAACTGAACAATTGCAACAACGGCCATAAAGCCAAGGGCTCCCGACTTCCCGAGGGAATCGTAGTATATCTGAGCCATGGGTTGACCAAAGGCAGAGTCAATCAAGTTATTGAGGTTCGTATCCATGCAAGCGGCTATAACGGCGAGGGACAAAAATCCCAGGATGCCGCAAAGACCAATGGATAGAATGATGCCTATGGGTACAGCTCGGGTTGCATGTGTCGCTTCCTCACTCATATGGACACATGAGTCAAAAGCGCCAATAGTCCAGATTGGGGAAAGCCAGGCCAGCACAAATGCCCATCCTGTGGGCCATGTGGTGAGGTTTTCCATGTGCCCAAAGACATATTTCCCTGAATTGATTGCGAGTCCGTTGCTCTTATTGCCCACCGGCAAGGCAATTACGGTTGCAATGACGAGTCCAACATTGAGGACAATACAGACACTCTGGATGCGGTTCATGATGCGGCCCATGAATGTTGCCATGCAGGCGTGCACAACAACAGTCGCAAGGTACGTGGCATAGATCACAGGGCGGGATGCTGACCATTCCCCATCTCTGGCAATTGAAATAAGAGACAGTAGCATAAGCGCAAAGCCATCTGTAGGATTTTGCGTCAGAGCCAGCGTAACAGTGTGGAATTCTTCTGCGCTCACAGTCAATCGAACACAATCCTCCTACTAAGCCGAGTGTGTTACTGTATCCGACCACAAAGCTCAAGGGATTTCGCCATTTTTCGCTCGAAAAGTAGTGCGTCCAAAAATAGAGACCTCCTGCAGTAGGCATTGCAGAAGCCAGATCGGCCTGTTCGCGACGCGAGGTCAATAGAGAAATATCATGGAGAGAAGGAGCATGTATATATATTCACCATCGCAAGACCGACAAGCAAAATAAAGGAACTCGCCACAAGCCACCCTTTATTTGCCCCTTGCATTAGAATTCCGGTTTTCAAAAGCCATGTGTGCTCAACGTACCCTAATCTGGATCAGTATACCCATTATAGTAAAGATTAACTGGCAGAGACCAACCCAAACCATTCCCACGGGCCCAGCGGGAAGAGAGAATGAGAGTGTCGACGCAATTGATGGCAGCAAAGCCATGATACTGAAAGCGATGGCAAAGACTTGGGTGGTTGAGTACTGGCGTCTTAATTCCTGCTTGTAGCCCAATTGGGCTGAGTTGAGGCATTAGTGGGCGACCGGGGACCGCGATTGTATCGGCAAGGCAGGCCTACCCAAAAGATCAGTGTCGTCGGCTTGAGAGACGAATCCATTCTCAATTGCGCCCTCGATGGGAGCTTCAACAGCTCCTGGCAGCGTGCTGCCTTTCTTCTCGGCTTCTTCCGACATTATCTAGACGCGTCGCTCTTTGACAAGCGGGATCGGAGTGTGATAGAGGGGAGTGTCAACAAGAAAACCACAAAACTCCGGGATCTGGTGGCGGCTTCTTATATATTAAAGGCCGGTTTATTGATTTGGTGATCTACTGGCTGATTTCCATGCACGGAGCTTCTTGTTGATAAGGGCGTTACTTGCTCGGTGTTTGTTATCTATGAGAAGGATCCTTCTAGGCCAGGGTCTATTGACCGCGCTGATAAGCAGCATACCTGGCTATTAGAGGTATATCAGCTTTCTTATAAACTTACTACTCATGATCGTTATTGGCTACGCCAAATTAAAATCAAGCCTTTCTTTCATTTCTTATACACAATATTATACCCAGGGAAAATGTAGATTTGTATTCATATTCGTAAGTGGATCTATCTAGTTGACAGCAGTAAGTAGAGGTGCATAATGCATGTTGATTGCACTAATGCACCTCGTGCTCATGATCACACGGTGGGCTTAAGCAAGCCTTTTAGCTGCTAGGTCAGCTACACAGGCGAAATCAATAAATGGTTGCATGATGAATACGGCGAGATGCTGGAGAGCCGATGCCTAGGCGTGGCATAATATGTACCCGGCCCATGCATTAATGAGTGAGATGCGCTCCTAATTCTTTGAATAATATAAGCTTAGAGAGTATTTCTGCTTCTTAAATTGATAAATTATTTCTTCGCAGTCATTCTTCCCAAGATGGACACAACGTGGAATAACGAGGACGAAAATGCTCGTAGTTGGCTTTCTGCAATCGATTACAACTTCCAATTGAACACTATCTTCGAGAGGCGAGGTTAAGTAACCGATGACTGGTTTTTAAAATTCTCTCCCTTTGGTTCATGGTTGAAGACGAGTGGACAGACTATCTTCTGTTCAGGTATACCAGGCGTAGGGAAGACAGTACTGACAAGCGTTGTTATTAAACAAATCTAATCCGTCTTTGAAAGAGATTTGAAAGTCAGAATTATATATTTCTTCAATGGATTCAACCGACCAAAAAGCCCGATCCTTCAGAAGTTCTTCTAAGCCTACTGAAGCAGTTGGTCGAACAGCAACAGTTGATTCCGAGATCCGTCAAGGGACTCTACAAGCGACATGCTATGCAAAGTACCGAGCCTTCCTACGCAGAGTTTGCGACAGTATTGCGCTTCGTTGCTTCTGCCTACACGAGAGTTTTCGTCGTCTTGGATGGATTGGACGAGGTAGAAACGTCCACCAAAGAAACGACTCTGATTTTAAGGGAGCTCAATACCCTTCAAGAAGAGGTTGAAATCAATATCTCCACAACATCTGCGATTAGTCCAGAAATGGGAAGTGAGTTCAGCGGCAAATCGGTTGTCGAAATTCGCGCTACTGAAGAAGACATACAGAGATACCTGGACGAGAAAGTCACGATGCTCCCCCCCCATTTGTTTCGAGCGACATTTCTTTGAGGGAAGATATCAGGAAGACTATTGTACTTGCAGCTGATGGAGAGTTTGTCTGTCCACCAATATGATGTATATGTCAGTGGTTAATTCTCTATTCAGGTTTCTTCTTACGCGGATCTACCTTCATTTTCTAATGGGAAAATCTACTCCGGAAGCCATCAAACTCGGTTTACAAGTTGTCAAACGGACGACGCAATTCCTTATCTACGAAGACCAGAAAGCGAAAGTGCTAGACTCAGCACATCTGTTGGTGATGGAACAAATTCAACGTGAGGAACTGAGCCACTGGGAGCTCGCGCAAAAGGCCTTGATGTGGATCACCTTTGCTAGAAGATTTCTGACTGTATCTGAACTCCGACATGCTCTCGGGATAGAGCTTTGCGAACGACAGTCTTCTCCCTGCCGGAGATATACAGGCAGTTTTTTACGGGTTGGTCGATGTGATTGAAGAAAGCGATACCATCTTAATTCATGGTTTGACCAAAAAGTATCTTAATCGCAATGGAAATCTCTAGTTCACCAACGATGTGCAGTCCCATATACCCAGGAAATGTACAGAATATCTCTGCCGAGATGATATTGTTCAAGGGTTCTGTTCATCCGACGAAGAAATTTGAGGGTCGATTAAGGTCAAATGCTCTTTATGATTATGCTGTGCGGCACTGGGGCGTACATGCACGTCTGGCTTCTCAGAAGTTACACATCACCTTGCGACAAGTTTCTCAACGACAAAGCGAAAATAGTCACCTTCAGCCAAGACACCATGGCCTCGAAAAGGTGCAATATGGACCTCAGATATAGCCAAAATGTGCCCCAAAACATGACGGCAGTACATATCGCGGGTTATTTTGGATTGAATACAGTAGTGATGTCTCTCATTGCTGATGAAAATAGTCCAAATATGAAGGACAGCCACTGTCCGACTCCACTATCTTATGCTGCGGAGAATGGACATGCGTTAACAGTGCAATCACTGCTTGAATCAGATAGCATTGATCTGGATTCTGTGAATGTGAGAAATCGCACGCCTCTGTACTGGGCTGCAGAACATGGGCGCCAGGAGACCACACAGCTACTCCTATGTGCTGGTGCCAGAATAGACATCCAAGACAACATGGGATGCACGCCGTTGATAAACGCAGCAGCTAATAGATGTGATACTGTGGTAAAGACGTTTCTGGAAATTGGAGAGGTTCGTCTACATACAAAGGATATTTACGGCCAGACACCATTGTCTCTTGCTGCCGTTTTGGGACATGATACAGCAGAGCAGCTATTGCTTAATCAACCGTACATTGACCTTGACTCCAGGAGCATCAATGGATACACATCGCTATCGCTCGCCGCAGCTGGCGGCTATAAGTCTGTAGTACAGTTGTTGCTCGCTGCGAACGGTGTTGATCTGGACTCAAGGGACATCAATGGCGCCACTCCGTTGTCACGGGCTGCAGCTAACGGATGCAAAGAAGTGGTCCAGCTTTTGATAAACACTGACAGAGTCAATAATGACTCTAGAGAAGTCAAAGGACTTACGCCATTATACTGTGCTGCTATCAACGGACATGCATCAGTGGTGCGGATGCTTCTTGATGCGGATGATGTTGACCCAGAGGCGAAGGACATTCATGACCAAACAGCTTATACGAGCCGCAGCCAAGGGACATACAAATGTGCTTCAGATTTTGCAATCTTCAACTCGTGTCACTGTATAGTCTTCACCGATCCGCGGAGTCCTTGACAGAATCTATGTTCCTAGGACGACGTTGAATTATTTGAGACTCAAGCGACTTGCTTGTATCTTCGGCGATTGAGATCAGGAACGAAAGCTGCCCTGAAAAATTTGGCTTAGGCAGCAGCTTCCATCAAGCGCTTTCTTTGATTTGACATGAAATTGATTCACAGAATGTCATAATGACCAAGTTGAGTCGTTATGCTCCCTCCTTGGTTAGAAAGGACACTGTATATGAGCTGCAGCTTAGGGCATGTTTCGGAGGGGCTTTTCCGGTGCCGAGTCATGCGCGTGATTTATGCAAACAAAGCACAATACGTGGGTGCCTACACAACCGTCCTTGGCTAAATTTACATTTCACGAGCTCATCTGGCGAATCTCTATTCTTCTGTATGGCAACGCTGTTAGCCGAGTTCTTTCTCCCCTATTTTCCTAATGGCGTCGCATTCCGAGACCAATCCCGGCGTGATGGTCAATATCCATGAATCGACCCCTCTTCTTGCTACAGAGCAAGTCGAAGGGCAAGGACAGGACTCCCAATATAACGTCCAACCAACTAGTGCCCATCAGTCGACAAGCATCCTCGCTTTAGTTTGTACACTTTTGATGCTTATTGACATCTCGGGCTTTCTTGGAATGGCGCCGCAGATGCAAATATTCGAAGACATAATCTGCCAAAACTACTATGCCACGGGCAACCGTACCAGTCTTCACGACTGCAAAACTGAGCCCGTACAGAGTGAATTGGCCATCATACAGGCCTACAAGGATACATTCGATCAACTACCCGGAATATTGTTTGGTGTCGTCTATGGTCTTCTCGCCGACAGAGTCGGACGCAGGCCAATTCTCCTTTGCGATGCTTGGCCTGGCACTGAGTGGACTATGGGTAAAAATCGTCTGTTGGTTTCCTGAGATAATTCCAATCAAAATGGTGTACTTGTCCGCTCCTATTCTCATATTTGGGGGTGGAGCACAAGTTGCTTCATCGATGTTCTATGTGATGCTTGCGGATTCCTATCCTGATGAAGAAAGGCAAGTTTTGAGTATAAACCACGTATATTGATTACTTAATATGCAGCATTTCGCAACATGTGGCTAACGACGACGCAGAGCTACATCTTTCTTCTATTTCTCCGCGGTCGTTTTAACGGCAGAGATTGTGGCAACTCCTATAAGTGGAATCACAATGGCCGGAAACCCCTGGATTCCATTTCTGGCCAGTTCAGGCGTGGAATTTTTAGCCGTTGTTGTTGCAATTTTTTTTGCTCCTGAAACGCTACATTTTGGTCGACTCAAATCCATGGACGCAATTCATTCTTCGCTCAATAATAACGAAAACACCACGACAAAAGAACAGCCGCTTCTTAAGACTGTAATGGTCAAGGTCTCGCACAGCTTGGAGCTCTTCAAAGAATCGACCAATTTCCTTTTGAGTAGTTTGAACGTCAGCCTTCTTCTCCTGGTCTTCTTTGTCGCTACCTTGAGTCGACAAGCAATGGCGCTTCTGTTGCAGTACGCCACAAAAAAGTATCATTGGTCGTATAGCAGAGTGAGTGACACTGATTTTTCAACGTACAATAGTATCTGACGGGTCAAAAAGGCTACCATTCTCGTTTCCGTTCGGGGAGCTGTCAATCTTGTGGACGTCCTCATAATTCTCCCTGTCATTTCTCGCCTAATGCTTTACCGGATGAAATTGAACGGACCAACTAAAGACCTTTGGTTGTCACGCGGCATGGCATTTCTCCTTACTATCGGAATGCTACTGATGTTCTTTGCCCCTGTGCCAGCCATTTTGATTGCTGGTCTTGTGGCAGTTGCCCTTGGCTCACCACTTCATCTCACTGCACGAAGTTCACTTACGTCGCTCATCCTCCCCAACCAAGTGGGTGTTCTGTATACTTCATTGGCCGTAGTCCAGTCTGTAGGGATCTTGATGGCAGGACCATTACTTGCCAACACATTCCGATGGGGTATGAAACTGGGCAACACTTGGCTGGGACTTCCCTTTCTGGCAGCCTCGGTCATGTATTTACTGGCCTTTCTACTCATTAGTGGAGTTAATCTTTCTCGGAGGCCTCAAATCCACTCGCTCCAGGAAGACAATGGTAGAAATGAGGAGCATTAAGTATGTTATTTTCGCCAAGGATGGAAAGATAACAAGCTCAGAATTGAAATCCTATAAATGTCACGCTACTAATTAAATATACAACAAGCCACAATCCTATTAATTAACCAGTAGGCTCGCATTGCTTAGCGGGAACATAGCGTGTTTACGCCAGGCTTCTAGATAATTCAATACAGGCCCGCTAGCAAGACCCTTGCAATACAACGATAAAGCTAAGCAAAATCAGAGCAGATCCCAGACTCCATTAGGCAGGCACTTCAGGGTAGCCTATGCCGGCGCTTTGGCTTATCGGTAAGCTTTCATTGGGTGAACGTTGCATGTCACTGTGTATAATATATGCCTCGAGGTTCTAGCATGACCGTAGAAAATAAGAAGTCAAAAGCGGTCTAGGCACCCGTAATTTATCACTCTGAGATCTATCAGAATATTTCGTGTTGGTAGAATTTGGCGGGCATGAGGTTAGGGCTGCGCTAGCGGCCTGGGCCTCAGGCATCAGAGTCTAAAGGGCTCTTGCAACCTGTTTCTGGATACAAGAAAGGAAAAACAGTGTATTGTGCTATCTGTTTTGTTCGTATCTATTTGTTATCTATGACCACGTTGTTACTGCATGCTCTGCTATCCTGAAACGTTCTGTTGCGCTCACGATCTCAGCGCCTGTTACCGACGCTCCTCCCGTGACAAAAGCGTTCGCTGATTTTCGTATACGTCGGAGTAGAGGCCGCCCCGAAAGCCTGTCAGATTCATTCTTCTAAGACTGCCCCTCTATTGACATCATTAGTATTACCGAGTGTCCGCGATAATGTAAGATCTTGAGGTATAGAGGACGCACGAGAGGCATGCAAGCACTAGCAACTGCGTTGAGATGTCCAAGGCACTTCCATACCGCAAATGGGGAGATATTTCCTGTTCAAGAATGAGTAACAATGCAGGAAATAGTCCTGGCATTATGTTTACACCCGGTAGATCCATAACAGGCTGAACGCAGGGGCCGTGCATAGCTAAATGGATCAGACACTGGTTCACTATTCAGATGAATACAAGGTTTGAAGAATGTCAATTCTAGGTCTTCCGATCTAATTGCGAACAGCTACTACGAAAAATGCTATATGTGGATGTACAAATCTTTTGGTCTGTACAATCGAGCTTGGCTTTCGAGAATACTACAGTTTCACTTGAAGTAAATTAAATATTCGATTTTTGAAATAATAGCTAACAGAAAACAAGAGAGTCGAACACTGATCAAATGGGCCAACCAACAGAAACAAACAAGGTATATCTCATAATATGCGCCGCCATGTGCCTTCTGAATGCATAAGCGGTTCATCAAAAATATGCATACACCCAAGTAGCACCCGGAACGCCTGATAGATTAAAGGAAGTAGGTGATGGATTGCTCCAAAGTTTATGAGTTTTTCCAAAAGGAAAATGAGGGAATGAGAAAAGAACAAAAATAAGAACAAGAAGAGAGAGTGAAAAGAAGTAGGAGAAAGAAGGAAGGAATGAGAGAAAGATAAGGGAAAGAAAAAAACCATCCGGTAAGCAAGGAAAACGAACATATAAGGTACCAATTACCCAAGAGAATTATAGAGCCATCGCAGGTAGTTGCAACATAATTGCTACCCAAAGACAATAGATATGAAAAGACTTCTTGTCAGCAGCATTGTCTGTTTTCGACATGAATCGCCATCCAGTGAAAGCTCCAAGACCAACAGCAAGGCAATATGCATGAAGAGGCAACCCAAGGTAAAAGGGACAAAAGGTAGACCAGAACACAAGCGTTGCGGCAATTGTAGCTCGACCTGTTTTTGAGCCCATGATAAGTGGCAACGTAGTCCGTCCCTTAAGCTGGTCACCCTCCATGTCACGAAAATCTTGGGCATGGATGGTTGTTAGGATGACAAGGCCAAAAATGAACATCCATAGTTTGGCGGCTCTTGTTTCTGAATGGCTTGAGACTATAGTCAAGCTGCCGAGAGAATAAAAGATGTAGCCGCCAGTGGCCAACAGGTTGCGCATAAACCAGTCTTCATTGCCTCCTTGATTGTCATATAGCCAGTATAGCACGAACAGTGCTAAAGTCTCTGGAACTACTCCCGTGGCATAGCTGATGAGAAGAGTCAAGGCAATCATTGCCTGTAGGAGATAGGAAGCAGCAGTAGGGCTGATTCGGCCCGACGCAATTGGCCGCGAAGGTTTGTTGATGCGGTCCTCTTCGATAGATTCGGGAGAATTCTGGTTGTTGATATCGAAGACCATCAAGACCCCCCACAGCCAGATCAATGCTTTGGGACAGTTGTAGACGACAGTGGAAATGGGGAGGGCGCCTTCAGTCAGAGATGAGTTTGTTGCTGAGCCCAGTATGCCGAACGTAATGCATGGAAGCATAACGGTTGTGATATCTGAGTAAAAGAAGAGGTAGATTATATGAAGGAAACGGAGGAGACTCTGCCCAACTGGGACTGGAATATGAATCTCATTCCACAAGTTGAGTAATTTGTTCAAAGTCAAAATTGCCTCTTTGTATTGGTAGTCCAAGTGCTGGGACTCCATTTGGGAAGACTCGAGATGAGATATCGTTTTCATTTTGTCAGAAAAGGTATGTCCAATATTGAACTTGAACTGAAGAAGGTGATAATGAAAACTTCAAGTATGAGGAGGGAGAGACAGATATAATTGAATATGAGGGCAAGATTGTTCACTTGGAGGTGATTTCTTCACAACTATATAATGAAGGACTTTGAATGCAATGACAGACTCCAAGAACAAACACAGCACATTTTGAGCGAACATCGAGTCCTATTTATGTACGAACATACGCAGTCTCATGGCGACAGAGCATCAAACCGGAGGGATAGGGTCTGACGCAGTGACCGGATGGAGATCCAAGAACTGTGCCACAGACCATTTCTTGGGATCTCAAATAATCATGGCAATGTTACCACACGAAAGAAGCACGAGAGAAAACTGTGGATCAGGAACAAACCGATCCATTCTCCTGGATCTAGATCCACCCTGGTGTTCCATTCTTTCTGACTGGTTACCAAACTGGTTCTGCGGCATTGTCGATCATCTCCATCATCATTCAGACCAGCTAGCAGGTGCATTGATCAATCGGAAAACCTGGAATAACGAGGCGGAAACCTTTTTGGGATCATGAGATAGAGATTTATGGGACCGATTACTATATGTTGCAGATGGTGATAAAGCAGCTCCACACACATCCCATGAGCCAACCTATCATTACTTCCAGGCCACGGGATCGACATCTGAGCGAAGAATAATAGAGGGTCAAAAAAGAAAAGAAACAGACACAGATCAAAGGCAAGATGATCTAATGAATCCAAACATGAAACGCAGAATCAGCACTATAAGTAGATCGGATATGGTGATGCGGTGGAGATGATGTCTCGTCCACCTGCATTAGGAAGAAGAAGCCGATAAGAAAGTTAGAAATATCCAAGAGAAGAGGATTATCATAAAAACAAACTGGCAAGAGAAAAAGAAAAGAGCAGGGCAGGGCAGAAAGTGGTAAGCACTAAAAGGTAACTACTAACAGATCGCAGTTCCATCGCGGCCGATAGGAACAGCAGGAGAATAGAAAGAAGCGACGAATATAACTGGGCTGTGAATTTAACATCATTTCAGAACAAACCAGTCACACTAGCATCAATGCTACCAGACTAATTAGGTAGGCCTTGCTAAACTTAGATAGAAGAAAGGAACAGTAGAGGAGGGGAGAGAACAAAAACCCCATAGCAAATAATTCTAACTATACGCCTCGTATTTATCACCGAGAAAATCCGGGAATTGGGCTCCTGGAAATCACTAGTAACCAAAATTAAACTTTTATTATAATATACCAGACTTTCCGCTTTTTGTCGATTTTTTATTTGTTTCTAACATTCGAATATTTGCTTTTTCTAGCGGCTTGCCCCTCTGGGTTCGGGATCGCCGGAGATGGAAGATCTTGTGAAACGAGGCATTGTGTTCCGGATGGAGATCAGGAGCTTAAAGACAGCCAAGGCTATAATAATGATTATATACGGGGTAGCTGGTCTGTGCTACGTATTGCCTGCTGGTAACAAATCTCATAATTGAGCAATAGTTCTTCACCAAGAGTATATGCCTGACGATTCATGTTTCTCAGAGCATGAAGACTCTAGTAATCGTCTGGGCATATGATTCATTCTATTTGTTCAATCTGCTCATTTCCTATTTTTCTTTCTTCATATCCACATTGCCATTATCGGCCAGCTCCGCATTGGCTCTTGCTGCGAACCATAGATTTAGTTCATGATAGATCTATCTAAGTAGTAGCTAGCAAGCATTGACCAGGGTCAATGCATCGTAAACCTCTTCCGGCATCAATTGCGAGTATTTGTTTACTTCTGGACAAGGGTATTTGCAAAGGGGGAACAAGAAATCATCCATATCCGGAACTGTGATTACAGAAGCTAGCTGTTTGGTTCACTCTTGGATATAAGGCTTGCGCGTCACCTTCTAACTCTTCGTATAAAATTATGTTTTGAACCCAATATCAGCTATTTAGATATTGACTATCCATGACAAAGGACAAATGGGAGACTAAGACAAGATATTTTCCTAATTAGGAAATAAGGTGGCGGCTGTACAAAAGCAAGGATTATGAGACATTGGGGTAGTTTATGCAGAACATTCCCACGCTGTATACAATACCTACATATGTGACTGCTTCTGCATCCCCAAGGCTATTTCTCGACCTTTCCTGCAGCCCCTTCGTCCCTTCGCTTCGTCTATATCTCATTTTGCAGGTGGTCAGCATTGGACGTCCACGGCCTTGCGAAGTACACCCCTAACCGTCACTACGACTATATAGGCAGTATGTATGCCCTCTACAATCTAGTCCAACGTGATAATTCCTAAGACATGCAGAGTTCCCTGTCATGACTGATGTACTTAAGACAAGTTGATAATCAGCTCCAAGTAAAACCGATTTTGGTGCCAAAGCCTTGCAATTTACATAGCCCACCAGAGATTCATTCCTGCTGAGTGAGGAAATCTTCACATTCATGGATGTTACCTAGGTACATATCAGTCTTCCAATCCTCACCACAAAAAGAATCACTAAGTGATGGAACTTGGGTTCATTATGAGAAGTTGGTCGTTGAAACAAGTGAAATCCAGAAATGTGCGCATTTACCTAAGTATAGCAAGCACCATTGTATAGTGAAAATCGAGTGATCAATGGGGATGATTAACGCTCAACTTTGCAGGGATTATGCAGGGCTAATTGTAACCTCGGGATGATCGGCTGATGACCTCAACGTCCGTCGGTAGAAACTCATTGATATGTAACGAACGCTGGCATCACTCAGTCAAAGTCATCGCACCACTACATAGCCTACACTGCAGATACATGTTGAAAAAAAAAAAAAACGATGATTGGTTTCCTGCATCGCTTGTACGCGGGTTTTATTTCTCCGCCTGAAGCCCCAAAGACAGACAGTGCGCTGCGATTTGGACTGCTCGGAGCTTCGTTCATTGCGTGCGTTCCACCACCGCGGCGCATCAAACTCGATATGTAACGGGTTATAGCTAATGCATATCTATTTCTCTAGACCAATGGCTCTGATTCTTCCTGCAAAGTCACATCCCGAGGTGATAGTGGCTTGTGTTGCGGCGCGAGACCGTGTAAAGGCCGAAAAATATGCGAAGGAGCACGGCATTCCAGTTGTCCATGATACTTATGAAGGTACCTAATCTTCTAGACATTGGCTATCGCATCACTCGGAATGCATTTTTGACACAACTACTTCCCATCAGACGTCATTAATGACCCCGCCGTTTCTTGCATTTACATCGCTCTGCCCAACTCCCACCATTACGAGTGGGCTTTGCGGGCAGTCAAAGCTGGGAAACACGTCCTGCTTGAGAAACCATCTACTTCTAATGCTAGTGAGGCCAAGAAACTATTTGGAAACCACCTTTTTGCAGCACCAGGCGCTCCAGTGTTGCTTGAAGCGTTCCATTACTCATTTCATCCGGCATGGCAGATATTTCTTCAGCTCATTCACCAAGATCCTCTAGCAGGGCCAGTGAAGATTGCATATAGTCAGTTCTTTTTATATAAAGGATTCCTCAACAGAAATGACCCCTCCGAAATCCGCCTCCGATATGCATTGGCCGGTGGCTGCGGGATGGACCTGTCCAGCTACAATGTGTCTCACATCCGGCAAATGCTGGCTGACTCGCATCCAAATGTTCAAAGTGCGAATTTTAGAATGCTGTCTACGTCAAAACCGCCACTAGACGAGCAAGACCTAAAACAAATCGACGAAGCGGTGACGGCAACCTTTAAATCTGCAACGGGCGCCGAAGGCCGTATCGTCGCGGATCTTTCGACTGCTGGTGGCTGGCCGATTATTCCTGCTTCCTGGTCGCGCAACTTACCGAGTATTGGCTGGCCCAAATGCGTCGCAGAGTTGGGAGAGAAGCAAATTGAAGACGATACAGAACTTACTGATGGGGAGACTCATGTTGTCCAACGAACAGTCACGTTCTATAACCATATAGCGCCTAGTATGTACCATAGCATCGTCGTGCAGGATAAGCACTCGATCAAGCGCGATGTAGAGACTGTGCACTCATGGACGCAGACGAGAACGGTTAAAGCATATGACTGGCCAGACAAATCCGATGGTCGTCAAGGCGAATCATGGTGGACAACCTATCGGTACCAGCTGAATGAATTTGTTCATCACGTTAAGGGTCGTAAGGGAAGCGGAGTATGGTTCTCTGGTCAAGACAGCATTGACCAGATGGCCGTTATTGATGAGATGTACGAGAAGGGGGGTCTGAAGGCCCGGCCATCCGCTGCATTTGAGTCGGAGCCCTAATTACTTTGGCTTCCTTTGATTGATGCTGACGAGATATGGTAATGTTTTCAATATGACTCTAGTTGGATATGTATTTACCTCATTTTGACCCCAGATGGAGTATATATAAATCCTAAATTGAATTTTGACCCAAAACCTCATAGATTACAATAGCTATTTATTAACAATCCCCTTCTTACCATCTTGTTAATGAGCCGTTATACCTAGGTGTGTCTTTGGCTATCAATCTCATAACGATCCGTGGCGTCTTGTACCGGGCTATACACAAAATGATCAAACACTGCCCCCCTCGCTGTTCCATTGAGATCGGAGCATGCTAGACCGACAAATGCACCAGTGAAACTTCCATGCGCCTGGTGTCCTCCGCACTCGTCGGACAAAATCGAGGCATCCAAAACCGAGCCAACTTTCTCTAATTCCTGTCCCTCGAGGGCGTAGAAGAATTGCAAGCTCTGACCACCACGAATGTTCAAAGCTAGTCTGACCTTTCCCTCTTTAGGAATTGCAATCCGTGTTTGCTGAGGAAATTTCAGGTCGCCATCTGGCCAAGAGGCTTCAGAGCTCATCACACTTATTTCACGTTCTCCGTCCGAATTAGCCGTCACGGTCAAGTAGAAAAAGTTATATCGACAGTAGTACGCCACAAGGCCAGCGAATTGTCGCTCATCAGACGGTGAGAAGTCAATCACCGTCTCTGCGTCATAAGAGAAATGGGTTTGTCGGCGTGCCACCAAGGCTTGCTCGAACCAAGACCCTATTGACTCCCGCCCGATGAGTATGAGTTTTCCATTCTCGACGGAAAAGATTCGGTCTGTCTCGGGTGTTCGCAGCCACTGTAGGTCTTTATGAAGACCGTTCTCAAACTGATAATACTTTCTTGCCCAGTAATCCGAATCATCATACACACCGGGGACGTTTGTGTATAGTGAGGGAACAGGTCCGTTTTCAACATAGAACCAATCGTCTCGCCAGTATACTTCCTGAATAGCAGTCTCTCGACCTAGCACACACCGCCGCTCCTGTCCGACAGGACGCCCTGTCAAATGGACAAGATATGTCTTACCGCCCTCAGTGTCCACAATACTGCCATGACCAGAGCGTTGTAAAGCCGCAAATGGAGCATCCTTGGATGTAAGAATATGCTTCTGAGGGTGCACTTCATACGGACCCCGAATATCTCGAGCACGGGCAAGAGTACATGCGTGTTCGTAGGCTGTTCCCCCCTCGGCAGTCAAAAGGTAGTACCACCCATTGCGTTTATACAGATGTGGACCTTCGACGAGGTCTAGTTCCGTGCCTTTGAATATATTCTTTCGCGGTCCTACTAGCTTCCCTAACACAGGATCAAATTCCTGAAGTGCGATTCCAGCAAAAGCACGGGGACTGCTGCGATGATCCCACATCATATTGACAAACCATTTCCGGCCATCATCATCATGAAACAGAGAGGGATCAAAACCCGACGAATTGACGAATATAGGATCCGACCATGGCCCTTCGATGTCCGGAGCAGTCACGATAAAATTATGGGCGTCTTTAAAGGAGCCATCTTTACGTTTGACGTCGGTGTAAACTAGCCAGAACATGTCGCCATCGTAACTCAGGCATGGAGCCCAGACGCCGCAACTGTCTGGCTCTCCTCGCATGTCTAATTGGCTCTTTCGGTTCAGCGGTCGTATGAGTAGATCCCAGTTTGCCAGATCTTTGGAATGATGTATTTGCACTCCAGGGTACCATTCAAAAGTCGATGTCGCAATATAATAATCTTCCCCGACTCGAAGAATCGAGGGGTCCGGGTTGAATCCGGGGAGAATAGGGTTACGTACTGGCGGCATGATATGTTGGCAGAAGATTAAGCACATAGAGTCTCGACATAAAATAATGACAATAACGATGGTGAGAAAGACATCAAAGACTCTAGGTACCCCGCGTATACTTCAAGTAACTCCAATCTGCCCGGGTAAATAGACAAATCTTCCCAGCTTCGTTTCAACCGGTTTAGCCGGCAGAAAGGCATTTAAAAGGATACTTCGTTGGTCAGTTTAAGCATCAGACCCCTCTTCTCTTTGCAGATCGGTAGAACAAGGAAACGGATGGAGATCACCGTCGAATCAACACCCAGTATGCAGCAACACTGGGTTCACAGCTGGGCTGCCATGCAACAGCCTGCGAAGGCGACTAATCTGCCATCAGAATCGTTTGTATATACGAGTACTCTGACCTAACAGCGAAAGCACGATGTCTTGCTAATATGCTTTCTTCCATAAAAGACTCTCCGACAAACAGCCCGTTTGAGCCTCGGCACTTCTTCACACATCCGCCTACGACTGTCCAATGCATTCGGCGACAGACCTCTGACCATCGCAAAGGCAACGATTGCACGCTCCGCAGACAATGCATCAGGGACAAACGCAGTCCAGCCAGATACGCTTCATCCCCTTACTTTTAGCGGGGACCCTGAAGCTTGTATTCCCGCTGGAGCGCTGGTTGTTTCCGATCCCATCAACATTGGCGGGCTGCCACCGGCCACGGCTGTGAGTATCAGCCTGTTTCTACCCGATGGACAGCTTCCAGGGGGCATCGTTACTTTACATCCCGGCAGCCGGACAACCTCATGGTTTGCTATTGGGAACCATGTGTCTCAACGAAGCTTATCTGGTGCTGGTGTAGGGCAAGTAGATCAGTGGGAAGTCTCCCTCCTAGTTTTCTATTATTGCTAGTGTGTTTCTTGGAAATTTCAAAGCGTAGCTGACAGTAGAGTATGTACAGGTACTATATCAGTGGCATCGAGATTCTAGTGCCTCGCGAGTCAAGTGCCTTCGTGTTGATCGGAGACAGTATCACCGACGGAAGAGGTAGTAAGACAAATGGTGATACACGATGGCCTGATCTCCTTTTTTCGCGCCTGCAGACACAGCCACATGAAGAAACATCGAATTCCGCTCCATCTATTTCACTTATAAACCAATCAGCTGGCGGAAACTGCGTGCTTGAGGACAGTTCGGGTGGCCCAAGTGTGCTCGCCCGTCTGGACCGGGATGTCCTCTCACTGTCTGGAGTGCGATTTGCAATGATATTCGAAGGAGTCAATGACATTGGCATCGCGCCTCCAGATCCGAAAATCCAGGCAATTATAGAGAAACGACTGATAGCAGGCTATGTGCAAATTGCGACTCGACTTAAAGCTGCCGGCATTTTCGTGGCTTTCGCGACATTGACGCCATTTGGGGCACCAAGGGAGGAAGACGAGGGCAGCAATAGGGACACAACGCCGTACTCACATCCTGTGCGCGAGCTGACGAGACAACGCGTTAATAACTGGATTCGTGGTCATAGTCCGGCGGTGTTCGACGCGGTCGTTGATTTCGATGCTGTGCTACGAGACCCGGAGGACTCCTCGGTCTTAGCCAGGGAATATGATTCTGGAGACCATTTGCACCCAAACCAGGCTGCGTTTCAGGCGCTGGCAAATCATTTTCCAATAGACGTATTCTGTTTGTAAAAGAAAAATTCTATAACTTCTATCCTTTTCTTTTTCGGTGGTAGTCAGCACCGCCTACCGGTATACCTAATGCATGATCTATAGGTATTGAGGGGCCATCTCTCACTATCCAACCAAAGGATTGTTTACCAAGGTTTAGGCTAATTGAAATACTGTAGTCCCGGATTTCATATTCCCAGGAGCATGCCTGTCTAGGAACTTCCCCAGAAACGCCCCTTCCCCCCCGCATTCTCTACACTTAGCGTAGAGGTAACAAGTACATACATCAAGTTAGTCCTCTTTGTCTTGCTGGACAAAAGCATGATTCTTTAGCCGGGTTGAAATCCAACCCTTGCTAGACTTCCGGTTAAATCTGAAGCTTATAACTTGTCACGTCTGTCACCATGTTGAACCGAATAACTGACACTTTAGCCACGCCTTTCCCTTCACAAGATATCTAGGTGAACAAAAGCAGCAATTATTACTGCATGGATACCGAGAAGCCTTTACCGGCAGCGTGTGACCATGTTGAAGTTACCGACGCTGCCAATACCTACCAATTGGAAAATGCTCGTCTAGCCACGGAAGACGAACATCGCTTGACGATGGTAGAGGCTATCCGAAAGTACTACAAGGCCTGTTTATTTTCCATGGTAATTTCTTTGACTATTATCATGGATGGCTATGATGGAGCCCTCCTGGGCTCCCTGGTTGCATTTCCATCATTCAAGAACCACTTCGGTCACTACGTGAACGCCGAATCTGGGTATCAGATCGCAGCCAACTGGCAACTCGCCCTAGGCTGCTCCAGCTCTGTCGGCAATATTATCGGCATCTACCTTGGTGCTATTACGACCGACCGGCTGGGCTATAAGAGGTCATTGATGGTGTGGTTGGTGTGGCTGACGGCCTGCATTTTTATTTCATTCTTCGCTCCACATATTTCTGTTGTTTTTGTTGGCGAACTTCTGTCAGGAACATCCTGGGGAGTCTTCGCCACATTAGCACCCCCATATGCTTCTGAAGTCTGTCCTGCTGTATTGCGAGGCTTGCTGGAGATCTGGATCGTCATCTGTTGGGGTATTGGACAGTTGCTCTCATATTCTGTTCTCCTCACCCTCAACACCGAACTTTCAGACTGGGCATGGCGCATTCCATTTGCCGTTCAATGGGCTTGGCCAGTTATAATTTTTCCCCTAGTTACTTTGGCACCGGAGTCGCCCTGGTGGCTTGTTCGCAAAGGCAAATATGCCGAAGCCGAGAAAGTGGTCAGGCGTCTCGCGAGTGCGGATATCACCGAGGAAGAAGTCCGCCGCACCGTGGCCATGATGATCGAAACGGATAACATAGAGAAAAGCATGCACGAGGGTGCGGGCTATCTTGATTGTTTCCGCGGAGCGAGTAACTTGTGGCGCACCGAGATTTCCTGCGTCGCCTGGGCAGCCCAGTTATGGTGCGGGTTCGTTATCTCTTCCTATGCCACATATTTTTACGAGTTGGCCGGCCTTGCATCCTCAGATGCATATAAGATGAGCGTGGGTCAAGGCGGCCTTCATATTTTATTCAATCTCCTCTCGATTCCTGTTGTTGCAAAAGTGGGCCGCCGACGTCTATACCTCTGGGGACTATCATGGATGGCCTCTATGCTACTTTTGATTGGATTTGTAGCGTTGGCACCACAGAATGTCGCCGTTGGATACGCATCCTCCGTGCTCTTCCTACTGTGGAATTGCGGCTACGAGCTCACAGTCGGACCAGCAGCCTACATTCTTGTCAGCGAAGTCTCTTCTACTCGTCTGCGCAGCAAAACTGTTGCTCTGGCTAGAAATGCGTACAACCTGTCATTGTTGATCAACTACTTTGTGGGCCCCTACATCCTCAACCCAACTGAGGGCAACTGGAAAGGCAAGGCTGGATTCCTCAGCGGTGGTATCAACATCGTCCTGTTCATTTGGGCCTTTTTCCGGCTTCCAGAAACCCGAGGCCGCACATTTGTTGAGCTGGATGTTCTCTTCTCGAAAAAAGAACTCAAAGCAAGGGATTTTAAGTCTCATTATGTAGATTTCAGTGAGCTTCATAAGACAAAACTAAACAAGACCGAAAATGATACGGAGGTTGCATGATGGAACATAGGAAGGGATGTCTTTTTGATGAGCTCACATATTGATATTAAATGCTGTTAGTTTATTAACATGTAACTTCGTTCACTGAGAGCGTTGTGATTATACAACCCGCATATTTCCCCGCGAAATACACCCCCGCATAGAGGGATGCCCCGGATTTATCATATTAGGCTAAAGGAGAACAATCAGCATTGGGGTTTACCGACTGCTATGTAGATGCCATTACGCGGAATAGCTGTGATTTATAGCCCGAGGCCTCCTGCATAGATCCGATGTTTTCCAGCAGATACCATCCGCTCAGATATTAATCTCTCTCATAGGCATTTTTCCGTGGCTTTTCCTTTCTCCAACATGCCTCCAGACGAGAGCGGTATCGATGGCTGGCTGCGGTATGCCCCGTTGTCGCCTGAAATGGCATCGAATTTCACACAGTATACAAGTATAATTGCGTTAGGTAACGATGAGACGAGCCCTGTGCTCACCGCCGCCAAAGAGCTCCAGGATGGTCTGAACAAAATCCTTAAGCAACGGGCTAATCTTAGCTATGATCTCGCTACCAGCACCGATGTAGCGGATGTAATAGTTGTTGGGACAATCCACAACTTCTCCCACGCTGGTGGCGATGTCGGACATATTCCACCGTTGAAAGAAGACGGTTTTTGGCTTGACAGGAGCCAAAATAATAGTGTCCAAATTCTGGGACAAAACGACCGTGGTGCACTGTATGGTGCCTTTGAGTTCCTAATGTTGCTCGCTCAGGGCAAACCATGCCCCTTTGGCTACGTTTCCAACCCCAGTGCCCCCATCCGGTGGATTAATCAGTGGGACAACTTGGACGGTAGTATAGAACGGGGGTACGCTGGGCCATCAATTTTCTTCGAGAACATGGCTATTCAGGACGACTTGACCCGCGTCTCGCAGTACGCTCGACTCATGGCCTCGGTCCGACTGAACGGCATCATCGTCAATAATGTCAACTCACATCATGACCTGCTCAGTCCAAGGAACTTGGCAGGCCTTGGTCGGGTTGCAGATGCAATGCGTCCATGGGGTGTGCATATTGGCGTGGCACTCTTTTTTGACACCCCTAAGAGTCTAGCTGGGCTGTCTACCTCTGACCCGTTAGACCCTGATGTAATTGCATTTTGGGATCGGATTACTGCTCAACTATACCAACATGTGCCGGACCTCATCGGATATCTCATCAAAGCCAACTCCGAAGGTCAGCCGGGGCCCCTGACATACGGCCGTACCTTGGCTGAGGGCGCAAATCTTTTTGCAGACGCTCTTAAACGCTACGGCGATGGCGTTGTCGTCTATCGGGCCTTTGTATATAATCACCACTTAGACGAATCCGACTGGAAAAATGACAGAGCAAATGCAGCGGTCGAGTATTTTGAAGACATGGATACGCAGTTTGCGGATAACGTGTTGATTCAGATCAAATATGGACCGATTGATTTCCAGGTGCGCGAACCGGTCTCCCCGTTGTTTTGCCACCTGCGAAAGACGTCGGCGATCATCGAGTTCCAGGTAACTCAAGAATATCTCGGTCAGCAGAGCCATGTCTGCTATCTCCCCCCTCTCTGGAGGACTATCTTAGACTTCGATCTTCGAATCGATGGAAAGCCTTCGCCTGTTCGAGAACTCCTGTCCGGTGAACGCTTTAAGTGGAAGCGAAGTGGTTATGCCGCCGTTGTAAACGTTGGTAGCGATTCAACATGGCTTGGGAGTCATCTAGCTATGTCTAACTTGTACGCCTACGGAAGATATGCCTGGAACCCGAGGAGTGATGAAGTAGCCGTCATTCAAGACTGGATTCGATTGACCTTCAGCTCCCATCCGACTGTTGTCAATGTAGTAACCGGTATCTCGATGGAGTCCTGGCCAACTTACGAGAACTATTCAGGGAATCTCGGCATACAAACCCTATGTGATATTGTCAAAACTTGCCACTATGGTCCTAGTCCGGCAGCAATGGATAATAATGGCTGGGGACAGTGGACACGAGCTGATGCACATGGCATTGGCATGGACCGCACCGTCGCTACCGGGACTGGATATTCGGGCCAATATCCACGCGAGGTCTCGCAAATATTTGAGAAAATCGAGAGCACACCTGACAATCTACTCCTCTGGTTTCACCATGTGCCGTACACGCACCATCTGAAGTCGGGCAAGACCGTCATTCAGCACTTTTACGATGCCCACTATGAAGGTGCTGCAAATGTACAGACTTTTGCACCGAGATGGGAGGCCCTCTCCGGACTCATTGATGACGCGCGCTTCAAGCACGTCTTATTCCGTCTCAAATATCAGGCAGGCCACTCACTTGTGTGGCGTGACTCGATCAACCAGTTCTACCTTGCCAAGTGCGGCATTGCTGACAAGCATGGCCGTGTTGGACACCACCCATGGCGTATAGAAGCTGAAGCAATGGATCTGACTGGGTACACCGTTGTTCCCATCGCGCCATTCGAGGCGGCATCCGGGAGCAAGGCCATCATCACGACGACGAGCGATAAACCAGGTATTGCTAAATGCAACTTACCTTTTGACTCGGGTGTCTACAACATTGCAGTTAACTACTATGACCACCTCGGCGGTACAGCGCAGTATAAGCTGTTTGTCGGTGGCCGGTTGATTGGAGAATGGGCAGGTGATTTGAGCAAAGTGCTGTTGCACGACTTTTCAGACCTACGTGATGGCCACTCTGCAACACGGATTACATTTGACTCCGTGCAAGTGAAAAAGGGGGATATTCTTGAGGTTGTAGGAACGCCAGATGGGACTGAGCTGGCACCAATAGACTACATTTCTGTCTTGCCTAGAGGGGTAATAGACTGACTTGAAGATCTTTTAGTCTTCTACTAAATAGCCATACAGCATACTTTTCATTGCCGGATCAATTAACTGTCAGGTTTTTTTTTTTTTTTCCTACTTATTTAGAACGTATATGATCCAAGCGCACATTTCATCCTTTTGGCCGCCATCTAAATACATTACTCCCGCTATAAGAAGTATAAGAACGTGTATAATATCTTCCTCATACAGCCTCGTATACGGGATCAACCCTTCTGGGCTATTGTAGCAAGGCTGTCGGCCCCTAAATCATAATTGATGTTTGGACTGGTATATTTGTGCAACCTTGTCACGTATGCTATTATATCATTCTCAGCCTTGTGAGACTGAGCCTTGAGCTTCTCAACTTTTCACTTCTAGGTTATTTGACAATTACGGCAAATACTTCAGGGTGCCACCAAAATTTGTAAGTCATTCTTTATCCCCCATACCTGGGAGGTATAATTATTCCTTCGATAGCACGGCAAAAGATTTCTTTCCTCACCTTTACCAGAACGCCGCAAAAGTTTGAATGAAGTTTTCGAACACTCATTCAAGTGAAAAAGAGAGCTCCCTTACCGACTTTGATACAGATGTCGATAGTCTGGACACAGAAGAGGGTCAAGAAATCAACTTGTCGAGCAATGAGATATCCGAGCAGGAATTACAGCCTAGTGTCGTCACGGACAAGCCCTCCAATCAACAAATTGCACAGATTTTATCTTCCAAGTATGTCGAGTATTTGGACAATGGATCAAATGTTATAAAACGGCTCCATGAGTAGACTGGGATAAGTATACCGCGGGTGCTTATAGTAAGCTCAGAGGCTTTGCTCTCTAGCAAAGCCTAGAGATGCTCCGTAGTCTTTAGTAACTTTCCATTGTTGTTCAATAGACTTGAATTTGATGTCATCAACGGCACTCCGCTTGTTTCAAAACTCCCATACCATCTTATTAAGGCTACGATCTTGTATCATGTTCGGTGGTGGCGGCGATGGCGGCTCTTTTGACCTCTCGACCAAATCCCCAACTCACCCACAACATCTCATCCCAGGTGTCCTTTTCAGTCGCAAGCGCGATTTTCCTGAAGTTCACGAGAAAGCTACACAATAAAATGATAAGCATCGTAGGGAAGGTTTCAATAAATGCACGGAATTTGCATGACTTACATTTTCTTACTGGCATGATCCCAAAGCAGGTCGGTGCCTAAATAACCTCCGGTTGGGACAATACCGCAGCTCACACACTCCCTAACAGCCATGAGTAGGCCAAAAAAAAAAATAAAATAAAAAGGGTGAAAGCTCACATATTTGTACGCATCTTGGAAAGCTAGACGGATTTCATCACGGTCATCTTTTGAAAGCTCCCAGTAGTCGTCATCACTAAGAAGAATTCCAGGAAGTTTCTCTGTCACTAGATAGACCATAAAGCCTCCAGGAAAAATTCCTGAATCATCCTGCGTTTCTCATTTCCAGTTGATAAGCGGTGGTCTTGATTTACATCCCAGTTTTGTCAAAGTAATCAAAGCCTCTTGTTCATTTATTTGAGCATCGTGCTGCCCTTGTTCAGCCCTGATATTAGGCGATGAAAATTCCGAGCCTACTTATGGGATCCTAGTATTTTGGTATCAGAATATACAAATATGATCAGGGTCTGTGTACGAACTGCATATAGATTTTCATGAGCACAGATTCACTGGGATCCTCAAGATTGACACAGTCGAACAGAGCAATCGCCATCATAGGCACTCGTCCCACACACTCCCATACTTTTTCGCTGGATGTATTTCTCATCCAACTAGTTCACTATCTGCCACTGCTTGGAGAGAGAGAGAGATCTCGTCACCATAGAATTTCTTAAAATCCAGCGATCATGTCTATCCAACACCGAGTATGGAAAAATTTCCGTCAGCCATTTCCACCGAAACTGAGTCTAGAAAGAAAGATTGAGATCAAAGAGAGGCCTGACTATGACATGAGGTAATCATCAAACATATGTACAGTAACTAGCTGGTTAACTACCAAAATAAAATTTCAGTTCTAACCCATTGATATTGAGCATAGTCCTGTTTCATGAGACGGTCCTCTGATCATTACTCCTCATACAACTGGTCACATAAAAGCCACATACCAAGTGTCAATTCTTGACTTTGATCGTGCAACTTGGATATATTGATATATATCTCTGATCCTGACTTCCTTGCCTCCTCTCCGAGGGCTTGTTCATTGATTTATAAAGCTCAAAAAATATCTAAAATAGGTCTAAAGCAAAAATATTAGAGATATATAATCCAGAAGAAAACTATCAACAGCCCTCCCAATACCTCAACTTCAAGTCTTGGAACGTCCAATCAGAGAGCACGGTGCGCCCCGCCACAAGTCTCGTTCTGATTGGCCAATCGACAATGACGATTGAGACGCGACTTCAAGGACAGCAGCTGCTTGCGCTCGCCATCAAACCTCGACTGGCAGTCATTCTCTGTGCCTCGCTTGCCCCCAATACGACTGGTTGACTGCGTCTATCCTGCAACAAGCTACATCCTCGATGGCAGCCTCATCCGGGCGAGCACATCAAGCGACAACGGGCAATCCCGACACGGCCCCCCAAACGTTCGATAAGATTCCAGACGTCGATTCGAATCCGGGACTGCGTGAATCCAGCTCGTCGGCGCAGAGGAACACGTCTACAGACTCTATCAGCGTTTCGCATGGGTTGATAAGACGGCACCCTGCTCCCGGCGAGGATGAGTCGCAGAAAAGCAAACTACCGCCCGAGAAGGTGTTCTCCATCCAGCTGGGCTCTGAGTTATTCCGGCTATCGGGGGCGTCAATAGCTTCGGACGGTCAGTCAGATATACTTGAGTGCAGAGTGATACTGACAAGCCTAGAGCGCCGTCATATTTCTCCAAGTTTTTCGAGGCTCAACTTGAGAAGACCGAGCCCAATGACCCTATCAGAACGCTTTATATAGACCGGGATCCCGAAATATTTCGCGAAATTTGTAGGCATCTCCAAGGTTGGTAGCTAGCAACCGCTGCGTGATTGATTATTCATGCTGCTTCAGCGTACTAATAAGCTACAGGATACCACGTCCAGCCTCGAGACGGCACGCAGTTTGTGAGGCTGTATACCGACGCACAATTCTATAGTCGTACGTGTTTGCCTAGCGTCTGTCTAACAAGCCAGCTGAACTCACAGTCTACAGTCCCCCGGCTGATCTCACAACTATTCGAGACGGATGTTCCTTGTCAGATTGGCGATCGGAATTTCCAGATCTCTAGAGATATCTTCTCGGGACCAGGTGACTCGCCGAACTTCTTCTCGCTCGGGTTCTCTATTATTTTCGCGACGCCGTCCGACGTCTTCCCGGGACTCGACAAAAGCGGTCTTCTACGGCCCCCTTCGGTGGTTCCCCCAAGTATTCCGAGTCGGTCGGCAGATATCTTTGCTCAATTGTTACACCTTCTTAGAGGATATCCTCTTCACATCAAGAACGAAGCGCACCGAGCAGAGCTCCTGCGGGATTGCAGATATCTTCACTTGCGGGGCGCTGAGCAGAAGCTGATTCCTCACGACATTAGCTTCAACCCCGAGCGGGGACGCAGCGAGATTGTTATTCGATTAGAAGATATCCGCCAATCGGGCATTCAATTTGTCCCCGACAAGGTGTCGCCGCTTGACAACGCTCCCCCCTCTGGATGGGTGCACTATGCGCGACCATTTGTCGACGAGAATGCCTACGAACTAATTGTAGAGATTGGGGGACAGGGCATGATGGTCGATTTGGAGTCCATGCGGGCTGACTTGAACGGATTGACAAAGGCGCGCGTAAGCAGCCTAGTGCAGGTCATCGCAAACAAACTGAACTTGCCCAACAAAGCGCCACTAGGCTTGATGATGATGGCCGGCGGTGCCAGCAAAACCGGTGCTAGTCCCGGTCATTCGCCTCTGAGCGAAGATCGACCAAAAGTCAAGATCGGATCGGATGCGGCTGTCACTATTGACGGAGAGTCAGAGGTTATCACTACGCCTGGCGAGTCTGGCTCAACCACTGCCACTTCAAACACAGGCCGTCCAGCCAAGCGGAAACGAGAGGAGGAAAGCAGCGCCTCTGGTCAGTGGATGATTCACAGAGGGCAATGGCGGCTACGGATCCAGCCGGATGCTTCAACGGGCCACTTGGAGATTATTTTCACAGCAGTCAAACTTGACGTGTCAACGAGCCAAAGAGCACGGAATCGGAAGCGCGCGTTTCTGGTCTGATGTTGGACAGCAGCACCGAGAATGCTCACTGCCCATGTATAATCGAAATATGAATGGCTTCCAACCAGGCACCATGAACACGTAAGTAGATAGGATGAAGCTGAACAATAGTCCGTGCTACGATCGTCCAGGACTGATCGATCGGAAGTCCGTAGCTACAAGCGATAGTCAGTACCTTGCGTAACCCCATAAGAGAATGTCGTAGGAAATGAGATTCAAAAATTGACCCTTTTCAACTTAGAAAAAAGGACCTCGGCATCCTTACGTAATCGCATCACCGCTCCGGCGCAGTTACCGCATTCGGCGAGAACCCTCACTAAGCGTGTTTGTGTTTCTCTCACGTGAGATCAGCGTCGTTGGGGCCGAGATCGAAGCTGGCTGTGTAGCTATAAATAAACCTGGCCTAGGCATATCCCTGATATCATCGTCGATATATATATATGTATATAGTGTGAGAAGTCGATTCACAGCCCGAAGAACTGATAGAGAAGAAAAAGAGCAACCTTAACATTCTGGAAAATGGCATCAACAACAAAACCAGACTCCGACGTTAAGGTCACTCTTTACTGGTAGGCCTACGTCCGCTTCCCATTGTACTTATACAAAACTCACACCACACACAGGCTAGAGCGATCGCGAGCTCAATCCATCGTCTGGATCCTCGAAGCTCTCTCCGTGCCCTACGAACTGAAAACATTCAAAAGAACCGCCGAACAACTGGCACCCCCCGAACTCCTCGCTATCCACCCGCTGGGGAAATCACCAGTGATTAGCGTGGAGCGTCCCGAGTACTCGAAGCCGCTGGTTGTGGCCGAGTCGGCCGTAATTGTTGAGTATCTGCTCGATCATTTCGGCGGCGAAGAAAAAGGGCTGGCCCCCAAGCGATTTGCAAGCGAGGAAGATGCCGCCAAGAACCTGGAGACAGAGACCTGGCTGAGGTATAGATATTATATGTATTATATTGAAGGGAGCTTGATGCCGCAATTGGTGTTTTCTTTGATTGTTGATGGTGGGTCTTTTTTTTCATTCTTTTGTTTTTTGGTTCATACATATACAAATGCTAAACTTGATTCCTACAGGCGTCCGCAAGGCCCCCGTCCCATTCTTCATCAAGCCCATCACGCGTACAGTGGCCGACAAAATCCAGAGCAGTTGGCTGGACAAGCAGTTTGCAGTGCATTTCCCATTCCTAGAAAGCCAACTCAAGACCGCCCCCGGCACAAGTGAGACAGAGAAAGGGGGACTGTGTGGGCCTCAATTCACTGCCGCCGATATTCTGATGAGTTTCCCCATCATGGCGGCTACGCAGAAGGGGGTGATTACCAAGGATAAGTTCCCTGAGATTGTGGCTTTTGCCGAGCGTATTGCAAAGGATCCGGGGTATCAGAACGCTGTGAAGAAGATTGAGGAGATCGAGGGGAAGCCATATGTTGTAGCGTGATGTGGTTGCGATATTATGGATAATTTTCTTTACGAAGACTCATTCCTCTCACCTATTGTAATACTAATTTCCATCTCAACTACGAATATCAAGAATCTTGCAGAAATGTCGAAATCTGTTGATGGCGTCGAATTATCAATTACGTAGTCCTCGCCTCAGGCATCCAAGTGTTAACTAACCAAGTGCGGGCTAGCGCATGATGGTCTTGGCAACGAACCTCCCTCATCATCGGCAACCGCAAGCCTTCAATTCAACACCACAACTCGCATTTAATCCAGCCATTCTGCCCATTGCCGTCGTCACAATGGCTGGCCCAAGCAAATGTACGTTACTCACGACCGACACCACGTTCCTTGCACCTACAAAGCGACACATACTAACACAATGACAGCTCTCGTCCTCGATCCTGCTCTGCAGAAGTACTACGGTAAATAAATTCTCCCTCGGCCTTGCACGCTATTCTGTCAAGAGACATATAATTCTACGACACGAAAGAAGGGAAAAAAAGAAGTCTATAATACTAAACCGCTGGACACAGAACTCAACGCAAATCGCTACAAATACTTCCGCTGGACACCGCGAAATGCATGGCTGACTTTGCTCTACGTTGGCATTGTGCCGAGTATCGTTGGCTACATCGCAATCAAGACGGAGGTGAGTTGAGTCGGCGCATGTCAATTTGTTGGGTGTATGGGACAGGCTAATTGTGATATGATGGTTAGGGAAAATATGATCTCAGAGGAAAGAGGCGAGGCGACACCATTGTTGAATTTTAGGTTGGGGTTGTCTTGATGAAATGACCTGTTTCTCTGTGCGATCGGTCGGGATTTCTATTTTATTCAGGAAATATTTAGGCGGGCGTCGAGGTAACAAACCGTCTGCTTGAAGCTGAGAGGCATGTTAAATACTCCCACTTAAAGATTCCTGCCGCAATCGACTACTGCGCGGGAATTCATTCACGGCTACGATGCTCGATGAGATTTGGTCGCTTTTGTTCGCTCACGTCCAATCGAGAGTTTCATTATGTGTGAAGTAAGGCTTCGCAACATGTACCTGTATATACCATGCTTGAAATGATATTTTTCTCAATTAAATCTATTCCCTGTTCCTATCTATCTTCACTCTTCAGAGATAGCACAATGAACTCTGGAATAAACTTGATCTTGCATATCAAATAGTATTGGAATCGCTAATTAGTAAACTACAAAGGCCATCCTTTTCGTAATTGAATCACGTACACGGCGTGCAGGAATATAAACGTCCTGCTCCGTACTGAGATGACATGGCATCTGGGTGATTGAGCACTCAGCGGGCTTCGGATCGCAGTTTAAAAAAAACGACAGTTGAATGGCACAAGCCCTGTCGTCAATGGAGAAGTGCCCTTTAAACCCCGAAGCCTGCTTGTCTCGCTTAGACAAAAAAAAAAACCGCCTTGAAGCTGTTTTATGCGAGCTTGAGCACTGACGATATCCCGTCCTCATCCAGGCCAGAAAAGATGATTGAAGTGCGTAGCAACACCTTTTCCGTATCGGTTGTTCGCTGTAAGAAAGTCCCAGACTGTAAGAGACTGCCTGGCACTTGACATTGATATCGGTTTGAATGAATGAGCTTAGCGAATTTATTCTAGTATGGACCTCGGCGTCTGCCCCATCCACCGCCTCGTTCTTCTGGAACTCGCTCGCCCCTCTTCCAATCCCCGCTTGGAATCCCATGTCCGGGTGGTCCTCGCCCGGCTCCTCCAGGACCTCGTCTACCACCCCCGTTGTCGCGAGGCGGACCAAACGCCCTCATGCCACTACCAATAGGCCCCCCCGGAGGACCTCTCCCCCCTTGCACCGCCGGCGCAACGCTGCCATCATCGAGCGGCGGCAAAATCGCAACATCCACATAATCGCCCACTACGAATCGGGCATCCGCCAGCGTCTTGTCTGCATCGTCTAAACCAGAGACGTCCTTCTGAACTAATCGCCGTCTTGCGCCGTCCATCATGCGTTCATCATTCCCGTTGTTCTGTGCTATCGGAGACGACTGCCCCATGATAACGCTTCCTATGTCTTTGGAGAGATATCGTCCTCGTCCCTCGGTCGCTGCGCCGCGTGTGTCGGGATAAATCAATCGGAAGCATAGCCTTGTGCCAGCCTGGGGGTTGGGCAGTTGCGATGGCAATGCGCTAGCCAGTAGATTCGAGAGCTCGCGTAGCGTGCATGATTGCCATGTGTATATTTCGAGGTGTGGAGGAAGATGGCTTGTGCTGTTGGGCCCGGTAGGCGTAGGGATAGGGAAGTCTGTGAGAGCGTGGTAGTTGTTCTGGCGATAGAATAGCTTAAGATGGAAGGGGACTGTCGTTTCTCTGTTGATGGCCATGTTCGTCGCGCAGGGAGTAGTGATGTGAAGGAATGAATTATTTTGCTGCGTCAGTTCTGTTCCCTATCCCATTCGCTCGTCAACGTCACTTTTTAGCGTCTTGGCATATGTTCTCTGCTGTGATTGGCCAGGAAGTTTGAACCCGTTAGTATTGGCCAATAACAGCGGAAGCTAAGCAACCCTAATGCCAAGATCTTAGGGTCCTTCCTAATTAGGCAGCGCGAATAATCATGACACGCGTTGTTTCATTTTTGGATTTTGATATATCCATTATCTTCACCAAGATCCCACAAAAGATTGTGGCGGTAATCCTCACACATCTTTCAAGGCCAGATCAGATCTACTTCGCACTTACCTGCAAATCTTTTTATAACTACTACATCCGCTCATTCCTAGCAACGCAGGGCATTCAAGTGGATCTTTCCCGGCTCATCCCAGCTAAACGACGTGAAGCACAACTATATCGAAACACAGATGTTCGGAATGAGCCATGGATCCAGCTATTAAAACAACTCGACGTTGGAAGTATTGCTGTGGATGCTGGAGAGTCCACCAACGCTCTGCATGGCGTCGCCCATGGCTGATACCAACAACGCCGACAGAAGAATCCTGCATGCCATACGCAGGTACACAGGATATCTGTCCTTGCCTGACAATCACATACCCCGATAAAATCCATCTGATCAACGTTTTGGAGAGCGTCAGAAACAGAGAATCGACCACTCGCGCATACTATGACAACAAAATTCTGCATCGTCCGGTGGCCGACTTGGGTCCAACATATGTCGGTCACCGATGTATTTTGACAGATAGGCATCCTCTAGCACATGTCAGAATCCACGCTCTAATTGACTGGGATAGAGGCGGGGAGAGGTTACAAGTACGAAGTCGATACACATTCAGCGATGCAACGAAATACAAGCAATTCCTCCAAAGACAGAATAACAGCAGCAGCAACAAATCCTCCACGTCACAGGCCGCGCAATGGGCGCCTTCGGCTATTCGAGCTTCTCTTATGTGCCTACATAAGAGAACAAGGAAATGGCTCAGGCAATTTCTCAAAGAAAGTGGAATTGTTTTGTCGGACTTCTCTCTCATATATATGCACGTCGGAAACAACCAAAAGTGTCACTGTAGTAAGACAAAGAAAGGAGAGCCCAGATCGTATGACGGCCTGTCCATCTTCGTTAAACAACTCATGGGAGGGATTAAGTGGCTGGGTAAAACCTGGAGACGGGACTTGGAATTGTTCCTAGGCGGATTCGACGAACTCTCAGCCGACATGCCATTTGGCCCTGTCACTTTCGCCGATGGTTGTTCATAAATACCTTGGGAGTAGATTCTGGGGGTGTCGATAGTAGAAACTAGTAGCTAGTAAGCATGAAGTTAACCGTGCGTTAGTTAGGCTTGCGACGATGTCTCTGGCGACAGAACAACATAATCCATTTACAATTTTCCAAGTCAAGAGAGGATCTCGTCGCTCAAAAGGTGAATGAACCGTTTTTGCTAGTGTTCGTGCCTGCACTCTCCTTGTTGAAGATTTCACGGACACGACACGAGCTGCTGAAGAAGGGTAGGTACATACATAACTATATGTAGTTCCGAGTGGAGACTTTTTGGAGGTGCCGCTTTCCTTTCGCATTTCTCTAGCTTCAACTTCAAGGACCACGCATTCAGCGTTGCTGCCGTAATTAGCTACGATTTCTATCTTATTGCATTTGATCTTTTTTTTTTTTTATTCATCTCCATATAGCATCGCTTTGGCGACCTCTACCCACCATGGACTTCGCATCTCTCATGGCCAAGGAGATCTCCAAAGCCAAACCCAGCGACGCCCCCAAAGATAAAGACAATCAAACTAGCAGCAGCAGCAGCAAATATATGCGCCGCGCCGACGTCGAAGCAGCTCGTGTCGCCGCATACAAAGCCGAACAAGAAGCCCTCGAGCGCCAACGCGAAGAAAAAGCCGCACTTAAGCGCAAACACGAAGAAGAGGAAGCCGAACGGCGACGAGACCGCGAGGAAAAGAAGCGCAAACTCGCCGAAGAATCGAAAAAGAAAAGAGAAGCCGAAGAAGAAGCAGCCGAGCGACAACGAAGGAAGAAACTGGGATTACCAGAGCTGCCACCGCAGCAGCAGCAGCAACAACGGTCGAGTGAAGAAGGGACGCCGGTGCCGGAAGGTGAAGATATCAGCGAGGAGGACTTGATTGCAAAGCTGAGAGAAATGGCTGAGCCGGCGATATTATTTGGCGAAACGCACAAAGCTCGACTAAAGCGTTACCGACGACTGGTCCAGCGCTCTCTGACACCGCAACTGTCCAAGGGCCCAATCCCGACCACACTGGAGCTGGTGCCAGAGAAGGATATGAAGATACCGGCCAAGGCGCCTAAGCCTAGTGACCAGGAAGCCAGGGCTTTCCTGTTCCGACAGCTTGCTTCCTATTTCACCATGGTTCTGGAAGAGTGGGAAATTGCGCTGGCCAAGCGAGACATATCTGTCAAAGAAAGCTTTGCAGGTCGTCAGGCGTATAATGCCATGGTGCAGAGTCGAGAGAACATGAGGCCGCTTTTCAAGAAGTTTGAAGGCGGCGATATCGACGAAACGGTCTTGGAGGCGATTGTTGAGATTGTCCACTGTGCTCAGGAGAGGAGATACGTTGACGCTAACGATGGATATTTGCGACTGAGTATTGGAAAAGCGTAAGTCTACCTCTCAGATCTGTGATGATGAAAAGGATGACCACTAATAATCCTCTAACAGAGCATGGCCAATTGGTGTTACTATGGTTGGTATCCACGAACGTTCGGCACGAGAAAAACTGCACGAAAGCGACAACAAGGCACATATTATGTCTGATGAAAGCACGAGGAAATATCTACAAAGTATAAAAAGGTGCCTGAGCTTTGCGCAAGTGCGGTGGCCGCCGGATGATCAATTGCAGCTGATGGGCTAGTGGCCTAGTCCGTTATCAAAATAAAATATATATACGACCAAATTCTACTCTCCAAGTAATACGGGAAGCCAGTTTTTTTTTTTTTTTTCTTTTTTTTGTGAATGAACACATAAATTTATTATTTTCATATTGATGTATGTCTTTGGTTCGATGTATATTCTAGAACGAAGAAAAAAAAAAATATATATATATATATATATATATAATTCTACAACGCACTTCCATATGCTGTCTAATAGCGGCAGATAAACAGTAGTCTGCCAGGCCAAAAGTCAATTGACTAAAAAAGCAAGCTGTAAATAGAACTCCACCAGGTGCGTTTGGAGGGAGATTCTAATGCCGGAAAACCAACCGCGGACTGAGCATTATTTGTCGAACCAGGCCTCTGAGCATGTCCATCGACACCATTCATGAGCGCATCACGACCTCCTGCTGGGGTTCCGGCGGGTTGTTTTGGCGTACAGGTGCCACTATTGCCACCTGATGCTGAGATCAATGACTGCGCAGCATACACACAGCCGCCATACGCGAATCTAATAAGAGAGTCACCTGTCAGACTGCCAATGACAAAGACATCAGGCGCGACTTCGAGGTCCTCCATAACTTTGGTTCGGAGGGTTTTCGCGGATATCGTAGCGTCATCCGAAACCTCTGCGTCCTTCATGACCTCTTCACGTAATGCCGAGTCAAGGTAGCTGAGAGAACCTCTTCGGCCGATTCCATACGATAATCCACAGACAGCACGAGAAAACCTTGTCCCGTCTTTCAGTACGAATGTCACGATAGCGTGGTCACCATTGAGTTCCACGCTTTCGATGGCGCAATTTGGCAGGCCTTCGTAGAGGTCGTTCCAATTCCGGCTCTCAAGGAACGGGATCGAAGCTAGCCGTCGAGTCTTGGGTCTGTTTCCAGAACCTGGCGAAGAGGAGGACGACGATGAGAGGATAGCTCGCTTCATGAGACGGTATATGGCTGCATACTCGGGGTAGGCCTGTTGATGACAGCTCTTCAATGGGGAGGGCCGGCCATCCGGGTTCCAAAGGAAGACATGGAGGATGGGTTGGCCAGCAGGGGCCGATATGATGGCATCTGCGGCCGTGAATCCCGATCCAACCACTAACAGCGGGAACTTGCAAGACGAATCGGCCCTGGGAAGTCTCGTTAAAGGCGCTAATATGGACGGTGGCTGGATCAAGTGAGAGAATATGCCTGTAGCCAGAACAAGATGCTTGCAGCGAATGCGATGTGATGATATATAAAACCCACCGCCACTCATGCGCTGAACCCCGTCGGCGTTTATATTGTTCCTAAAAGAGTTCCCAATACCAGTCTCCACAGGGTATGCCTGTAGATATTCAGCCAGCTGTCTTCGGCTTGGACGAGTGAAAGGCGCCAGTTCCCGTCCGGTAGTTTTGCGATAATGATCGGCGAAAGTGTAGCCGGGCAAGGACAGCATGCCGGCGTAGCTCAATGTCTCAATGTCCCAGCTGACGTTCACTGGGTCCTCCATGGCCCAGAGGCCGCCGGCACTGGGCGCATTGCCAATGACCAAATGCGGCACTGCGCGCTGCGGCTTAAACAGCCATCGCAGGTTCGTCACGTCTCCGGAGTCGTCGACTTCGCCGTAGGGCCGTACCAGCGAGTCCAGCAGGACATTGATCGGGAGCGCCTGAGTGGAATACGACAGCGACGAAGCGGCAAAATGGTGAGTCAGGAGATCAAGGTCTGGCCGAAGCAGGCACGTCGAGTCCCTGAGCTTAGCGTGCAACAGGGAATCGGGATGCGGGGTGTCTGGCACGTAGTACGGAATGTGACCGTGCAAGATGTACGACAGGATCATGGAAGACGGTCCATTGCCTAGCACAGAGCGCAGTTAGCAGACGCATTGAGGCGTATCAAGCGCATAATAACCGTACCGATGATCACGGTGTCGATGTCTGTGTCTGTGTCTGGCGACATCGTGGGGATGGCTTCATGCGGGGGAACGGAAGAATCCCCGCGCGCTCTACGGGCTGACAGGAATCGCTGCTCTGAGGCGAGCGTAGATATACATGATTCGATTCGAAGAAGAGCGAAGCCAAACAAGCATGCTCTACCTTTGGGGGGAGAACAGAGGGAAGAAAAGAAGACAGAGAGAAAATGTGGACGCAGGCCCTGATCGCGCAAAGCGGAGAACGAAAAGGTTACAGTACTTCACCGCCTCCTGCACCCTACCTGGGTGGAGCGTCTGAGTTGCTGAGATAAACACGAACCATATTTCCCCTGCCAGGCAGGGTTTTCCTTTTTCAACTGCCGCCGCTTTTGTGAGGGCGCGCACGGTCCTGCTCAATGAGTAGATTTCAGTCTGGACTCACGCTCACTGAGCTGAGGCCGGTTGATTAATATTCGGTGTTACATTTGGGAGTACTACGACTAGCTTTTTGACGTTTTACAATGACATCGCCGTTGCCCTCCCTGCTAAACTGTTCAATACCTCGTTGCTGCCGAGCTTCGATAACGACCTCCATACTTCGTTCGTACTCTCCGCTTAATAGAAAGTCAGTACATTTCAGCTCCTAAGGTAGAGGTGGAGGATCACTTACTCACATTTCGTGCTATTTTGAACATCGTTGCTGCTTGTGTCAGGGCTGTAGGTTATGCTGATGGTTGGAGGCGTGCAAATTGCGGTGGTCTCATGGATAAAAATGGAGATATCGTCCAATAGCAACGATGGCCAGAATTTGAAAGGAAACCAGTGAATCATAAACTCAGATACAGCATGGTGATACACTGATACGTCTTCGCTCTGGCTACGGTTTTGTCCGCATTGCCCAGGTGCTACCACGTGGAGGCGCGAAGTCCGATTTCAGCACCCTCACCCCCACCCCCCTGCCCCCTTCCATTGATACAAACTTACGGCTGGGTCCGCCTAGGACACCCTGAAGCGTTCGGCCTACGGCCTACTGATCACCAACATGCCCCTACTTGAAACCTTCCCCGTGAAGAATGATCAATAGCTCCCACCATCCCCGTCTCTCCATCTCTCCATGTCCACTTCACTGAGGTCTATCGTGGTGATTCAATATGTGCAGCATGCGACGATGTACGGTCGCCACGTCTACCTTCAAATCGAGTGGGCTGTTGTTGGGGAACATGTTGACCGCGCGATTCAACCGGTTGCTCCAAGAATAAAAACGCACATAGCGCCCAATCGCCACGATTCCATACATAGGACCCTTCCGGCTCTTCCTAGTGGGCATATACCGGTTCAGTTGTCTTAGGCCTTCCTCCCATGCTGATTCTTGGCTTGCGCGCTCTGCCCTTTTGCATTGTGTGATCAAGAATGCCCGTCTTTGCCATCGAGCCCCTGGTGCGCTGTCACGGTGCCAGAACTGGGAATCAATGTCCGCGAATCCCCTAACTACCTTCATCTCAAAGCGGTGATCGTAGCCGTGAACGCCAGGAAAGTAATGATTGAAGACCAGATTCATCATTCCCGTAGCCACGCCCTCAGCTTTAGCCCTGGTCATTGACTGATATATAGGCTCAAAAGCCAATACATCGAAGTATCGAGAGCGCTGATGCGGCGCGATATGCTGCCGTTGCTGTGGCACATTTTGTGCTTGCGCAGCCTGTGCAGCTTGTGCAGCCGCTGCATCTCTTTCTGAAATTCGTTGGCTCCGCTCAATGGGAAGTCAGCATATTTCAGTGCAGAAAGCAGAAATGGCTTACTCTTGGGGGCATTTTGAATCTCGAAACTGCGTGTGTTACGGAGGTTGTGAGTGATGATGATGACTTGGAGGAGTGCATAATTCAACTGTGGAAAATTCGATCCTAAGAAGCGAGAGGTCAAACGAAAAAGATACACGTGAGGTCAAGATTATGAACACCCATTATGGGCTAGACCTTGCTAATGAAACAGGGAGACAAACGGACAACGAATGAAGGAACTCGATGGGTACCTCTCCCCAACCTCCCTCGAAAGTCTCTTCAAAGTTTTACTGATAAACAAATCTAGGCCTTCCATATAATGTTGCCAGTAACCTGTCGTTCAAATTTCTTGTGTGTGATCTAGTGCAACGCATGCTATGAGAAGTAGAATGTTGAGGCTGAAACCATGAACAGTACTACACGTCAACCAAACAAGAGAACTATCATCTTGATTTTGTGACTACATACTACCTTGACTTGTCATGTATGACTTGTTGTTTTTATTGGGCTGAGTGAATATGTGATCCCTTTACTTGACTCAAAAGGTAGCTCGGCGAGTCCCTAACCAATATCTCCCATTGTAACGCTTAGAGGTATTCTGAAGCGAGAACTACTAACAAGGAGCGTAAGCAACAGCATGGTACTAAGTCGGCCTAGAAGGTTAGGAATCTTGTAAATATGAAGAGGTCATAATCATTAGCTTGAACACAGACGGCGGGGTGTCGTGTGGTTGATATCTTTAGCTTAATAAACGTGCAGCACCAGAAGGATGCAGTCATGCTTATCTTCGCACAAATAATATTGGGAATCAAACGCTAGCAGGTAAAGCATGATGATATGCTTCGTAGTTTTCATCTACAATGAGCTGTTGAAGAAGATGCTAGTTTGAGATTGGCTTTTCTTCTCTTCTCTCTCTTTTTTTTACTGTGCAGAGCATTCGTTCGTCAACCACTTTCAAGATTATTCTTCGATATTTAGCGTCCTGGCATTTGCCTTCTTCCTCTTAGAAGTCAAAGAATTGGCCCCTAAGTGAATCACACGACATAGTAGACGACTCGACGCTCGCATTCGATGTTGAGAGCTCCTGTGCTGTACGCAGGGAGGCCTTAGGCAGATAAACAACAGCTCCTGGTGAGTGGTTCCCGATGTGGTCTAGCGCCAAATGATCTCACGTGTCGCGAGACCTCGCCTCTAGACACTTTACACTTTCTTCTACATTCTCGATAACATATCTTCGCAATGAATAAATGGGGATCAGGATGGAAGAGGCTCGGCCGTGCTGGAGCCAGAACACTTCATTTCTCATGGCTGATTGTATCGCTGGGACCCACCTACGCATTGTCTACCCAAGGGAAAGTTGCAGGTGGTTGCAATGATTAACGAATGGCTTTCCTGTTGAGGGAGCAGATTTGGTATCATGAAAGACGGGTACCGCCGTCGCTGATCGAGAATCACCATCGTCTATTCGCAACAAGACATTCTATAGAAGACTTTAGGCCTCAGCTTTACACCCCTGACTTTCACCGATGGAGGAATTCAATATTCAATATTTACTTGGACAATTGGCGAACTCGCTTCTTCTTTTGACATGATATTTGCTTTGCAGAACGGCAACATGAAATGCGGAGATGGGCTCTTTGTTTTTTCAATCACAATCCATGAATGTTAACGGGTACGCCCTTTGCAAATAAGGTCCCCAGCAAGTCAGATATGGATATATTTGAACTGCAGCGCAATCTGAATCTAGACAATATTTCTTGTACGCGGGCAACCAACTAAAACTCATCTTCCCACATTGGTATGTCCATCTCGCGAACCTGATCCACAATCTCCTCCAGGCTTGGAACATTTCTTTCTTTCAAGTTTTTCAATAAGATTGGCTTGATTTCATCACGCAGAATCCCAAGGACACGGTGACGAGCCTCAAAATCGGCACCTCCCTGAATTCTCTCCAACGCCATGCACAGATATCGCCAATCCACATCTGGGAAAAGCGCAACTTCATCCATCTCCACGAGATTCCGAGAAGCACGCTGGCGCCAATACCTACTATCTGCAACGCTGAATGTCCCTAAGGCAAATTCCAATTTTTTAATCTCCCTGTATTCCAGAAGATCTAATATCAGATATAGTAGCTCAACGGGCAAGTTTGAAATTGCCTTGGAATAAGAATGTGTTAAAGGTTGTCGTTTCCGATATACTGCTTCTCTCCTTTTTGTATGTCTATTGTCGTAACTGCGAGCAATGACTTCTTGGACCCTAGTAATTCTATAGGGATCGAATTTCCTTTCTGCGTATTGGTGTTCCCGACAATAGTGTGTGAAAGCAAAATTTTGCAAAATAATAGCGGCAAATAGCTCCAAATTGTTGTTTTCGATAGAAGAGCCCAGTTCCCATAGGGCTAACTTCCAACAACCCATGTGTATTGGAAAAGGTAGTTGTTGCCAATTATAATCTCTTTCAAACCAATTATTAGACGACTGAAGGAAAGCGTTCGTATCATAGGCTATAGTAAAATGCTCTCTCTCTGCCTTTGTCGCTCTTTAAACAGATCCAATAACAGCCTTGCTGTAATTATTTGCGGCTGCATTTGATCTGGCCTGTGAATTATAGTGTCCTATACCGGATATCACCAGTTTTTCCTCAGCAGGATTGTACCATACTAGATGATGCGTTACTAGGTACTTGCTCGCGTGCGGACTCAAACAAAGGCTCGGTAGCACTTACTTAGACGGTACAGAGAAACCCAGTGGTCAATATTCTTATTTCTAAAGACTTTCGCCTCAAGGTCTCTTGCCTCCATGAAGATTACTTGTCGTTTGCGCTTAAACTTGACCCACTTTTTATCTTCCGTATATATATCGTCCATAAACATTTGTTCCTGTAAGAATCGATAACCAAGTAGGCCCTGGCAAATTAGACAAAGAGCCATTGTCTTGTAGAAGACGACTAATGTAAACTAGGTATCAAATGGAGGACCCCGGTGATTAAAGAAGTCCAGTCTCAAAATGGATCCATGGCTCTAGCTTCGCCGAATATGTCATCATGATATGTCAATATATGTAGGACCTTGGAGCTATTCCTGCGAAGCTCTGGAATCTTGCCCAATGCCTTCGTAGGTAAGAAGCGGCTGATGCGCAGTTGGGTTAATACTAACAATATAATCTTCTATGAATTATCTTAGTAGTGTATGAGAGGATTTGAGCAATCCATTGTCTGTCAAATATGATAGGGAGATATTCCATCGTAGATTAATTCTGTGGCAATCACGGCACTAGTGATGGCCGTATTTTCTGTGTTGACCGACTTGGATAGAGTAAAGAGCATCGTGTCAGTTGAAGCAGCGAATAAATGATGGAAAGCTGATGTATGGGGCGGTGAAAATCTATTGAAAAGGGTGGGAAAGAAGTGATGAAAACACTGGTAAAAGCTTAACAGGCCACGTGATGAATAATGCTACTAAAACATCACATATGATATGAATATGAGTTACAGTATTATTTGCATGAGTGTTTATCTGAGATAATGAGCATTTATGCAGAGATCATGATATGGCGTTCTGTACATAGTGGATGGAATTCATGTAAAATTATGGGGTGTGAAAGTCACCAAAGGCACTGATAATGCCTAATACTTTTTTTCCTAGAAGGCAGCGTTGGTTTCGTAACAATGGTGGATTACATGCTCTATTCGGAATAGCGGTCATAATCCGCTGTCAGCTGCAAAGCGTTCCTCGTCAAGTATCTGAGATGCACTGACAATCTTGAAGCCGCTAGTGGGAAAGGGCATGGGGTGCAAGGGAGCCTTTCGAAATGCGTTTCTAGTCCATCTGAGGAGAGTAGCCATGATGGCTGGAGAGGAGCCAGGTGGAAGAGACCAATTTAGGGGTAAATATATCAACCCTAAGTTTAACCCTAACGCACTATATGATTGGCTAGATGATAGCCCTACGGCTAGTTAAAGGAACAAGGTGGGCCGGCGGCCTGAACTGCCCTCACTTCCAAGAACTTCAACACTTCGACTGTGATTGAACCATTGAACTCTCCCCTCGTCAGTCCAGCACAGATAGTCGATCCGGACTGACACGCGCAGGCAGACACGCAGACTTTCGCGGATGCCCCCATCATGCTCTCCGTGGGCGGCCCGCAAACATAAACATGTACCATCTTGCCAAGTCGCTTTATCTATATGCCACCAGCAAGGAGGGTGAGTTCATACTTTCAGCATACAAATATTTCTTGACAATTCCGGGATATAAACTGGCAGAACTTAAATTCAAATTTCTTCGCTAACCGCGGCCTCTGCCAGAATACTCGGTACTCCTACTCGGCCTCGACAACGCAGGTAAAACAACGCTACTTTCGCAAATCAAGGCCCTCTACCTTCCACAGCCTGATGGCGCACCTCCACCCAATGTTGGGCGCACAGTCCCCACCGTGGGACAGAACGTCGCTACCATCCCCTTACAAGACATGTACCTGAAGATCTGGGACGTTGGCGGGCAGACCACCATGCGCGGCCTCTGGCAAAGCTACTATTCCAGCTGCCATGCAATCATATTTGTGGTCGACAGCACGGACGTCGGCGAAGGACTGGAAGACTTCGCGTCTGGAGCGGCCGTCGGAGCCGCCTCGGGTGGTGACAACAACGGCGTCAACGGGGCGTCGCACGGCCGCCTGGGCGAATGCAAACAGGTCCTGGAATCGGTGCTCCAGAACGCGGATGTCGCTGGTGTGCCGATTTTGGTGCTGGCGAACAAACAGGACCGAGAGGACTGTGTGGAAGTCGTGCGGATCAAGGAAGGGTTCGTTCGGCAGGTCTTCGAGGGCGAGAAGGGCGCCGGCGTACGCGACAGTCGAGTGCTTCCGCTGAGTGCTCTGCTGGGCACCGGCGTTCGCGAGGCTGTGGAATGGGTGCAAAGTCGAGTGAAGTGGAACAAGGAGGGGCGTCCTCCGGTTATGCGATGAACTTAATGTTTACATACCTGCTTTGTTCGTTTGGCGCCTTTATAATATGTGTTTTACGTGGCTTCGATTTTGAATGTTTACTCGAGATACCAATGAATTTAGACTTGCTTTATTACTAGACGAACAGGCTCTATCTGTAAACTGCGTGAAATTCCATGAATCGATATCAATCAAGCATGACGTCAGAAATATTCCTTCGAACATACATCGTTGGACGCGCCTAAGGACCGGAGCAGATCAGAATGACAGAATAGCAGCCCCACGATTTAGCTAAATTAGTCATTCATCTGCCAGCCAATTCGACCATGCAAAGCCTTGTAGGTTGCATCAAACAGCTTGTGCAAAAGGAGTGGATGAAATCAGTCCGTTATCTCAGCTTGACGTCACGCCGGATGATGCTATATGGAAGAAGCCCTAAAACGCAAAAATATAAGGTGCAGGTGGCCAACTCGTCTCTTCGTACCAGATTATACTTCATCTCACTCATCACTTACCTACTTGTTTTTTCTACATCAAACAATACCTTCTTACAAAATGGCCGGCCGCTCAAACCAAACCGTCGACGCTACCAACCAGCAATTCTTCCACCCCGACCCTCCTCGTCAAGTTCCCCAGGCCGCAAAATGGGTAAGTGAGAGCCTAGAAATCCAAGCGTGAGAGACTCATGCTAACAAATATCTCGATTGCAGCACCAGCCAGGCGTACCAGCCAGCGCAGCTGATCGTGCCCCCGAGTTCCGCGCACAAACCCTGCCTGCTGGCTCAGCTCCAGCCAGCAACTCCTACCAACCAAACCCCATCAGCGAAGTACCGGGACAAGCCAACAATGAGGACACTCTGCGTGCCCACGGCAAGGAGAGCGTATTCACCAAGCCCCTCGATACCTTTCCCGGCGCCACCTCAGCGGACGTGAACAAGGGCCTCGGAAAGCCCATGCAGGGACAGACCAGTAACGAATTACGACATGATGGGAACCACCAACGTAAACATCATGGTTCCGGATATGAGGCCCACGGTGCCACTGGCCATCCCAAGCATACCGAGCACTCCATCGGTGATTCGCAAAAGGTTGATCCTCGTTATACTGCTGGTCAGCGTGGTCTGGATCGTGAAGAGGCCCAGTCGGGTCGCCATGGTGATAAAGGCGCTCTTGGTGCAGAAGATATTCCTCCTCAACCTGCTGAAACAGTAGCCCGTGAGCGTGATTAGATAGAGAAACGAAAAAAAGATAAAAAACAAAAGGGTTAAAATGATTTGTATTATACAGCTGGAATGCATGGGAGGCGGTTGATATTAGCAATCGATGTGTAAATTAATTGATCTGTGATCTCCAATAACAAGATATACAAGCAAAACAAACAAGGGTATCATATAGTAAATTGACAAGATTTTGTAAGAAGTGTCGACTTAAGCACTGGCGCGAAGACGATCCCGAGTACTTCGCGTCATAATGCCCTTGGTGGCTGCCGCTGCGTCTGGATGTGGGACGGGTTTCTTGGGCCAGCTGCGAGCAAGATCGATGTTTGCCCGGGGCCAGAGCATCTCCAAAAACACGTACAGTAAATAATCAATCACCACGCACATGCAGAATAGCTTACCAGCCCATATACCACACCCATAGTAGCGCTTCAGCCGGTCGATCAACACGAAGCTTCGCGTGCGGCCACAAACCGCGTCCCAGCCAGCATCTGGATAATGCCCGTAAAATTCCAGCTCGCTGATGGCACCCGAGATCCCATTGTATACCCGTTCAGTACGGCGAGCGACGTCGGTCCAGGAGTACATCATTTTCACCTGGTCGTGGAATCGTTCTGTGCGCACTTTGTTGGATCGAAGCGCGGCAATCGCCTTTCCAGTAGCCAGGACGAGATCGTCTTCCTCCGGCTTTGCAAACGTCGTCATGTGCTGTGGTAGCACCTCTGGTATTCCACCGACGCGCGTGCACACTACGTAAAGACCGCAGCTTGCCGCTTCAACCAATACAGTTCCGAATGCTTCTGTCAAACTGGGATGCAGATAAATATCGCCCTGGACCATCACATCCCGCACTTCTTCATGTCGCACGGGGCCGAGCATCTCCACTTTATCTTGCAACATGTTGCGTTCGAGCATTTGCTCCAAGTCAATTGCCTTGGGCCCCGATCCTCCAATGATAAATCGCACATTTGGATGCGATGTTAGGATTCGAGGAATGGCTGCTATAAGAAGGTCGATACCCTTGTTGTAGAAGAGTCGAGAGATCACTACAATGGTGATTGTGTCGTTGGGACCGATGATGCGGGGAGCAGGATGCGGCGCTGAACCACCTTCTCCAGATTGATATGACAAGGGTCGGAAGTTTTCTGCAACGACAGCATTCGGTATGACCGACACCATCAAGGGATCTAGAGATGCTCGTAGGACTGTGTTCTCCTTGCTATATTTCCGTTATTACCATTCCTTTTGACACACGGCTCGAAACCTGAGGGGAAAAGGTTACACACCAAGTATGGCTAACACATATAACGTGGTCCACATCGCTGAGAATGAACTTCAAGAGTTTGTTTGTAAGGATCGAGCCTGCATCGGCGAAACCGAATAACGAATGGTCCGTAAAAACAGTCCGTAAACCCATCGTGCGCGCGTGCAAAATCGCTTCACAGCAGAAGCTGCTTAAACTAGCATGCCCATGCACGATCTGGATCTGCTCTCGAACGACGATGTTGCGGAATATTGGAAAAAAGGAGAAGAGTGTCGGCATTGTTGCTTCGCGGTATATAACGAGGAAAGGAACATGATAAACCTTGAGGCCATTTGTGAGATATCGCACCCCGGTCCGGCCTTTGTAGGCATGAGTGATGATAATGACCTTGTGGCCGCGGTCAATGAGTTTCTGTGTAGTTTTAATGAGACGGCGTTCGATCTGTTGAGGCACGGGACATGGAGAATAGCTACCGTTGACAACTGGTAAATGTGGCTTTCAACTCCGCCTATACACGGGATTAGAAAATGACCATGGAATATTCTGTGATCGTGATGACAAACCTGGCTGTGGGAAGAAAAAGTCGCTGACCATACTGTCGACCGATTAGCGCATGCAACGTACAAGCTGGACTATTGCGACGCTTACGCAATATTGTAAGGCATCTCGGTAGCTATTCAAAAACCTGGCGCGCTCCAGACGAGCGAGCCAGAGCTGGAAATCGATTAGATCATCTCAGCCTGGGTTGAAATTGGATGTTCGACAGCCATCTTGTGGATGATCGCCAAACAATTTGGATTATTGTGCCAAGACGATTTGTCTGCGAGGCAGCAAGGCATCAACCCGCAGACGGCGGAGGGAGCGGTGAATATTCTGCCGGCAGATTCGCCTTTGGTTTCTGATGGCCGCAAAAATAATTTTACACTCGACGAGATGCGCCTGGTGGGCTGAGACAGAAATCACAGACAAGCTGGTCGATGGTGTCGTGTCCTATTTATCCTGCAGCTTCAATACTTTGTCTGATACATTCCCTATCAATGCGCGGCACCTAAATGATCCGATAATTCATCCTGCCTCTTCATGCAACATTACCGTTTGCGTTCGTTCAAAGTTCTCCCACTTTGCGCCGGAGCTAGCTCCTGCTACCAAAAATGGCCAAGGATACAAAAGTCAAGGAACATAGAAAGCCCACTATAAAGGAAGGTTCAAAGGCTCTTTCACCGAGGAAGGATCTCAATGGCAAACCAGCCATCACTTTTGCGCCGTCCTCACCCACCGACACTACACCGAAGCCAAAGAAACGGAAGAGAGAATCGAAGCCCGATTTTACAGACGGTTTAGATAGTAACCCCCCAATAACAAGTTTCGGCAATGACTCGTCCGCGAAGTCCACGAAAGATGGCAATTATGAAAGCCAGATCACGGAGAAGGATACTCTTTCGACAGACAAGAAGAAAACGAGGCCCGATATCCCAAAGGCACTCGGACCCTCTCCTGGATCAGATGAAGGCTATGAAGATATAGACAATCGAGATGGCAGTAACAAGAATTCGAAGAAGCGCAAAAATGATACTGTGGGAAAGGTTGAATCCGAAGCTGGCCAGACAAACGAAGATCATCCAGCCAAAAGCCGAAAGCATAAATATGGGGAAACTCCTAAAGCACACCGTGATGACGATGACAAACAGGCTACGAAACATGCTAAGATCCTGCAGAAGTTTGAGAAATCGATAAGAGCCAAAAAGCCAGTATCTGATGATGCAGAAAAAGAGAAAGAGGACATCACAGCAGGCGAAATTGGAAATGCAGTTGTTGCTCATGGCTTGGAGCCTCTTCCACAGCCAGAACCTGTCGCGGAGACGGGCGAAAAACCTACGTACTCGACAATGCCTAATTGGATTACCAATCCCGTTACAAAGTCCCCGTACCAGCGAGATGATGGAGCTCCTCTCGAGTTCGACAGTCTTAAACTTGACAAGGGCGTGATTTCAAGACTCAATAAACATGGATACAAGGAAGCAACTTTTGTACAAGCTACTGTTATTCCACTTCTTATTGACAACGCGCATCGCCACATAGGAGACATTTGTGTCTCTGCCTCCACCGGATCTGGAAAGACATTGTCATACGTGCTTCCGATGGATCAATCGCTTCGGCGGGAATCCATGCCCAGATTCCGTGGTCTTATAGTCGTGCCTACGCGAGAACTAGTCAAGCAGGTCCGCGAGGCATTCGAAGCCTGTGGAAGTAATCTGCGCATCGGCACTGCCATTGGACATGTTGCGTTGAAAGACGAACAGCAAAAAATAATTCGATGGGACTCCGTGTACAGTCCAGGCAAATACGAAGAGGACCAACAGAAGATGATGTCTACAGATGAGTGGGCGAGTTTTGACCTTCTCAAATATAGAGATGAGGTTGAACGCACCGGCGAGCTGTTGCCCCATTATGTCCCAGAACCGCGACCCAATATAGATGTTCTCATCTCTACACCAGGCCGGTTGGTGGATCATATACGTCAAACAGAAGGCTTTACGCTTCGACACCTGCAATGGCTGGTAGTGGATGAAGCTGATCGCTTGCTTAATGAGAGTTTCCAAGAATGGGTCTCTGTTCTGATGGAGGCTTTGGATAAAGAGAAGACTGCGAATGTAGGTGGACCGGTCATGGCTAATATTGGCCGCCCTTTACAGTCTGCGTACCCGAAGAAGGTTATTTTGAGCGCGACTTTAACGAATGATATTACCAAACTCAACTCGCTGCGCCTTGATAACCCCAAGTTGGTTGCAATTGGCTCGAGGGGCTTGGAAGCCGATGTGGAAGGAACTAATCATGAAACCGAACAGTTTGTTCTGCCTCCTAAGCTGGTAGAACATTTCGTACCAGTCGGTGACGGCTCTGAGAAACCGATTCATTTGATGAAATTATTGTTACACGAGATAAACAAGTCGAGTTGGAGCTCTATAGCGACTCCGGCTTACACTTCCGAAAACATCAGCAAATCCGCCAAGAATGAGTCTACCGACGACGAGACCAGCTCAGATTCAGATGATACAAGCTCTTCTGGCGATGACACCAGCAGCGCTGCCACGTCAGATTCGGAGTCGGAGTCAGACTCTTCTTCGGATACGACTTCTGAGACTAGTTCCGACAGCGATACCGATACCAGCTCCGAATCCGATACGGACACGTCTGTTGATGATAAGTCTTCAATCAAGGACTTGCAATCCATAGAGAGAGGTGTCAAGTCGGTACTCATATTCACGAAATCCACCGAGTCTGCAGCACGACTTTCTCACCTCCTGGGGCTTATGAACCCAGCATTGAAGGATAAGATGGGTACTATCGTCAAATCGAGCAACTCCTCCTCGTCTCGCAAGACTCTCAAAGATTATCGTGCGGGCAGAATAAATATCATAGTTGCCACCGATCGCGCTTCTCGTGGCATAGACTTTGTCGGCTTGGACGTTGTGATCAACTACGACGTGCCGACCAGTCTGACCACGTATGTCCACAGGGTTGGACGAACCGCTCGAGCGGGTAGATCTGGCCATGCATGGAGTCTTGTGGAGCATCGCGAAGGATTGTGGTTCCAGAAGGTCATAGTGAAAAGTGATAATGTTGTCCGGTCAGGGAAGGTCATGAAATATAGCAAGTCTGAGAAAAACACCAAGGCGATGATTGCTGAATATACAGCGTCTCTTCAAGGATTGGAGAAAGCTACCAAAGGGTGATTGATCGTGACTTGCTGTTTGTACATTATCAAGTTAGTTCCATGGCTGGATATATACATAGACGCATAAATCATGAATACATGAAATTGCAACCTGGCATATACACGTAGGTAGGGTTTGGAATGAATAGCGAAAGCTACTAAGAATAGAGCAGATCCCCAATCACTACAATTTGGTCTGTTCATTCACTGATCGGCTTAATTGGTGATGCACAATGATTGATCGTTGAGACGCGGGTTTGTTGCCTTGGGCTTCGGAGGTTAGATGCCAAAATAGGAAATTCTTTAGGGCTTCCGTTCAAATTGTCAACGCTTACTGTCGGTAAGGTAGTTAACTAACTGCAATCAATCTCTGCCAAATAGACCGCATACTGATTGAATAACTTTAAAGTAAGGAATAAAGCTGGAAAGGAAGACAATGACCTTTCTTCCTCCAACAGAACACAGATATTAAACGACATAACCCGCAACCCTTGGAAGTATTACAAAATGTCAACGCCTAGATTTGGGGTGCCCTTTTTAAGACGTAAGGCCTTCTTAGGCGATAGCTTCCAATGTTGAGGTCATCCCAAGATTTGGTCTGCTTTTTGTTCTTTTCGATCAGATTTAAGAAGCCATCTTTTATCTGTTTGAGAAAGTCGAAAGTCTGACGACGAATTCTAAGTCCACTATTGTCAAACCAGCCAGGGTTCTCCAGCAGTTCCTCGGTTGCTAGAGCGAGAAACTGCCAGTCTACCAGGGCATTGGTCTTCCTGAGATCATCGTATTCAAAGATCAAGTCCATGTCACATTTGCTCTGCCAGTAACTGTCGGGCAGTCTCCACTCGAAGGCTGTCAACATATTCCGCGTATCTGCAATGCTGGAGAGCTTGGCCGCTTCGACAATCTGCATGGCAACCTCAAGAGGGACGCGACGGACCATAGATGACCCCATCTGTGGTGAACAATTCTCGGTGTGGACGCGTCGGGTAGCCTCTTTGATAATGATTTGAATTGCTGGCACAATGAATGGATGTTTCCAGGGCCTCTAGGGTTCTTCTATCTCCGCTTCACTTTCTGAATCGTCTACCGCCGGTGTGGTATAGCGCTCAAATTTGTCGCGTGGCATCAGGTTCCAAAACTCAGTATGTTGCTTCCAGAATAGTTCCACTGCCTGGATAAATATTTCGAGGTTGGTTTTTATCCATTCAATTCCAATAATACGATCCGCTAGTAACCAGCAATGGGCGTGGATACTGTAGCCTATTTGCTTCCATCCCTCATCGAGTACAAGCTAAGCGCACAGGACCATCCATATATGGACTGCAGATGCGAGCTTTCTGGTAATCAATGGGGACTTGAGGGACTGCTTCGCTCATCCATTCATCGAAACCTTAGCCAATCCCTGATATACCAAAATACTCGATACCCCGCCTGTGGATGACTTGTTTCGTTTATGACTCAGCATGCGTACTGAAAATCCCTTAAGCGTGTTCTGGAGAAGCAGATTTACTTACTTGCTCTGTAAAAATTTGTCCACAACCACGGCTTTCTGTAGAAATAGATGTTTTCGATATCTTCCGCCTTCACCATCATCCCATTCGTTTCATACTTTATCTTGGGGTTTCTGAGTTTCTTCCACTCCTCACGCTCCTTTAGTATGTTATCATGTCTGTAAGTATACAGTATGATCCCACCACACGCTATACAGCAATATGATGGCTGGCTTTGATAGCCAGGATAGAGAGGGTATACTCTGTTCATCACTTTTGGTACTAGCTATTCGAGCTCGGTTTCTAGTGACGCTGTAACTAATATTAGAAAGGAATAATCGAAGGCATGAATTTTACTTGTGAAATGAAGATACTTGATGTCATGTTGAGTCGTTCATTCCTACATCCAACTTGGCGTTGTAGGTTTAGGATCAACTGATTTCTATGTTTTCAGGAAACCGTAATATTCAAAGCTACCTATTTTTCTCTTCGTCTTTTTCTCCCCATAGGAAATGAAATAAACTTTGGGTGCTCCCCAAAAATAGATATTTTGCTTTCACCACGATCCTAGGTTATGTCGAGAGCAACATGCAATAAAACTTCCTCTGGCTGTCAAGGTTTCCATCTCCTTTCAACTCTTCCAAAAACTTCAACCTAATGGTGTGTCAAAATCCAATTGAGAGCACCTTGGACATCTCCAGCTTCAGCGCGTATGTCATAGTATTTTTTCTTGATGGGGTTATTCCGTTTACTCGGCCGCCAATCTACAACATTCTGATTTGGATCGTCGTATCTAAAAAACCTCACACGCCTCCCCAAAGCAGCTATACCGTAAACTGGAGACCTTTGGTTTGTAGGGCGTGTGCCGTGTACTGAACTGAGGTAGTCCCTCAGCTGATTCGATGCATTTTGCCATTCATGCTCTTGACTCTCGCTTGCAACGGCCTTGCACTGTGTGATGAGGAAGAACTTCCGCCGGCTAGCAGGGATTATTTCAGATGTGTGGAAATCTGAGAACCCCTTTTGGCCTCCAAAAAAACGGTGCATGTCTTGGGGTCTTGTAACATAGTTGGATGTTGGTGGGAACATCCAGTTCAGTATGGAGTTCCACAGGCCGTACATCTGATGAGCTTGTTGATGTCAATTTATCGATCTCAAATTGGATCGCCGGAACGTTTAGGTACTGATTATTATTAGCATAGTCATAACTAAGGGAGATGGAATAAGTACCGTAACTCCTGGAGCGTTCGGAGTCGGGACTGCCATTTCGATGATCTTCGAAATTCTGAAGATTCTGTGTCAATTCCCTCTGCGAGCTAATGGTAGATGAGAAAGATTGGCTCTTTTTAATTTGATAGTTGCCGAGGATGATGGTTAGTCAAGATGAAGCAATTTGCTGGAAGAGGTCTGCAGTATTTATATTTGAGAATATTTCGATGAAGCCTTGGGCATTCTTCCTCAAGAGCTATTGTTGTCCTGCTGAGGTATCTTCCACAGTAGGTTATATTCAAAAGAGATCTATTCATTGTAGAAGACACAAAGGCAGAGAATAATGAAAGTTTTGATATTGTGAAATAACTCCATTAAACATATGCTAGGCAATTATAGGGGCTTGAATAATCATCGCTATTGTACTAGATTCTGCAAAACAGTTGTATCATCACTTATTGAGTCAACAGCTTTTTTGTCAAGCATTGTTATTCAACGTTACTGCCTACACCCAACGTCCTGGCTACGACAGACATAATAGCATAAGCCTCGATTTGATGTCAGCGTATTGCCTAAAGGACTAGTTACATTTACTGAATGGTCATGAGAAGAAGCCTTGAATAGATGTCATAGTAGCTTGGAGTTGTCCACTGCCTGAATTCCTTCAATGTCTTCAATTGTTTTCAGTTCCTTGATATTTGCCATGTGAGCTAGCTTTTTTTATTAATCAAAATTATTTCCTCAAGAATACGAATAAATTGCCCCAATATATACGCATATTATGTGGCCCTCGGATGATCACGTTGGTGCTCAAGCCCTAAAACCAAAATGCGATCGATGTACTTCGGCATTTAGCCTCGACGCAGGAGTCACCAAACAAGAAAGACGCGAAGAAAATCAATGAAAAATCGATATTATACAATAACTAAACGGAGAAAATTAAAATCCTAGCCGAAACTCTTCAACGATACTACCTACTTATCGTGGAAAGGTTTCTCCACATGGATTGCGGCATTGCAGTCGTATCTATGCCACTATGGAGAGGGCTTTAGCGTATTAAAATTGGCTAGAAATCAACCTAGGCAGACATTTTATCACCTTCATCATCAATCGCCATCATCATTTTGACTCATAACAACCAAAATTGCAGGTGTTCCGTTATCATATCATGTCCTTTTCAAACCCCTGGGAACAAGAATTGTCGAAATCCGGTCTCATTTCCCTTCACCCACACCATGATCTCTATACAACCGTATCCGGCCCTGTCCGACAACCAAACCAACCACTAGTGATAATCATACCGGGTCTTGGTGCCAGTGCAACCGAATGGGCCGCTGTGCAGCGCTTGGCTACACCGTTTGCTCGTGTTCTTCTCTACGAGCGCTCTGGCTATGGACTGAGCTCCGATGCGACTAGCCCTGTAACTGCCGTTAGCATAGCGATGGAACTCGACAGTCTTATTCGCGCTGCTGACATTTCCGGTCCATTTGTACTGGTTTGCCACTCATACGGCGGTATTATAGGCAGAGAGTTCCTACATCTCCGTGGCTCGGGTGCCGACGGAATCTGCGGGATGGTGTTTGTGGACGCGAATCAAGAACTCAATACGATTGAAGGTCCCGGGCCAGCTCCGTATATTGACACTGTCCTCCAGGGTCTTGATATAATCGACGTGGTGGGATTAACCAAAACCCATAAGCTGCTGCCAGATGAATGGCAGACTTATCTCATCGAGGAGAAGAGCGAGAGACATTCTCGGATTGCGGCTATGGAGTCTGAAGAGTATCTAGGAAGTGGGCCGGTACTCGCATCGAAGAAACAGCTCCACGCGACCCCTCCTCTACTTGGAGAAAGTCCCGTAAGTGTTCTAAAGGGGCAGACATACAAGGACTTCGAGAAACTATTCGTAGCGGGGAGTGAAGCTGGCAATGGGACTGAAGAAGAGAGAAAAATGTTCCGCGAATTTCTCAAAACATATGACACATTGGATGAGAAATGGCAGAAAGGAATGTTGTCGCTATCTAGCAGATCTAGGTGGATCACGACCTATAAGAGCGGACACAATATTCAGTTGACTGAGCCAGATGTGATTGTTGACGAAATAAAGTGGGTGTTAGACAACCTTGACACAGTATAGCTTTTATGTCAATGAAAGTATTAGGTACCTAGGTATCTTGACCTAACAGAGGAGAAAAAACTACATCATCCATAAACTGATCTATCAGCTCGTGAATTTACTCTTTGGATCTCTAAGTCAGTTTGGATTGGAGCCCGAGGATTGTCATTGCAAAGTGTATCGAAAAGCCTCTCATAAATCTATGTCAACGTTTCTTATTGTTGATTCAATCCGAGATTGACATCTGAAGTCATCCATAAATCGCAACCGTATGTACCTTCAATTCATCTTTGGCTTTTAGAAAAAGTTCATGATGCGAATGAATACAGCTGGGGTAATAGCTCCGTGGACTTCAAAAAAAAAAGCCAAATCCGGAAAACATTAGGATCTGGATCCTGATCACCTCTCTTGTATGTGGCATTTGATCAACATGCCATGCGAATCTACAGCTAAATAGTCAAAACGAAACCAGTGTTTGCAATACTATTACTTCACAGCATCGAAATCTCATCTCATCTCACCGCCAAATTAAAGCACATATCGACTGTAAAATATTCGTAATTAGTGACACGAAACCATTTGAAGTATTTCGGAAGTTCAAGAACAGATAAACCCTTACAAGGTCAAGTTCTCCCTATCCGTCAAATCCAGTTGGTTATTGTCAACAACATGGGTGACTGTCGTGCCATTGTCGTCGACTGTTTCAACAACGCCATCATCGCGCACTTGATCAAGCTCCTGGAGTCTATCACGGCGTTTATTTTCTTTGACAAGTAGAATTCGCAGAGTCAATATACAGATAGACGGCAAAATAGCCGCAACCTGAGAAGCAATGAGTAAGAGCAATGAATGCCAGCGAATACGTGTCTAACTTACGACGAGCAAAATGATCCACGTTGGCCTGTATCGTGGCTGTATAGCATTGTGCCTAGGTGAGCATCTGAAAAGTACCGTGATAATCAGGGACACGTACTTTCCATTGTGGCCGAAAGAGCTGGGGAGAGATAATATTGCCTAGCCCATATCCAATGTGGTAGAGGGCGATGACAGTAGTCTTCTTTGTATGACCAGCGGACGTATTTGCAGCCCAGATCATGACTACAGCATAAGCAATTCCGGTGGTAGACCGGATCCATATGCCAGTAATAAGTCCCCAGCGATTTGACCACGGGAGGCCTGTGACGGAACGTTTAACATTGAAACGTATCGGCTAGAGGGATAGTCAACTCACTTAATAAAAGTATACTAGACAGTGCCCCGGGGATATACGAAGCTAGCGATATCCAGGCTCGACAGTTCTTGATTCGTTAGTACTACGAATCTATTCTTAGGTTTAGTAGAGTATCTTACTCTCGTCAAATGCAACACAATTGCAGCAGTTAAAAGCGAGACAAACGAAACCGCTCCTGTAACGGTACCCAGCAGAGTTGTTTGCAAGATGGAAAATCCAAATGAGTTGATAATTAGCGAGTACTGATTTGTAAGTCCATTGGCCATCTCTTGAGACCAAGCGTGTAAGAAGAAGAGCCACGTTTTGGGATCTTTGATCCCCTCGAGAAACCTACCCTTCTCAGTACGGTTGTCTGTCGAATGCAATCAGAAGAAATTCTAAGTTTACTTACTGGTATTTCTTAAACGTTTTCTGCTCGATGCCGGAATGGTTCTCCTTAATCCGCAGAATAGCCTGCGCTCGCTCCTCAGATGTCAAGAATCGGGCGTTCAAGGGACTATCTGGAAATAGGAGATAAACAATGACGCCGAATAAAACGGTGATACCGCCGGTAATAACTGGCAGCCTAGTTTTAGCAAAGAAATATAGGCAACAAAGCATTTGACTTTGAAAACGAACCCATGAACCACTTCCAGGGAGCGAAGCCTTTGGTATTGATGAAAAGCACTCCATAGGACAACAAGCCCGATGTTATGGGACTTGCATTACCGATTGACCACATTATCGGCATCATCACAGCTTGCTCCTGATATGTGAAAAACATCGACATGGTGAGAAGAAAGGCCGGTACGATGCAGGCTTCCGACAGTCCCAGTAAGAAGCGAACCACAAAAAGGGAAGCGAAACTATTGCACGGGATATGCAAAAGGGTGATACCGCCCCTTTTATGAGTTGGCATGATTGTTCAGGAAGAAATATGACGGAGGTCAGGAGAGCTCACCAGATTATCAAGTTACCTGCCAACCACTTGGCCACTGGAAACCGCTGCAAAGCCCAGTTCTGCGGCCACTCTGCGAGTAGGTAGCCAAAATAGAAGATGGAAGATAGCCAGTTATATTGGTTGGAATTCAGGTGAGCGTCGGACATGATTCCGAGAATTGCTGAGTTTCCCAACTGCACAATCGTTAGCTGGCAGATATACCTATAACAACAGCATTTTGTTTAGACTTCAAACACACCGTCTGCTTGTCGATATACATCAGATGGTATCCGATACAAAGGAACGGCAGAATCCTGCGCAGGCATTTGTTTCGAATTTTCCTGGCCTCTTCTGGAGTCGGGTCTGCTACCTGAAGCTTCTGGAAGAGCTTATAGCTCTCGTCAGCATAGCGATCGGACAATTTGGGCACATTGGTAAGAGTGCTATCGTCTTCAAGCTGCTGAGCAGTCGCTTGAACGGGGCTCTTGTGAGTTTTGGTCATGACTTCTATGTGCTTTGGTAGCTACCCAAGTGAAGCATGTACCTAGGAAGGCTCATATTTTATATTCTCGGGCTGTCTCTTGTTTCGCCATTATGCCAGAGTCTATCGCCTTCCCAGCGCTGCTCAATCACAACGTGTATGCACCTAGGTAAGCTGCATTGGCCTCCTTGGCACCCGGAAGACGATATCCAGACTGGAGTACAAAGCCTGGCGGGGGATGCGTTATCGTGGAGTTGCATCAGTATCGCGCTGCTGACGTGCTTTGCTAGCCTAAGCTTAAAAGCCGCTTCCATTCTTCAACAACACTACTAGAATAGCTTTATATACTCGCTTATGGAATATCGCACAATGATGTCCTGGTCAGGCCTTGAATAATTTACTTACTTTTCCTAGTGATAATGGGTGAATTTCATCCCAAGTTCCGAGTCCTGATTGCGGGGGCTGGCATCGCGGGTCTGGCAACAGCAATAGCACTCGCTCGCATTTCAGATATCCCACATCTCGACATCCAGCTTTACGAGCAGGCTCCGGAATTGACTGAAATAGGAGCCAGCATTGCACTAAGCCCCAATGTATGCTCTCCGGTGTTCCCCATTGAAGTGCTATCAGAGTTGACCGGGTTGGCAATAACCTTCTAGGGCATGCGCACTCTGGAAAAGCTCGGTGTGCACAATGCGCTCACAGACGAGGTTGGCTACAGGGGCCCCAGTGGGATACCACAGATTTTCCGGTACGAACATGCATATTCTGGCACCTAGGTATACAGGAGGACGCTCGCTGATTACACTCCAAGTCACTGGAAGACAAACCAGGTTGTCTCGGTAGATACCCACGTCAACGTGCCGGATCCTCGTCACCACACTACTCGTTTTCACCGCGGTCACTTGCATGCTGCTTTGTTGGAGCATGTGCCACGAGAATCAATTCATCTTGGCAAAAAGCTTGCACGCGCAGTTGCCTCCGACGACGAAGTAGTCCTCCATTTTGAAGATGGAACTGAAGCTCACGGCGACCTATTGATCGGTGCTGACGGCATCAAGTCGGTTCGTATACTACAACCGCCTTGCAGATCGTTGGCGATTAACGATAACGATACTGATATATATATGTATATAACAGAAGACGAGACAGTCATTTTTCCCGGGATACAAGCTCAGGTTCAGCGGAAAGGTTTTTGCAAGATCAACTTTCGATGCGTCTCTGATTGAAGGCAAAGTCCCCGGCCTGGGTGCGAATTCTTTACATTGGGTAAGTATGCTTGATTGCATTTAATCTATCTAATTAGGCTTAATCTGACTGTCAATATTCCTAGTGGGGACCGAAGGATAATTTCTTTGCGTCGAGACTTGGTATTTCTTCCTTCTTTTACCCTTTTATGTCTCTCGGATCACACTAACATAAAGCTCATAGGCAAGGGACAGTTCACCACAGTTGGCGCTTATGAGGATGGGCGCAGTTTAGAGGAGTTAGAAAAAGAGGTCGCCTGGGACCAGCTGGGCAACGTGCAGCTCTTAAGAGAAAAGTACAAGGTACTGACAACTCCACCACCTCGACGGTAGACTTACGTCCAACTAATACAAGTGAACTTAAGGATTGGAACCCCACCGTCAAAGCCCTGACTGAATTGACTCCCTACTCGCGTCTCTATCCAAATTACGCTGGAGACGCCCTTCCAACTTGGGTTCCTTCGCCACGAGTCACCCTTGTAGGAGACGCTGCGCATACTCATGGTGGCGCTTTTACAGCCGGAGGCTCCCTAGCGCTCGACGATTCCTTTGCTCTGGCTCTCGCACTCAAATATGTCTTCTCTGTGGAAAAACCGCCTGTTATTACGTCCGTGTCCATCAAACGGGCTTTGGAACTATACGATCAAACCCGGCGGCCACATACAACCAAGCTGTTGACGATTGTCCATGGTCAAATCAATGGAAAGCCACCGGTTTCCTCATCGCCTGAGGAAGAGGATTCGGCATTGATTGCGAGAATGAGAAATCGGCCTGATACAGTCTGGTTATCTGAGCATGATGTGGCGAAGACATTTCAACAAGTAGTTAATGCTTCGGATTCACGGGAAAGCAAGCTCTAACCGAAGACAATATATATATCACAATTCTATAGAGATGTCGAAAACGACCTACAACTTATTTAGACAAAATAGCAATAGAATGCTGCAGATTAGTGATCTTGTACCTACGCTCAATGCACGCGTATTTCGCAATGAGGGGTAAGTAACCGAGGCTCAGCGGACTTTATTTATCTCCAACCTCCAAATAATCCATCCTACGCCATAATCTCAACTTGATCTATAATCCAATAGATGCCCATATAATCATATCACAATGCAAAATGCCATTTTTCTCAAGCCCATTGACGGCAAGCCCGGAAAACCGGGCCAAGTATACTATCCTATCATCCGCAAAACAATCAGCCAGCCAACAGTCCAGGACAGCGAACTCCTCATAAAACTGACAGCGGCTGCTCTCAACCACCGCGATCTCTTCCTCCGGCAGCACCTCTATCCGGGGCTATCATTCGACACGCCTCTCCTAGCAGACGGCGTCGGCACCGTCGTCGAACTTGGGCCAGGCGTCAAAGACCAGTCATGGAAAGGCAAACGAGTGATTCTGAACCCGGGAACGGGGTGGAAGGACGACCCGGACGGGCCTGAGGACCCTACGGGCTACAAGATTATGGGGGGCACAAAGTTTGATGCTAGAGGTACATTGCAGGAATATGTTGTGGTGGATGAGTCGGAGGTGGAGGAGGCACCGACTCATCTGTCAGACGCTGAAGCAGCTGCACTCCCCTTGACCGGGTTGACCGCTTGGCGAGCACTAATCACGAATACCGGAGACAGGAATAGCAGCAAGAATGCGGCTGTGTTAATCACGGGTATTGGTGGTGGTGTGGCGCTTATGGCGTTGCAGTACGCGGTGGAAAGAGGGGTATCTGTCTACGTGACGAGCTCGAGTCAAGAAAAGATTGACAAAGCCCTCGAACTAGGCGCGAAGAACGGAGTCAATTATAAAGAGGACGATTGGGAAAAGAAGCTTCTTTCTCAACTTCCACCGGGGAAGAGCGCGTTTGATGCCATCGTTGACGGCGCGGGTGGCAATATCATTGAAAAAGGGGTCAAACTGCTCAAGGTGAATTCTTCCGCCCCTTGTAAAAGTCGGGCATTAGACTAATTTTATTGTTCTGCTTCAGGCCGGTGGCGTAATTGCCGTCTACGGAATGACAGTGGCGCCGAAGATGAATTTCGTGGCACAAGCCTTTCTGAAAAACATTACTGTGCGAGGTTCGACGATGGGCTCGCGCAAGGAGTTCAAGGATATGGTGGAGTTTGTAAAGTCGCACCAAATCCACCCTGTTGTTTCCAGAGTTCTGCGCACAAATCTTGACGATATTACCGGCATAGATGCGCTGTTTGACGACATGAAGACGGGCAAGCAGTTTGGGAAGCTGGTTATAGAGTTTGGCGAGGGTGGAGCAGAGAGTAAACTGTAGCAATATTCTTCAAAATATTTCACTCGTTGCTCAACCCATAAAACTACTCCGTGTCCCATAAGGCAAAACCTCGGCTGGAGACAAGGAAGAAGAATTACTGAAAAAGGCAATCTTGACAACGGCCCAGTTTCCTAAACAGGCCAGATGACATCATGCTCTCTATGAACGTTCTCAAGTCTTTTTGATTACTCCACTGACTGAGCTCTGAAGATTTCAAATTACCGTAGATATCCGAGGTGTAAACACTAACCGACCCCTAGAGTCGGTTATAATTGTCAAACTCAATGCCGTAAAAAAAAATTCTTGATCCGTAGTACGATTTTCTACGGCCCAGCGCTTGCCAAGGGAACCACTTTCTCGATGGAGCATACCGTCGCGATATTATCAGATTGTCAAATTGAGGCTCCGGAATAAGGGTGCAGTGTTCCATGGAACGGATCACCAAGGTCTGATCCAAAACGAGCTTCAAAAATACCACAGATCACTTAGTGGGAGGACAAGCGAAATGCTCGCGTTTTTAGGTGCTTATGACAGATAAACATTAGTTAAAAATACAGTATTTGTGATTGATTGAATGGTACCGCGTAAATCCTTCGCTTGATATAACTTTTCTCCTGTAGAGATATATGCATGTATACCTGAATTATCGATAGGTCGACCAAAGGCTTCAAAGTTCACTTCTACCACCTAAACATGTAACATTATCATGGTAAACAAGCTATCGCAATCAGCTCACACACACAAAATTTTCGTGTCAATAAATCAAAAAAGAAAACAACACTAATCGATTGGTCGGTGTACGTAGATATGCGTTAAATATAGTAACGACGACGTGCATATGGACAAGATCTCATGATTTGCTGGCGTCATGCCAAATCAGCACCTGGTACTCCGTGAATGCCAAATGGGATTGAGAAAAGAGGATAAAAAGGAGTAAGGGCGAACATAGGGTAGTAGCAGGGTAGCATCGAAAACACGAGGTGCGTAGCTTGTTGTTTTCTTTCAATGTGAGCTAACCTGTCAGTGTTATCCGCTGATCCTTGATAAGTGATAGACTGGGTTTTTTTACCTTCCTATACCTTTCTTGGTAGGCCACTAAAATGTGTGGTTACCTAATAGGTTAATACTAGTCCGTATTGGGCTAGAGACGTTGAATGTTCTAGGTACGCTAGTCCTAAAGATGGAAACCCGCAAAATGCTAAATCGCCGTGGTTCCTCGCATGGTCCGAGATCAGCCAATGAATACTCCGTGTAAGTGGGGTGGATGCTAAAAATAACATGAAGGGAAGAAAAAAAAAAAGACATCCGTACTCCGTACGTATCGTAATATAGTACGGCCGGTACGACCTGGGCGTAATTTGACCATTTCAGGCATAGACTACTCCGAAGTAGTGCTAGTGTTCCATATATAGTAGCTATGAACACATACTCTCCTCTTTATCTTTAAACCGTTGTATACAGTAGAACCTCTCCCTTTTCGTTCACGGATCAGGTCGGAACACCATCAGCTGATGAATTAGAGCTGACCACGACTGCTCCTGATGATGGCTGCTGTGTCAACAACATTGACAAAAATGTGACACCACCTCAGCTGCAACGGGCAGCCATACAAGTTTTCTTCCCCCATGGATTCCACTCTTGACGTGCCAGTAAGGTGAACAACGGACCCTCTTTCTATTGGCGTATTGGGTCGTTGAGCTAGGGTTCCCAAAGTTCCGAACGATTGATCATATCGGAAATGCCGTCACCCGTACAGACTGAGCTGTGCGTTGTTTGTTTGGTTAAGCATAAGGTTTGCATCTCATCTCGTCTATGATCTTGGTGGTAGTATGGAGTAGTTATGTTATATTATGGAGCCAGCGACTCGGCCGTAATTTGCCAACCCTAAATTGTGCCGACCTTTGGCCGATTTGCATATGCGAGTAACTACTAGCGAGCGAACATGGCAACGACATTGACATTTGCCTTGGGTCGGCATCCTTTTAGGCTTTAGTTAGTAGCAGGTCGCAGTTAGTTTGCAGGCTAAAGTAGTTAGTTAACAGTTACCTACGGAGTAAATCGTTATGCCATGATCACAGCTAACGTGAACTAGCAAGATAGACTATGTGACCATCGCACGGGGGCCGGAGGTTGACATTAATCTGCCTCTCCCCTCCATTCAGATTTAGATAGGATATGTTAGTTGACACTCCGTGAGATCCCGCCCCAGGAGCTGAGTGGCTAGTAAAATAGAGTGAATATGTGCGGTGGAGCGGTGAGGCAGAAAAAACCAAAAAGCTCAGGCTCTCAGCCCTTGCAGGGACCTGCGCCACTAGCCAAACCGGGAATGGCTGGTACAGTATACTATGTTTAGAATCTATGTGTGCTGGCCGTATTATTCGTATTTTCGTATTGATACCCCGGGTCCAAGTTACCACTCCAAACTATAAAATATTAAATACTCCGTACAATTAATACGCGCGAAGAAATTCCCTCCATCGTAGCTGTGTAGTTCGGTGACAGCTATATTGGTTACGTCCAATCGAACACCAGCATCGCTGAGCTCTGAAGAATACGCTACGTATTATTTAGTATTTAGTCTTCTGGACGAGGTTAGACCTGTCTGGTAGTTACGAGATCAACCACGTTGTTAAATGACTGGTAACAAGCAGCCAATTAATCAATGTTGTTTTCATTGATCAGTGATCGCCTAAATAGGAGGCCGTTTTTGGGGTATCAAGCTACCTAACGACTAGGGCCGTTTCATCTGGTAGGAAGCTAAGAGGTCAACATGCGAGGCCCTCAAGTCCGTATCAGGACTGGTCGACCAGTTCGTTTCCTGATGGTGATCAAGGCGTGTCCATGGTACTGTGCTGTGTCCACTGACGGTTGACCACGGAGGTGTGATAGTGACGATGATGCTGATGCTGATGATGGCAGTTGGTCCGTGTAAGTGAGGGCTGTGCTGGAAGCTTACCTTATCCAGACTAGCGCTGTTACAGACACTAGAGTTCAAACCGAAGTAACGATGATGTAGTTAGTTCTTTTGCATTAATTAATAGTTTAATATAGCTTCCTATTAATCTGGCTACAATCATCCGGGCAAGCTACTTAAAGGAGCGTTCGCATAGTCACTTGACTGAATACCTAGTCGTGACGGGTGATGTTGTTGAAAGGCGGCTCACCTTGGAATTCGGCCATGCGACGAGTGGATCGATACGGAGAATGTTGGCTTCGGGTACTAATTTTTGCGTTTGGCCCGTAATCACATTCGTGGCAGGAAGTAAAGCAAAAGAAAAGAAAAGCAGAAGAAAAACCATCAAGCGCTGGTTCAGCTGGCATTGCAAGACAGAACGTTCCGTCTTCCGAGCCTGTGTGTTCATAAATGCGTTAGATTACAGTATTTTATACGACCAATACCGGCGTACAGTCACTGGGTCGTCTCCGCGCCAATCAGCACGCACGGAGATCCTTGTCCAGTCCACTTGGCGGCCCGCCGCGCCATACAGAACGATACAATACACTAGTATACTGTATCTGACTAGCCAGTATTATTACGATTTGTGATGGGATGACCGCAAGGCCTTATATGCCCTTGCCTTCCCTTCCCAGCCCGCCTGTTCCTTCTTCTCTCCTCCCCCTCCATCCATCCCCAAATGACGTGAAGAGAATAGCAAAGAAGAAGAATTTTGTCCCTTTTGCTGCCTTCCCCCACGCTCGCTCTTACGCTCGCTTTGCAAAAGTATTCACTACATTCGCTACGTGACGCTGTGTCAAGGAAAAAAAGAAACTCCAACGGATCATCCATTGATATTTCAGGTGGTCATATAATCATTAATATACCGCTCCCCTCGAAACAAACGAAGCACCAAGAACATCATCTCAAAGAACGAGATATATATCTTTGGAACGACTCTACATTCGCGATATTCAATCTCCAGGAGTCCCTTCCTGCTCTTGCACGACCACAACCCACGAGCATCGGCACCGCCTCCCAGCTGTCAGCCTTCGCATATCAAGGGTTGGTCTCTCTCCCCACGTCACCTCTTGCCTTGCTTCACTTCACCCAGCCATTCTTCCTCTTCCCCTCCTTGCTGTTGGGCAATGAGAACAGCCTCCTTGTTTATCTCTCCTACATAACCCTCCACAAGCCCTGTGTCGCGGTGTTGGCAGCGTAATCTGCGCAACTACTAAATTTTGGCGCACCAATCTGCAGCTGTATAATATTCGAACTTTGAAATTACTTCTTCACCAAATTAGTGAAAGCTAACGAGCTCATTAGATTGATCCATCAAGACACCCAATGCAATCCGTATCCTACTGATACTAGTGATAAGAAGAGGACTGCTTCTAGCCTACTGGTTTCCGATTACGCACAACCGCTCTGAAATTTGAATGTGTCCCTGACCTTCAAGTTAACCCTCGCTTTTTAGAGACTCCTTTTTGTCTCTGTCATTCGTTTCATATTGAATATCTCGGGATAGTCGCTTCTCGTGGCTTTCCGTCGTACAGTCGCTCCAAACACCGTATATTGTCGCTCGCTTCGCGTTCGTTTTTAAAACCAGTGAAAAAGGCCTCGTTGCACGCGCTGCAACACAGTCAAGCTGGCTCCGTCAACTGTTCCCAGTTTTCAGGTGAGTTGAGGCTTCCTTTATCACCGCCTTTTTATACTAGCTAACTCGAGCCAAACGCGTTCACAGCTCAACTCCGACTTTCAGACTCCGCTGATATTTGACGAGTCTGCCGACTTTTCGGACCCAGAGGATTCTTGCTTTGCCGGTGCTTATTCTGACGGCCTTCTCGCAAAGTCGGATTTGACGCTGCCGATGTCTAGCTTCCACAAAACACCGCAACATGCTCTAGATGGTAGGTTTCAATAACTGCATATTTGTACACTTATCTGCTCTTTTCTGTATAGCTTGCGGCGCTTGAGCCTACCATGTGCTAATGGTGTCTTGCAGATTTCAATGATCAAGGACCTTCTGTACAGGAAAACAACGCATTTGCTTCTAACTATGGCCAAATTCCATACATGAATGCGTTCTATGCCACCTCCCAGGAGGACATTGGCAGCCCTGATTCTGACAGCTTGCACTATGTTCCCTCCCAAGGCTATGCAGGGTCTGTGTCTTTTGACGACGCTCAATCGCCCAGCTTGGATGCTCCAGTCAACTCTTCTCCTGAGATCCTTTCGTTTGCGCCCCAGCGAGGTGCTGAGAACAGTCAGGTCTCCGTACGCGTGGATTCACCCTTTGACTTGCACACTACTGCTCAGGCCATCTTCCTTTCTTTCGGTTCGCGTCAATGTGAGTGCAATGTCACTGTACTCGACAATCCCAGTGTCTCGTTCAGCTATATTTTTTCGTGCTATGCGCCGAACTTTGCTTTGACAATGGCGGCGTCTTTCGACGTCATTTTGCAGCTAGTCATTGATGTTGCTGCTGCCGGTGGTCCCCTGCTATTTCATGTCGGAACGTTTACATATGAGCAGTATTTGCAAGCTCCCATTGATGACTCTAGGAAGAGAAGTCTCTCTGCTTTTCCTGAAAGTTCAAGTGGTCGTCCGGTAAAACGTCATTCAGCCCACGAATTTGAGACTAAAGCAGTCATGGGCCATCATCGTCGTCATCATTCTCATGCGCGTTCAGCTTCTTACTCGCCGTTCGTACAGACTCCTGTGACTGCGAGCATGTTTTCCGCAACGTACGCTGTTGAAAGCTCCCCTAGTCTGACCTTTGACTCCTTTCCCGCCTCTTCAGCTGCTCTTCAGGCCCCTATTCAGCCAACTTCTCCGATGAACTCGACTTGGAGCCCCTCGGTTTCCGTCACCGATCTGTCTTCTGGCAACACGTCTGCGGCTACCCCAATGACAATCTCCTCTCAGCCCCAGAATCCAACTTTGATTCGCACTTCGACTTTACAGCAAAGTCAAAGTCTGAGTCCTTCCCAGCCTTTCAACCCATACGCTATGTATCCCACCAAGGCAGTGCTTAACTTGAACGGAGATCTTGACTCAATGGCTACCGGTTGGAGTCCCCAAGAAAAAGCTGCGAAGCGCCGTCTTGTTCAGTTCACGCGTTCCCAGAACGGCAGTGCCATCCTTGCCGACTTCAAGCCCATTTCTCCTGAGGAGCGCACTCCGAACAGCATCTGCATTAGCTGCATCTTTTGGGATGGGAAGGACGAATGCTTCGTGACTAGTGTAGATACCATCTACCTCCTGGAGTCCCTCGTAGCCGTTCGATTCACCGTCGAGGAGAAGAACCGCATTCGTCGCAACCTTGAGGGCTTTCGACCTCTCACCGTTTCCAAGTCCAAGGCCGATAGTGAAGACTTTTTCAAGGTTATCATGGGCTTTCCTGCACCCAAGCCGCGCAACATCGAGAAAGATGTCAAAGTTTTCCCCTGGAAGATCCTTTCTCTCGCGTTGAAAAAGATCATTGGTAAATATGTGAGTATATAGTTCATGAGGCTGCCTAGTCATTTTATGAGACTAATAATTGGTTTTCTAGTCTGCAAGCTATTCGTCTACTGCCGGAGCGCTTCCAGGCTCATTGAGTGCTAGCCATTCCATAAGCTCGGATCTTGGGACTGAGTCTCATGCCCCGTCTCCGCAGTCGGTGGCGGAATCCGCAACTTCCGGCGTGTATCCAGTCAACTTTGGCTCTGCCACGCTCTCGCCGTCTCTCGTGCAAGTTAATTCTGGCTTCGACCCTGAATTCGCGACAACTCTCGCAGGGCCTAGTCCCGGTTACACAACCATGGCCAATCCCTTCCGGTTTCAGCCAACTTTCCAACCGGATCAGATGCTCTCAAATGAGCCATCCTGGGACTTCAATGTCTCCTCCCGTCCGGAAGACTATGATGATTATATCCCATACACCATGGCTTGAAAAAGTGCCCTAAGAATCATCTCTCTCTTGTTGATTCTTCTTTTGCACGCGTTTCCTCGTTTGCGTGATTGCTGGATTACCACAGTTTCATTTTCTCGCCCCTTGCTTTCTGAATTGTTCTTTGCTTTGCTCTTGCACTGGCCTGCAATCTCCCACCTTCACGTCCACCTTTCAAGACATTCCTTGACCCCCCGACACGCTAATTGTGTTATGTTTTAAGAGATCTTACGATTTTACTTCAGTCATTCCTTGATCCATTCCGAAGCGAAGGCGTTTACTCATTACTCTCCTTGACCATGTGATACCCGGAATATGGCGACTATATCTGCCTATTCCACTTTTTGTTGCTTTTTCTTGTTCATGAATCATGCCACTCCTTTCATGACTTCATAATGCTAATGCATGCCCCGATGTAAATCTTCCTGTGCCTTGTTATTCGATGTTTTTTGAGCGTGTTTGTCATTTTTCCGGTTTTGTTTTTGTGATGCTTGTTTAGACACATCGGGTACATCAGCGGTCATTCCTTATCAGTGTTTGTATTATAGAGCATAGCGTGGACGTGCTATCGAAGCCACTCCTTCTGCATCTTGCATATGGGCCAGGCGTTTTGTGTTTTTGTGTGACTCTTGGATTTTCGCTGTAGGCAGCCTCCGGGCAGCTGATGCTGGATTCGAGATTTTTTTGGTATTGTGGGATATGCATAGTGCGGGGAGTTTATTGGGAATTTTATGCGACGAACGGCAGACTAATCTATGTTGGGCCGTGTCGATTTCTGTTGGTCAATCTGTATTTACTTGTGTTAATTATCCTGGCTATGTCCGGTGATTTGATGGCAATTGGACATTTGGCTCAAGTCGTTTAAGACGTTTTCCACAATATCTATCTATATATCCAGCAGCAGTTTATATATCCAACTATCCATGCATTCCTCGGAACGCGCAAAGTTGTCTTATCGCAGTCACGTGCCCTTATCGTAGCCGCCCCGAGGTCGGGGTGTGGTACGGGCGTAAAGTGGGTGAGTCGAAATTTGGAGTGACTCAGAGAACTTGTCGCCGTCTCTATTTTACTCCCACCATTCGCTCTTCCCATCCCAATTAATTGCTGCTGTGTGTTTTCGGAGAGCAAATCGTCAATTGACTGGCTCATCCTGTCCGTCTAATTTCTTCGACTCCGAACTTTTTCCTTTTATTTCGTGCCAATTTGTACGAACCTTCGCCACGCGCGGGGTTATTCAAGATGGAAGCTATCAAGGCGACATTTGCGAAATGCAAGCAGGAAAAGCGCTCCGCTCTAGTCACATATGTTACCGCGGGCTATCCGACGATTGAAGAGACAGTTGATGTCCTGTTGGGGCTTGAAAATGGAGGAGCTGGTAGGTCAACCGATTGCCCTTCTTCTTTTTGCTCGACTTGTTTCAAACCTAACCGGGGACTTCTCGTTTTGTCACCCTCTAGATATTATCGAACTTGGTCTACCATTCACAGATCCAATTGCCGACGGCCCAACAATTCAAAAGGCCAATAACCAGGCGCTGCTGAATGGTGTCACGATTCCAATCGTCTTGGACATTGTCCGCACCGCGCGGAAGAGCGGCCTGAAGGTTCCTGTTCTTTTCATGGGCTACTATAATCCGTTGCTACAATATGGAGAGGAACGCATGCTCCAGGATACCAAAGAAGCGGGTGCCAATGGCTTCATTATGGTGGATTTGCCTCCTGAGGAGGCTGTGCGATTCCGTAATCTGTGCACTTCCACTGGGTACGTTGGCCGTATAGTCAATCCAATGTGTTCGTATTGTTTGGGGATTATTGAATGCTGACAAGTGTCTTGTATAGATTGTCATATGTCCCTCTTATCGCTCCTGCGACTTCTGATTCGCGCATGAAACTCCTCTGTCAGATTGCCGACTCGTTCATCTACGTTGTTTCGAGAATGGGCGTTACTGGCGCCACGGGCACATTGAGCACTGGCCTGCCAGAGTTACTCAAGAGAGTCCATCAATACTCAGGAAATGTCCCCGCCGCCTTGGGTTTCGGTGTGAGTACTCGCGAGCATTTCCTAGCCGTCCAAGACATTTCCGAGGGCGTTGTCATCGGAAGCCAAATCATCAGTGTCCTCGGTCAAGCACCCGAAGGCCAGAGGGCCCAAAAAGTGGAAGAATATATTACCAGCGTCACCGGTCGCAAACTGGAGCGCGACAGCCAGGGTCAAATTGTCAGTGTGAAAACAGTCTTCGAGGTTGTGGAAAAGAAGCCTCAAGCAGACGACGGCGCTCAACCAACGGCTGTTATCACCGAAGGCGAACCAGGCGCTGCACAGCCAAATCTGGTAGACCAGATTGAAAATCTCAATAAAGCAGATGCTGATCCGGCTGCTCTGCCCTCTCGCTTTGGACAGTTTGGTGGACAGTATGTCCCGGAGTCTCTTATGGACTGCTTAGCGGAGCTAGAAAAGGGATTCAATGAAGCGAGGAATGACCCTAAATTCTGGGAGGAGTTTCGTTCATACTACCCCTATATGGGTCGGCCGAGCCGACTACATCTCGCCAACCGCTTGACGGATCATGTTGGAGGTGCAAATATATGGTTGAAGAGAGAAGATTTGAATCATACCGGAAGTCACAAGATCAACAATGCTCTTGGCCAAGTCCTTCTAGCACGTAGACTCGGAAAGACTCGTATCATTGCCGAGACTGGCGCTGGTCAGCATGGTGTTGCCACAGCCACGGTCTGTGCCAAGTTTGGCTTGCAATGTGTCGTCTACATGGGTGCAGAGGATGTGCGACGTCAAGCACTAAACGTCTTCCGCATGCGACTTTTGGGCGCATCGGTTGTCGCTGTTGATGCTGGAACAAAGACCCTCCGAGACGCAGTCAACGAGGCCATGCGTGCCTGGGTTGTCGACCTCGACACTACACATTATATCATTGGTTCTGCGATTGGTCCTCATCCTTTCCCAACGATCGTACGGACCTTCCAATCCGTCATTGGTGACGAGACCAAGGAGCAGATGAAGGAACTCATTGGGAAGCTCCCCGACGCAGTTGTCGCTTGCGTTGGCGGAGGCAGCAATGCAGTTGGCATGTTCTACCCTTTCTCCAACGACCCCAGCGTCAAGCTCGTCGGCGTCGAGGCTGGCGGCGATGGAGTCAACACCGGTCGCCATGCCGCCACACTCAGCGGCGGTTCCATGGGCGTTCTGCACGGCGTACGCACCTACGTCCTGCAAGACAAGCACGGCCAAATCCAAGACACCCATTCCGTCTCCGCTGGTTTGGACTACCCTGCCGTCGGCCCCGAGCTTAGCAATTGGAAGGAAAGCTCTCGCGCAAAATTCATCGCGGCCACGGACGCCGAAGCCTTCCGCGGTTTCCGTATGCTATCTCAACTAGAGGGTATTATCCCGGCTCTGGAGTCGTCTCATGCCGTCTTTGGGGCTATTGAGCTCGCTAAGACTATGAAAAAGGGCGAGAATATTGTTCTCAATCTTAGCGGTAGAGGTGACAAGGACGTGCAAAGCGTGGCTGAAGAACTTCCCCGATTGGGTCCTGAGATTGGCTGGGATTTGAGATTTTGAAGAGATGAGCTTTCCCCCGCCCCGTCTGTGTAAAAAGTCAGGAAGCTCGATCTAGAGAGATATGTATAGTTTATGACAAGTATTGATGTGATGTCTTTTCTCGGGTATTGGAAAGCAGGCATTTGTATGTGCTATCTAGAAACTTGAATGCAATTAACTGATTGTTTGTGATCATAAATGTCAGCTTGACGGTGCATACATATATCCTCGTCTAATATCGATACATAGGCACCGATTTTCAGCTGATTTATTCAAGTTTATCGTAAGAAATGCTAAGTAGTTCAACGTATCAATCACTATGCATCGCCAATGCCTCCCACCCATATATCATATCAAGTCATGTCATACCAAATAGCAGTAACAAACAAGGAGAAAAGAAAAAAAAAAAAAGAAATCACCAACGCCAGTCCTTCTCAATTGGTTGACATTGAGATTCACCTAAATCAGTCCATCATCCTTCCGAAAACGCCCAGAGAAATGATATATAGCAGTAGCAACGCGATTTATTGCAGAATAATGAGCGGAGAAGAGAGAGGGAAAAAAAATTATTTGTTTAATCAATTTTTGCTCCAGCCAGACCTCTCGGGGTGGTAAGATTGTTGGATAATCGGATGCGTGTCTTTTTGGCGTGCTTTTTCAGCTTCTTGCGAGCCACCATCACGGGTACTGAGGATTTTGTGACGAGGTAATTGGAGAACGAACCGAGGAGTACGCTGTGATGAGGGTTAGTTAGGATCTGTTTTTAAATTAGATGGGATGATTGTAGTCACCTACCCCTTTATAGCACTTCGGCCTCTGGAACCGAGAATAACTAGGGTAGGCTCGAGTCCGTCAATCTATGGAGCATGTCAGTAAGTCGATCGAAGAACAATGAGAGGGATGGAGGGAGAGAAATTACAGCCTCGGTGAGCAAGTGTTTGGGGCTCTTGCAATGAATAACTTCAACAGCCACGCGGACCTGTAGCATGGTCTTCCTCAGCAGACGCACGCAGGTGTTCGATATATCATGTATAGCACGCGAGCGTTCTTGTTCAGCGCGTGACAAGGCGCGCGCATCGACCGAGTTATTCCGCGAATTGACCTTGCTGTCCGTGCCAAAATACGCTGCCAGAGCGTTTGGGAGCAAACTCGACGACGCCTGGTATTTCATCGCCGTCTTCTCGGTTTGTTTGCCCACTACGTCGGCCGTATGCCTGATGACTGTTGCGCCGTCGCCAATTTGCACGCCGCTCGAGAGGTCGACTCCAGAAGCGTTCTCGTCGGCGACCGCATACATTGCAAAGAGCGTATCTCCGTCGCGGAGAATCGTGCCGATGGTCCACTCCAGTGCGTATACGGATTCTTCGCTGAGATCTGTCGCAACCAGGTATTTCCGCTGCCGCCGGAGCCCTTCTTCAGCTTCTTGTTGCAGACGCGGGAAGTCGCCGCGGATGATTGTGCGGATCGCCCGGTCGGGGATGGATGCGTCAACGGAGGACATGTGGATGCTGAGATTCTGCGCCTGTTTGATGTCGTAGAGATCATTTTCATCGTCTGAGCCGACTGGGGTATTCACACTGGATCCATTGTGATCGTAGCTGGTGTTTGGGTGGACGCCAGACTTCCGGGGTCCCGGTGACAGCACCGTCCTGCGTCCATTGGCCCCGCGATGCGTGACGAGGGGACCGTTGAGTTCCTCTGCGTGGATGAGAGAGCAGTCAGTCAGTAAGCGCGAGTAGCCAGAAAGGGTGGGGAAACGTACGCTCTTCCTGTAGCTCGTTGAACAGACTCAGTGCGCCGCCCACCCTGGGACTGCCCGGCGGCAGCGGACCAGGGCCTCTTTTCCCGCTCCAACCTCCAGGGGGCGCTGGTGAGCGCGCGGGAGACACACCCGGCGAGGGCTCTGCCTTGACCTTGCTTCTGCCACGCGGGGCGACAGGGCCTTTCCGGATATCGTGAACGTCTTCCTCAGAGCTAGTGTCGTCCGCTTCGTCGCTGCTTTCCACGTAGTCCGAGTTCTCGTCGGCGCTCTCGACCCTGTCCTTGGGCAGACGGCCGTTGCGGTCGGATGTGCGCTCTGCTGACTTCTCCATTCTGGTTTTGGTGGTTGGCGGTAGGTGTTTGCTGGCGGGGAGAGACGGGGAAGGCTGGACGACGTCGGGAACGGACTGGGGCGGCCTAGCAGAGTAGCGCGGCGGCGGTGCTATCATTATCAATAATCAATCAGCCATTTTCCCTGCATTCTGGCATTCATTCATGCAGCAAGAACATTCAAACGTTCTCGACAGAACTTCAACGTACTGTGCCGGAAACTCGGCTGCATGCCGTACAGAAAGCCCGCGTCAATGTCGACTTCGTCCTTCTTCCTGCGCTGCGTCACCGCCACACTGTCCGATGCGCGCCGCTCGGGCTCTGCATCGCTGGCCTCGTAGAGACCGTCGTCCCATTCGGAGAACAGCGTGTTGGTCCAGGGCGACGAGCTGGCCAGCGGGCTGCTCACCGAGGCGCGCCGGTTGGTCTTTTCCCTCTTGTTGCCAGTGCTCTTCCTACCGCGCCCGTCGGCCTTGGAGCTCTTCAGCCCGTCGAGGTTGCGCAGCAGCTCTTGTCGCTCGTCTTCCAGCGTCTGTTCCAGAGACATCGTGGGCTGTGGCTTGTGTAGCATGCTAGGAAGAAAATCCGGGGGTGCGGTGCGGGGGACGGACGGCTCTTATGCCTCACCTCAGTAGTCGACGGATTAACCGCAAACGGCAGACCTACTCTTTTTTGCCTTTCTATTTGTTTCTTTTTAATTAAGACGCCTGGTCTGGCCAAAGCTAAGCGTCAGAAGAGGATCGCTCTTCGTTTCTCGGCGAGGATCCTGGCAAATAACAAGGACTGACTGACCAGCACTAGCCTAACCAACTATCTGCCCTGTTGTAAGCAACTTAGTTTCGGACTGGCTATGGTCCGGGGGAATTGGATGCTGTAGAGCGTCTGCCTGCTGGTTAAGTAGTATTGTTGAATTCGCCAGCATCATTCTTGGCTCGCGGGGTAGGCGAGGCTTAGGCTTGGGCTGGGCTGGGCTGGGCATTCTCATCCCTTATTGCTATACCTGTTGATACGTGCTGCATTCGTCTCACAAGCCACCCAATAAGACGATCTTGTGGGAAAGTGTGAGCTGTGGCTCAAGCCCAGGACCGTCTCGACTAATGCATCTCTCTGTGCTACCTGGCTATCTCAACCCTATAGCAAGGATCATAAGCCGTACACCGCGTTTCCAGGTCATGATTACATACATAGTCATAAGTTGACAAATCATCGCGCCAAACTCCTTCGCTATACATGAATGCGTGCCAAGTACCTAGTACGTACTCGTGGCAAGAGGAAGACAAAGAAAGAACGAGAAAAAGAAAAACAAAAAGAAAACAACAACAACAGCAATGTAAACAGATTCCACATGGGCAGTCTTGGCCCCCTCAAGCTCTAGACCGCTTGGCTTTCTCTTTGCTGTGTTTTTTGCGCGCGCCAACAGCTGCAAAGGCCTCTTCCGAGGGTTCATCCGCGGCAGAACGCTTGGTACCCCTGCCCTTGGGTGCGTACTTGGCTTCAAGATCATCGAAGAAATTGGCCGCTCGAGATTTCTGGCGCTGTTGAATCAGAGCCGCCAATGCATTATCGTCTTCCTTGGTGGCTTTGTTCTTCTTCCTGCCTTTCCCTTTGGCCGAGGACGAGGACCTCTTTTCTTCTTCCAACTCTTTGGCCGCTTCCTCGGCTTCGGCAGCCTCCTGTTTGGCATGCTTCAATCGTTTCTGGCGTTTACTTTCCGGTTCCTCGGTATATTTAGGCCAGCCCTTGACTTCTCCCTCGGCGATTGCTTTGTCAATAATGGCCCGGAACCGCTCATCGTCATCCAGCACATTGCTCAGCATAACCACTTCGTAGACACGGTCAAGATCACCTTTGTGTTGCTCAAAGGCAGCGAGGAGATCGGCCCGCTCTTCGTCGGAGTTTTGGTATTCCTTCTTGATCTTGTCAATCGCCGAAGTGTCGACCACCCCCGAGAACTGCTCCCGGTAGAATTCTGTCCAGTTGAAGTCATCGTCTTCCAAATCTAGCGTCTCAGACGTGTTGCCTGTAAGATCGTATCGACGGCGCCGGCGCTCATCGGAAAGAATGGCATAGGCGAATGCGATTTCCTGAAATTTCTGCTTTGCCTCGTCTCTAGACTCATGCGGCGCCTTGTCTAGAGGATTTAGCACGTGATTATTCCTGTTGGTGATAAGGTCGTACCTGGATGATGCTTCAGGGCCTTCTTCCTGTATGCGCTTTTGATCTCGTCTGCGGTTGCCTTCTCTTCGACTGCGAGGACCTCGTAGGGGTTGATGGAGGCTGGAGGCTTGCCGGCCAGGTCTTCGTCCTTGGACATTTTGTAAGCGTGATATGACAAAGTAGTGCTCAAGTGGTGAAGCAAAGTGAGGTAAAGTCAAGGAGGAAGATGCAGAAGGACGCGCTGACGCGTGAACCCCACGCGACCTCAATTAACAGGCGTTTACCGTACCGTACCGTCATGATTCGCCTGCTGCACTGTGCTTTTCGTAAAATTGTCAACATATTGTATTCACTGTTGTGATTGGTAATTATCGCTTTGCTGAGAAAGACAATGCTGCTGTTTTTGTGCAGCTGCACTGTTTCTTCTATTAAGATTGCGAGATACGATGAAGTTTACATCTCTAGGGTTGTAGGGTTATCGTTAGGGTTGCTCCGCGGGGGCTGATGTCATCGCTCCACCATAGCTTTTCCAACTCTCACTTTCAAATGTATTTCTCTGATGAGTCTCTTCAGGTTGATATTTTGACACAAAAGTCTCCACAATGACAACCTTCGCCGCTTCTCAGCCCTCCCTTTCGCCCTCACAATCAAGCCACATCCAGTACCTGCGCCAATGCCTCACCCTAGCTGAGCAGTCGCCTCCGCGGCCAACCAATTTCCGCGTCGGCGCCCTGCTCGTCCTCCGGCATGACACCGGCGAGCCTACATCCGACGACAAGGTGCTCTCGACGGGCTACACAATGGAGCTTCCGGGCAACACGCACGCAGAACAATGCTGTCTACAAAACTACGCCGCCGCACACAGCGTCTTCGAGGAACAGGTAGCCGACGCCTTCCCCCCGGAAGCCGAACGCCATGGCCGGAAATTACTGCTCTACGTGACCATGGAGCCCTGCGGCGTGCGCCTCAGCGGGAACACCCCTTGCGTGCAGCGCATTATCCAAACCCGAAATAGCCAAGATAGTAGCAGTAGTACGAGTACGAGTGGTAAGGGCAGAGGAGGGATTGATAAAGTGTACTTTGGAGTGAAAGAACCAGGCACCTTTGTCGGCGAGTCCCAGGGCTGTAAAATGCTGAGCAAGGCCGGTGTGCAATGGGAGTTTGTGCCGGGGCTTGAGAACGATATCCTGGCTGTTGCGACGGCGGGGCATCAGCAGCAGAACAAGAAACAGGAGGCTGATGAGCGAGGGACGAATATCGAGGCTATTTCTCAGGAAGAGAGGGAGCGGCAGGAGAAGTTGCCGCGGAATCCGAAGAAGAGAATGATGGATACCAGCATGTGATATAATTAGATCATTGATTGATATGCATCTGAGTGCAGATGAAAGACCTAGGTATAAAGCTAGCCAACCGAATCTGAGCTATCACTATGCCCCTGGACCCAATTCTGCACGCTCATAGCTTGTTCCCGTGGGTAGCTCGCTCCTCGCAGCCCCCATTTCCATCGCATCTGCCGGACGGCCCATGCTATAACAAGCATTTTTCGGGTTGGCTGGCCGTGAAACGAGCGCCCGAGGCTGTTCATACTTCCGCCTTGCTGCCATCCAAAGCAACCCTGCCAACGCCGGCACCTACAGCAACTGTCGAGCTCTTCGGATACGTTGTAGCATTTGAGCACGACGAGGAAGCTCCCGAACTCCCCGTAGAGGTACTAGAACGAGAACTTGAGCTCGTAGCAGTCTGTGTCGCGGTCGTTGAAGCAGTGGTAGTGGTATATGCACTTGCGAGACCAAAGGTGATGTTTGTTGACCCATGTCGCGTTTTTCCATTCGAATCCGACTCCGCTTGTACAGCAGTCGTCCGTCGAGTTGGAGGGCTGGCAGCAATAGGCTTGGGAGGAACTGCAGAAACGCAGAACTACCTGGTCGTCATCGCTGACTGTGGCAATGTCAGTCAAAGTACCTAATATTTACCGAGAGAAACGACAAGGTGTAGTATACCGCTGGTGCAAACGTTTGGACACGAAGACCCCCATTGATCATCAGTACATGCGCCACGGTAGATGTAGCCAAAATACATTGACATGCACAAGCCGTTGCTGAAACATGGGTCATGGTGAGCATCATCGTAGTAATAGCAGCATGCACCGCCATTCGTGCTGCAGGGCTGATAGCCTGAGAGATCCCCGTTGGGCCAGTAACATTCCTGGCCATGCGCATATCGGGAGCACAACAGAAGGAGTATCAGCCATATTGAATGCATGGAGGATACAGAAATCATATTAGACATAGACATGGACATAGGCCGTACTCCGCAAGCAATGTACGACTCGGGCCCATACCGGTTTTATTTAGAACGAGGGCTCCCTTATAGCAAAGGCAAAAAGCCCTAAGAATACACGGAACGGAGTACACATTACGGCGTCTCCGTAAGCTAGAAATGCAAGTGACCAGAAGAAATAGGCTCTGAATTGTTGGTTGCAGCCAAGATACTAAATGTTGGTGCGGCTGGATTGCGGTGTGAAGCCCTGGCTCAGACTACGAGTCGTGTTCTTGCAAATGTTTCTAATTGGAGAACACAACATGTGAGTAGAAAAATGGATCAATGTACAGAGTCAAACTTTTCATTCATGTTAGACAACAGCTTTACACTAGTCAACTAACTACCAAGCAGGTTGATGATTAAATCCAGCGCTATAGATCTACAAAAGTAGTGTTCTCAATGTAGCTCTTCTCCGCAATTCCAATATGCAGGGCGCCCAGATCAAAGACAAAGAGATGCTGCAACATAAACGAAGCACCGATGCAGGCATTCGGCTGTGGTAGACCACCATTCGTGGCCGGAGGAATTACCTGGATGTTGCCCATGCAGGTGTCGCCAGTCACCACGCCAACGTTCAGCAGACTGCCGGGGATAGTGAATTTCTTGCCGCTGATGGTCAAAGAGAAGTCGGGCAGAGTCTCGTTGCAAGGGAACACGAATGCATCGTACTCGGTACTGTTCACGGCGGTAGGCACCTGGGCATAGTAGGCGCTTACGATCTCCGATGGGAAGAGGTTCTGAAGCGTTCCGGTATCGACGATGGATGCAAAAGGGCTTTCCACGTACAATCCATCGGATCCGACTTCATATCCGTCCACAGTGATGGACCACCAGCCCTGTTGGCTGTCGCTCGTGTTTACAGGGGTCCATGTCAGGGGCTCGTCGATCAGGCTCCGGTTGATGTACCCGAAATCATAATGCGACTCTGCCTCCAAGTAGAGGTCGGCGACAAGGACAGGCAGAGAGAGCTTGTCCTTGATATTGTCGAAAAAGGTGTTTTGTTTGACGGGCTTGACCGTGTTGTTCTTCTTCAGTGCCATGCCCACGATTCCCGTGGCGCCCAGCTCTGCGAATCCAGAGGTATAGTTGACGATTGACTCGACGGCCTGTGAGGGCGCAGTGATGCCTCCAAGGGTAAGCACGTCGAGGAACACATCGCCACTGGCCTCGATGTCGCCGCTCGTCTCTTGGTCGCCGTTTCCGTAGATGATATCGAATGTGTAGCCCTTGAGTAGCCTGGCCGTAATGCTGTCTTGCGGCTCATAAAGCGAGATGTTCGCGGGTAGTCCAGATTTCTCGGACTGGGAACTGTACATAACACTGGCAGCAGAAGAGTTAGGAAGAAGATGCTTTTTGGACATAGCGCAAGAATTATGGTGAATAGTTACCAGTCCCACGAGCCGGTGTCAAGAAGGATTGGCAGTTCCTGTGGCGGAGTTCCAAACGCAGCTATGACAGCCCACTCGCCAGTGGCAGCATCATAGGTAGTCACGGTAGAACCTGAGCATTTGGTAGGTCAGTCAAATCTTCTCTGTGAAAACACTGTCCGAAGTAGATTGCTCACCATCTACATCTCCCCGGCGTACCAGACTGGCAAGGCCTTCCGGGATGGCACGTCCATATCTGGACAGCCCACGCGCATGAACATGCGAGGCAGCATGCGAATTCCGCACGGCTCTGAGAGATGTGGTGAGACCAGCAGATCTTTCGGGAATAGCATTCGCAGCCACGAGAGGTCCAACAGCGAGTGCTGCCAGACCAAGAACAGAAACGGAGACCATGATGAACTGAAGATTCTTCTTATTTGCCCACAGACCTCTGGAGAATGCACAAATCACGGAAGGAAAGCATTGAGGGGTTTTTATATACTCATCACAAAGTGTGGGATATACACTTATCCAGAGAGTACATAAGCAGTATTTTACCTAGTTAGTTAACTAATGTCCAGGTCATCGTGATCCAACGCATGACTGCGGTCAGGGGGCTTATGTAGCTATGCAACTAGATACCACCTGCCCAAAAAAGGCACGCCGCTGTAGCTACTGCAAGCAACAAATAATACCCCTGTAGGTGTGGAAATCGGATGGATTCCATGCATCTAGGCCGTTGGGTTTTGGCCCCCAAACGCTGATCCCGGTTCCATGTAGATTATAGTAGGCGCCATATAATCATACTAGGGCCCTTTGCTGGCAGCACCGAATACTACATAACAATACCCTTTTAATATGTATTCCGTCTCTGTTTGCATTACTAATATATACTTAATACTTTATAGTTACATGATAACTAGGTGAGATGAGTATCTACCTAAGCGGAGCTGGACAGTACATTCCTCGCCGGAAGTACACGGAATGGATAGTTCTCTCTCTCTCAGCTCAGTCAGCTTACAAGTTTTATGAGCATGATGTGTCCATTCTCCACTCTTTCTCGCACTTGAACCGTGCATGCTATCCACAACGCGGAGTAAAGTCTACATTCATTCGCAATGCGATATGCCCCGAGTCTAGATCTCTTACTCATGCTTAAATTCTTCCGGAAGCCTTGGAGCCGATGAGCCGACGGCCATTTCTCGATCAGGCAGTCGTCGCACTTGCACTTGCGCATGCTTAGAAATTCCGGTGAGCTCGGCATGGTCGTCTCAGGCCCTGGCGCACATCATGGTTCATCGTACTTGGTTCAGACAGTCAGTGCACGATATGCGCTGTTTCTCGATTCGGCTAGAAAGCGCGGCTTGACATGGTCGTATGAATCATGCCAACTTATGGTTGTACTGCATACTACGGGGGTTATCGAGGTGAGAGGTGAAATCATACAGTCGAAGAGCTGCTGCGTTGTGGTCGTGGCATGAGGGCTCCGGTAATCCCGTGATCTTATGCCACATACGTTTTTACAAATCCAGCGTCTCTGGCTGCGTTGGGTTTATTGATCCTACCATGTTCTCCTGGTGAACGAAGCTCCTCCAGGGATATAATTCATATAATACGTATATATATTGAATGGACAACTCGAGCAAAGAAATCTTGGCTTGGACTCTTCTGTCCATCCCTAGAGTGGCTGTTGCGAGCCCTAGTCTCGACTATGACGAAAGACGTGCTGATCTGTGCTCCTTTGAATAGACTTGCTCAATTATGTATGTCAAGGACAGGCTGACGAGGGAAACGTAGGGCAGTAGAATAGGTGAGAGCTGACCAGCCACGCCATCTATGCCTACCTATTACTTTATCTATGCGTTCATTTGTATCGACAACAATCGGAGACTTTTGAATGATTCGACGAGTTGTGCCGATAGAGTTGCTAGCAGGAAACTTGCGATCTAGTGCTTATGTCTAGATGAATCAGCTTCGGACTCAGCCAATCCATGAACATGAAATATGAATATTACTAGAGTAATGTTTATCAATTTTTCGAAATGTTCCCCGTGCGGAGGATGAGGATGAGGATGTTGAATGCTAGTAGATACGTTAGATGAATGGCTATTATTTTGATTAACACTCACTATCCACAAACCAAGTAACCATAAAAACACAGCGTACGATTCTTCATTCTTTCCCTCAACAAAATAGCTAAAACTATCCTAATCACGGGCTGTTCAGCCTACGGCATAGGCGCAGCGTTAGCTCTCTCTCTAGCCAAGCGGGGCCACCACATCTTCGCGACTGCGCGCTCGCCTACCAAAATTCCCACTGCGCTCTCCTCACTGCCGAATGTGACAGTTGTAGAGCTGGACGTAACGGATCCCGTTACAATCGATGCGGCGGTCCGTACGGTGCAGACCCACGGTCAGAGTTTAGACGTGCTCGTCAACAACGCCGGCGCAAGTTACACGATGCCCTTGCTAGACGCAGATCTAGACCGAGCCCGGCAGGTCTACGAGGCCAATGTTTAGGGTCCGTTGCGCGTAGTACAGGGGTTTGCTGCTAGTTCAAAGTCGAGGTCGGATAGTCAATGTGAGCAGCGTAGGTGCCGTAGTGAATACGCCTTAGATTAGTGAGTAATCTGAAGACTCAGACTCGGATGAATCAAAGGGATATAAAGCTAATTGAGGGAACAGGAGTGTATTCGTCTTCCAAGGCAGCTGTGGTGCAGCTCTCCGAGACTTTGCGGCTGGAACTGAGTCCCCTAGGTGTGCAAGTCGTGTGTCTAATGGTCGGCACCGTCACGACTGCGTTCCATGCCAATGAACCTGAGGTTGTGCTGCCTCCTGCATCGCGATATGCCGCAATCAGGGCGACTATCTGAACTGGGCCACGGGTCGAGCCGGCCCAAAGGGAGGCTCCGTGGAGGAGTTTGCAGAATCTATAGTTGATGTGGTCGTGGGCGCCAACTACGGTGGTTTGGTCTGGAAGGGGGCCAACAGTGCTGCTGTGAGGTTTGTGTCTCGCTGGTGTCCTGCTGGGTTGCTGGTAAGTGTAGCTGTTGCTTTGCTTTCTAGTAATTGTTGTCTAACATGGTTGAAACCAGGATTGGATGATGAGCAATGGGCAGGGGCTGGAAGAACTGACCAAAGTGGAGGACAAGAAGTGAGCTCGTCTTTCGTTTGTTCAACATGTTGTATAATTTCCTATATGTACAAATGTCAGTGCCTGTCTAGGTAGACACCCCAATTCGATTCTCCATATATCTCGAACCCGCCATTTGTGAAGACTACCGGTTTGAATGCAGACGAAGGAATGTCGTTGGACGCAAGGGCGGGGAAAAGCCCCGGTAGATCACATGACCACGCAGCATGTCGTGTCAAGCCTCGACAGCATCAAGCCAACACTCACTCCACTTATTAACAAAAACCAAGCACAAACTTCATCGCACACTGCCAGCTATATAAGCCCTCGAATCAAAAATGAGCCCGTTCCTCCATGGCCGAAAATGCCTCGTCCTCCAACATCCTCGCCAGGGTGAACGAGAAACACGTCGTCCACTACCAAGATAATGATAAACATGAGCGAGAGCGAGAACAACAGTATGGAAAAGCAAAGAGTCAAGATTTGCCATTCTATCCTGCTTTCTGCTTCCCCGCATCCCCGACCCATTTCACCTGGGTGAAAATGAGCATCGCGGATATCCACCGTTTGCGAGGGAGGAGCGGATTTGAAGGTGTGATTGATTATTGCACCTATATACCATTATGAAAAGAAGAAATTTTTTTTAACAATGGACAAATTTCTCTAATGCCAGCGACTTGCCAGGCCAGAATATCCTCTTCTACAACAACCATCCCATCCAATTCGTGTGTCTAGCCGGCTACATCGTCTCGCGCGAGGACTACGAGCGCCGCACCGTGCTAAACGTCGACGACAGCAGCGGCGCCATTCTCGAGCTCATCACGTTAAAAGCTCCGGTCAAACAGGACGCGCACATCGGCAATGCCTCAGCAGAAACAGAGACCGCAGAAATGACGCACATAACCTCCACAGCGCGCACGCCAATCGACATCACGGAACTTCGCATCGGCACCGCAGTCAAAATCAAAGGCACACTATCATGCAAACTGCCGCTGTTCCAGACTACAAACACACAAGTAATCCTGGAACGGTTCTGGGTTCTGTGCGACACGAGCGCAGAAATCAAATTCTGGAACGAGCGCTCCCGCTTCCTGATGGATGTTCTTTCGAAGCCGTGGTGTTTGACGGAGGATGAGATTGCGTCGCTGCGCCAGCAGGCGCGCGTCGAACAGGGTAGAGCGATGAAAGAGAGGCAGAGAATGCAGGAGCGGAAGAAGAGATTGGAAGGGAGGGAGCAGAGGTATCAGAGACGCATTGTCCGGAGATGGCAAGCGGAGGAGAAGTTGAGGGAGAAGGAGAGTGAGCGTGTTAGGGAAAGTAATAAGAGGTGGTTGGCTTCAAAGGGACTGATTGGCTGAATTGACTATATATACTGAAATACATGATGTATATCAGATGCACATATTTGCTCTTCCGAAATAAATACATCAACGAATAAATTATCGTATATTACATGAAAGATGATTTGAAAAAAGGGGCAGGGGGGGGGGAAACGACCAGGTATCATTGCTATCGAACCAACAAACCAACCGAACTAAGGACAACTCAACGATACTTATATTCAGGGCCACCGCCCTGTCCACCCAATAAACCGCGGTAGTAATCCTCGTCATTCCATGTCGATCTTCCAGAACCACCCAGATGGTCGTGGTATCGACGCTCGCGCTCTCGCTCCCGTTCGCGAAGAAGCTCGTAGTCCCTGCTATCGTCCCGGTCATAATCCCGATATACGAGCCGGTCATCATCATCGAAGCTATCTCCAACAGCAGCCCCGCTAGTCTTGTAGTGATGGCCACTGCTGTCCATAGTCATATAACTCGGTTCGTAAGAGACCAAATCGGGCTCCGAGTGGCGGTAGTCGCCTGATTTATTGGCATTGACTCCGACAGACGAGCTGCGTCTATGGCCCGGCTTGGAAGAAGAGATTGATGCATGGTGCATATGGCCGCTGTGTCCTGTAGGATTTGTTGATGATGGACCTACTCCTCCTCCTCCCCGGGCATAAGGTGGATCTTGGGCGTAAATATGTGATTGCCGTCCTGCAGATGCGCTCTCCGTCTTTGGGATGGCATTTGTAGCTGTCTCTTCATATACTTTGCCCCCGCCAGGTTGGGCGGAGTATGGTTTTCTCTCTCGTTCAATTGGACGAGAAGTCGTCGTTGTGTCCTCCTCGTCCTCTATACCCGCGGATGTCGCTTCTCTTTCTTGCGAGTTGGACTTCGAAACAGTCACAGGAGGAGCAACGCGGTCGGTTGGTACTCTAGATGGGGATCTCTCTATGGGAGTTCGTAGTGAAGAAGACGGCGGCTTGGAACTCTCCTCGACCGGGTTGCGGGGGAGTTCAACTTCACAATGAGCAATGATGGAAGCCTCCAGCTTCTCCAATATGCTTATATCCGATGAACTCGGAAATAGACGACGGGGCAGCTCTTTGGGAAATCGCTCTTTCTTGTCATCCGGGTTGCTAATTGGCATATCAAGGACTGTTTTCTGCAGACGAGAGAATTCCCTGTCTGGATTCGCTTGTATCATAAGCGTATACCATTTTTCAAAGCCTCGGGGAGTGAGGCCCGGAATATCTGGTCGTTCTTTCAGGTTCGAGGGGTCCTGGACGAGGTGGTGTTCTGCCTCGATGCTTCGATAAATCCTTGAAATGGACGATGTCCGGTCATCGAATATGTCTGCTCAAGCGGATCGGTTAGGGCAACGGGTTCCAAGGACAGAAATATGGGGGGGGGCAACTTTGCTAACCATGCCATGGATACGTATCAGTTGAGATCTTGGTATCTGCATAATACTTCTGCATTTTGTCCGGAAGAACAACCATAGTGTTCCCGGGCGGGTAGTCCTCGATCTGTATTGCATGGTCAGGAAGACGTCCCCTCTTATTTTAGGGTGGGCGTATTTCATACCAAATGCACCGCAATGCCTCGCAGAAGCTGGCCCAATCTTGGCGTCGGCTGGCCATTATTATCGAACAATCTGCCCCATATTCTTTCCACGGTAGTCAGCTCCTCCTGTGTAGGTTCACGCCTGAACATATTTGATCGCGAATCCGGCGCCGTCGCAGAACGCCTATCGGCCGGAAGATCTCGTCTCTCCGGTGGCACAGAAATTGACTCCTGTGCGCGGGTATCCTGTGGTTGGGGTTGAGCATCCTTGTGCGATGCCAGCTGATTGTAATACGCTGCTTCTGGCCCTGCTGGTGTGGATAGTGGCTGGGAAGGCACCGGCTGTGCCTGCACTGGTGCCACTGCTGGCCCTGCTGGCGGTGGAGGCGGAGGGGATTGCTGCTGGCCCTGAAACCCCTCCAGGCCATATGCCTTTAGCTGCTGGATGACAGTTGCGGTGACTTGGGAGATCAGCTCCGGCGAGAGATAGCCCGCGTTGTTGGTATTATCAGGGTTGTTGTTGTTGTTGTTGTTGTTGTTAGTGTTGTTAGTGTTGTAGGGAGCGCCACTGCTGGGGGGTCTGAACAACGGGGTCGGCGGGTTCTGGTAGGAGGGCGATGGCATGCGGGGATGAGGCATTTGAATCTGATCGGAGACGTGCTGCGAGGGATACGGAGGATTGTAGGTCTGTTCGTTTGCGTATTCCTCCTGGGGGCGTGGAGGTGAGGGGTCGTAGTACGAGTCATACGCCATGTTTGGTGTTTTGTTTGTTGTCGTCGATGTCGGTGGTGGTCTCGCGCAAAAGACCGCTGGAGTAGTCGACTCGTTGGTTTTGCAACTGTCCAGCAGCCAGAGAAGAGGCGAGAAGAAGAAGTGAGAAGAAGAAGTGAGACGGTTCAAGGCTGGCAAGCACCTGACCGCGACAGAAGGCGGGCAGCGGCAGAGCTCCAAGTTGCAACCAGCAACACCTCGTGCCACTATGCACACTTTGGGGGAGAAAAGGAAAAGAAACAACACGAAAAAGAAATGCAGAGAAGACATACGCCATGTGCGAGACAAAATGCGAGCCTACGTCACTGGCAGGGATGCACTAACTAACAACTACTAATGCTGCAATCACCTTTAGGCCTCCCCGCACTAAACGTTGTCGATGGTCTGCATGAATTTTGAATATCTCCTCCATACGGGCTATTGGCCAATGCTAATGCGACTACTAGGCATCGTACAGTCTACAACAACGCCGGCAACACACCTCTCTCGAGCTAAAAACAGCCGTTAGCGTGCGCGCGTATTCAGTGTCGTCCGCGTACTTAGGTAGGTAGGACACTTGCATTAATGTGTGCTTTATATTACTGCGTACTTAGAATAGACAGGGCTAATTCGAGTTAAATTTTGCAGAATTTTTGTATCAATACATCGTTCACTCATCAGCTGCAACAGAATAGTATCAACTTGGTTATCCCAAATACACATCCACCTCGATTTCCAGATTCTGCTCCGGAAATGGCAGCGACTGCACGCCTAGCATGGTCCAGGTAGGCGTATGGTTGGGGCACCACTTCTTGACATGCTGCACCATCAGCTCGATGATCTTGTCGCGCGTCTCCGGCAGATTGACGTGGTAAGTTCGGAGTTTGACTACGCGGTCCCAGCCGGTCTTGTCGGGGGAGTGTGCAGGATGTTTCGCGTTCTCAAGGGCGTACACAATCACCGCGTTGATGTTGGAGAAGGCCTGGGCGACTTCTTCCTCGAGCGTGGGCGGCACTTTCATTGTTTCGGGGCCCATGCCGGCTGTGTAGATGTGAATGTTAGATTGTACCTAGGTAATTTGGGATGATGGATGAGGTACTTTGGCCGGCAAGCTCCATGCGGTCTCCGATAATGACAGCCTCGCTGAAGCCATATTTTTCTTGGAAAAGCTGGCCTCGGCCAGGTCGAGAGTAGTATTTTAGAGATGACATTTTGTAAATAGTCCAAAGGAGGTAGTGGTAAACAACACTTCAATACTTGGTAGTTAGCAGCCTAACAATAAGAATCAAATGAATATAAATAAAGAGATGAGGAGAAGCTTGCTATAATAACTAGTGTATATTTGTCAACGTTATTAATGTAAGCCCTAACTCTACTATCTAGCTGTTCAATTGCCAGCGCTTTATTAGACTCCAGCCAGCCCCACCAGTGAGCATGTGGCATAGTGAACCGATTTTCAGCTGTTGGGTCATAGTAAGCAAGCTGTAGGATCCATGGTTACACCTAACTCTTAGCGTTCTAAGAATGATAAAGCACTATGATAGCATTGGCAACACAAAATGGAGAATCTCCATTTCAGATGTCGCGGACAAAAGAATACTCTCCGATTCGGGCTTGAGGCGAATGGCGCTTTCAACTTGAATTGCCTGTGAAAAAGAGCCTTTCTCTGATCTTACCACCATAGCACTGCCCTGGCCGCGGACAACATACAAAAGCTGGATAGAGTTCTGCGCATCGAGACGCCATGTGCTGCCACTGTCTGTACGCACCATCTGAACTCTCGTTTCCCGTTCCGTGAAAATGCCCAGATTCTTGTAGAATACTCCCTCGCCAAGGCCGGGATAAGGCTTCCAGCCAAAGTTCTCAGGCTTGACGAGTATGGGCTTGTCAAACCTGGGCGGAGGGTACACCAATGGACGGCCATGGTGATGCTCCCATATCGCCTCGTATCCATCTTTGCCATCTACTCCGTTCGCATCAGAGCCGTTGGCATAGTATTTCCCTCCCTCAAAGCGGCCTTTCTCTTTCAATGGCTCCTGAGCCTGTGCTAATTGCTGAAAGGAAAGATACCCCTGGCCACTTGTGCCGCCGAACTGCAAAACAAGCACGTCCCGATCCAGGCCGTCGTCGTCGTGCTGAGGGCCATAGTGCACGCCTTCCGGGTGATATGCGAGTTCGCCTTGGGCCAGTACCATGTCCGGGCAAATCGAGACGGTATTACGTAGAGCATATCGGAACTGGTCGAAATTGTGCCTGTGGCGGGGAGAATAAAAGTACGCCTGGCGAGCGACTGAGAAGTAATAGTTCTCCGGAGCGCCGTCCTCGCCGCGGAACAGGTCCTTGAACGCAATGCCATCGCCGCGGTGTTTGAGGGGCGGGGGAGTGAATTCAAGTTGGGCGCCTTGAGTGATGTCCATTGTGTCTGTCGATATTCAATTCCGCATCGTCTAGTTTGTTGCAAGGATGGGCCATTGCACGCATTTTATAGGTTTCATTTCGGCCTAACAGGCCGGAATGATAAGTAATGTTGGACATGTTGCACTCGCTGGCTACAGAGTTGGCGCTATGCCTGATAAGTCGTAAACTGCGAAGGGGCAGTCACGTGCAAATATTTGGGACCTGAAAATGATGTCATTTGTGATTTGTCATCTGCAGCATGGACTAACCCAAACCATGCTAGTATGCGCCAACGCCTACTAGCCCAATACGGCATAGTTCCCATCGGTTCATCAACTCTATCTTTGCGGCTATTCGCGATTGGTCCGTAGGTTCCAAAGGAACGCCTGCTTACAGCAAGCACATCACGAACATTCTTCGCACGATACATACTGCTAGTCTCGCGAATTCTTGCTGACTAGGCTCCAAGCCTGACCACCATGCAACTCGCAAATCCTGCCCAGAGGCCTATAAAAGCAGCGATGCGCACTCGTAGATATCATCCAATTTACACAACTAGTTCACTCTGGTCTTGACCTCAACACCATCAACACCATCGAACCTTGAAGACGCACTTCATAAAACACATCATGTTTGGACCTGTGACTATCTCCACGCAGATCGAGATCTCAGCCTCGCCGGCCACTGTCCGATCGGCAGTAAGTCCATGACTGGCTGTCATTCACCATGGCATATGTTTGCTAATCATTCACAGTTCCTGGATTTCGCTCGAGTCAAGAAATGCACCGGCTGGTCCATTGGGGTCAAGGGCTCAAACCAGCAGCCAGCCGAATTAACGAAGGGAGACCGCCTGAGGGTAGACTTGGGGGGACTTGCATTCTCTCCCAACGTGTTGGTAGGTCTTGGAATTACATCTCACACACTTGCTGATCTTAACTAACATGACTTTTTTTTCCACTTGATTTTAGCACAACGAGCCTGAACTTTTCATCTGGGACGGAAATATTCCGGGAATCATATCTGGGAAGCATCACTTTTATTTCTCCCCAAGCGAGACAAACCCGGGAGGTACCACTTTTATCCAGAAAGAGGATTTTACAGGCATCTTGACGCTTTTCTGGCCTCGGGCGAGCACCAAAGCATGGTCCAACGAGAAATGGAATGCATTTAATGAAGCTTTGAAGAAGGAGGTTGAGCAATCTTAATTTCTGACAGGACGGGCATGTTGAAGTGAAGAGCACGGTTGGTTGGAAATGTGTATATTCATCTCATATTACTCTAATTTTCTTTTATTCAATCTCATCCCAATTTGGCGGCCCAGTCTGGCCGCCTGGCCGGCAATAAATTCCACCGGCGTGCGCCATTGCTGGTTAAAACTTACTTTGTGAATGGAAGGCGACGCAATTAGTGCTGCGGTCACTTCTGCAGCGTCTTGCGGACGGTGGATGATAGCCGGCTTCGTGAAGTACCAAGGACGATCTTCCAACTGAGCAAGGGGACTGGACTCAAACTCCTTGAACATGACAGTATTACCCATGGCTAACGGGGCTAGACATGCCCAAAATCCCAGTGAGTAAGGCACGTTCCAAGGCGCGATTGAGAAAACAACGCCTTATCAACGCCTTATGATTCTCGACGAACCATGGCAGACATTCCATCTTCAACGACCGTTGAGCTGCTCCGCGGATAGCAAGAATCAAGCCCGCAAAGACTTGCAGGCCTTTATCAACTTCTCCGGCTTCCTGGCGCACGATTTTGCGCATTATGTTCTTGTCACGGATCAGGATATCCGCAGCCCACAATAGGACGACTCTTCTTTCATTTGGTTTTACCTGTGACCATGTTTCGAAGGGTGTCCCGGCTGATGCGACTGCGCTTTTGGCATTCTCAATGGAAGCGAATGATGATTCGTAGATTTTTTGGCCCGTTGTAGGCGACACAGAGCCCTGGGTCGCGCTGTTTTCGGTCTCTGTCCCATCCAGCCGCAGAGGGATGCCTGGGTCAAAGGGTAGCTTAGCTGCGGTCGTGATCAATTTTCGTCCGAGTATGTAAAGTGAAGTGAGTACAATCTTTACAAGACTGTACAAGAGAGAGTAATAATCAACTGAACATTAGATACGTACTGCGAAGTTAATATTATATCCGACTGCGATCATTTCAAATTCGAAACCGCTCTTTCGGCCGAAAATGTTATTGCTAGATATCTTGGTATCTAGTAATGCCCTTACCTAGGTATCAGATAGTCAATGAATGCGATTTGATATAGCTCGCAACATGTAGGCCATGTCGAAGGCCATCTTGCTTCCTCGTCTCGATAACCGTAGCTTTAACTATGCCCTCGTTGTAACACTTTTACCCACCGAGTAGAACTAAGCATATCTCTAAGCAGTCTAATCTGTTAAATAAGTGTGAACTATATCTTGTGTAAGGCGGAGGCTTACGGAATTGGATGCCTCTGGGGCACATGTGTGCAAGCTTACATACTAATCACTTCGTATTGCCTTTTGTTGTAGTCTTATGGTTTTACGTCCGGTGACTAAACTTCTGCAAGATTGTTCACTTAATCCAGAGATATCACCAGCTGATTATTTCCACATTAAGTACATCAAGATTGCACTAAGTCAAGCAAGATTTAGCTTATTCAAATGAATCGTGATATTTACTTCCAATTTCTTCTATTTTCACCTCTTCGTTGGCACTAAACATAATGGGAAACTCACTCAAGCTGCTGAATCATTGATTATGGATACCAGTCCTATATATAAATCATTAAAGAGATTGATTGAACAGGGTGTCAAAATCCCTGGTAAGCGTGGCCTACAGGCAAGTGTTTTTAGCATGGCCACTGTGGCTGGTGCGTCAGCCATCAGAGTATGGCTATCAGAGACTTGTCGGCAGAGCCTCGCGTTTACAGTATTGGAATTTGGCTGGGTCCGGACTATTTCGCTCATGAATCTGTTAGGTTTGCATGCTGGCTGCCTACAAACATTAAGCTTGCCAAATCAATCTTCGTGAAGAGGCCAAATAAATAAAGCATTCATAAGAATGCCAAACAGAGCTCTATAGCTTGAAGCTTCCTAGGTTGTCCAGCTTAGAAAATTCTGTCCATCTTTAGAGTATTTTTATTGAAAGCCTTCTCTACCTCAGTATATATTACAAGCCTCTAGCCACATATATTTCAGAGTCAATCCAGCAGAATCAACAAAAAGACACAATCAGTAGTTCTATAATCAATCTATTACCACAACGCGGACACAGCTCCCAGTATACTTGTACAAGACACTCGAACATCAGGTAATCAAAGCAAAAAGTGAGGATTTACACATGACTTGTGAAGTTCACCTAAAGGCAAGAGTTTGAAGACAGCCTAAGTTCAGCAACAAGTATTAAATCAACACTATTATCTCATCAAAAATCATAGTGGGAACTCTTGGAGCATATAATTTCACAAATATAGATCTACACGAACCTCCTAAAGCTTATCTCCACAGGCCTAGTAGCTAAAATCAACTTCCCAATAGCACTTTCAGTTTCTCTGCCATAGAGTGAATGAAGAATACTGAAGTATACTCCTTACTCAACACTGCTTGCAGGTTCGTAAAGAATCTGTCTGATTAGGGATTTCTCTCTGCCCATTGCAGTATTCATATATGCAAGGCCAAAAACAAAAGAAAGAAAAAAATTACAGGGTAGAGCCATCTATTCATGCACAACTCTCTCATAAATCAATCCATAAAGCCGCCAAGAAATGAAGAACGTTTATTTTGTTTTATTTTATTTTTTTTTAGTTTCTTTTTCTCTAACTTTGATCTTGCGAGATACCGAAGTATTTCTCACGCTGAAGACCACGAGCGCGCGTGGTACTGAACTTTCTCCTTGACAGCCCAGGCTTTGATGGCGATGACCATGATTTCGTACGCCATGATGAAGCAGGAGAGGCCAACGGCCACGTTGAAAGTGAACATGGCGTCGAGATCGTACCAGACCATGACGTCCATGATATCGGAGGCCTACTCAGTTAGTCAATATGATTAAGAACAGGAACGAGAGAGATGAAAACTCACACTCAGCATAAAGATGAGCCCGCCAGATATCAGACAGAAGGCCCCGACGAGCTCCGACGGCGGACGCGCCGGCAGATGGGACGTTGGCGGCTTGACATAGGTGATTATGTAGGTCACAGCGCGAGCCATTGCTGCGCCAGATAGCAGGTTGCCCCATTGCTTGTGCACCATGGTCGACACCATTTGCTGCTGCTGGTGGCTGCCCATCATTATGCCTAGTAGGAAAATAATCAGAAGCGGCATGGGGTTGAACGAGACCGCACTGGATTCTTCCTCTTGCTGCGATGGAGCCGCTGTCTTGCCCATGATGCTCTGTTTCAGCCAATTTCGCACCCGGTTCGACTCGAGGAGCAGGCCACACTTGTCCCTTGTTAGATAAGATGAAAGGTAGAAGAATCGAGAGAAAACTCACCAGTCCAGCGCCGAAGAACATAACTGAGATCGACACATGCTCCAGATCCTGAGCAGTCCATGCCTTGCCCCATCCTGCGAGGTGCTCTAGGAAGACATTGGTTGAGCCATATGTGAATATGAGAGCAGACTCAACAAACTCTCCTGTGACAGCGCGCGAGCCCGCGGGCTTCACGTTCCAGGACCATCCAAAGTTCGCCCAGCAGCCCATAAACCGGCCCAGGACAACGAGACCATACCAAAAGAAAATGCCGCCCTTAATAAAATGCGCCAGTCCGCTGAAAATGCCTTCTCCTTTCTATTGAGGATCACGTCAGTCAATACGTCTTGGAAAGTTAACGTAATACATACAAAGATACCACCATAAGTGACACCGCCTGTGGCTACAGCAACAAAGCCAAATGGCAGGATGACGCGATCAATCACGTTGTAAACAACATGTAGTACCTGGAGAGCGCGGTTTGATACTACACTGGGAACGCGACTAGTGAAGAAATTATCCAAGGCGGCGCTGCGCAACCAGCTGCGCGCGAGAGGAGTAGGCGCCTCGGCATTTTCTTCCTCCTCGTCATCTTCTGGTTTGGTAAAGTGCCCTTCGTCGGGAGTCGTGGGGCAGCTGGTGCCCCGGCCACTGTCGCCGGACCAACGGTATTCGCCAACAGGGGAGTACAGCTGCTGGTGGCTCATCATGTTCTGGGTCGATACAGGCATGAAGGTGGACTTGGATCCGCCGCGGCCGGAATAGGCATAAATGAGACCTATGACGACTTGGGCGCACACCACCCAGGTCGCGATCCATCCGATCTTGTGGTGTGCGTTGTTCTCGTACAGGTCTGGAGTGGAAGTGTTGTAGATGATGCCGAAGAGCAGACCAATGACATTGACAATCAGAAACACAAATTGCAGGGGAATGGTGTACCGTGAATGGGCGACACTCAGCATGACAGCTACTTCGGTCAGCGTCACAAAAGGCAAAGTCGTGGAACACGAGACTTACCAACAGGAAGAATGAAGCACCAGGAGACAACCTCGAGGAAGATGTGCGCCAGGATGGAGCCGGAGTGCTCGCCCAGGGCAAAGTAGCTCTGTGGCAAGTCCTCTACGATATTCTCGTCTGGATCGCCATCGGGGAGCGCAGTGGCTAGGGCGACGAGTAGGAAGGCCACGCTGCGGAGGTTGAAGGAATGCGAGATTCGCATGGCGCTTCAAGGGTCGCTTGCTTTACTCGCTGGGACTTTAGACGTGTGCCTGGACGGGTAGTTCAAAGATTCGCGCGTGCTTGAAAGAGAAGCTACTAGCTAGATACAGCTGTGGGCAGCTCTGTTATGTGCGATGCGATGCGACTGAGAATGTATAGAATGTACAGGGAAGAACGTATACAAGAGAGAGATAGAGTTAGATAGAAGTAGTAGAGCAAGAGGGAAGGATAGAGAAAGACCAGGCTGCCTGCACCTGAATCTTCTCTGGCTGTGATTACATAGCTCGGGGGCCAGTGGAAGTAGATACGGACGCTCACTGGCCGAGTTTATACTTCTGCCTTATATCCGGTTTGCGATTTACTTGCAGTTTTCTTGTGCATTCTGTTGTATATTTGCTTCTTTGCATCTCGTCCCATGTATTTACCTATTTTCATCCTACACACCCATACTCGTCTGTACAGTGAGTATAAGCACACCGACATTTGGACAATTCTCCCCTGAAAGAAAAACGCCTCCTAACTATCCCGTTAGTATGCTTCTTCGACTATACCATTAATGCTACTGCCTAGTCTCCAAAAATAAAAAAAAAAAAAAAAAAAAAAAAAAACAAGGAAAATGCTTCCTCCAGCTGTGAGCCGCCCCCAAAGTGATTGGGCATGCAGGTGCCGGAGCCCGAGATTGGACCAGAGTGTGATGTTAGCCTAGTAATAGGTCATCCAAGACAATCAGGGGGATATTTTTGTTTTCTTTTCCTTTTCGCTGCCTGGGGGGGGCGGGCAGGGCAGAACTGTCTTGGCATTTGTTTATACAGTATGCATACACACATAGAATACGTGCTCTCATATTCTTTTTTCTAAGATACTATGTACGCACAACACCATGGGCCCAAGGCTATCATTAGGGCTACCTACGTCCCACTGTGATTTGCTATATAAAAGTCTAAGCACATTGCCCAATCACCGCGGAAGCTAAGCAGCCTTAGCGCCAAGACGCTAAAATACTCACCCGTCTTGGCACAGCGGGCTCGGTTGTCGCGACCATCCGGCGCCCGGAAGACGGCGAGTTGACAGCATCTTGTACGAAGTACGGGTATATTCTATAAAATATATAATACTTATACATATCAAGTCTTTCAATCAAAACATAGTACGATATGGAAATAAAATAAAAGATTATAGATATCCAACTTTAATATACTGCTAAATAGGAATAATCAATTAGTAAGCGCGTGGATGAAGAAAACAAGGGCGTGTACGTATCAATCCTAATTTTGATTAGTCCCCGGAGCCCAACAGTTTACAGACGTTCTCCGTACTCCGCACCATCTTGTACGAGTCAGTAGTCAAGTCCCCACCCCTCTGTAGATCCTTCGTCCCCACCTTCGTGCGGCAAGAAAAAAAAAAAAAAAAAAAAAAAAAAAAAAGAAAAGAGAAAAGAGTACTAAAAAGACTAGTCTAGCCCAAGGCATGCTGCGCTTACTCCGTACTAGCCATGTCTAGTGACGTCTACTAACTAGTGCTCCTCGCCAAGTCAGATCCACGGCTCACTGGTGATGGTGATGGTCTTTTTTGTTTCCCGGGTGCGGGAATAATCCATACATCGTATGAGGCTGGCAAGAACAAGGGCCTTGGCTGGTCAACCATGTAGGCTGCCATAATAATTTGTCCCTAACAAAGTCTAACAAAGGTCTTAGTATATATTAGTTACAGAGTATACACAACGTCATCCGGCCGTCTCTGTCGGACTTTTGCTTGTCCAAACCCTTTTCTGCCTTGTCCGTTATCTCCCGGAGATCGCAAACAATTGCCACCTTGGAATTCTATATTTCATTTCGACAATAGAATCACAATAGAATCACCCGATTCCGAACCTGTCACATTCGGGACTTTTCTCAATTGTCAGAGTCGATTTCAACAGCTGAGTAGCACGTACTAGCATTTGCACCTAGATATTTTAGTACGTAAAATTGGTTTGTGACATCTCGTCCACTACATGTAATCGACATAGTATGGTGAATGTACAGACGAAGCAAAGGAACGCAGGCAGTTGCCAGTGGTCGATCAATGAATCAGACGAGAAAACTCTTTGTTTCCAGCGTCGAACTGGCTCAAGCAGGCAGCAAGAAAGACAACAAAGCTGGGGGCGGCTGCTATTAATAGATTTAATTAGCCTATTGGAATGAGTTAGTAGGTAATGGATCCACCCACCAATATGCAGGCCCAAATAATAAGATTGATAAATAATCCAAAACCTCTTATCGTTATCTGTAGCAGACGTAACGTAAATTTATTGAGATGAGATTAGATTAAAGGGCGCTAGGGCATTTGCACTCGGTCCATACAGGTATGTTCCTTGTTGTCTCACCTCCTTTGGCTGGAGCAAAAATAGTCTCGAATCCTCGATTCCGTTCAAAACAAAGGCCGGCCTCGTATATCACATTCCTAGTTCTCCTGCGTCATCAAAGCGTCAGCAAAAGCACGTCGAACCCCTCATTAGCCACGTTACAACGACTTGCCCCGAAAAAATGTCGAGCAATAATCCTTCAGCTGCCATACCTGGTAAGCCTCTGCGTCAAACGCGGTTGCAACTTCCACAAGACACCATTCCCGACGTGCGTAAAACCAAAAAGGTCATCAGATCATTTTGCGGCAACCCTGGGAAATCGACATTTCGAAAATTTCCTAATTGGGAAACTTCCCAATTTGGATCGCTTTGTTTCCTATTTGCGTTAGTTCCAAGATTAATCCTTGGTATCAAAGCCCACGTAATCTCGCGACATGTCGCCCGGGGTCAGATATCCCAGTTATCAGGAATGCCAAGGCCCATCTGACCCCCTAATAACCAGGATATCTGACCTTAAGCCTAATGCTAGAAATAATACAAGAAATCAATTTTTACACCTTGTATGAGCTGGTTCCTATACAAGACTATACAACACTACAGTTAACTAAGCAGGCAGTCAAAAAGATAGACAGTTTTTTATCTAAGAGGGTGAAAATTATCATTCAGCTATACTAAACATAGCCTTTGCTTTCTACACCAACTTTTAATAGTTAATTGAGCTCAGATATATGATATCTTTATATTTTTATATAAGGACCACTTATATTCCTTCTTAGAATCTATTTATAATATAAAGAAGCCTTTATATAAAAGCCTCTCAGTTAAGCAAGACCACCAGCTCAATTTACAAGCAAAAGTCTCTTTATATAATCAAAAGATTATAATATATATCCAGAATAATTGGCTAGACAATATCAATTGACAATATAATATCTAGCAAAAGGAATTCATAGATTTCTATATAAGCCAGGGCTTTAATAACAGCTATATTATTACTAAGAAAAAGCTAGTTTTTTTCCTAGATTTATAGGTCCTTAACTATCCAATCTAAAGCTCTTAATATCTAAAGAATTGTATGAATATAGAAGACTCATCTATTATATAAACTATTAAACATTCATCTATTAAAGCCTATACCAGTGCTATTATTAATCTCTAGTACTTCCAGCAGACACTAGATATAAATCTAAATTCTAATCTATAAGATCATCTAGTTAGAGTTATACTTCAGAATCATAAGCAAGATAAGACTAAAAGGAAACAGGCCTAGTATATAAACTAAGATTTTAATATCCTCCAGAATAGATATATAGAGAATAATATTAGAGCATTTATATAATACTATTAATCTAATTAGATAAAAGAGAATAATAAAGACTAGAAATCATAGGTATAAGAGTCCTATCTTTAGACAATAATAGACTTTCTCTTCAGCCATAATATGCTCCTCTAAAATGAGAATCAACAGCATCTTAAGATAGTAGATCTCTTTACTCTTTATATAGATAAAGAGCTAACTCCATATTAGCTAATAATCATGATAAAACTAAATGACAAGACCAATCAATTTAGCCACCTTAAATATATAGCAGTTATATAACACTGTAATCCCCTGCTCTATACAATATGCTATATAGCTTTCTATCTCTTTTACTAGTAGGAGCTTATGCATGAACTAATGCCACAGTTTTACTAGTAGCAGTAGTAATATAATTTCCATATCTTTAAGAAAATATATCTAGATCAATCTATCTCATATAAGATCCAATTAAAATAGATTAACTAAGTATTTAATACTATTAGACTATCCTCCAAGAAAAAGATACACTCTAAATAATCTAGAAGAGTAATACATACAGAGCTTTAGAGAGTAGATAAGAATTTAATTTAAAGAGCTAGCCACTAAAATTAAGATAATATAAATAATTGCTATTTATTAGAATTACCTTAATCATTTATTTATATACTTACTAGCTTTAAACTTATAGATTAGGGCAACTATTATCTACTATAAGCTTTACTAAATCCTCCAGACACTCTTATACAAGCTCTCTAGCTATAGATTAATCAGTGGCTTTCCTAATTCATTTTATCTAATCTAGATAAAACATATAAGCTTAGCCTACCTTTCTTATCTTTTTTAGTGCGGCAGGGTATAGAGAGATATAATTAGGATAATCTAGCAGGGCAAAGCTTCCTAAAACTTCTCAATCTATTTCATATAACTATTATCTAGGACTCTGTCTTTTTTTAAAAGGAATTCTCTAGCTATTCAATATAGTCTTATCCTCTATTCCAACAGCCAGATTATCACTAGTTCTCTAAGCAGGTCTACTCTATAGCTTATATAGCCTCAATACCTCATAAGATTCAGCTCTATCAAACAATCCTTTTTATAGCCAATTAGATATCAATTATTAAGAATAATCTAAAGCAGATTATATAATTAAATTATTAGTAAATCTAGCACTCTCTCCATACAATTTAGACTCAGATAAACTAGTTATTATCTAAAAAGATTATCTTTACTGCAAGGCTTATAGACTTCAATAAATAGAATTAAACACTTATCATTCCTGCTTAAGCAGCTATTAAGGAAGTAATTAATATCTTATTCAACTCACCTACCACTATAGCTACCCCAGATCCTGTATAAGATTAAGATCTTTTATTAAAACTATCTCAAGCCAGCAGTCTACCTTTTAATACTTCTTTCTATCAAATATCTCATATAATACACACAATGCGTGAGCTCTAAGATAAGTGATATTTAGGCCTTAATAGCAATCCATCAATTTAATCTCTTAAAGCCTCATATGGATGCAGCTAAAGATTAGATAATAAAGAGAGGATGTTCTTTAGCTATAAAAAGATCATCATTAATAAGATACACTCACAGACTTCTTATAATATATTATTAGCTGCTGCAGTCAAAGAGGTTAAGCTTATATAAAGAAAGGTGTATTATACGCTATACCAGCTGCAGGTCTTATTAAAAAAGAATATATAATAAATGAATTAAACCCTAGAGTTAGAGTCAATAAAATTAAAGTTATATTAAATCTCTATACTTATATAAAAAGGGAATAGCCTAGCACATCCATATCTAGATTCACATCAACATGCTACCTTCCTTCCCAATTTAGTTATATAAGACAAATTAAATAAATAGCAGGTACTAACCACCCATCTCTTAAAGCACCTTCTTTCTATCTTAGTCTTCCTTCTCTCTCTCTCTCTCTCTCTCATTATAATTGATTATCATATTGCTCTCATACGAAGCCCTTTATACTTCTTATCTATCTAGATAAGTCTCCAAGCTTAAATGAATAAATATACTAATAGTTCCTCATACAATTCATTTATAGCCAAATTATATAAGTCATAGACGTAACAACGCCATTGATTTCCCCTCTGCCACCGCTGGCCTATTCTCTGTTAAGGAGAGGATAATTGCCCTCATTTAACACCTAATTAACTAGGCCAAACAGGCAGCTCCGTACGGTCAAGATCTTATGGTTATTCTGCCCCCTCAGGCATTGGACTTCTAATACTTAAGTCTGCAGAGCTGTGCTACACAAGCACTTCCTGTACAGAGAGGAATTTATTTTAAATCTAATAGTTTGAAAGCCTTCCAAATTATGTTAGGCCGCCAGTCGTACATCAATGCCCTATTAATTGCTTCGCGTAGAGTTATTGGTCTCCCGTGCAGTGCCAGTTGCCAGGCTGATTGTATGAATACTCCATTTGTCCAGTGTGTCCACTTGTTGGGCCACTAGAACAGGTGCTATGCAAACTATAAGTAATATGACTGGGGAAGTCACTGCCCACCTATATAAAGACAGATAATAGAAGGTATTAGAATGGCTATTCCTAGAAGATCAGACATAGTGAATACTATTCTCTATACTCCTGTTTATCCAAGTCAACTAGACAGTAGTATTGGCTGTCCGATTCTCCTTATAGAGAATAGGCCAGCCAGTGAGTCAGAGGAAAATCCGATTGATCTTGATCCTGAGCCTAGTTCTTAAAAGAACCTCTATAAGATTAATTAAGGTATATATGATTTTTTTACTGTTTTCATTATACATACATATATATATATATATTATCATCTTTTTTCTCTGGCACTGGGACAATAGCAGCAAGATATGTATAATTTTTCTTTAGCCCAGTCATACAGACCATGTGTACAACATCTGGGTAAGAACTTGCATCTCTATGTAATATCTAGAATTAGTAGCCGTGCAGAATCTCTGTACAGTGAAGTAAAGCAAGTCATCTAGCTTAAGTATATTATATGTACGATAACAATAAAGCCAGCTTTATAGCCTTAGAACTTTTATGCATGTAGTCCCCATAGTAATAATTACTAGTATTATATAAGATTTTTTTAACAGCAGAACGATTCTTACTCATATAAGTAATCTGACCCCCATGTAATTTTGGGGTATTGACTTTGTGAAATTTGTGCGGTTTCTCGGCCACATTTAGTATGGAGGCTTGGCATTTCTCGCGACATGTCCTAACAAATCTGACCCCCATATAACCGCTAGGTATTTGCTGTTTTGCGGGGACACTATTAAAGCGGGGTGCGCTACTGCGATTAGCGGTATTACGTACATGTGTTTTTTCGGTATATTGCTATACAAAATCTCTACAAAAAATAAGAAACAGGAGGGATTGAGTAGAATATAAAAATATAGTTTAGGGCCTACATCACTACTGGCTAAGTATGTACATTGAAATTATGTTCAAATTTTTCCTCAATTTAACGTCTATGGATACTCTTTGTAGGTAGTATCCACCTGCTCATCGCTATATCTATTCGAGATCCATTCCGACTCCAACGCAGTAGTCCTATTGTAGCGAGCCATAAAGGCCTTGTCCTGCTCGAGCTCCTGAAACACATCCGTGTCTGTTGGGAAAATCGCCTTTCTCAATGCGCTGATGCTCAACTCATACATGTATACACAAATGATAATGAAAATCAAAGTCAGCCACCACGTCGGATTTTGTCCGAAACCCGTAAAGAAGCCTCCTCGTACACGGTAAGCTGTCGTGAGGGGATAGGCTGCAGCAAATACGAGATTCCAGAGAAAAGGCGCCCCGACAGTCAAAAACATGGTGATGGCCACAACAATCGACTTGTTGTGCATCTCGAGTACTAGAAGCTTCAGACTGACAATAATAACAACCGCGACAAAGTTGAGATCACCCATTGAGAATAGGGTGTTATCTTTTGTAGTTTCTGCACATCCGAAGAGAAAGAGCATGGAGAAAAACACAATGCACGATTCGGAGACAGCCATAGCCGTCCATCCAAGATAGATCCAAATGTTGAAGCCACCGTCTCTCTGGCCCATAGATATGTACAGCTCGGGCACAGCTAGAAGCGTAGAGGCTGCAAGATCTTTGTCGAAGACCCCAATGCACATGACAGATAGCGATGTGAAAAGGGTGTTGAACTGAGTCGCGCTCAGAGGCTCGTACAGACTCGTACCACTATAGCCAACCCACCGTTGGAAGAGAGATTGACTCAAATAGAAAACTATCTCTTTCCACAGCGTGCCCAAAATGTATTTACATGTTCGGACATAATTCCACCTTCCGTGAACCAAGAGAAGCTTCGGCAGAAATCTGAATTGCGCAATGGAGTAATCTGAATTGCGGGCTGCTTGGAAGCCCTCTTTTCCCGTGATGCCAATGCCTACATGGGCTTCTTGGATCATTGCTATGTCATTTGCGCCGTCACCTACAGCCAAGGTAACTGCGTTGGGCATTCGAATTTTGATCCCGCGCACAACCTGCGCTTTTTGGCTGGGCTGAGTACGACAGCAGATAACGGAGTCCGCTAAAACCACCAAGTCAAAGAATCTTGCTTTGAGAGAGCCAATGGGTTCGTTGAAAATGGTTGTCAAAGTATGACCATCAATGACAACTACGCCGTGTTCAGCTGATTTGAGAGACAAAATGTAGGACTCAATCGCTTCCATTATTTTGCCGGACTGATCGTCATCAGAGAGATCCAGTATCGTGGAATTCTCTTTTATAAGACCACAAGAATGGCCGATGTTGATCGCTGTTTCTCGCTTATCGCCAGTTAGCATCCAAACTTTGATATTAGCACGCAGGAGCTTGTCGATTGAATCTGGCACGCCGCGCTGCAGCTTATCTTCAACGGCAGTCGCGCCAGCAAGCTCGAAGTTGACCTCAATAAGCTCTGCCACCTTATCCGTCATCTCTTCATTCTTGTCAAGACTTGCGGTAGCTACATCCCACATCAATCTCCACTCTTCATATTCTGCGTCGTCGAGAAAGCGATACGCATATAGAAGAGTGCGGAGGCTTTCATTCGCAAATCTGGTGACGCTGGAAACGCAATTCTCAAGATCAAATTGGCCATCTCCATGCGGTACTGTCCCTATATTACCACCTTGGTCGACTTGCTCCCCTAGACTTTGAGATTGAACACCGGTCTCCTTAGTAGTTTTCAATATTTTCAGTCGCTCCATGATAACAGAATCGGCACCTTTGCAAATAATACATATCCTGCCATCGGGGAATCTCACGATAACTGACATACGTCTCCTGTCATTCGAAAACTCGATAACGTTCAGAACCTTGTAAGTCTCGGTTCTGATGGATGTATCTTTTGACGTGGAGAGCGATAGAATAATAGAGTCGTGATCGCGGCTTCGCATGAAAACTCCCATAGTCTGGGCGGCTCTGATCAATGCAAGCTCATCCGGGGATGATGACTGAAAGTCTATAGTAATGCCATCTCGTGATATTTCTGGAATACAGCTATGACAAAGTGCCATACAAAGCAGCATCATCATTACTTTTTGCCCATACGCAGAGTCTGGCCTCTCAGAAAAGTGTCTTATCATTTCTTTTATGGTCCTCTCGGACACTGATCGCTGTTCTGAACTGGGATTGAACATATTTGGCCGTTCCGCCGCCCGAATGTGGTCTTGATTAGGATCTCCCACATCTTCGTGTGCCCAAATGCCTCCAGCAACGTACATCTTCCGGAATCTCATCTCGTTGTCGGTCAGCGTTCCGGTTTTATCGGAAAATATATGCGTAATCTGTCCTAGCTCCTCATTGATGGTTGACGTTCTGGCTTCGCAAGGGACGTTTGACGCTTCATCGTACATGTCGATATCCGAGCTGAGGAAAAAGATTTGTGCAAGCTTGATCATTTCCATGCTGATGTATAACGAAAGGGGGACCATTGTAGCAAACATAATAAGGAAACCAAAAATTGACTCCTGAGTTGAGACAGTTGCGCCAGAGAGATAAAATAGCTTATTTTCGATGTCAGATTTCCAGATTTGATATGCAAAGGTATTATAGAATGATAGTCCCAGCACAAACGATGCCACAACAAAAACGATCTTGTTGACCATGTATTGTAGACGGGGAGCTTTTATGTGAGCCTGTCCGTCGCCATTCGAATTCAGCCGAATCTTGCATTCTTGTCCGGAATATACAACCATCGCGGTTGCCTCGGAAATGTTTCGCAGAACGCTGCCGCGATATACAATATTGTCGTTGTTCAAGGGCCAATCTTGGTCATTGACAGTTACCCTGCCTTTAAAGCTGGAGAGATCCGGATGCGGATCTTCGATGATGAACTTGACTGAACAGTTGACAAGATCCGCAGGTGTAGCGCACGCTTCAGCAACGGCCTTATCCACCCTCTTTATCTTGAGGTTAGTTTCCCCATCCAAAGCTATAGTCTCGACGTGAGCGATATTGCTCCCAGCACGACTGGTTGAACTCAATAGCACAATGTCTGCCGGCACTGCCTCATCGCGCTGGAGTCTGATGATATCCCCAACTGCCAGTGAACGCCACTGTGTTTTCCGCCAATTTAAGCACTCAGCTATTGTGGGCGTCCTCTTGTCGAGTGACAGAACCACCTGGCGGTTCTCCTGGCTGTCCAATCGATGTCTTCTATAATCATCAAACCCCTCCTTTGCCATAGAGATGCTAACAAAGATCATCAAGGGTACGATATTCGTCTTGTTTCCAATTGTACTGAGTCCGGGAATAAGCTGCATGAGTGCGAAACACAGAAAGTAGAAATTTGCAAGCTTGGAAAATTGGGCGAAGAGTTGTCTCGGCAGAAACGTCAATGGAGTATATCTATTAGAACGTATCCAGTTCTTCACAAATGGTCTACCGGTCCGTTCATCAACCAGTGGCGTCGTTCGAAGGGCGTTGATTTCAACATGTCTAAAACCTCTAGGGCGACCTTGCCCTCTTGAGTAGGATGATATCCTGACTTGTGCCCAGAAATTTCTCAAGACTGAAATCGGATTCGAGTTTTTGGGTATATTTTGGATGTAAGGGAATAGTGAGCCTTGCTGAGCCTCATTCTGCAGTAAAGGTAGTTCAATGTCCGATGAAGAATCCGAGCTTCGACGAGAAACAGATGAGAACTACAACATTCAACTTCATTAGCTTCGTTCATCGTCTGTACAGGGCTCGGGATCAGAGAACCTTACCCGGATGGTGCTCCCTGATGCTAGAGAAATCGAAGAGCCTGACATTATTTCTAAAATCTATTTCGCCAACTGGCAAAATGGTGTTCACGGCTTGTGTCTGCTCTGAATGTAGACATGAATCTGCGGCCGAGGCAGTCACTCACGGTGCTGCACAGAAGCCAGAGTGTCCAGTAACCCTCCCCTTGTATCAATTGGAAAAGCTGAATCAATGGAAAAAGAAAACATATCTAAGGCAGCCACATAAGTTTGGCGCCTCACTAGGGGTCAAAGCCCTGCGGCTGGGGCCCCAGATCAATGCACAAGGTCACTTTTAGTAGTAAATACTGACAAAAGGTACCTACGATTCAATTTTTTAGAATTTTATCTCTCACCACAAACTTTATAAATCACTTTATTAAAATACAGTATAATGGAATATTTTTAATTATGTTAGTAAGATGTTTACATTCTAATCATTAATAACCTTCGGCGCTAAGCTATTATGCTGAGTTGCCTGGCTAGGCTGAAACTTTTTGCGAGTGGTTGTATATATTCTTGGAACCCCCTGTTTCGCCGAAGCAGTTGTCGCCACCATTATTAGGTGGCCGGCTCCTCCTTGGCGTTTAGCCCCAGATGGAATGAACCTTGGAATTACCAAGGTATTGAAGCGGAGAAAATGAGACGGCGAGAAAGCATCTATGATGTGCAGGGATCAATCAAATCGGCATACGCCTATCCTCCGGCAACGCCGTTTTCCCTCCAAGTAACGGCCGACTCCGTCAGATCTACATCGCTCGCAATTCAGAGTTTGCGCTTGTCAGGCTTCTCTGCTTGGACCTCTAGGGCCGCTGTTATCCACACGAAGTTTCGCAAGAAGGGTTTGGCGGGGTGGAGTGAGACCCACCGCGCAGAGCGGTGCGTGTGCCAAGACGCCGAGTACGCTAACCCCAACGCGGGTATAGTTTGATTACTCCATACGCACTAGTAACTAATTATCGCTAATTCCTTATAATATCTCCTAGCAAACTAGTTCTCCTAGTATGCCCTAATACTTGGTTATAAGTGACGTATGGTTAATGACTAGTCTAATCGACTTCGAGCAATAGAAGACCAACTTCCTTTCATATTCAGCTAAATGATTGTGATTGGTAATCTGCTATACAAGAAACAGGAGATAATTCGACGCAGTTTTTTTTTTCGTTTTTTGTTCTTTTTTTTTTTTTAAACCGGTACACCCAATCGGTGCGTAGCATAGAATAGTCCCTTTCTAATAGCTCCACTTGCCGCAAATAAAGGCAATACCTAGCCTTCCTTCCAGCTAACTATTCGTCAAAAAAAGCCAACACTCGCACCTCAATACTCTCCCTCATATAGTCATTTGCATGAGCTGGATCTTGAAATGCGGAATGCGGATTCCTTCTTGCGCGGCCGTCGGTAACCGAATCGAAATTCTTGAACAGCATCGGCTCATCAGGGCGCTGGGCATACTTATAGTACCACAGGTGGTCTGGGTTTGCCTTGCAGGCAACCTTCTCGTCAACGAGATTGTTAGGATAGACCATTGTTACCGGGACAAGGTCCTTATCGGCCACGGAACGTGCATCAATGACGGCAAAGGGGTCTTTAAGAATAGTCTTGATAGGGCGCCATACCTGCGTAGTAACCGTGAGCAATTATTATTTCGTTCTAATGAATTCGAAGATGGCGGTAGATTTTTATACTTACGTTGATGATTAGATACCGCTTTTTGACAAGCTCGTCCGCCTCATCTGGAAAGTATCTTCTGACTCGGTTCGGAGCGTCTTCGTAAGACTGATCGATGTGAGCGTTGTATGTTGGGCCGCGCCCAGGCACACTTCCATCAGCGGCTTCCACGGGCTGACGGCGGATTGCGTGGTTGAAAACGAACGTCCGCGTGGCCCCAGTAACATCCTTCACTAGCTGTTCCGTTTCAGGGTAGTATTCCGCCTTGATTTTCTCGACGTCAAGGAAATCCTTCTCCTTGCTTTCGTGCTTGACAAACTGAAAGCCATGCGTGTCGAGAGTGTATTTGTCCTCCTCTCCGGAAACATCATGTATGACGACGGGCAATGGTTTCAGGGGTCCGAGAACAGTGCCTGGACGACTGCACTTAAAATCAGATTCTGCTACTCCGGCCGAGAAGAACTTACCAGAGCAGGATAACTTACCCCATATAGTAAGGGGCCGGTTTGGCGTCAAGGGCAAAGTACATCATATCGTAGGTAACATCGTGCTTTGCAAGCTTTGTTGGCTGAGCATGAGCATTGAAGCCCTGGCTTGTGTCAAGGCCTGGAGCATATTGAGTAGATGCAGCAGCCATGATTGAAGATACCTCGAGGAATGTTTAGTTCTTTTCGTCGAGGCGATATCCTCTTGACTTTAAGTATTATCCATCTATGCTGCGTTTTCTCGCGGATGATCGTCAGTCGATCCTACTATAGGGCTGATGTCATCTTCAAAACATGAGCCCCGGTGGCTCCTTTGTAAAACTAGGTACATTTTTGCAATAAAAATCTCCGGCCGCTTATTGTTTCGGCTCCCGAGTGTTTTTATCTCGGCGTCCGAATGTTTATAAGAGTATTGCTAGGAAGATAGAAGCGATATCATCCCCTTGGCTGGAACTTGTTCACTTTATGTCCTTGGCATCTTAGAGCTAATCAGTAGCTCCTTCGTATATACGGAGTAGTTTCCCTAAAGCTTACAGCTAATTAACTAACTAGAAGATGCCAAGTAAATCGAACGTAGACTACTCTACGGTACGAATGTATAACACATTGTTATTATAGGTTACTTACTGTCTACTAGGCAAATAGAGTGTCCCCTTGACTGGAGACTTTCTACTTAGGGCTTTAGCATCTTTTGATTAGTTGATTTAGCTTCACAACTTCGTAGACCTACAGATATCTATTCTAGAGCTAATCATGGATATCGATTAACCTTGAAATACCAAGGCCCGTAAAATGAGCAAGTTTCCAGCCAAGAGAATTTTAAATGAAACATACTAAACCCGAGAACAGTCAGAATCCCGATATTTTCTTGGCAAGAAATCTGTCATACAAATCTACACTGATTAGTAAAGAGGCTGCCATCCTGAGCAGAAGCCTTTCAGCCCTTGTGAGTGTGCTTTTCCGCCAAGGCCTAATCCTTTTATGATGTAGCATTGTAGCGCTCTTTTTTGCATGTAGACACACTAACCTCCTAAATGTTTTGCTTGTCTTATCTGCAGCTGCAGCTGCAGATTGCGCTCATGTCCAAAGAAGCAATCAATGTGCCTAGATCCGCTGGGTTTGATTGCTCAGTTATCCGTCTTTATCGTCCTTGTCGGGTTCAGTTGCCAAGTTGCAATTGCCTAGATAGGTATGCAACTCAACGACTAGATGGCAGTGGCCCCCTCCCCCTCACTCTGAACGAAATAGTCCCATGACCGTCTCAAAGGATTGGAACACTTTCCCGCCGGTGGGGAGTGGTCCGTTCGGCCTTTGCTGCTTCATCCTGTACGAAGTAGAAACTCTCTATTCACGGCAAATACTATCCGTGCCGATCTTGCCACACTAGCATTTAGTCCAGGGAGGGGATAGTAAACGAAATGTACTGTTGTACGAGAGCCCTTGTCTGGGATCCTAGGATTCTCGGGATTCTTTAGCACTCCAAGCAGAGCAAGATCTGACGCAGATGTTCTCCACCGGCCACGCGGTACTACCGTACCGGATGACTGGGGCTCCCGTAGTCGACAAGACTTCGTTACACGCCGATCGCAGCTCGTATAAACAAGCAAAATCGTGAAATCGTGTCGGAAATAACGATTGGAAGGCGAGTTCACGGAACATTAAATAGCGCTCTGATTGGCCCAGAGACGCTCTCTATAAGCACAACTCCACTGAGTCTATGTCGCTCCAAAAGTGGAGTGGAGTAAATAACTTACCGGTTACGCGTAGTTGCTTTGGCAAACTTGACCTTGCAAGGCTCGCATTGCGAACCTACAGATTCGAAGCCCTTCTTTTGTGTATAAACCCGACCCGTCGCTATATATTACGTATTTAATATCTTATGGATTTAGCGATTAGTAATAGCTCACTAGTAGCAGCACTGCTAAGGCGCTTGAGGCCTTGGTAAGTGAAGCCTTCGATATCCTACGTAGCTAGTCTTTATCACCTAGTATAATTATAGATCTGAAGCTCTTGCGAGGCTTTGGTTCTTTAGTATGATTAGCTCCATCTGACTTGTCTAGAAAGGAAAGTGGACCCTTTTGGTGAATAATCTTGGCGGATCCCCTTGTTACTGTGGTCTTGCCGCGCTAATCATTTTATGCGCAACTGATACGGTATCCAAGTCTAAGTCCGATAACAAATCGTGAGAAGAGCGATGCCGTGTGATCTTGGTGACTCGGAGTCAGAAATAGATGGGGGCCGGGTTACAATTGCCCAGTAGAACTTAGTGCGCGGTGGTAGAAATCTAGACAATGTGTGCCAAGGCTGTTCCTTTAGTCATACACAATTTATTCAAAGGTTAGGATCAGGAGCGATTAAAAGCACTTAAGACTGATAAAGCTAGCTAGGATTTGGATATTTTAGGACTCTCCGACTTCCTATTTGGCGAAGATAAAAGATAAAGATAAGAGTACGATTAGATTGAAAGGCTTGATTGAATATCTTCAAGCATAGACTATATAGAGATAATCTAACCATATCCGAAGTAAATCTTTATCTTATTATAAAGTTCTGAGGGCTAAGGAAGCTTACAATTGCCCGATGGTAAAGAATGGATGAATCAATCTACAAATCGGTGCCAAGACTTTTAGCTTGGCGGGGGTAGAATCATCCCCATATAGGTTTCTTACATCCACGCACACTTTATCTAGAGCTTTATTCCCACCATCAGGCTATTGTAAAGCACCCCGCCCCCCAAAGTTGGGGGCTGCAACTGGGGGCTGCCGCCCCCCGACTGGGTAGCGACCCGTGCTCGGCGCGCGGCATTAGCCGAATAATAATTCTCCCCGCCCCCACCTCAAGGAAGCACGTTATCAATCAAGGGTATCTTTCTTATCTTTGTGAATCGATTAATATTTCATATGGCACAGCAACGCGGGAGTAATGCAGTGAGACTACAATCAACAGCATCTCAAAATCCCGAGTCACTCATACAAGATTCTTCGCATCTTATCTTTTTCTTCATGGGCATAGGTCTCGGTCGACACAACAATGAACAAAGCAAAGCCTGTCAAATTGAGAGCAGCGTGTAACCAATGCCACACAACCAAGGTCATTTGTCCAGAGTGCCCCACCACAAGAGTGTTTAACCACTAAAATCCATTCAGGTCAAATGCAGCGGTGAAAAAACTGGCTGTAGTCGCTGCGACAATCTAGGTATCGAGTGCGTTTATGCCGAGTCGAGAGTCGGTCGAGTTCCAGGCATGCGAAGGAAGAGAAAAATAGAAGACGCAAATGGAGGAGTGTTGGGAGAGAACGCGGATCTAAGAATGATGGGAAGCCTCACAGATACGAGAGTTGTGGGGAACACTGCAGATTCAGCTATGGGAGAGATCGCCAATACAAGAGCACAGCCTCTTTCTCCACGCACGTCAGAAGATCCAAGTACCGGAGAAACTATCGAACTGGAATATCCCTTTTCAAGCACCCCCGGTTCCCAGGCACCTGGCACAGAAAACACAAGGTTATTCGATGATGTTCTTCTTGGCTGGTCTACCGTGCTAAATGGAGGGTTGGAAGATACCTATGGCTTTGATGAAAGACATGCGGAGGAAATATTCGGCGCTCTACGGAATACGCAGCCGGAGCTGTCTCAGCAGCAGCAGCTTTCACCAATCAGTCAGGCTTATCCCAAGGTAACTTCGCATCCTTCTTTCTCACAACCCACGAGTAGCTCGAACCCCCCCGGTATCGAGCCTGGCTATAACGAAAGATCATTGTCACCCTCTTCCCGTACGTATACCACGCAATTTTCAGTACAAAACTCTGCCACCACCACACCACCACCACAGATGATGCCTACGGACAGCGGGCATAATAGCCAATGTGTTATTGCCTGCTCCCAAATAATCTGCAGCTTAGAGAAGTATCAAGTCGACAAGCTGAAAGTTCTGGACCTTATACTTGGTATTGTCAAACGGGTGACCGAGAGACTTGACCCTCTTGTCAACGGACAGTTCGGGTGTCCCGACACTAAATGTCTAGCTCTCTTTAACATTATAATGTACCAACTTGTGGAGATTCTAGAAGTCGGCACGGCCGACTTCCTCGCCGATACCTCCGACGCCCAGAGGCCTCTTTCCTCGGAACTTCTGGAAGCTGGCTTCCACGAACTGGACTTCAGCGGACTTGGTCTCGGCTACAAGGACCAGGAACGCTTCCGGTCGCAGATTATACTAGAAGTGCTGCGGCCGGTTTTTAAAATAATGCAGAAAGTTCTCTTCATTTCGACGAATGCGGGATTAGACAGGGACAATGGTTATCAAGACAGGGAAAACCGTTTGAAAGCTCTTGTGGAGAAAGTAAAGAAACGGAGTGGCTGTTTATGATTCGCACCAGGCGCGGTGACACGGCTACATACTAAACAAGTAGACATACATGTTGTTGTTTTCCTATGATTGATTGTGTTGTAGCGGGTGTTGCAAGAATGTAACTAGGGTGCGGCTTCTGCCTAGGAATAGATTTGAAGGATAATAAATAGTAGATATATAAAGTACATGCGAAAATGCTTAGTAGCTGATTATTATCGTAGAAAGCCTAAGGCTATCTATATTTGTATACTAGTGCCTAGGTATGTGTTGCGTTACTAGGTAGATTAATTCATAATCTAATAGCTAAATAATTCGTAGGAGTATATATTTGACTCTATACTTATATTACTTCGAAGTCATTCTCAACACTATCCAAAGTTTTTATAACTATCTTTTAAAACAGGATAAAATATGCATTTTTATATGTGAAATTGATATACACTGATATATATAGATAGAGAAAAGTTCTCCTAAATTCCTTGTACTGTGTATTGGCATTCTAACATTCTAGCAATGGAAAATTGTAACCTGTACAGCATTGTAAGTCGTTTCTTACTGAGGCTATTCATGGCCGGCTCGTCGTTCAGATGGCAAGCTAACATTTTTGGGCCCCGGGCTCGGCCCGTGTCCGGTGGCCGAAGTCGTGTGGGGTTCAGGCAAACGGATAGCGGTGGGGTGCAAATCCCCCCACTGCGGCTGGGGATCTTGCGCGGTCAAAATAACCTTAGACCTAGAGTGTAGTTTCTACGGACCACGTGAACACGTGAACACCACATGGTAGGATGCAGGCGTTTTATTCAATATAATACTTTATTATTACAAACATCTCTTCAGATTACCTGGTATGTACATACAAATAGATTTCAAAACATAATAAATTTATATTGAGAAATAAAAAAAAAAAGGTCTATGTATTGAATGTGCTTGATACCTAGGTAATCTTTTGCACCTTCGTTATTCCGACATGACGCCCTCTACTTACATGGCCTGCGGAATGTTTATACAATTTGTTATGTTAATTTATCATATAAGACTCCTCTCATACCCTGTAGGCCAACTTATAGCCAGAGGGTGCCGCACTGCGCATGCTCACAACACCCCGTATAACACCGTCCCAACCGCCGGGCATTGACTTTACGGGATGGGCACTAACAAGGCCACGATCCAAAAGAGACTGGAATGCTAAAAATGCCTCGGTACCAAACGCTCGATCTTCGAGATTGGCCTTGCGACCATACACACCATCCATAGCAATGTCTTCTCCGAAGATCTGGGTCGCCAAGAACCAAGACGGCTGAATAGTCAAGCTGCGACCCTTGACCACAGAGTCACGGAAGGGCTCCAGAGTCACGTAGCGGCCTCCAGCGCGGCCCATAGCACTGTAGCATAGCTGTGTGGTTTCTGCTTGGGCAATGCAGTCAAAAGCGTACTCCAACTCATTGCCTGTGTACGCGCGAATATCGGCTGCACACGTCAGGCTGCGATAATCAAAGACCTTTTCTGCGCCATACCGGAGACATAAGTCGAAATTAGCAGGAGAACTTGTTGCGATTGGGCGGAACCCAGCACTAGAAAATTGATGAAATAATCATTAGCACAGTGGCAAAGCGCAAAACATAGGCACGGAAGCAAGCTTACATTTTAAGCAGTTGTAAAGCTCGAGTTCCTGTAGCTGTGCTACCACCGGCGACCAAAACGAATTCTCGATCGTTCTCGTCGAGGTCGCCGCCTCCCTTAACAAGTCGCTCCATACCCCCTGGGATTTTTAGCTCCTTATAGAGGCCAAAGGTAGCAGATGCGATTCCGACACCTAGAGTGGCTGCATCTTCGTCGCTCATGCTGTCTGGGACCTTCACCATGGTGTGCGGTGTTGTCTCGATGTATTCGGCAAAAGAACCCTTCTCTGGCGCCAGCTTGTTCTCTCCCTGAACAAGCCCTGCGACACGATCACCCACCGCAAACCGCCCTTCCGCAGCAGCTGTCTCTCCCAATGCAACGATGGTACCGCAAAAGTCTCCTCCATGTACGGCTCCTGGAGCTGCGCTATAATCTAACCCCTTGATGTCGTGAGGATTGAGACCGACGGCATGGACCTTCACAATTGCGGTGTCATGTTCCAGTACAGGCATTGGGCGGTCATTTTGTATGGTCAGTTTACCAACATCTTCGCAGATGATTGCCTTGCGGCGCTCTGGAAGGGTACGGTCTGCTAATGGCAAGCCCATATTGATGTCGTTTTCTCTTTTCCCAGTTTGAGTGACAAATTTTGAAATGAAGGTAGCAATGTGTTATTACCCAGCACATCTCCAGCGAGATCTCTTATCAAAGTTTAATACTGTAAACATTCTGATCTTGCTCATAGTGCTTCTTAGCGCCGAGTAATTACCGAGAAATCCGGAGTTTCATACTTATTCCATGAAGGTATTACCTAGGTAGTATTTCGGTGCCCGTCATGGGATCCGGTAGTTAAATTTCGGAAAGAAGGCTATATCTATTTCGGGCGATGGCAATGCTTTTGAGCACCAAAGTTTAATTGGCCAGACAATCTCGTCGGCGTTGGAACTGCAGAGGTGAACCAAGGGGCATGTCGGCTCGCGTGTACTTCACGATCACGGCTCTCCGGGCTAGTACTAGGAATTTTTATCTCTCGAGCCCGTTTTAGCCCCGCGCGTCCGTGTAGATTTGTCTTCGTCGCTATGGTAAGGAACATTGTAAAGGAACTAAAAAGTGGAATTGTCGGTCTTGATTTCGGGACCCTTGGTATTTGAAAGTGAGATCTGCTTTACTTTTGCTAGACTCCAAAACAATGAAAATGAAGTACCCAGGTATGCAATTATAATTTTAATATGGTAACATTTATCAATGCCGAATGGGAGCGTGAGGTGTCAACGATAACAGAAGAACAGAAGGCCTTTACCTGGCAAATAAAAGCATCTTGACTCTGAAGCTATTCCATAGTAGTCAAACTGGTTCCTCATTGCTAGCTCAATAAAGCACTGTATCACTGTCTAAATGTGATTTGGACATCTTCTATTCCACAATATTGAATATGTTGCGTAAGAAAAAGCATGACGCCCAGCACAGCACTGAAATGAAAATCTACAATTCAGGATATGCGGTATGATGGCAGTAATGCGTGGTATAGGTTGGTGCAAAGCACACTGCTCCAAATAGAATTTCTCAGTCGTGGGATTTGCTAAACTGCAATTTGAGTAAGTTCTCTACTGGCACGTACCTACTTACGTACTTTACGTACACAAATATATAGCTTCTAAGATTGGCGAAACTACAAGAGCAAATTGTTATAGTCATTCTCTCTGAAACACCACTTAAACCCTAATTTCTTGTACAATGGGGTTTGACAAATGATTTTTGTTTTTTAAACAAGTAGGTAATATAAAAATGCAGCTAATCATGATCCGTAGAAACGAATGTATCTTCATCGAACTGTCTCGAGGCAGCTTAGCCTCTGCTCAACGTAAAGTTCATAGTTTCCCATGGTTTTCTAGGCCTCTACTCCAATAGCCGCCAAGAGAGCTTTGCTGGGCTTCAGTTGCTTTTGGAAACGCTTGACAAAGAGATGGCCAACGGTTTCTTTGCTTGTGCCAGGTTCCTCAAACGGATTGGTGGCAAAGATATCGCCATGCCAGGCTGTGACGGCCGAGTACCTCTCCACTGGAGCTTTGTTGACAACGCGGTGATGCACGGACTTGTACGTGTGTCCAGACCATCCTGAAAGCATGTCGCCGCAGTTGATAACAAACCTGTCTTCCACGGCAGGAACGCTAACCCATTCCTTCTCATCTTCCAGCCAGATCTCGAGGGCCTCTTTGCCAGGTTCTTGGAGCAAGACCGTGATGCCGCCCCAGTCGTTGTGCGCGCCGAGTCCGAACTGTCCCTCTGCAGTGTCTGCCGGAGAAGGATAGCGGAGCAGGTTCATGCCTATCAAGGGCCGCTTCGAAAAGCGCTCCATTGTGCTTGGAGAGCGACCAAGACCTTCGATCAAAATCTCCCAAAGCAACTTTCCCATAGCAGCTGTCTTCTTGTAATACTCCCAGATTGGCTGGCGGAACTCGTCTTCGGGGAGAGGTGGCCACTGATTTGGGCCGTAAATGCCACCCATCTCGACCTTAGGGTCATCCTCGCAGAAATAATACGACTTATCTAGTGATTAGCTATGGGTTACAGGTCCATCAACAGGTCTCCTTAAGTTTACCTCTTTTGCGTCCGGCATAGCTTTACCGTCCCGGCTATGGGCACCGGAAGCTTCGTATCCACGACGACAAGGACTTTTGAGAACGGAAATCTCCATCTTCTCTTCTTTTGGCAGGCTAAAGAATCGCTCGAGGCTTTTGAACATTGCACGCTGCAGGCTTACGGGGACACCATGACCCGTGCATTGGAAGAAGCCAAAGGTCTTGAAGGCATCTCGTATCTGTGCAACGACTTGGGCCTTGTCTTCAGGTGAAGTCGGATTGATGTAGCCACTGATGTCAACGAGAGGGAATTGGGCAGCCTTTTCAGACATGTTGACGAGTGTTTGCAATCAGCTTTTGCATGACACCAAAACGCAAATGAACACTATCTACAATGCGCTGACAACCAGGGGTGGCGCTATGTTTTTGAATACAACATATTAAAAGTTGACCATCTGAACACACGCAACATTTCGGCGCCCGAAGACAGATCCACTCTATCACCATACCTCCGAGACCTCTATTGTTATTTGAGGAAATGGATTTCGTTGTTGAGTCGCCGACGATGCCGGCGATGTCAGCATCAACGGGCCGATTGGCGGCGTTAACAGAACGTTCCTATCTAAGCTACAGTACTATAGCAACAGTCATAGATTACGGATTAAATGGTCATATAAACATTGATATTGTATGACAGCTCAAATACGAGCAGAAGCACCAGACGTGGAAAGTTCCCAGCTGTCTTTCTTTCCAACTCTAGCTGCCCTACCCATCAGACTTCACTTTCAATAATCGCGTTGAAATGGCTCACTCCAACGACAGGGCAGAGCCTATCGCAATCGTAGGAAGCGCTTGTCGTTTTCCTGGATCTGCAAGCTCTCCTTCCAAATTATGGAGCCTACTTTCAGAGCCTCGTGATCTTGGCTTCGAGATCCCTGCAGATCGATTCGGAAAGGGGTTCTATCATCCTAATGGTGCTCATCATGGAACCACCAATGTACAACATGCATACCTGCTAGATGAAGACATTCGCGAGTTTGATGCTTCCTTTTTCAACATTCACTCCAAGGAAGCAGACTCGATCGATCCGCAACAGCGGCTACTCCTGGAAACGGTCTATGAAGGTAAGTTACATTCGTGACCGGACACAAGATTTCAGCTGATGTTTTTCTTTTCTTTTCTTTCAAGCCTTGGAGAGTGGTGGTCATACAATCGAAGGGCTCAGGGGTTCTGATACGGCTGTGTATACTGGCACGATGAGTGTTGATTGGATGGATCAAGGTGTGAGGGACTTTGATACCATGCCACAATATTTCGCCACGGGGTCTAATCGGGCCATCATCTCCAACCGCGTCTCCTATGTGTTTGACTGGAGGGGTCCCAGCATGACTATTGATACAGCATGCTCCTCTAGTTTGATTGCTGTGCACCAGGGAGTGACGGCTCTTCGTTCAGGAGAATCGCGCGTTGCCGTGGCCTGTGGTACTCAGGTCATTCTTAACCCAGAGCAGTTTATCGCAGAGAGTAAGCTGCAAATGCTTTCGCCAACAGGTCGGTCACGCATGTGGGACAAGGATGCCGATGGCTACGCTCGGTATGTGCTCGGGTCTCTGTATGATTGAGAAATACTGACTCCGGTTACTCGCAGTGGTGAGGGTACAGCTGCAGTTATATTGAAGAGGCTCAGCGACGCAATCGCAGATGGGGATCACATTGAGAGTATCATTCGCGAGACAGGCACCAACCAAGACGGCCGAACCCCCGGCCTCACGATGCCAAGTTCAGAAGCGCAAGCTGCTTTGATACATACAACTTATAAGAAAGCCGGCCTCGACCCGGTCAACAATCCTCGGGATCGACCTCAATACTTTGAGGCCCATGGTACCGGAACTCAAGCTGGTGACCCGAGAGAAGCCTCTGCTATCTACGAGTCGTTCGGTCGTCATATCCCGGCCAATGAGACCCCTTTGTATGTTGGGTCTATCAAGACCGTGATTGGTGAGTGGTTATCCTTCTAATGTTCCATATCTGCGCTACACCACCACACAAGACATTCAAGATCAGTCTTAGCTTACTATGTCACCAACTAGGCCATCTTGAGGGTGCCGCTGGTCTTGCTGGTCTTCTAAAAGGCTCAGCTAGCATCCAGAACGGATACATCGCACCGAATCTCCTCTTCAAGACCCTGAACCCAAAGCTCGAGCCCTACTACAAGAGTCTAAAGGTACCGACGGAATTGATGCCTTGGCCCAAAGTCCCTGAAGGAGTGCCCCGACGTGTCAGTGTCAACAGCTTTGGTATGTGGCCCTGTCCATACTCCAATCTAGATGCTAACCTTGAATAGGATTTGGCGGCAGCAATGCGCACGCAATCCTAGAACAGTACCGCGGACCTAGCGAGGCAGAAATTCCCACTCGCTCCAATATCACAACTTTCACACCATTCGTATTTTCAGCCATGTCTGAGACCTCCCTGGTTGCACAATTGCAAGCCTACTCGCAACATCTCAAGACCAACAGTCACATCAGCCCCTACGATCTAGCATGGACGCTACAGGCGCGAAGGAGTCAATTTCCACTCAAGATAGCTTTCTCTGCGCTCACAATTGAGCAGTTAGCATCAAAGATTGATGCCAAGCTGGAAACGCTCAAGACGAAGCCGGGCACCACTCTGGGAGTGCGTGCAAGCTCCAGACAGACTACCGCTGCCCCTCGCATACTAGGCGTTTTCACTGGTCAAGGAGCGCAGTGGGCATCCATGGGCGCGCACTTAATTCGCGCTTCTGAGTTCGTGCGCAAGAGACTCCAGGACCTCGAGAAATCTCTGGCATCTTTGCCTCCTGCCGATCAACCCAAATGGAACCTTACAGAGCAAATTCTCGCTGGGAAAGAGACTTCACGCATTTCTGAGGCCGCGTTATCGCAGCCTCTTTGTACCGCAATTCAGGTTGTTCTAGTAGATCTTCTACATGCCGCTGGAATTAACTTCACCACTGTTGTAGGCCACTCATCCGGTGAAATTGGGGCAGCTGTACGTATACCTCGTACGCTTGCCTGCATTAATATCCCAAGATGACCCCGATTTTTTTTTTTTTTTTTTTTTTTTTGATGCAATAATGCTGACATTGTGTCTATGCAGTATGCGGCAGGTTTCCTCTCAGCTGAAGATGCTATTCGCGTGGCCTACTACAGAGGATTATACGCGTACATGGCCGATGGAGGCCACGGCCAGAAGGGTGCCATGCTTGCGGTGGGCACTTCGTGGGAGGACGCACACGAGCTCATCAACCTACGGACCTTCAGAGGCCGGCTTGCCGTCGCCGCCCACAACTCGCCAGCAAGTGTGACTCTGTCAGGGGACGCCGATGCAATCGCTCATGCCAAAAGGGTCTTCGACGAGGAAAAGAAGTTCGCGAGACTGCTCCAAGTAGACACGGCCTATCATTCCCATCATATGCTACCATGTGGTGACCGGTATGTCGAGGCTTTGAAAGCATGCGGAGTCCGAGTCAAAAAGGATCGAAGCAGCTCTTGCGCTTGGTTCTCCAGCGTGAGCGGCAGTGACAAGCCGATGACTGCCGTCGAAGAGCTTCAAGACGAGTACTGGAGGGACAACATGACAAAATCAGTCTTGTTCTCAGAGGCTGTGCAGAACGCATTCGCTTCGGATGACCAAATGAATCTCGGTCTCGAAGTCGGTCCACACCCTGCCCTCAAGGGCCCCGTGGCACAGAATGTTAACGACGACCGATCCACGCCATTCTCCTACAGTGGTGTCCTGAGCCGTGGCCAAAACGACATCGAGGCATTTGCAGACGGCCTTGGCTTTGTATGGACACAACTTGGGGCCAACGGTGTCGATTTCCAGGCCTATGAAAAGGCCGCGACAGGTTCAAAATCACCGCCGCCACGGTTGGTGACAGGGTTGCCCCTTTATCAATGGAACCATGGGAAATCTTACTGGAGCGAATCCCGGCGGTCCAGGAAGATTCGTTCACGAGCAGAGACAAACCACGAAATTCTGGGCACCCTATCGCCCGAGTCTACGCCACAAGACATGCGTTGGTCGAACATACTTAAAGTGTCAGAGATGCCGTGGCTGAGCGGGCATCAGATACAAGGCCAGATGATTTTCCCTGCCGCTGGATATGTCGCCATGGCACTTGAGGCGTCCAAGATTCTTGCGGCTGAGAAGAGTGTCAAGACATATGAGCTCTATGACTTGTCGATTCCCCGAGCAACTGTCATTGATGATGCAGACAATGCTAGTGTTGAGACTCTGGTCACGTTGACTAAGATTCAGTATCATCTAGATCAAACAGCAACTGCCGACTTCTCCTGTTACGCACTGGCCGTCACCAGCACCGGATCGAAGCAAGAAATGGCGATAAATGCTGCAGGCACGGTGAAGATAGTATTTGGGGAGCCAGATGTGGACGCACTATATTGCACACCCCTGGAAGACTACAACTTGCGCGCAGTCGACAGCGATGAATTCTACGACTTCCTCGCCAAGCTTGGGTATGGCTACACAGGTCCATTCAGAACATTGTCATCAACGAAGCGTCGGCTTGGTCACTCCAGTGGTCTGATAGACTCTTACAATTATGCGGATTCCGAACCTTCCAGGTACCTGATTCACCCTAGCACACTCGATGTTGCGTTCCAAGCCTCGATACTTGCGTACACATCGCCATCGGTAGGTCACGCCCTGCAGAATGTCCTATATGTTATGGGAACTCTAGGCTACTGTCCTGATCTCTATTTGTTTTGAGCACTGCTAATTCTGACATACTTGACAGGATGAGCGTCTCTGGGCCCTGCACGTCCCAACAGTCATTGGAACCATCAGAGTTAACGCAGCAACGTGTGCTTCGCCGCTTACTGCTGGATCCCGCGTGCCAGTGTACTCTGTGCTCGAAGACTCGGAGGCTTTCTCTGGATTCATCGAGCTGCTGAGTGAAGATGGCCAGCATAGTATGGTTCAGGTCGAAGATTTGGTGATCAAGCCTTTGGCTCCGGCGGCAGAGTCAGACGACCGTGTCATGTTCACTCATACGAAATTTGCTCCAGCCGTGGCAGATGGGGCTCTCGCCTCGGATGGTCAACAACCTTCCTCCTACGAACTTGACCTGAGCATGGTCTGCGAAAGGCTCTGTTACTTCTATATTTCCAAATGGGCCTCCGAACTCACTGACGAAGACTGGAAAACCGGCCCGTCGCACTTCCTGCACCTTCGGAACTGGGTAAACCATAGTAAGTACACCGTTTTAGCTGATGGGCTATGGCTTCCTTTCAAGTATATACCTAATATTAACCCTGAATGCAGTTCTCCTCAATGTTTCCAAGGGTAAGAATCCACATATCAAGAGGGAATGGTCGAAAGATACCCCCGAATTCATCGAGACCTTGATCAGTCCTTACCGAGAGGATGGCAATATCAAGATCATTCGTGCTGTGGGCAACAACTTGCCCGCCTCAGTGCGCGGCGAAACGACCATCTTAGAGCACATGATCAAAGATGACATGCTCGAACAGCATTACAAGAAAAGTTTGGGAGCAGAAGTCGCGAATGAATTCTTGGCCAATATGATGAAGCAAATCACCCATCGCTATCCGCACGCGAAGATCTTCGAAATAGGTATGAGACGCCATACGACTTTCGAGATATGTAGCAAGCCAGCTCTAACCCTACTTACTTACTCACAGGTGCTGGCACTGGCGGAGCCACAAAGGCGGTCCTCGAAAGCATCCAAGGCGCCATGTCGTCGTATACGTACACCGACTTGAGTGTCGGTTTCTTCGGCCTTGCAGAGAAACTTTTCGAGGCTTACAGTGACAAGATGGAATACAAAACTTTCGATGTGGAGCAATCGCCAAAAGCCCAAGGATACGAGCCCAATTCCTACGACATCGTCATCGCCTCCAACTGTTTACATGCGACGCGTTCACTGGAAACGACATTGGCGCACACGCGACAGCTCTTGAAGCCTGGAGGATACCTCTTGATCTTGGAACTTACCATGCCCATTGAGGTGATTCGCACCAACACAATCTTTGGAGTCCTTCCTGGTTGGTGGCTCGGCGTGGATGATGGTCGGAAATTGTCACCGACCATAACTCGTGCCGGCTGGCATTCCATACTGCGCAAAACGGGCTTCTCGGGAATCGACACTATCAACAATGATGTTAGTCCTATTACCTGGCCGGGTTCTGTTGTCGTATCTCAAGCGGTCGATGAACGAGTGCAGTTCCTACGCCGGCCGTTGTCCGCCACGTCTAAGTCGGCTCCTATTTATATAGAGAGTCTTGTCATCCTTGGAAACGGTACCCTAGAGACTGCGCGGGTGGCCGAAGAGTTGCTAGAGCACCTACAACGCTTTTGCGGAGAAGCTGTCATTCTTGATAGCTTGCCAACCGAGGAAGAGGCGTCCAGTTTGAATCCGATGAGCACATTTATCAACCTGGTGGACCTGGACTCGCCAATTTTCAAGGACATCACAGAGGACAACATGGAGGGCGTGAAAAGGATGTCCGAACTGGCAAAAAATATCTTATGGGTCACGCAAGGTGCCTTGGCAGACGAGCCATACCACATGGCAAGTATTGCTTTCTGCCGCGCTTTGCGCACAGAGGCGCCGCATGTCAGCTTGAACAACCTCGACATAGCGGACATACAGCAGGACAACATCTCGAAGCTCATCGCAGAGCATCTGCTGCAGCTCTATGCTCTTGACGAGTGGGAGCATGAACCCCAGCCGCTTCTATGGTCCAAGGAGCGCGAGGCTTTCATAGAGGACGGAAAGCTTAAGATTCCTCGAATTGTCGCCAATAGCGACCTGAACGCTAGGCTGAACTCTAACAGACGAGTGGTCACGAAGCCAATGGTCGAATCCAGCGATGATAAAGTCGCGTTTTCACCACCATCCGACGAATCCCCGGCCTCTCTATTCAACGTAGCATCAATTGATGACCGAGCAAGCTCTATCAAAGTCGAGTCCTCGAGCGCACACGCACTTCAGGTCGTTCGGGGCACTTCCTTATTCGTTGCTATTGGTAGAGAAGATGACTCTACAGAGAATTCCACTGTGCTGCTGTCGACCGCGAACACTAACAAGCAGTCTCCAGTCACGAAAATGACTATCCCTAACATCGCCTATTCATCAGAAAAGCTCTTGGTTCTTGTGGCAAGCGAGTTACTAGCAGCAACATTGGCTGAGAACTTATCTTCGAGCGATCACTTACTAGTGCATTGTTCGACGGAAGACCAGCTCCTAGTTGACGCCTTGTCGCGGCGTATTTCAGGCCAAAATATTCGTCTCACCATCACATATGACTCAGCAGAAAGCGTTGCCGACTCGCAAGGCCCAGCGTGGATCAAGATCAGTAATCGTACGCCTCGACACTTTTTGCGGAAAACTCTTCGCCTTGCAAAACCTTCACACTATCTCGACTTGACGGCTACGCATCTTGGAGCTCGTCTTGCTCAGGACTTGCCTGCTGGTTGCAAGCGAGTTGATGCATCCACTTTGATCCAGCCTCAATCTTCGCTGCCTCTTTCATACGATCAAGGAATATTGGCGGATCGGCTTGAGAATGCAGTTACGAGGGCAATGGCTACTTCGACTGTTCAGGAGGGTTTCCAAGACTTGGTCATCCAACTTAGCCAGGTTGAGGAGCCATCGACTCAGTACTATGCAACAAGTGCCATCCGCTGGCCGTCGGACGAGCTGGTGAAGACCAAAGTGCGTCCTCTGAATGTCTCGGGCTTCTTCTCCAAAGACAAGACCTATGCCCTCATTGGTCTGAGTGGTGCTATTGGGCAATCGCTTTGTGAATGGATGATATCAAACGGCGCTGGCTGCGTTATTTTGACGAGTAGACGCCCTGATATAGATCCAAGATGGATCGACTCTTTCCAGGGATCAGGCGCAACCGTCAAAGTACTCCCCATGGATGTTACTGACATTGGCAGTGTAGAGAGCGCGGTAAAGATTATTAGAGACACTTGTCCTCCAATCGCCGGTGTGGCACACGGAGCCATGGTCCTCCACGATTCGCTTTTTGCAAGAATGTCAGCAGACAAGATGCAACAGATCATTGGACCCAAAGTCGAGGGAGCGATCAACCTCGAAGAGGCGTTTAGCGAAGACGACCTTGACTTTTTCGTCATGTTCTCCTCGGTATCGATGGTTTGTGGAAACGCCGGTCAATCCTTATATGCTGCCGGATGTGGATATCTGAATGGCTTGGCCAGGCAGAGACGCAAGCGCGGCCTTGCGGGCTCTACCTTCGATATTGGCCGTGTCGTCGGTATTGGCTATGTCGAGTCAGCAGCCCAAGTTGTCCGCGATCAGTTGATCGGACTTGGACTCAAGCCCATCTCTGAGGCGGATCTACGCAATGCATTTGCAGAAACCATCCGAGCCGGCCTCCCACAGCCTCAGGACCAAGAGAAACTTCCAGAGGCCGTCGTAACGATGGGCGTGCGTCATTTCCGCGAAGACGAGGATGTTAAAGGGCCGTGGTTCACCAACCCCCTCTTTTCACACTGCATCATCGAGAAGGCCAGCACTCAATCTAGCTCCGGGGATCAACGCAAAAAGACTTCTCTTCCCCTGAGCCAGCAACTCGCCCAGGTGGCTTCTAGAAAGGAAGCCCTGGACGTCATAATCGGTAAGATATCACCTGTTGTTGAAAAATCCAGTCATTATGCTAACAACCTGCCAGATGGTTTCTCGGAGAAACTAGGGGTCATATTGCAGCTTGGTGACCAGGCAATCGACCGTGACGCGCCCCTCAACGAACTCGGCATCGACTCCTTGGTGGCGGTTGAAGTGCGAGGGTGGTTCTTGAAGGAACTGAAGGTCGACATACCAGTGCTCAAGATTATCGGAGGAGCTTCACCCACAGAGTTATGCCAGAGAGCGCTGGAACTCCTGCCACAAGCAGTGCTGGCTGGCATTGATGCGCCAAAGGCCGAGGTTGCGAAGCCCGTTGGGAAGTTGGACCTGAAAGTGCCTCCCCTGCAGCAGGCTGAGGTATCAAGCTCGAGTTCCAATACATCCAGTTCAACGCCGGGATCTACATCTCCTACTTCTAAAATGCCGTCGACAGCGCAGTCATCTGTAGGTTCCGAAGTGGGCGATGAGGACGTTACCCTCGCAGGATCTCAGAAGACTAATGCGAAAGCAGACGCATTCCCTCCTCCTCCTGACCGTCGACCACAAAAATTCCTGAAGAGCGTGCCTATTTCCCTAGCGCAGTCTCGCTACTGGTTCCTTCAACATCTGCTCGCCGACCAAAGTACACACAATGTCGCCACGTACTACCGCATCACGGGAGAACTTCGCGTAAACGATCTGACAAGGGCCATACGTCTTGTGTGCTCCAGACACGAGTCGTTGCGCACTTGTTTCGTAGCCGATCAGACCGCAGAAGACGAGGCCAGCCAGAAAGTCATGCCCAGCTCCCCACTGCGTCTTGAGTGTAAGAACATCAACTCTGAGGAAGACGTGGCGATTGAGTACGCCAAAATCAGATCGTACGAGCTGGACATGGAGACGGGCGATTTGCTGAAACTGGTTCTCCTGACGCTCTCGCCAACAAGTCATTTTCTCCTCATGAATTACCATCACATTATCATGGACGGCATTAGCTGGCAAGTCTTCCTTGCCGACCTGGAAAAGGCTTACAACGGCCAACATCTCGGAGCACCTCCGCGGCAATACCCAGAGTTCTCTGTGGCTCAGCGCAAGGCCTTGGAGAGCGGTGCGATGGATGACCAGCTCAATTACTGGCGGCAGATGTATCCTGAGAGCAACCCGCCAACCGTCTTACCACTGCTACCAATGGCTCGTGTCAGTGCCAGAATGTCGATGAAGGTATACGATACCCATCAAGTAGAGTTGCGACTGGAGCCTGCCCTGCTAGCGCGAGTCAAGTCCTTTGCGAAGACCAATGGATCTTCGCCATTCCATCTTTATCTGGCTGCCTTCAAATCCATGCTCTTCAGCTTCATGGACGCACCCGATCTGACAATTGGTGTTGCTGATGCCGGCCGCTCCGAGCCCAATCTCCAAGGCAGCGTTGGATTCTTTCTCAATCTACTTCCCTTGAGATTCCGACGCCAAAACAATCAACAATTCACCGATGCCATGGTCGAGGCTCGGAACATCCACTATGCAGCGCTTGAGAATTCTCGGGTGCCTTTTGATGTCCTGTTGGCCGAGTTGAACGTGGCTCGTTCCTCATCGTATAGTCCATTCTTCCAGGCATTCCTTGATTACCGTCAGGGCTTCCCAACCAAGCATCCATTTGGCAATACTGAATTCGAGATCAAGACAGCTGACCACAGCCAAAGTGCATACGACATCACCTTAGACGTGACTGACAGTGCCGTAGCCACAGTTGTTATGATTCGGGCCCAGAAGAGTCTCTACGATATGACGGCGACGGTCCTATTCTCTGAGACCTTTACCCATTTCCTCGAAACTTTGACCGCCGATCCGTCACTGTCTCTGAAGGATATCCCTCTCTATGGCGAGGAACAGCGCCTTAAGGGCATCCAGGTTGGCCGTGGCCCCCGCCTGACCTCCGAATGGCCAGCAACACTGCCCCATCGAATCGATCAGGTTGCCCAAGAGAATGGAGACAAAATCGCCCTCACGGACGGCTTTGGCAATGAACTCAAGTACAAAGATATGACAGACCGAATCGAAGCAATTGCCGAGGCGTTGATCACCAAGGGAGCCGGCAGTGGCTCTCGAGTGCTCGTCTTCGAGCAAGCAGCGTCAGATTGGGTATGTTCCATGCTCGCTATCATGCGAGTAGGTGCTATCTATGTACCGCTGGACCTTCGCAATCCTCTTCCCCGTCTAGCATCAGTTGCAAAAGACTGTGAACCGACAGCAGTCCTCGCGGACGCTACTACATTGCACGATGTGCCGCAGCTCGGCGTCGATGGTGCCCAAGTCATCGATGTGACTGCTGTCGGTTCCAAGGCTTCGACTCACATTACAAACTCTGCGCAGGCAGACTCGCCCGCTGCGATTCTCTACACCAGCGGTTCCACTGGTACACCAAAAGGCATCGTGGTCACACACTCCGGTCTGCGCAACGAAATCGAGGGCTATACGAAAATGTGGAAATTAGGCGCCGAACGCACTCTGCAGCAGAGTGCATTCACCTTCAATCATTCCTCAGATCAGTAAGCACCTCAGAATCTCAAACTTGTCATTAGCTTTTTGAGCAGTAGTTACAAATGCTGACCTTCGACCGTCTAGGATATACACCGGTCTCACCAACGGCGGCAGCGTGCACATCGTCCCATGGAGCGCACGCGGTAACCCGCTTGAAATCACCAAGATTATGCACGAACAGTCCATCACGTACACCAAGGCAACGCCATCCGAGTATATGCTCTGGATGCAGTATGGAGGCGATAATCTCCGCCTCGCCTCAAAGTGGCGTTCGGCCTTTGGCGGCGGCGAGACCTTGACCACGACCGTTACTCAGGAATTTGCCAAACTTGACCTGCCAGACTTGCGTTTCTACAACTCATATGGCCCGACGGAGATTTCGATCTCGTCCACCAAGATGGAGATTGCGTACCGCGAAAAGCAAGAGCTAGAGAGCATGGGCCGTATTCCATGCGGGTATTCTCTGCCCAACTACGATACCTATATCGTCGACGAGGAGTTGAGACCGGTGCCCATTGGAAGCCCCGGAGAGATTTGTCTAGGTGGCGCCGGTGTGTCGCTTGGTTACTTCAAGAACCCAGAGCTGACAGAAAAGCATTTCGTGCCCAACCCCTTCGCGACGCCCGAAGACATTGCTAATGGCTGGACACGCATGTACCGGACGGGGGATATTGCCCACCTGCGCGAAGACGGCGCCATGGTGTTCCACAGCCGCATCGCAGGCGACTCGCAAGTCAAGATCCGGGGGCTGCGCATCGAGCTCAGCGACATCGAGAGCAACATCGTGGCGGCGGCCGGCGGAGCGATCAAAGAGGCCGTCGTCACGCTGCGGGAGGGCGACCCCGAATTCCTGGTCGCGCATGTGGTATTCGCACCGAATCACGGCGTCGCAGATCAGTCGGCCTTCTTGGAGCGCCTGCTAGGTAATCTGGATGTGCCGCAGTACATGGTCCCTGTGGTGGCGATTCCATTGGATAAATTTCCGCTTTCGAACCACTCGAAGGTTGACCGGAAAGCGATCAAGGCGTTGCCGTTGCCCAAGAGAGCGCAGGCAGTGCAAGAAGAGGATGCAGAGCTCACGGAGACGATGCTACAGCTGCGCGGCGTCTGGCGCGAGGTCCTAGGCAAGAGCATCAAGGACCTCGGACTTGAGATCACTCCGTCAACCAGCTTCTTCCTTGTTGGCGGCAACTCGCTCCTGATCATCCGCCTGCAGTCGCAAATCCGCATCACCTTCAACACTGCGCTGTCCCTCATCGACCTCGTCAGCGCCAATACGCTCAGCGAGATGGCGCACAAGATTGATGAGTCGACAAGCGTCGCTCCCCTCGACTGGGAGGCCGAGACTGCGCCGCCCACGATCCCTTCGTTCATCGACAAGGCTTCCAAGACTCGCGCCGCTGCTCAAGGGAAAAAGACTGGCAAGACGGTCGTGGTCACAGGAGGGACAGGCTTCCTGGCTAAACATCTCATCCCACAACTTGTAGCCAGGCCCGACGTTGAAACAATCCACTGCGTCGCTGTTCGAGATCCCGCCAAACTGAACTTTCCATCTCCCAAGATCCGATGCCACGCCGGCGACCTTTCGGCGCCCCTGCTCGGGCTCAGCACCGAGGACTTTGTCGATCTGGCGAGCCAGGTAGATGTCATACTTCACTTGGGCGCTGCGCGCTCCTTCTGGGACAACTACAACGTTCTGCGACCCAGCAACGTGCATCCGACCAAAGAGCTAGTCAAGTTGGCTGCTCCAGGAAAAGTACCCATCCATTTCACGTCGACTGCAGCCGTGTTTGGCGGTAATAGCATTGGCATGGACACCGTCTCGGCCGCGGACAGCGTGCCGCCTCTTGATGGGACGGACGGATACACAGCGACGAAATGGGCCAGTGAGCGCATTCTCGAGCGCGCTGGTGCCACGCTTGGGGTTCCTGCCTCCATATACCGATTCTGCCCCGCGACGACACACGAGCCTGCGCCCCAAGAACTCCTAGATTTGTTCGCACACTTTGTGGACATGACCAAGGCCATGCCTGACACGACGGGCTGGACCGGGCGTATGGACATGATCCCTGCCGCGAATGTCGCGAGCTGGCTCTGTGAGTCGGCCGTCGCCGCCAATACCGGAATCAAAATCAATTTCACCCACTATCCGGGGCGAGTTACCGTCGCGGTGGACGAGCTGATGTCGCATCTCGAGGCGCAGATGGGCAAGCGAGACGATCTCACACGCGTCCCGTTGCTGAAGTGGACTGGCGTCATCAAGAGGGCCGGGTTTGAGTATTTCATGATGTCCCATGAAGCCAGCATAGAGAAGGAGGCTAAGCTGGAAATGCGGAGGTGATGCTGACAACTGACAACGGACATTGTATTGTAGTATTGTTATGTTATGGTTCATATTCTATTTGTACTTAAAGTAGACACAGCGAATGCAGCATTGAGTCTTTTTCATCTTCTATTCGTTGCGTAGGGCTAACCCTAAGTCAGCCTTAGGCGAAATACATCTACCTAGGAGGTATGTATCTGCGCATGGAAATAACATGGTACATTCGCTTGCTCTGTCTCCCAACTTGAAAGCCTTGAAATGAAAGCCACCTCCATCTTTGGCAAATTCTCGTGCTCGACCTGATCATGGTACCCAATGCTATAAGATGGGAACGGAAAGGGAGAAGAGCATTAAGAAAACTGTTGAGAAGCTTCGCCCATCTCCTCACGGACCTTCTTCTTAAGCGTAGTTCCAGAGATCGTGCGAGAGGAGTCGTTACTCTCCTCATTCACCGGCTTGGTCGTCGGGTCCGAAATGCGCATGATACGGGCATTTCGATGGGGGTCATGAGACTGTGCAAAGTTGCCTTGTAAATCAATCCGCAGGCAGAGAAAGAACAAGGGCTGAGTGAACATACCTTTACCTTGGCCCAACCCTTACTGCCTCGCGTGCTGACACTTTCGCTAGGAGATACTCGGCGTTCTCTTCTAACCTCAGTAAAGGTTGAGCTGGAAACGTTCCAGCCAGAGAAATTGACGGATTGGCTTGGAGCGTGGGATTCCACAGGGATAGGTACTACAGCTGGCTCATCATCTTCAAGCCATACGCCACCAGCAATAGACTCGTAGTCTTCGGCGCATGTGTTGAGGGAACGCCGGGAGACGCTTGAAGGCATCCTGGCGGTGTCTGTAGACGATGGCAACGGCACACCACCGACAGTACTCTGATGTGGATCAGCGATGAAGTCACGCACATAGGCGATCGTTACATCATATTACTCACCTCCATAACAGACGAAGCAGCATCAGTAACATCTGCAGCCTGGGCGAGATTTTCATTTTCCTCGACATCTTTCCAAGTCTCCGACGTCATAAGCTCCGAAACGCAGTTTTTGCAAGTCTAACGATACGCATCAACATTAGTCGCTGATCAGATATCCAATAACTAGGAATGAAACCTACAGCTCTATCGGTGTCCCGACGCTGAGCTTTGGTGTAAGCGTCAAGAGGCTTTGCAATTCGGCAACGAGCACAAGTAATATCAGTTGGCACGCCAGCTCCAGTGCAACTTTTACAACGGATGAGATGTCGCGAGATTGCTATCTGCCCCTGCATCGCGATCTTGCTTCTCAAGCGGGTAAGTTGCGACTCAGAAAATGCAGACTGCGGGAGAGGAACTCGACATCCGGAGCACTTGATGCTGGAAAGATTTGTTAGCATGGATGAACTTGCTGGAGTCGTTTATCGAATTGGCTACTTACCGCTCAGGAAGACGAGCTTTCTTTGCTCTGATCAGAGACAAAAGTCAGTTCGTTGTACACTGACATTGCATTATTAGAACGCTTACCTCTCCACAGTCTCTGGGGACCAACCACCAGGCATGTTGAGTACAACTTTTTGTGAAGTAAGATAGAGAAACTATTGAAAATTAGCATTCCAAGTGCATTCGAAGGCACATTCAAATATACAGGGGAGTATGGCGAGGAAAATGCAACCGCCAAGATATCTGTAGACTTCAAGGCAATGAGAGCAAGCAGATCAGCTCATATTCGACCTCGAGCCATCCATATTTGATGACGAACATGAGATGAATGGATGAATGGAACTGAGACAAATATAACTCAGAGGACTATATACTCACAGTTGCTGGCAAGGTTGTAGATGGCCTCAGCTCAGCTCACAGAAGAGGAGCACGACTTCTGCACAAGAGATTGACGAGACGATGACGATGCGTGAAGCAGAGTGCTGGTGGGATGTGAGGAGGAGAGGAGAGAAAGAGGAGAGAAAGAGAAGGAGAGGCAGGCCCTGCCGGGCGTTGTTTGCTGGCAACGTGACCTGGAGACAAGAGTAACAATGCAAACAAAAAGCGGCCATTCCCGTCAAAGCCATAACAATCTTCACTGTCACCGGATGCCTGATAATACGACCTATCAAGGCATAGAGATAGAGAATAGTTGTTGCATTGCTCTCATTCATTGACAGTCTATTGTCCTTCACTGAGACTGTTGGCAGATGTCCAGCGAAGGCTGCCATAGCTTGATACCATGGTCGTCTATAGATAGATCAGAGGAGTATCCAGTTTGTTTTAGAATCCCTTTGCAGCTTAATTAATCGTTTGCTTTTTGTCCATGTCGGCATTGAATGGACTGTGTTGGAAATGTCCAGGTTGATTGGATATATATGCCTAGGAGGTGCGGCTCTCTGTCCATCGCTCAACCCACCATTGGAAGGTAGGCATAACCTACGTGCGCATGAGACTCAAGAGCTTGGAACTACCTTCACCAGAAAGTGCGTGTGCCATATGAAAGTCTTCCTCCGTGAAGTATCAGTACACAACTTTTAGTCAAAAATCTGGAGAGACTATCGCAGCGTAGTACTGCAGAAAACCGAGAATAACGCTGGACGGCTCTAAGCCTCGAAGTATCAATAACAGCATTAATCATCCGAAGTATAAATAAGAGGCTGCAACAGTCCGCCGTCGAGCGTTTGCATTCAGGAAAAATCAAATTTTTGCCATTGGATACGACATTTTGTGGCAGAGTGCAGGTTGATTGTTTAAAAACGTCTTTTGATACCTAGGTGGAAAGGACGAGATAATTTACTCGCCAAGCTACATGATAGAGGGATATATGGCAGAATGGCTGTGATCCGGCTTAAAACGGTCACGAGTAAAACCATATGGCAGTGAAATGCTCGAGTTGGATGAATATGATATCCTCAGGCAGACAGAGTGGGGAAGTGAGAGCATCCAGCCAATCAAAAGGCTAGCCGAAGCGGCTGTACCAATGGCAGGCCGCATTAGTCAGGAACCGAGCGGAGCCCGTGGACGTCAAGCGTTGGTTCTGCGATGCTGCCCAAGGCAGTCAATCATTCACCCACACACTTTGCATCATGCGACTAATCACATCTTCCCCTGCCGTCATATCACAAGCAGTCCTGCTCAGCATGCCGAGTATGGGGCGTGGTTTTTTGACCACTGGCAATGAGCCAATAACCTGGATTATTGTGATAGGACGGCGAGTCAGTAAATTGGATATGCGGGCAAAAATGGAAAGTGAAGATCTGCGAGCAGAGGTCGCTCTGTTCGTGTAACTCGTCTGATAGACATGGACAGTCAAAACTCAAGGCTGACTTGAAGTATCCAAGCCATGCACTACTAATCACGCGACTGGTCAATCATTGATAAGTGCAGAGTCTGGGCCCTTGGGCGTTGTAAGTTTGATCATCAATGACAAATATGACTTTCACTTTCTTAACTTAACTCTTTGACTAACTACTAGTATCGAGTATTTGGATTTCTAGGTAGCAGACTAACAGTGCTAGTAAGTCACTCAAGAGTCAAGAGGCAGTATCATTCCTGCTCTACGGAGTACGGAGTATGTAGAGTTGTGGATGCCGTCTTCAAGATCCGATCATGACTGGTAGGGATAGAGATAGACCCGATAAATCGGCTTGAGCTACCTCTGCAGACGCCCATCTCATGCATAACATGATTCAACATGGGGTTACGAATTTATATTACATCTTGATTACGCACACAGACATATCTACCTGACTTGCTCAGAATCAATCCCAGGCGTGGGATATGCCTTGCTTTTAGGGCAGCCAGTTGGGTATCTGTTTGGCGTGTCAGACGTTGATACGCGGGCGTCTCCGTCACATCCACTTCCAGTCAGCGAGATGATTCATCATTCGACGCATGGAAGTCAGCACTGTATAACTAGTTAGTTAGTTAGCATTCGGTCATTGACGTTAACACTCCGTCGTTCGTTTTTCGCGGCAATGCAAAAATCCACGGAGCAAAGTGTAGGGAATCGACCAAGACTGCCAATGGCGGTTGGGTCGGATTTCGTTTTCTACGTTATTCTAGACTTACCCATTTAGTCTAACTACTCCGTAGTGACCGTCACCGATTCTGAACAAAAAAAAAGCGCAATCTAGCCTTACCTGAATGGGATTGCTTTTTTTTTTTTTGCCCCCTTTTTTGGGGTTGTCGGTGCTTTTCAGTTCCCTCTCCATGCACTTGGAATGTCACTGCATGATCGATTCCTCAGCAGAGTGAAATAGGATGATCGAGAGCATGTGATCAGATCGCCTGCTGCTGCCACCACTTGACGTCTCCTGTCCATGCAAATGTGACTGACTACGGTACTCCGTAAGGAGTCCTCGAAATTACGGAGTATTGGTATACTCCGTAGGTACGTAACTACCGCGTGTTTGTAAGGTCCTCCGTACAATAATTACGTTGTTAAATACCGCGGCGGCGGCCCAACTCGACGAAACTCCAAGCCACAAGGAAGCGGCCGGAAGTCGGAACAGCAACGTACGGTTATAAGCCTAGTCCGCTCTTCCGATGAATGTCGTAAAATATGGCCCGGTAGCACGAACGAGCAAAAACGAAGAAGTTAACGGGAACCCCCTGAACGCATGGTTGGATACTTTCGATTCGATAAAGTTCGGCTAAGCCCTTTGCGGTTGGGTAGTCCCCGTAGCGCCCCTTGCTAGCCTAAGGCAACATACGATAAGCTGACGGCGTGGTGATAGGCTCGATATGGGCAGGCTAGCCTCCTTGGGGGCTAGCTGATCCACTGCCCCAAACGCCATTCGACTGTGACCGCCACTAAGGAGAAAAGCCCCGTCCAAGCCACTAGAAACGGCGGAAAACAGGCACCAAGTGGGGGTAGTGGAAAGCACAATGTGTGGGTCTGGTACGGGGCGGTGCGAAGCGTAGAAAGAGCTCTAAGCTAATTAAACTCGTCCCAGCTCCGTTTGCAATACTATAATATACATCACAGCATGTAGCATTATCGTCTCTGTATAAATGTGTGTCTTCCTTTACTATGGAGAGACGCCTGGCTATTAATATCACTGTTTGCTAAGTCCGGGGGAATCAATGCCAAACACCGGACTAGCCCTCCAATTAACAATTCTTTCTGCTGTGCAGTATGCAGTATCCAATATCCAGTATGTATCCACATCCCTGGGCTTCCGGGACACCGTCTGAACCTTGCCATTGCACTGTTTGTTTGTTTTTCCATTTGTGTCCGGTTCCCTTTCTTTTTTTTTTTTTTCAATCCAATTTTTTCAGTTTTTTTTTCTGTAGACGATGGACCCTTTGCCGGCTTGAGTAAGGTGCATATTTTATGTTTATGCGACGTATTAATCAGTACCTTCTTGGAACGGCTAGCGCAAGGAACGCTAGGCGCGTGCTAGTCCCGAATAGTGCGGCAGCTCCTTCTTTGTGTCTGCCCACTTTCCGGGCCAACCTCGCAACCCCCAATCCCAATCGCTTCTCCTCCCAGCTTCCTCGGCGACCGCCAGCGCGTTCGCTGATCTCCACCGTCAACTTTCCCTTTGATTTGCCCTCTTCATCTTCATGGCAGACACCGAGACTTTCTGTTGCTCCCAGCCCCTTAGGTGCTGGCCACTCTGCTGTGTATAGCCAGACAGACTCCTTTTCAGCCATAGTGCCTGCCATTACGCGGCGCGACCGTTGCTGATGCCGCACCGATCGCCGAATACCCTCTCCTAATATAAACTGTCACCATTGACCACCGCCAGTTAATTACCGCTCCGGCACACCCCGTCTTTTGCTCACTGCCAAACCTCCTCCCACGATCCACTGTCTTGGGCGGTTGTCCCACTACCTTACCAGCGCCGTTTAGCCTCGCTCACCGTCAATTTTGAGCCAACGAACGATAGAGCGAGTTAACCGTCGACCAGCACCCACACTACTCATTTGCTCAGTGCTCAGTGCTCATTTTCCCGCTGCCTTGCAGTGGACCTATTATTAGGCCATTACGCTCCTTCCACTACCGCGTCTCTCGCTCGTCAACAACAATTGGAACTGGAATTAACCCCTCTCAGGCCCCAACTCTGCTAACTAAGCCGAGACCTGGATTGCTTCTATCCTAGTGATCGAGCTCGTTTCTTTGACTTTTGCTTTGTAACCAAACACGTCGACCGCATCTCTCCGTCTAAAGCTTGTCTATCAACTTGTCTTTGCGTGCAAATTGACTTGGCAGACAATTCACCCTTTCTCTCGACCCCATAAAGCCTTCCCCCGCCGCCGCAACTCGCGTGAAAAGAGGACAACCAGGACCAAGACGAACACACGCGTTTCCCCGACTTTTTCTGTATGATCGCCTGCCGTGCGCGATCATTCCCGAATTGTTCTTTCATAAAATTGCGCTCCAACAGCTGATCCGTGCGAGTCTTGCCCTCCGTCTTGGGAAAGGTTGAAACCGTTGACACCTTCCCAGTCTCCACGGCCCCGGTCCTATATCCCATTAGTCCTAGAACGCACACACTAGTACTATCGTTGTTTTTCTACTTGTATTATTCATCCAGGGGGGCGCTTCCGCACTCAATTTGAGTCTTACTAGCTCAATAACGGCTACCGATCCGTTTCCGCCGTCGTGGAACCTCTGTTCCAAGATCTTCTTTCCATCTCATCCTGACCTCGCAGCAACCTAGACCTGCATCACCCCTCTTTCTCCTGCGCAAGTACTTTCTTTTTCACCGTCTGCATCTGCATTTACCAACTAATTACACACTCTCTTAACCTTAATCGCACGCTGTTCCTGTCTACAGAATCTTTCATTCGCTGTTTTTCTTTCCTACTACACTCTTGTGTTTCACACATACCGTTTATTCTTCCTGCATAACAACAATCGCCTCTATCAAACCCTCTCAATTGCCTTTCAAGCTTGGAACCTACAAAGGATGAAGACGGAGTCCTTTTGAGCTTGTTGCAAGTCATAAAAAAAGACAAATTACCCTATATATAACCCGATTCTCCTTTCTAGGTGAGCACTGAGCAAGTTCCGACCGACATTTACACTTTTGATTGGCGACTGGGCTAACTCAACCCAGGCCACTGATATTCTCTCGATCGTCTGCAGGCAGAGGAAAAGGGAACAAGCCATGGCTATTTCTCACGAATACTCCCTTAGAGGAACATCGCAAAGCGCGATGACTCTTGAGGACAGATTCGAGGTGATCAAAGAAGTTGGAGATGGCTCTTTTGGTAGTGTTGTGCTTGCCCGAGTACGTACTGCCGGTTCCAACGTCGCTCGTCGTGGAACTATGGTAAGTAACAGTTGACTGGCCTCTAGTGTTGGAATCAAACTGCACACTCTACTTACACTTGCACAGGTTGCTATCAAGACTATGAAGAAGACATTCGAGTCCTTTGCTCCCTGTCTGGAACTCCGGGAAGTCGTCTTTCTTCGAACACTTCCCCATCACACTCACATCGTCCCCGCCCTTGACATTTTCCTTGATCCGCTAAGCAAGAAGTTGCATATTTGTATGGAGTACATGGATGGCAACCTCTACCAACTGATGAAGGCAAGAGACCACAAGTATCTTGAAGGCAAACACGTCAAAAGCATACTCTACCAGATCTTGTCGGGCCTCGACCACATCCACGCCCACGATTTTTTCCACCGTGATATCAAGCCAGAGAACATTCTGGTCTCGACATCCGCTCCGAATGATTCAACCTTCAGTCGGTATTCGAATCTTGTCACCCCTCCTTCTACGCCACCCACCTATACCGTCAAGATTGCCGATTTTGGCCTTGCGCGTGAAACACACTCGAAGTCACCATACACAACATATGTTTCGACCCGGTGGTACCGTGCCCCAGAGGTTTTGTTGCGTGCTGGTGAATATTCAGCTCCTGTTGATATATGGGCCGTGGGTGCAATGGCAGTCGAAATCGCTACTTTGAAGCCATTGTTTCCTGGTGTCAATGAAGTCGATCAAGTATGGCGTATTTGTGAGATTATGGGTAGCCCCGGTAACTGGTACACGAAGTCAGGGGCCAAGGTCGGCGGCGGTGAATGGCGTGAGGGTAACAAACTGGCGCAGAAGCTTGGCTTCACTTTCCCAAAGGTATGTTCTAATTGCGAGAACTTTTCAAATCTACTTCCAACTAAAGTTTGAATTTCAAGATGGCACCTCACTCTATGTCAAGCATTCTACAAGGCCCTCACTGGCCGCAAGCGTTGAGCAACTTCGTGACATGGTGCTTGATGTGGGACCCCCGTAATAGACCAACCTCTACTCAAGCCCTTGAGCACGAGTATTTCGCCGACGCGGTTGATCCACTGCGACCAAAGTCATCAACCTCAAGACTCCTGGGCCGCAAGATGTCAGAAAAGAGCTTCAAACCAAACACCAAAGAGGTCATTGAATCTCCTACATTGTCATCAAAACCTTCGTGGTTCCGACGGTCATTGGTGATGCGAACCGATAGCCCTGCTCCCATGGTAGAACCAGAAACATCAGCACGACCAGCAGTTGTATCCTACAATACTCTTCCCGAGGTACAGGCCCCTAAGGGTCGTTCAGCCAAGCGAGCTACATGGGCCAATGGTGCACCAATGCCGATTCTTCCCTCCATCAGACCAGTCTCACCTCTTTCGAATGCCGTCACTGCTCAGGCCAATAGCAGCAGCGTAGCTCATCTAACCGCCGCTCAACAAGCCGATGCTGGGAAATCAAAGAAGATTGGTCGTCAGCTTTCTGTCAATTCGAATGGCAACCACTACGCGGATATTCATAGACAGGAGGCAGAGCGTGCACTGAACGGAATTAGTGGAGGCACAAATGCTACAATGCAGAAGGAAAGCTTCTTTTCTCATCTCCGCAAGCGTGCGCGAAGATTGTCGGGCCGCAACCAAGCTGCCGCAGCAGCCAACTATGACGTGGAAGCCAACGTTGGATGTTCACCGTGGCCTAACCGCTCGTCGGTCGTCTTGGATTCAAACATCGTCGATGCAAAAAGTGGCGAGTTCACCGATATCGAGAAGACCCTTCAGAGTGTGAAATATGGCTTGTCTACAGAAAATCCCCCACCCCAGCTGACCTCAGTCCCTAACCAAACGCCTTCAAAGCGGCAATCAGTTCCACAAGTGCCTATGCGCTCGATGACTGAGAGCCCAACTCCAAGTGTTGGTGGACCAATCTCTAGCCGAACTCGCAGAGCTCTGCAAATGACATCCCATCCAGTTCACCGTTACGAAACCCCTGAGGAGGAAGATGAGTTGCTGGACGAGGTTCTTCATTCGGCCGATAAGGCTGCGAGACACCTTGCACAGGATTACGATGATGAGTCAGAGAATCGCCTTTCCAATATGATCAATGAGTCGACGCGTACCCTGAACCCTTATCCTACTCCTTCGCCATCGGCAAAACGTGACGGAGTCTCGTTCGGAGAGTATGAGGGCACGCCTGTCAAACCAGGAGAAATTTCGAAGATGAAGGGAGAGACCTCTAACCGACAGTGGCCGACTCCCCCATACGGAGAACAAGAGTGGGCTAGCACCGTTGCCAACAGCATTCTGTCTGGGTCTACGTACAGATAGAGGGCGTATCCCTTATCTACAGGCAATTTTTTGTTGACACGAACCACTCGTCATTGCTTTTTCGCACTCTCCCTCCTCCCTCTCCCCAACGCATTTGCATCGGCTCCGGATCAGCATAGAAAAAAAGAACACGGTATAGAGGAATGGCGTACGGTCACTGATTTGATTTCATATATATATTTTTCCTTTTCCCGGGACTCTTTTTTTTTTCCTTCATCATTTTTCTAGGGTTCTATCGGCGGTTATTTTCCCGTTTATTTGTTTTGCAGCAGAATTCTTCATTGCTGTTATTTTTCACATTTTATATCTGCATACCCCCTTTCAGCCACATATAGATGTACCATTTACCCCTTTTTAAACTTTTTGAAAGTCACCCCCTCGTGTCTTGATTTGTTTCATTCTACATACCCTATTCTGTTTATATTCTTTTCTTTTATTGTTTCACCCGCAGATCTCATTCCTTACCGCGCTAGACGCGAGAAACATTTATGCATAGCGCCATCTCACACTGATTTGTGTCACTACCACTGCTCACCAGCGTCCTTTCATTGAAGAGGGCAGTTATATATGCCCTATCCTTTTCCTTACGTCCTGTCTCAGTACCTGTCCATTCACTTCTTTGTATATCACCTCTTACGGCCAGTCGATGTGTTCCTCGGATACATCATTTGCTCTGTGAGCATGAGGGACGTTATTGTCCTGTGACTGACTTGGTTTCTCAAGTTCTTATAACTTTGTAATTATATATTTTACATATGTGGCAGTGAATATCCTGCCTGCACATAATATTTATTCTAACTATTCCATTTATCTTGCTCTCTTAAGTTTAGACTTGGAAATATAAAGAAAAGTTCATCGTCTCGTGAGTATCCAGAGTAGTGGGTGCCTAAGGCGGCGACGATTTCTCTGGACCCACTTCTCCGATAGGATTTCAAAATTCATTATCAACTCGAGCTCAGGCAAATTCGGTGACACGATGTATTCATCTTCTCACACAATCATAAACCCGATGTTAGTCTGTTGACACAAATACGAATTCTACCATCTGGATCCTACATAAATTGAACACCTCACAGCCCTTGAATCGCTCCGATCAATCTTTTGCATCGGCTTCACTGCATGGTTACGCACCGGCAGTGAAGAGGGAGCTTTACACAACATATTGGTGATTTGAACAGATAGAAAAGAAGAAAAAGAAGGAGACCTTTGCAACCATGCCGCTGGCGCAACAAACCTCTGCATCCCAAACTCCTCACATCTCGCCCGCTGAGCTTTCGTACCTCTATGCCTCCCTTTCATCGCCCGAAGGCGCGATTCGACCCGATGGACGCTCACCCACTCAATTCCGACTCTTGAGCGCCGAAACAGGCATTCTTCCGGGGACGAACGGGAGCGCGCGAATCGGGTTTGCGGATGGCTCTGAAGCTATCGTTGGCGTGAAGGCGGAGCTGGAGAAGACGCTTGCGACGGATGCGCTTGACTTGAGACAGTTGCAGGAATTGGAGCAAGATGATGTTACTGGTGGAGGTGGTGGTGGTGATGAGGATGGGGGAGATGGGAGCAGTCGCGCAGCGCCTGGTCAGGGTTCCTGGGTGCAGATGTCCATTGAGATTCCGGGTTTTCGCGACGATGATGCTCTGCCTGTGTTCTTGTCTGAGATGATGAGAGAATCGCTGGTTAGTTCGAGTAATGCTGGCAATGACGAGGATAATCGCGATAATAAGATGGTTGGAGGCTTGAAAGGTCGACTAGTGATTAATCGGCGGTGGCATTGGAGGCTCTATATCGACGTATGTTCTGTTCTGTCTGTTTTCTACTTTTTTTTTTCCCTCGGGTTTCGTGGTGTTGACTCACAGATTTGTACTATCAACAGGTGCTGCTTTTATCTCCACCTCAATCTTACCCTTTACCACTACTTTCGTTGACTACGCACTTGGCCCTGCTATCAACGCGATTGCCCAAGCTCAAATCGCAAGGCGAAGAAGATCCATTCTTCGAGGACGATTGGAACCTAGCCGAATACCTCTATCCGCGCCCGGAATCATCTCCCCTGAAACAAAAAAACAAGAATAATCGACGACGTCAGGCTCGTCCACCGGTCACTCTACTGGTCACATCCATGGGCAGCAATGTGATTTTCGACCCAACGCGCGAGGAAATATCGGTAGCGGATGCTGTGCTGGCTGTCTCCATTGGTCGCGAGCAAGACGCAGAAAACAGCGATGCGAATTTGAAACTTCTTTCTATTCGCACTATCGATCCGCCTTCGCGGTTGACTCAACATGGCGTCCCGGACTCGGAAAATGCAGCCACTCTGAGTGCTGCTACTAATGCCACTGCAGCAGCAGCAGACATCCCACATATTTCTGACGAGGATGTTCCTGGTGTGTGGAAACCCAGGAGGGGTGGCGTATCGCGCAGTGTCATATCTAAAATAATCAAATTGGTTTTAGCTAAGGGGGGAGTTGGCGACGAGGTTATGGAGGGATTAGAAGGTGTCGAAGTTAGCTGAAGTGTAATCATACGAATGATTTATATGTACCACTCATTAGAGGTATGCAGTGCTTCGTGATAGGAGAACGCATTGCATTCACATGCATTTCGTCTGGTAATTCCGCACAGATATATTATCGCCGATGGAATTTGGCTCGAAATCAGACGCACGTCGCATGGACAGTAACTGAAGAATCGCTTAGCCTGATGTCTTGAGCAATATGATAGACACAGTCAATACTGTAAATAGTTGCAAGAGTGTACCACTCCAATGTCAAGATACTGCGAGAGAAGCAGTATTTGAAGACGGTCACGTGATCAACCGGAACGGCGAAGAAAACAGTAAATAGATTATTCCGTCGAACGACCTACTCTCTCACGTTAGGGGGAAGGTCAACAGCCAAACAGCATATCACCAGAAAAAGTCCATTAAAGCAAAAATGAAGGTCGCCGTCACATCCAACATCCCCCGTTTCCTTCTCCCACGCGGCATTCCCTCGCATACACTGCGATATGCCAGGCGCAATTTTTCATCGTCGTCAGCACGGCGAGCAGCCGAAGACAAGCCACGAACTCTCGCGCAACCGGACAAATTCAGACCACCATCTCACCCCGCTCGTCGCGTCCTACAAACACGCAATGGCAAGGTTGTCAGTCAGAATGTGCGAGATCCATTCAATTACCCCGGCCGTCCGTTATCAGCCAAGGAAAAGGAAGAGCGGAAGACCAAGCGGTATCCCAATATGTTTCCTGCAGAAGGAACAGTTCTATTTAAATTCCTAACTACGCGATGGATCCATGTGTGGATTTCTATGGTATGCATCCATTCTAATCCGGGGCGGTATTAACCAAAAAAAAGAAAAAAAAAAGACAAGAGTATACTAATTGGGCTGTATATATATATATATATAGGGCGTCCTCACCTCCCTTGCAACATTCACATTTACGGAAAACTTCAAACGAACGTCTGCCTTTGCACATCTTCTTCCACCATGGTCGGGACTACTGACAAACCCGATCAGCACCATATCGCAAGCCATATCAGTGTGGAAAATGCACGTTCAGCACACGTCGATGATTGCGCGCGAGAACCGGCACAAGCGCATCGAAGACGCCGAGAAGCGTCGCCAGTATCGCATCGCTCATGGGCTCGAGGAGCCGGAGAAAGCGGCGTCTCCTGTTGTCGAGGACGACCAGTCGCCTATTGCTGCTCCTGTGGCTGCCGGCGAGGAGACGGAGAAGCGGGTTGTGAAGAAGTGGTTTGGCATTTGGTGAGCTTTCAGACCGAACAGTGTAGTTGTTGATGTACTATAATAGAAGTTTTTATCAATTGGCTTGGCAGTAGGCACAAAAAAAAAAAAAAATTCGCGCTCTCTCATGCTCTAACAGGAATCGGTGAGCTGGCCGAGCCCTTCCGATGCGCATCATGTGACGTCGGATGGATCGGGTGAGTACTAATCCGGCGCAGGCGATTGGACAGCGCGGGAGGTCACGAGCGTCATTGTTATGTTATAACAATGCGCTGCGTCGCGGAATATATATAAATGTTCACTGCGGTATGAGTCTTCGGATGATGTACAAGTAGATACATACTACCAATCTGTACTGCTAACTTGCAGAAAGCATGCAGTAAATAGCAGTAATGGGCTAATAGCACATGTAGACGCAGCTTCCGGTTGTCACCGACCGCCATGCAGCCGACAATTAGCCGCCCGCTGATTGGCGGATGCTTTGCCGCTGCGGTCATATTTTTCGATGCTAAGCCCGTTCGAGCATGGCGAATTTCTTCCTTTTTTCCTTCCCTTCCTTGTTTTGCCAGCTGTCAACCACTCTCATCTTCCTCATCCATCGTCCCAAACATCCTCGCTCGTCTTCTGCTTTATAGACCAGAGTATATTCCTTATATCTCGCTTCTTTTCTTCACATTCACAATTCACAATGCCTAAGGAAGCTGCCACTTTCGCCCCAGGTAAGCTTACTGAAGTGCTTTCTTGTCCGGCCATCGAGGAGAGAGAGAGAGAAGACCCGGAAATGAGCCATCGCATACGCCTTGCCAAATAATCACGCGTTCACCGATGATGCCGAGCGTTTCTTTCCGTCTCCATCTGCCTGACTAGTTTTCTTCGACGCGGTGCAGGGACCCATCGCAGGCAAATGAAAACCGGCCTTTGAGAGGATAGGAATTGCGTGGTTCCATTTGTCGTGTGAAAACAGGACTCTTATGCTGAATGGCACCGGCTATGCGATGGCAAATTTCCCGTGTTTCAAAATGAATTGCACAATTCCGCCTCCGATTATTTGCGCGAATGATCAGCTAACGCGGAATGCTTTTTTCGCTCACCAGGTGACGCCGGAAAGGGTGCCAACCTGTTCAAGGTAAGACTGCAGTTTATTCCTGGCCAATTGAGGAAACTTTTCACTCTAACGTATGTCATTCAGACTCGTTGTGCTCAATGCCACACCGTCGAGGAGGGTGGTGCCAACAAGATTGGTCCTAACCTCCACGGACTCTTCGGTCGTAAGACCGGTTCCGTTGAGGGTTACTCCTACACCGATGCCAACCGTCAGGCTGGTGTGACCTGGGACGAGACCACTCTGGTATGTCCCTCTCGGCCCAACAGCGGCTGTCGAACCTGGGTACTGACTGCAATAGTTCAACTACCTCGAGAACCCCAAGAAGTTCATTCCCGGAACCAAGATGGCCTTCGGTGGTCTCAAGAAGGGCAAGGACCGCAACGACCTCATCACGTAAGGCTTGCTGTTGACACCCGTGAAGACGGGCCTCTGCTAACACTGCCAACAGTTACCTCCAAGAGAGCACCAAATAAGCGACGACGCTGCACCCATGCCAGTCCCCAGCATCGCGATCCTCGAGTGTATAGAGAACTCGAGCTTCAAGGAACGGGGAAACCATCGCCTGTAACAATACATTTGACTACTACCCTATACATGCGAATAGATTTTTGGTTTTTTATGTGCTTTAGCGCTGGGGAGCCGGAAAGCCGCCGCTTGGTACAAGGGAGAGCGAAATGACATAGATTTTCTTTCTTCTGCTGTACTCTTCTGTTGATATTATTATGGGTCTTTTTTTTTTCCTTTTCTCTCTTTTGGTTCTGGAGTACCATGCCACACCGATGCTCTTTTTATTTTGGAAAGCGGGCTATAAAAAGATGTAATGATCGCAATATACGATTCTCCTCTCTGGTTGCTCCTCTAGTGCGTACGTTGTTCATCAGGTTCACCAACGATGGCTAGAAAATTCGCTGCATTCCATGCCATGCCATGCCATGCCATGCAGGCCTAGCAGCAAGGGAGATCACGGGATCCCTGTCGTCCCCGCGCCCATTGGACCAGCCTCCGTTCTGCTGCAGTAGTTTGCTACTTTGTGACTAGTCAGTCACCCTATGCCAATGGGCGAGCGAGGGGCAGCGCATGCCTTTATCGGCCGCTGGCTGGCAATCCGACTCCTTCGTTTCCTCTCGCCAGCTAACGACCGAATATCCAAACTGTTCTTGCTCTTGTCTTTCACAGAAACCACCGAGCGCGCACACGCATGTCTTGCGCCCCAATTGCTGCCTGCTTCGAAGTCTGGTTCTGCCTTCGTTCCTGACGGTTCAGGCACCCGCCCCGTTATCTCGCGATCTTATCGCATCTTTGCGACCGCCATTCCCCAGCGTCGCATACATACCCTCTCGACAGCATCACAGGCTGTATCCCTGATTCTGCGTTCATACCCGCGTGCTTGCTGGCGCATGTCCTCGTACTCTGCGCGACCTCGTTCTGTTCTTGTTTCTAGGACATCCTAAGGCACTCGCACACCACGGCGAGCGCATGCATGAGCGTTCGCCCTCACCGCAATCCACCATGGCCATGGATGAAGAGATGGACGCCCTCTTCGATGACCACCCGTCGCTGTCCGCGTCGCTAGAAGACTTTGCCGCTTCCAACAGACGCTCGCCGCTCCTTGACTTGCCCTCGCAGCATTCAGGCTTCCGATCCGAAGACTCCGACGATGGCCGATATGCTCCTCAAGAAGGGCGATGGTCGCCGCCCGCGCTCAGACGGCCGGACTCGCTGGCTGGAAGCCATTGGTATCGCCATTCGCCCTACGGCCATCTTCATATGAAACCGACCTTGCAGCCGACCAGCGCACCGCACTCCCGCGAGGTCAGTCCTCAGTATGAAGATGCCCACGAGGTCCCCGCTCCGCCTTCTCCTCCTCCCCTGCAGCGCAAAAGCCCAGTCAACGATCTGCCCGATGTCACATTTGCAGCCAGTGTGCCCCTGCCGCCAGGCACAGATTCGCCTCCCAAGGGGCGATCGGTTTCTCCAGAGCCCCCCAAAGAGAAGCAACTTCTTCACCTGGAACCAAGCGATGAACCACTTTCAAATTGTAGGTGAAATGCAACATTCATTTGAGAGCTTGATAATATCCAACAATGTAACTTTTTGATTTCTGTCCAGGAGAGGGTTTTGATATATGAATCATTAACTCCCATTTCAAATTACAGATGTACGCTTCAGAGTGTCTGCAGAAGTGGCCCAAAGAGAGCCTATACAGGCTGCTTGGAATGCGGTTCGTATTCCGTTTGAGCGACTCAGTGATACCATGTTTGGCTCCAAAACGAGCACACTTATTACAATCCTGATCACATGCCTGGCAATGATTTTCATGCGCTCCTTATCTATACCCGCGGGACCCCCAACGATGCCCAATCTGGTGAAGCTATGTGCCTTTGCTCGCAACTTTGAGCCTTTGATTCACTACTCCGAGAATGGCGTGCAACACATAAACAACCTACAGGAAACAGGCATTGCGGTCTGGGATCTGGGTGAATCGGTCAGAGGTAGCAACATGACAAGCGCGCCTATTATCGTCACGCAATTGGACGAGTTGTCTGAGTCTCTGAAGACTCTTTCCCTCGAACTGACCCGATTCTTCTCAAATGTCGACTCTGATATAGACTCAATTCTCTTAGTCATGGACTGGGTAAGACGGGAGCTCACCGTGATACACTCGCAGCCGCCGAGTAGTCTGCCAAGCGTCATGATTGACAACATCCACAACATGATATCCCAAGTTGTCAGGCTAGAGCACGGAAACGTGCCAACCATCATCGATGGTGAAGCGTCGGCAGCAGCAGCCGGCAGCCAATTCCCCGGTGCGCCCACGCTGCTAGGCACAGTGGTAACGACGCTATTCGGCGCGACATCAGCGCAACGCACGCGCGCAGCATTAACGCGCACCTTCACTGAATTCCTCAACGTGCTTGAGGAGTCCATAAACAGCCAACTCACGCACTCCACCGCGCTAGTCGGACTCTTTGAGGCCATCGACCGGCAGTTCCTGAACCTGCAACGCGTCGTCGTGCGCGAATCCGACACCCAAGAAAGAGAAGAAGGCGAAATGCTCAGCTCCCTCTGGACGCGAGTCCTGGGACCCAACGCCGCGCTAGTCCGCAAGTACGAGAAGAACCGCAAGTTGCTGGCCGACGTCCGCCGTCGAACAGTAAACAACAAACACCAACTCATGGACCATCAGGCGCGCCTGCTGAACCTGAAGGTTAGCCTGGAGACGCTGCGTCGGAAGCTAGTGAGCCCCTTGGTCCGGCAGAAGAACGATTCGTACATGTCCGTCAGCAGCGCGATTGATACTACGAATAGTGTCCTCGGAGCTATTGAGGGTCAGATCGAGGGTGTCGAAGATACGTACGAGTTTCTTCGAGGAAGACGCGAGACTCAAAAGGCAAAGTATATGGATATGGTGTACGGCGCAAGCAGTGGCAATAATAATAAATACCTTGGTCTGGAGGAGACAGAGGACTAATCCACTCCCCTTTCGCTTTCTTCTTTCTTCTCTTCCGGTGTGATTTTTCAAGGTGTTTTATCAAGACAGTGTAGGTGGAGCGGAGCTAAGGAGTTACAGAGTTTACGTTCTGCTTTAAATATCTATCTTCTTTTTTTTTGGTATGGTATATGATTTTATACGTATTTGGTCTCGTCTATTTCATTTCATTTTTTTGGCTTCTATGTTCTTATTACCTTTTTTTTTTCTTTGCTCTGCACTTCTGTATGGATGAGAAAAGCATTTCTTGTGCATCAAGGGCTTTAGCGATTGATATCTCTTTCTTGAAAGCAACGCTTCTACTCTATTTACTCTATTTACTCTGGGTAGCGTGAAATGTAAAACTACTTATATTCAGTCAGAGCAGCAGTTTTAATTTACATGATAAAGTATGCAGGTATACTTTGCTGATTCAAATCGATTTCCATAATAGGTAGATATTAATATCGAGAAGTGAAATCAAGTACGTAGTTACACACAAGTGAGAAATAACGCCCAAAATATGCTTTCTTTTTTCTTTAAAAGAGAGAGAGAGAAAGACATCAAAAGCCTCCATAATTAGTCGCTCCATACGGCGTGGCGCCATAAGGCGTCGTTCCACCTCCCCAGGCATTTCTATTTCCACCGTTTGCGCCCTGGCCATATGCTGTGAAGCTGCCTCCGAGTCCACCATCGATCTCAGGTGGCTCGTACGCATCTGGAGATTGGACAGCGCCTCCGAGCGCCATGTCCTCATCATCAGGACCGCCTCCAAGGCCATTCACTTGCGCACCTGGTCCGTTGGGGTTCGTGAGGGTGTCTATTATAGTGGCCAGTTTGGTTTGAAGTGTAAGTATCCCCTGCTGCACAATCGCGTCTGGCTCGAGATTTCCAATCGATTCGACATCTACGTAAAATGTGCTAGGCTGTGCGTCGTAGTCGAATGGCTGGTCTGGTGGATTGGGGGTTTCCCATTTCCCATTTTCTGAGATAGGCCTGCAAAAATATATCCAGTTAGCAATCAAGCCCGTGCAAACCAAGAAACAAGAAGAGGAAGAAGAACAGACCATTCTTTTATAGGATCCTCCTCATACCAATAGTCTATATGCCTTAGATTATTATGCGGGTCATACTCGAAGCCAACCGCCGACGTAGGAGACCATTTTGCATGCTCTTTGGCAATACCCTTTCGTGCAATGCACGTCAACTTCAACTCCTGGCCCTTGATCAACTTCGCGATCAACGGTCCCTTGCCCTCCGGGTCGGTGATGACTGGATTGCCCACCCACTCATTGGCCCTGTCACCAGTGACCACCAAATCCCGAGAATAAACCTTCATAACATCATCCGCCTGATTACACCGCGCATGTAACGTCAGCCGCACGCTGCATCTGGAGCACCAGCTTTCACATGTGCAGTCTCGATTGTATTCCATGTCATTATCGCAATGTTTGCTGTTCAACGGAATAAGACCCAGGCGGTGCGCGAGAAACTCGTCCGGGAGCACGGATGTGTTGGTCTCAACCTCGACAATATCTATAGCTACTGTGGGCACTTCGGCGATCATCGCGCGTCGAAGTGAGTTTGCGAGCGCGAGGTCGACGCTGGACAGTTTGAAGTCAACGCGATATGGCTCTGCCTGTTTTTGACTGTGAGTATGCTTTCCAATGTTCGAAATTGGAATGAAGAATGCGCACCTCACGGACGGTCACTTGCGGCCCAACGGGCTCGATTTCCATTTCGTAATCCATAATTGCGTGGATTGATTTCGCAGCGCGAGGCGACAGAGGTCAAAGTAGATCGTGAGCTGAGGGAGGCGGCAGCTTGCAGTGGCAGGCTAAAACCCGCCGCGAGAGAGAGAGAGAGAGAGATGAGTCCAGATTTATGCAGATTATGTCGCTTTGGCTGTGGATCTGAGTACCGAAAATGTAAATTTCGAGGGCTTTGCGGTTTGTTAATGAGTGGTGAAATCTTTGCGACTGATCTGTTGCTCTTTCTTTCTTTCTTGAAGCCTCTCCATTGCCCGGTAGGTCATGTGACATGGCGCTAATCCGGAAGAGGCAATGACTATAAAAAAGGGGTCCAGTCGTACACGCACTATCGATCTATGGAGAATATTCTTGTCGGAAAAAAGAGAGAAGCAAATACTAGGTTAAAGAGACTTTGAGATGAATAATCCATGAACCTTTCATCGAAGTTTCTCTACTTACTACCTAGGTACGAACATGCTCTTCTTCGGTTTCTTTCCTTCGTCTTCCGGGGTCGCCATTACCTAGTTATTCAATATATCTACTTTGTCCCTGGACAGAATGCACAGATGGCAAACTCCAACTTATGTCATTTGGAGATCCGTAAACAAAGTTCATCTTGATGCACCAGATCATTCCAAAATGCGCTGTGCAACTAGCAGAAACTGTAAGAACTACTGCCATGGTTTTTTGAATCACCCTCATCTCTCATCACTACTCGACCGTTCACTATGCCGTCAAGCAGAGGGACGTCTAAAAGCGTACTTCCTGGTCAGCTGTCTTATTCCTCGCAAAGAGCATGTGATCAACCAGATATAGATTGTGATACGAAGGAACTTTACACATATTCTGCCCAGAGATGGCTGCGGAACGAGCCAGCGCAACTGCTTCGCAGATATGATCGATTCAATTTGGATGCTCATTCATATCGCCGAAGACGCTGCAGGACACCATGCAGTCTGTGTGAATGTAACAAAGTTGCCAGACGGGAACTTTAATAAAGGTTTCCTTGCAAATATGCAGGATGGAAAAAAGTTAATCGTCAAAATCCCAAATCCCAATTCAGGCCCAGTTCATTACACCACAGTATCTGAAGTGGCCACAATGCAATTTGTGAGATTCTCACCTGAAGCGCCTCGGCAAATCAAAGATATAAGATACTAATAATGATTAAAGGTCAGAGAGAATCTTCATATTCCCGTTCTAAAGGTCCTAAGATATTGCTCGAGGGCGTCTGAGAGTAAGCTCGGGGCGGAATACATCGTGATGGTGAAAGCCCCTGGAGTGGAACTTGGTCAAATATGGGATAAGCTCAAGGCCTGCGACAAGCTATCCATTGTGAAGCAAATTGCCGCTATCACCTGCACGCTTGCTCGATCCCGGCTTCAATGCCATGGGGCACTGTACAGGAGGCAAGATGTCACTTCATCTGAGAGTATCGTGGTCGACTAGGAGTTTGTCATTGGGCCCACGAGCATGGTTTGATGATAGCAGAGGAGAGGTGGATGTTCATCGGGGTCCTTGTATGTGTCTTGCTAATTTCTGATTAACCATGCTATTGGTACTTGTGTGTGTTTTGCACTAGGAACCTCAGCAGATGCTCTTATGAAGGCACTAGCTCAGCGAGAAGCAGCACGTATAGAGAAGTTTCCAACGTTTCCCCGAGATCGCCAACAGGGTACATTCGGTGAGCCTGGTGGCTACCATCCAACCAAAGAAGCGAAACTGTCTGTCTTGCAAGACTTTCTCAAAATACGCCCTCATATCATGCCCAGCAAAAACGACGAACCCTCTGCCACCACCCTTCCCTGCTAGAGTACGAGGGGCCGGGGTTGGATGGTTTTGTTCAACCTGCTCTCCCCGAGACTTTCGAGTCACTTGATCCTCAAGCCAAAAAGGCCGCAAAGGCTTTGTTTCTTTTCCAGTCATTATGGCTTTCCTATGAGATTGAGTTGCAGAGAGCTGTACCCGAGTTATTGCATACCTTTAGTCATAGAGAAACATTACCGGGCCAAATTCTAGGGGCAATAGGGTCCATCTATGATGATGGGGAGCCGTACGTGCAGAGCCTACTTGCGGATATTACCGAAGAGCACGTCTGGAACCAGGTTGTAGGAGCGGATGAGAACGGCAATCCGAGTGTCTTATGTCCCTTGAAATATTCAGAGCGGGACATGGCAAAGCAGAAAACAGAGTATGTCAAATGGGCAAAGGATGTTGAAAGGAAGACGAGAATTCTTGATGTGATAGGTGCCCATACGGGCTGCAATGGGGCAGTCTCTCCTCGAGATTACGACGAAGTAGCCCGAAGACTGGCTGCGGCAAAGCAGAGATTTCTCGTTCAACCGCTTGCTTATACTCGTCGAAGAAAGAAGTACAATGCCTTGGTTTCATGTAGTAGTTGACTGTCAGGGATCAGTAGTGGCTCTATATAACCGCGGTGTTTTGCACCGCCTGGCTTTTTATAGGTTGTATACCCTTCGTCCATATTGCAATGGAAAGACGGGATTGGATGTACCCAATACCTGCTATATATATGTGTGTGTGTGTGTGCTCCGAGCTAAAGATCTTCGCTGATTGACAGCGATCGATCGGTTTCAGAATAAGAGAGGCCGTTGGAAAAAGAAAGGAAGAAGAGGGAGTAACTTCTGGTTTTGATAGCAAATTCTTGCTAGTCTCACGTGGTTTTGACGCCCAGGCGCAGAAGTCCTTTGTCATTGCTTGACTATATACACGTGATACGCTGTATGGTTACCCAAGCCCTAAGCCAGTTGGGACTTGCTGGCGAACTGAATGAAAGAAATTCAAGCAGAACATTCATTGTTCTGGCCTGGTCTTTTGTTGCATCGGCATAAAAGGGAGAATATTATAATGTACAGTACAATTACAAAAACTGGCATCATAGCGAAGAAAGAAACCAGGTCTTCTTTTCTCTTTCTATCAGCTCCTCTTGTGCTGCTCACTACACAGGGGAAAAGAGAATAATGCCATGCCATATGCGTATGACGCAAAAATGAAACCTTTCCATCCTGTGTGTCATGCGCACACGCAAATTTCTTGTCCTCTTCGGGGTCTCATGCAATGTGTTTCATAAAGCCGCCTCCTGTAGTCGTGATAAACCATTCTATCACAAACCCGACAAATGTGTGTAATAAAAGAAATCTATGCTGTAAGAGCAAAACAGGCACGTATTAGAGGATAGCAAGTGCTAATAGACAACAAGGAATCTCACTACCACCTCCCTGGAGAGAAACCACGAGCAAAAAGAAAAGGTGGGGGGAGGAGAGGAAGAGGCGAGAGTATGGAACAGGGGAGATATAATAGCAAGAACTTTTCAAGGCATATCAGTCATATCAGGTCATCAGACAGCGCTACAGAAAGTAGTGTAGCCAGCTGTAACTATCAACATGGCTCGCAACTTCGAACCAGTCAATCGGATTGACGACTAACGTCGCAACGAACTGCGATTTAACGCTTCGAGTAGTTCGGGGCGATTAACCAAGGCAGCTGCAGCTTGCGCGTATGTGACCCATTGCCGTTTCCTCTTGTGCATTTCAGGCCACTGGGCCTCTTCGCGGCTAACGATGGCTTCAAAAAACTGATATGATGCTTTTGGAGCCGTGGAAGACAATAGACCAGCGGGCCTCATATCCGGGATAACGCCAAGATCTCGCTGCACAGCACAAATGACGCCTGCTTCTTCCCAAGCTTCTCGCTGTGCTGCTTGTTGAGCGGTCGGTTCATCAAGTTCCCAGCCTCCTTTTGGTAAAACCCATCCACCTGGTCCAGCGGACTGAATCATCAACACTTTGGTTTTGTCGACGGACAAGGGGACAATGCCGGCTACAAGTCTCTCTCCTTTGGCGCCATATCCTGGAGAAGCAAACAGTCGAGGTTAGTATTTTGAAAGGAAAAAGGGGAAAAAAAAAGGGAAAATAAAAAAATTGAAAAATGAATAATGAAAGAAGAACAGAAAGAGAAAGAGAATAAGATGTAAGAATAGAAGATGAACGCACTCTGATTAGTCCTGCCCACACGGGCCTCCATTGAACGAGTTGCAGCCGCCATTTGTCCAGATGCATTCACTTCCTCCACCGTGTAGAGTTGTATGTAGAAGATAAGAGGAAATCAGCGGAATCAAAGCGAGGCCCAGTCTATCTGCGTGATTTTGATTGAAAACGAGCGTTTCCGGCGGCGGCGGCCCTTGGTGAGGGATGCGGACGTCACAGCTTCGACGGCAGCGCACTCTCTTTATCCCGTCTGGCTACAATGGCCGCTCGGAGTTGGCGCAGTCCTTTGTGAGCTAAGAAGACGGATTCGCCTGGGACGCGCGAGGATGTCCGTAGTCGAGGGTCTGGCAAGCAGGCGGGGAGTTATGCGGTTCGCACGGTGACGGGCACGAGAGCGGGAACGGGGAGGATTGGATGCGAGGTAGGAGCAAGTCTGCGAAGCGCGATGGAAAACAAAAAAAGAAAAAAAAAAGAAGAAAACAAAAGCTATGTTTTCCCAATGAGTCCCGCGGTGGACGGGAGCCCGAGAAGGGAAGTGGTTGAAGAAGACATCTTAATGGAAGAGCGCAGCGGAAAGGTCGAGGAGGAATGGCAGAGAGTGGAAGGGGAAAAAAATCTTACAGTAAGTTAATTACGTGGGGAACGGGGCAGGCAGAGGGGTGTACCACAGTTTCCTCCCCTTACAGCAAGTAAGATATTGATTGTACGGCCGTTATTCATGGCAAAGAATAATTATTTCTCTGCATATACATACACACATGTTGCTGGCGATGCCCTGGACGTAGCTGGCGAGTCGGTCGCGGCGGACTCTCACGATGTTCGTTAACCAACGTCAACTAGTTAGTTAGGGTATTATTTCAGATGAATAATGAATAAATCAATGCACAGCCAATGGCCGAGTGCGCTCGCTGTCGGTGCCAACCACGGAACTGGCCTGGCCGTCTAACTCCGACTCTCGCTCTGCTCGTGCGAACTTGGGGTTGCAGGAAGCTTGACTGGGCCGAGATCCTGATTAGACGATTCTTGACAGGAAGGAGTTTGCAGTGCTGTGTTGTCCAGCGCGTAGCCAATCAAGCAGCGCACATGAACGTGGTTGTGTTGAATGTTGTGTCGGGATTGCTGAAGATGCTCTGCCGCTTCTAGAAGGCAGTCCCGTGATCGCAGTGCAGTGCCTTCCTCCTGTCGGCGCTGCGGCTACCTTTCTTGGACCTCATCCTCACCCTCGTCGCTCTTCCAGCACTGGCGGTTTCTTCTTCTTCTTCTTCTTCTTCTACTTCTTCTTCTCGCTCTCTCCAAGTCGAGGAGGAACGCGGAAACTGGAAAGCCTACGCGGTGGAACCTCCCAGCCGGAACTAGCACAGCTACCCCTCCATCGACCTCCCGAGCCATCTCCGCCCGTCTTCTGTCGCATCGTGACATGTCCGACATCGATCTGACAGCATATTAATAATAATGGGCACGGTGGTGGACGCCGAAACGGCACGACACCTGTCCCTGTTCCGCCCTCTGGGTAAGCGTTCACCAGTGGCTGCAGCCAGTCGGAGTCCTCTCAGCCAGCTCGTGCTGAATCCACTGGTCTCAGGTCTCGTATTGCTGCAGTGCCTGTCACGTGCCTTGTTTGCGTCCATTTCTCCTGTCAGTATGGGAAGACTGACAGCCTCGCAGGCTATCAGCGAAACTCGTGTGGCTATTGCAAATCAGACGACGGAAGTAAGTCTTGTATATGCATGCATGCTTGCTACCACAGCCCTAACCCTATTTAGGTGCTTCCTACTACGCCAGCTCTGTGTCGGTCCGCCCAGAGCATTACGAAGCCCTGGTGAATCGAGGATGGAGGAGGTAGGGGGTCTCTGCTTTGACTATTTCTGGTTGAATGGCCTGCTGACCGCAGGCCAGGTCAGGGACCTTGTATTACAAGCAGAACTTGCAGCGATCATGTTGTCCGCATTACACATTGAGGTAGCTATCCTCTAGCTATACATACCCCCGTGTTTTCTAACGATGTTGGTAGACTTGCTGCCCGCGATTACAAGGCAAGACGTGATCAGCGCAAGGCCATCAACCGGTGGAATAAATATGTTCTCGGCCCAGAATACATCAGGAAAGCTGCGATGCTTGCGCCAAAAAGCCGAGAGTAGGTGGAAACTATAGTAAACGCCGACACCCCTACTGACACCACGTGTATAGAGAGAAACGGCAGCGTAAGCAGAACTTCGATGTAGTAAAGGCTGTTCATGAGGCAGAGTATTCTCACCTGCAACGGCCTATTGACCCGAAGACTAAACGACCCATTGAGCCTGCACATAAGTTTGAGGTCAGCATAGAAGGCGATTCAATATCTCAGCGAAAGTCAGTAGGCGGTCTCATTGCCTCGATCGTCCTCGTCCAGACGTATTAATGAACAACCACCCTAGGTATGAAGTATTCCTGAAGTATCAGGAAGCCATCCATAAAGAATCCACCGACAGATGGAAGACAGCTGATTTCAAGCGCTTCCTTTGTTCTGGTCTGAAGCGGAACACGCCCAAGGAAGGGTCGGGTGAGAAGAGGCTAGGCTCATGGCATCAATGCTATCGTCTTGATGGCAGATTGATTGCCGTTGCAGTGCTGGACTTGTTGCCGCAGGGTGTTAGCTCTGTATATCTCTTGTAAGTCATATTGCCACTCGCCTATATCCTTTGGGGAAGCAAAGCTGATGCATTGATAGCTACGATCCCGAGTTTGGCGATTGGGAGTTTGGCAAATTGAGTGCTTTGCGAGAGATAGCATTCGCCTTGGAGGAGGAATACAAATACTACTACATGGGTATATCACTTGACTATCCTGATACTTGCTGTGTGCTCTTACTGAAGCATCAAAGGCTACTATATTCATTCCTGCCAGAAGATGCGATACAAGGCCTTCTACAGACCTCAATACATTCTTGGTAAGTTGCTATTCCTCTGTTTTTACTTTCTTGACAAAGCAAATTACTGACTCAAGACAAAGACCCAGAAAGCGGTACCTGGGACCCTCTTGATGGCGAACTAACGCAAAAGCTTGACAAACAAAAATACGTCTCTCTCTCTCGTGACCGTGCTCGGGAGAACCTTGATAACGAAGACGACGAACTTCCCGAACTTGTAGACGAAGAATCGCTTTCCCTCTTCACCATCCAGATGCCCGGCGTGCTGAGTGCTGAAGAAGTCCAGGCCAAGATCGACCTTGATCACTGGCTTCTAGTTGCCTACGGCACATTCATCCATATGGAGGATTTGGTTGGATGGGAAGATGCTAACATCATGGACCCGCAGAGCGTTAAGGGTATCGTGGGTGAGCTGGTAGCAGTATTGGGCGTAGAGGTTGCGGAGAAAAGTGCTTGTGTGCTTTTTGATTAGACTTGATTCTGTCATCTGAGTAGTATTAAAGGGGCCTACTAGTTACATATGTGGAGTGGATGTTAAGGGCTCGTAAAAGTAATTCCAACCATACCAAGTTAACTTCCAGTTGCAGAACTCTAGTTTTGTTTAGTATGTATGCATTTACGATCTATGCACAAATGTGTATATGTATGTATGTATATGCAACCCGAACAGTGAAGATGAGCGTAGAAAAGGCAAGAAAATAAAAAAGGAATACGAAACATGCAATGTATAACCTTGACTTCATAAACCGAAGCCATCCATGCACGCAAATAAATAACGACTCCTAACTCCACCCTCACCTGATGCGATGCTCTCCTCTTTGCCTCTTGAAAAGAAAATAAAAAGACACAACAATCAATAGAATCACTCCATTAGCTCGACGGGCGGCCTGGAGGTATGGGCAAATATCTTTTTCGGCTCTCCGTCCGAACTCAGATTCATAAAGTCCTCGTCGTCTTCATCGTCAATGGAGGTATCTTCCACCATGACAGCAGGCAGATTGGGAGATCCGCCATGATCGTTCGGATGATAGATCAATGTGCTTGAGCGGCTGCGTCCGGCGCCAGTAGACGAGGGCCATGAGCCAGCGCGGCCGAGACCCGGAGTAACCTCTTTATTGTTAGGGTTGATAGGGTTGATATTGCCGATATTATTACTGTTGTTATTGTTGTCAGACCCATATGACGCCACCGAAATAGGCGACATAGGATCATTGCTAGATGTATCCGGGGCCGACTGGCCGGCAGCAGCAGTTCCCAGACGAGCCAGCGCGTCCGCAAGATCGCTGGCATGCACCTCCTTGTTTGGGGGGTCCTCGTTGCGCATGACCCATCCATGCGGCGGGCTGGGCGGGGGACTAATGAAGAACAGCTTCGATGAGTGAGGCGCTTCGAGCAACTTCTTGCGTTTTGCCTCCTCTGTGTTTTCGATCGGGGTGCGTTCGCCAAAGTAGATGCGTGCTCGCAGGCCGCACTCGTCGAAGATGGTCTTGGTGCATTCGAGGTTCTGTCGCACTTTTACAGCATCGTCGATGGAGAGAAAGGAGCAGACGATTCGTCGGAAGCTTGGCAGGGGCGAGAAGGAGTTGAGCGGTGCGATGGAGGTGATCTGCTCGCGGATGGCCGTCAGACAGGCCGGCTGGAAGACGATGAGGTTGTGCAGTTCGGTAATGATGAGCGTGTTGCTGGGGGGACTGGGTCGTGAGAGAGAGGGTAGGTTGGAGAGGTCTAGCGTTAGGCAAGGCCTGGACCTGGAGGAAGAGGTTGAAGTTGTGGTTGACGTTGAGCTGGACCGGGAGAGTTGCTTTGCGTGAGGGGCATTGCCGGCAGAAGAAGCCATTGCGTTGCCTGACAGCATCTGCAGCCTTTTCGACACGAGGAGTGATTGGGAGGAAGAAGACAGCTTGTTGTGCGTGGAAGGGCTGGAGGAGGCGCGAGACGAGGTCGGAGGGAATGTTGCCACCGTCATTCTGCGATGAGGACAGCGATAAGCGATAAGCATGCGCAGCCAATCAACAGCGAGCGTTCTTCTGACGTGTTCCTGGGCAACTTCAACTTCATGCGCGAGAGCCAGAGAGAGAGAGAGAGAAATGATGGTTTGATCTGCTGTTCCCATAGTCCTCCTGTGAGCAGGACACGCGAGGATATTTTATATCTCCCAAATTTGCCGTCCGCAGCAAGAAAATCCGCAAGACGGCCTGGTCGGAGTGGCGCAGCTGTTCGATACATAGCTTCACCCTCCGCTTCCCCACAAGATTGGCTGTGCCAGATCTTAAGAAGCTCTTAAGGATCTTCAATGTGGCGCAATCTCTAGGCAGCGACTTTACTGAGTAGCAGCACAGCCTGACCATCTGGCCGCGTCTACGCGCGGGCTAAGGTGCTTCTAGAAGGCACCCTCGTTTTTGCGGGATACGAAGCGAAGGCTGAGACTTTTGTGCTATGTAGTCGACTCATGAACGGACGGACTCGGCCATGAAGGCTCGGAAAGGCTGACGGCCTGGCCACCTCCCATCTTGCCAGATATTGCGCGGCTGGTTTTCCTTCTGTTCACCGGTCTCAGCCTGACTTGGAGTCAGTCGTTCATCTTGAATGGCAGACTTCTTCGCCCTCAATTCCCATACTGGCTGAGAGAATATGTCAAAGACTTCAAGGGAGATGTTGCTCTGATACAACCGGGATCTTCTATATTTTACGTAGCAGTGCCGTGGAAGCTTCCATCAGTGATTCGGCATATTCTGGCAACAGACGAGTTTCTACACGAGTGGGACATGAAGGGGAAGGATCAACCGATGCTGGAATTCATTGAGAATACTTTTGTCGATTCTCGAGACTTTACGCCAGTTGAATTTTTTTGGGTGCATGTCGAAAGAGACAGATATGGTAGAGTTTCTTCTCAGTCTCGACAATTGGGATATGAATACTGAAATTATGGATCTGACAACGGCCACTGGTACGACGTCCTTCTGGATGAAATTGGTGAACATCTTGCTTGAATGTGATAGAGACCGATTGCCCATCACCTCTGATATTGTTGAGGCTGCCCGAACTGAAATATCAAGTGCCAGCAAAGCCATGGAACAATTCTATCTTCACGACAAAACTAGGGACCGAATGGATACAAAATCCGCAATCAAACGTGCGAAACTCGATTTTCAGTTTGTTTTAGGAATATAGCAGCGTTCACCTCTACCACCCGCAATAAAAAAAATACCGGCCTTGACTGACGCCGTAGCAGACCCAGACTAGGATCAATATTACTCTCTCGCTTATAAGGTACTGGGTCAATCGACGTCTGCCAGACAGTATGCAGCCTTGTTGTTAAAATTGGTTGTGGATTGCTCTGACATCAATCACCCTATTGAACAAGATGTATTAGAGTGCACGCTAACGACTATTTTGAAAGGTACACAAGTGGGTATATTAAGTGTTGGGAGTCCTTACTGAGGAATGACTGGTTCAGAAAAAAGAAGAAAGAGGCTTATCTGAGAGATTCTTCGAAGTAGAATCCCCTTCATGAGGAAGTCCATGATTAGTCGACCAGTCGACACGGTTCAATTTATAAACATACAATCTTTTTCTAACTTGATTAAACAAATGTGGAATTCACCATGGGCTTTCCGATGGAATGGGAGGAAATGCCAATATGTAGCGTGATACGACAGGGTGGTAGAGCTCAACGATGATGCCATTTGCATCGTTCTTTTTCGAATCACTATCCTGCTCTGAGCTGTCATCAGGGAGTGTGGCTGTTGTTGTGTCTGCTTTTAATGGCCACGATCAGGCGCTTGATATCTTCCAGCTCTACCGCACAATATGTGTCGGCCAACAACTCGATAATGCCCACCGTCGATATTTCCGCATCCCAAGGATCCGCGGCAACAACAGCATCAACGTCCGCACCACTCTGCGAGAAGAGGCGTACAATCTCTGCCCACCGTGCAGTGCCGTTTGGGTCCGTGTCAAAATATTCTATCTTGCGCCGGCGGCGCGCATTTCGGAGATGCCTTAGAAGGGCCACCCAGGAGGTCATGGGAGCTCTTGTTTCAAAGTCAGTGTACTCGTGGTTCGGCCCAGGGTTAATGCGATGAGGCCGTTCGAGGAGATTCCGAATCATGCAGGGATCCGATAAGGGGTAAATGGTCCTCTCTCGCGAGCATAGAAACTCGGTTGCATAGGTGAGCAGAGGAGTGGCTTTTTCGTCTACACCGAGAACACCGTGGCTGTCCTGCAACATGCATGCGTCTAATTCTTCCGAAACGTAGGTTGTTAGGCCAAACTTGGTGGCTAAACAGAGGAAAGGGTGCCATATTGGCGGCGCCTTCTTCCGAACGTGGAAGAATCCGAACGCTTTGGCAGCCCAATGGTCGTGGGGATTCGCATTGGCATCCCACAGCCACGATAGAGTTTTATTGAGCTGGTTTAGAAACCGGCGTTGCAGCTTCCTCGCATCGTCCACAATATACCTGGAGTGAGTCATGGCGAGAGCCACGTCCGGCCACCACTCGTCAAATCGTCGGTGATGCTCGACTTCTTCCATGGGTCTCTTGAGCCGGAGCACGTATGATCGTAATAGCCGCAAATGGGGATCGAAGGCAGCTGGTTTCCTCTGTTCAAGCCGCCTATGGACATGGTCAATTCGCAGCCAGTCGCGTACTGTGCGATGAATGAAGGTAACTTTGCTGTCTGCCAGTTGGCGTATAGATGCACCTTCGACTTCGTTACTGTCCGCGAACCTTTGAGTGCGCAGGCGGTCTTGAGTTTGCTTCCCCTGAAGACCTAGAAGTCCAGCAAACCGTTGCAGCATGCGTTCTTTAGTGCCGTTACAGCGTTCATGGACAAATTTGTCAGATACCTTTGACACCTCCCCGTCGGCTGCATAGTCGTCGTCACCTTGTTCAAGCGCAAAGGCTAGTTCCCATACCGTGAGAGAGCTTGCTGATACGTCGTTGACGAAGTCGGCCACCATCTCTCGGGATTCGATGAGGAAGAGAAAACTTGCCGTCTCGGCGAGTTGAGCGTCGGATTGATCCTGAAACAAGAACTTTTCGTACAACCCTTCCAGCTCTGTCGGAAGTTGATCCAACTTTTTTTTCAATCCTGAAACACCAAATTCAGGATCAAACTCTTTGAGAATATCGTTCAAAGCTAGCTTAATCCATAAGAAGACCCCATCTGCTCGTTCAACTGTCATCTGATACAATGCCTCTGTCCCTTGGCTATCACGCTTGAGAACGCGACGAACAATAGCGCTTTCTCCTAGCCTATCAGCGGCATATTGATACAGGTCATTCTTCGTGATTTCGTGTAATTTGACACTAGGTCCTGTAGCTTGGAATGCTACTTCGAACACATCCCAGGGACGCGAAGAGAGACACATTTTTACGTTCTTGCCATGGCCGAGATTTTGGAAGAAGCTGATGAGTGCCTGGTGATCTTCCTCGAACTCATCAAGACCGTCAATGAAGAGACATGTTTTCAATTCCGGCGAAGCCGCATCCACGTATAGTCGAAAGGCGTCCAGAAGCTCATCCGAGTCCCATTCGAGATGGAGGGCGATTCTCTCCTTGGAGGTCATAGTGCGGATTTTGTGCCAAAGCTTGGGGAAAGCACGAGGCATGAGATGGGGATTGGCTGACAGCAACTGGTACAAAAGAGATCTGAGCAGTCCGCTTTTGGACCGCTGCTCCCTGCTGCCACTGGCCCAGGAGTAGAATCCTGCGGTCGAGACGGGATATACACCTGCCCATTTCCGAAGCAAAGTCTGTGTCGTTGGGTGTTCGTAGAGATACTTCATGAGGGTAGATTTACCAGACCCTGGCTTGCCTGTCATCCAGTATATGGGCCCGTGATCGCTGGTTTCGAGCCATGCAGCAAAATCGTGTCGAAAGCCATCCTTGTTCGGGTCCTGGCAACCATCTGCTCCGAAGATCCATTCGAATGTCTTCTTATGTGCTTTGGCAACACTTTCTTCCCGGTCATACATGCCTTTGAACGCCAAAGTGTCGAGAATGAATTCATTGAGGAGACCAGCTGGAGCGTAGACGGGCTGTGAAGAATTCTTGGACTTGAGCACACTCACATTTATGGCTATGCTCTCCGGGAGAGAGCTGAAGGTCTTTGGGGGAGACTGCGACTCGGATAGACTTGGTTGCGGATCTTCGTTTCTCTCTGTCTGATGTGTTTGGGGTGATGTCTTGAACCTAAGGCGCGAGAGAGCTTGTTCGTCTCCGAGGATACTGTGGGAAGCGAATGAGATTAAGATGGCGCACGCTGGTGTCTCAACTTACTCAGACCCAGGGTTTACAGCTTGGAATTGGCGCATGAGGGCAACAAGCCGTGTTGCGAGAGCTTCGATGACTTCCAGCGGCCATACCTCGCGGAGTCGGGAGTCTTTGGCGGGGCCATGAACAAGAAGATCCTGAGCGCGATCAAGACGTATGGCAAGATCGCATGCCACTTTGCGACACGCATGAGAAAGAGCATCGACTGCACCTGTAATGACCCCTTTGGTGTCGAGCAGCGACCGAATGGCATCGCGGAGGTTCGAGAACAAGTCAGCCAGAACATGCTTCTGTGCGGGATGCTCGCCATGGAGGGCCCAGGCCGCCTGGCATACAGCAGCAGATGCTGTCAAGAACTGGGATGCAGCATCACCCATGTTGACATCGACAATTTATCGAGGCATACAATTATGTTCTTCCTGCTGTCTGACTCCTTGCCGGAAAAGGTGATGCCGAAATGTATCAGCCTAATTAATGCTACACTATGCATATATGGATAAGTGGGGCTTGGGGAGATGCTCAACTCCGTTAGTGGCGATCTCAACTCCGGGCTCAGCTCCGGCCCAGAAGTTGAAATGTTTATAAGGTGGAAAGGAACGCAGTCTCCCTTCTTTGCGACCTTCAAATATCTATCTAGCTCTACGTTCGTTTCTGCCTATTCATAATACTGACTATGTCTGTTGAAGAGCCCCAGAAAGAGCGGCCATGTGCTGATGCTTCAAACACCTCGCTACCCCCGTCAACGCCTCCAGAGGCCCCCTTCAGCATTTTTGACCACCGGCAAAAGTGGCTTATTGTCACCATCATCTCGACCGCGGCAACATGTAAGCTCTCGTTCAAGTATCTTTGACTGGTCAGCTTCTAATCGCATGTAGTCTCTGGTTTCGCTTCGAACATCTACTTTCCAGCACTTCCTACGATTACCAAAGATCTGAATATCTCACTTGAACTTGTCGACCTTACTGTTACGGCATATCTCATTTTTCAAGGCCTTGCCCCAAGCCTCTGGGGCCCCATATCAGATGTGAAAGGCCGCCGAGTTGCATACTTGTTCACCTTCTTGGTTTTCACAGGAGCGTGTATAGGGTTGGCAGAGACAAAGAATTATGCTACTCTAGTAGTTCTCCGTTGTCTCCAAAGCACCGGCAGTGCAAGCACAATTGCCATTGGCTCGGGGGTAATTGGTGATATTACTACGCGCGCTGAACGTGGCGGATTCATGGGCATCTTTCAAGCCGGCCTGCTGGTCCCAGTGGCCGTTGGACCCGTTATTGGAGGCGCTATAGCTGGTACTGTCGGTTGGAGGGCTATCTTTTGGGTATTGACTGCCTATAGCGGAATCTTTCTCATCACGATGCTTGTCTTACTGCCAGAGACACTTCGCTTGTTGGTCGCAAATGGCAGTCGAATCCCTGATGTCATGGCAAAATACCCATTGATTATCTATCAAAAGCTCACCAAGGTCGTATGGGACCCGAAAGTGGTACCTCCCCAAGCTCCAAAGAAACGTATTGATCTCACAGGGCCATTTCGCATTCTCGTGAGCAAGCATTCGGCCCCCATCATCGTCTTCCTTGCCATATACTATGCTGTGTGGCAGATGAGTATCACTGCAATGTCATCATTATTCGAACAAAAGTATGGACTTAGCGAGATTCAAATCGGCCTGACCTTTATCGCCAATGGCGTTGGTTCAATGGTTGGGACATTAATCACTGGCAGACTTCTTGACCTTGATTACCACAAAGTCAAGGCTGCGTTTGAGGCGCAAGTCGACCCCGAGGGTAGCAACAATGCGTTGGGAGAGAACGATTTCCCACTCGAAAAGGCGCGTCTTCGGCTGGTCCCGATCTTCGCATGTCTTCAGTGCTTGTCATTGATCCTTTTCGGCTGGACAATCCAGTACACAGTACATATCTCCGTTCCTATCATCTCGACATGCATCACCGGATGGACGGTTGTGTCTATGCAGTCTGTCATCATGACCTATCTCGTGGATATATTCCATGAGAAAAGTGCCGCGGCCAGTGCCAGCATTAACCTCGCCCGATGCTTGTTTGCTGCGGGTGGTACTAGCTTTGTGATGCCCCTGATCAATGCTGTTGGGGCTGGTGTGACCTTTACGATCTGCGCTGCTGTACAATTTGCGTCGCTGGTTGGCCCTCTGATACAATGGAGATTTGCTGCTTCGTGGAGGAAAGCAGAAGAGGAGAAGAAGAAACAACAAAATCAAACTTAACCGAGGGACTGAGGCGAGGACAAAGGCGTCGCCGGCGGTCGATGCGTGTACGAGCCACGAGCTGTACTATCAAAATACCCTGGCCATGGTTATACCCAGGACAAGTAGATCATTGTAATCAAGATATAATATACTATTTTTATCCCCTGTGTGCCTTTCTTTCTCTATTCTCCCAATGTTTACTTTAACTATATAGAATCTGAAGACGGAAATACATTACTACGATCGGCTTTTTGCATAGAATCTACATGAATAAAGCCTATAATTTTAAGCTACCTAGAAAAGTTCCACAACCAGCCTTCCGCCAAATATTATTTACCTATTGATGGTTCACGGGCTCGATCGGACTTGAGGCACTCAACTCCGCGAGGCTCCGTTGAAGTCCGGAGCGAAACATTTTACTATCAGCTTCCAGAATATAGGAAATATAATCCATCAACATGAGGATGAAATTATGAATTATGACTTTGAATGCTTTATTGGCAACTCGCAGTCAGAACTCTTTCCAATTACCGACTGCGCATTCCCACGCATATGCAATCTTCAATATCGTCAACTCATCCCAGTACCGCCCCACGATTTGCATACTCACTGGCATCGCAATGCTCTGGTTCTCTCGACTCGGGATAAGCCCTATGGGTACCGCAAGGGCCGGGTGACCTGATGCATTGAATGGGCTTGTGTTCTCTAACTTCCCCTTGGATGCGTCCATGTGTTCAAGGGGAGATGCATCATGTGCAGGCAGTGGGTTAGACTCTGTAATTGTTGTGGGCATGACCAATACATCATATCTCTCAAGTGCTTTGTCGTAGGCATCTTGGAGTTTGCGTATGAGATTGACGACTTTGGGATAGAGCGTGGAATAGTGCTTCCAGGCGTATTCGCCAGTTATCAGAGCTTCCTTGCACATAACGCTCATCTGATTGATTTCAATATCAACACTATACTTCTTTCTTCTTTTTCTTTTCGGGAAAAAAAAAAAAAAAGAAAGAAAGAAAGAAAGAAAGAAAAAACCGAGGAGAGCTTCAGTTGAGCGTACCTTGGCGAGAACCTCTGGCGAATATGGCAAGTCTTTCTTTTCAAACAAGTCGGTCAACATCATTTGCCTTCGTCCTGTGGCTTTGCCCTGCATTCCTATGTGATTCCCCATTTTACTCAAAACGACGATTATAGTTCGAGCCTGCGAGTGAATCGGAACATGAACGTCTTCCACAACGGCACCAAGTTGACGAAACACGTTCATGGCATCTTGGAATTTCTTCTCCACCTGAGGGTTGATCCCGGGCAGGTCCAGCCCTTCTTTTAATATTCCGATCCTCATTCCCCTGATCCCATCCTCCTTGGTCTCTGTTAGCAGTTGTGCATAGCGTGGTACCTGTCTGGGAAACGGCGCGCCAGCTGACTGACGGTCATCCAGCCCATCAACGCCGGCAATAGCTTCCAAGAGTAGTGCATTATCCAAGCAACTTGTTGTCATCGGACCGACAAAGTCCAAGCAGGCATCATTACTTGCTATACCTGTATAAGGTACCAAGCCGACTGTTGGTTTGAAGCCGTACAGGCCGCACAAACTCGCGGGAATGCGAATGCTACCACCCTGATCGCATCCTATCCCCATGTCTGTCGCACCGCTGGCCACAAGCGCAGCAGTTCCGGAACTGCTTCCTCCTGCAGAGTATCCAAATGCATACGGGTTGTGCACAGGTCCTGTGGCAGCGGTGGCGCTGACCGCGCCGCGGGAAAGATTCTCGCATACTGCTTTGCCAGTGATGGTGCCACCGGCATCAAGGATACGGCTCACTACGGTTGCGTCGGTGTTCGGAATCCAGTCTTGAAATGTGTCGGTGCCCAGAAGGCAAGGTACACCCGCGACAGCGATATTATCCTTGAGACAGACAGTTTTGCCTGTGAGAAGATCAGTTTTTGGTGCGGTGCTTTTTGCATTGAACTTCCACGCCCATGCGCCGAGCGGATTAGATTCTGCAGTGGGAAAGTGAATGTCGGATCGTGGGTATATGCCTTGATCTGGTATTGGCTGATAGTCTGGGTGGTTGAGGTTATTATTCTACCTAGACCGCGAGGTTCCATTTCGGGCTCAAAAAAACTCACCATGCATCTCCGACACTGTCTGCAACGACTTCTCCATGCGGTCTAAGAGAGTCACATAGTCGCCAATCTCATTCTCTGATAATGCAAGCCCAAGGCCGGCAGCAGTCGACCTTAGTTCTTCCCCCATGATTGAACTCCGGACAGTGACAGCTGATACAACCAGAACAAGCCCTCATAAACACCTCGTCTGAATCAACACCAGGCATAATCAGAACCTCTAAAGGGACAAACAAGTGCCGGTATTAATTGAATTTACTATCTTATTTCTTAACTCCCAAGCTTATGCCTATCTATCAGCGGAGCCTCCGAATGCTGATAACGGAGGCACCGTAGCAGTCCGCTTACGGACCGCTGCTCTTATCAGGATAATCAACCCTTGGCCGTTGTATATAATAGAAGAGCTGTATTATGAAAGAAGAACGTATCAGAAATCCTAACCGTTATTCGTTCACTCGTAGCACTAAAGACCATCCAGCACAATGGTTCACATCGAAGAGAAATACCAGATCCCGCGTGATTTCGAGGGCTTCGGGGAAGAGGGCTTTGATCCTCAATGGCCAAACGGTGCTCGCATAGCAGTATCCTTTGTCCTGAACTACGAGGAAGGAGGCGAGCGGAGTGTTCTTGACGGTGGTATGTAGAACTAGTGTCGAATTTTCTTTTTGTAGCTGACAGAACCCTCCAGACAAGATGTCCGAGCCATACCTGTGGGAAAAGGGGGCCTCTGGCGGCTACAAAGAAAATGCACGGTACCTGAATGCCGAGCAAGACTTTGAGTATGGAAGCCGGGTTGCCTCGTGGCGCCTGATTCGACTTTTTAGAGAATTTGGATGGAACTTTACGACTTATGCGGTCGCGGTTGCGCTGGCGAAAAACCCTACTTTTGCCAAAGCGTTGGTTCGCGATGGCCACGAGATTGCTGCTCATGGATACCGATGGCTCGATGTATGGGACTTGAGTCTTGAAGAAGATAAAGAGTATATTAAGAAAACACTACTGTTGCTGAAGGAAGTCAGCGGTATGTTCTGCCCTTAACGAGTAGCATTCTTCAATGCTGATCGCGGACAACACCAGGCGAGATGCCCGTGGGTGCGTATTTTGGCCGCGGAACACCTCAAACGCACGCTTTGTTTCCAGAGGTTTGGAAGGAATTGGGAGCCGAGTTTCTCTGGTCCTCCGAGGTCTATAACGACGACGTTCCCTACTGGCTTGATCTTCCGTGGGAGAAGTCGTTGAAGGAAGAGGAGCGAACGGGCATGTTGCTCATTCCATATAACGTGCGTATCACTGAACTATGAGCTTCGACAGAAAGTCTTTCTACTAACAGAAATCAGTACGATTGCAACGACGGCAAGTTCCACATGGCCCCCGGCTTCGGCAGCAGTGTTGCCGAAAGCTACGAGAACTATCTGAAAAACACGTTCGACATGCTGTACCGCGAAGGCGGCAAGATGATGAACATCCCTCTTCACACACGAATCATCGGAAAGCCAGGCCGATGCGAGGCACTGCGCAAGTTCATGAAGTACATTGCTGACAAGCCTGGGGTCTGGGTTACAACGAGACGGGATATTGCCAGGCACTACAACGACAAGTTTCCGTATCAGCCCGATGGGAAGTGGATTAAGAAGTAACTAGCTTATCAGATAAGGCTGTGTGTAGATACTAGATACTGTAGAGCTATCAATGATAGGAGATCTCCGACAGGTATAGTCGGAGCATCCGTTTCTCACTACCTATACTTCGCAAATGACCGAGAATTCGCAATGGCTGAGAATCTTGCAATCGCCGCGGGGCCGTGGTCTATAGGACATAACCCTAGGAAACGAGGCCGGACAGCTTGCACTCGCTGCAAGCATAAAAAGCAAAGGGTCTGTCTGTTTTGCCGCCACTCGACACCGAGACGAAATGAGGCTGACAGTCTGCAATAAATAGTGCGATGGCAGTTATCCAGTGTGTGGAAACTGTCAGAAGGCAGACGCAGAATGCGATCTACAGGTCATCCGTGCCGACGATCACGTAGTAGAAGAGCGAGTGGGACTTTCTAAATGGACAGCGGGGAATGACACTGACAAGGTAGAAATCTAGATATATCAAGGCCCTGGAAGACCGAGTGGCAGAGCTTGAGATTAGGCTAGAAACCCCCTCAGCAACGCAACAACAAGACGCAGCGATACAATCCCAAGCAACACAGCGAAATGCACTGGGCGAAATCGCTGAGTTCCTGACCCTTGGTCATTTTGAAGGGCCAGCATATGTCGGCTCTTCCTCGGGGTTTTCACTGGCCCTCAACTTGAGGGAGATGGTCCAGGCATCTGTTTGGAACAAGGCTTTGACCACAGCAGATGCCGAGGATGGATCAGCGTCAGAAGCGAGTGCTTCTTCCTCTCGCGAGAATATTCGCTTGAGACCTCTGACACTTGAAGAGATTCGCACAAAGAGTGCAGGCCCGCCCTCGGAAGAAGAAGGACTACGACTGATATCGGCTTTCTTCACACGAGTTGCACCGCGATATCCTTTTATGGACTGGGAAGAGATGGAAAAACTGCACTCGGACCGGCTTAGGCTCTCTTCTGGCAATAGCTTGTCGAGAAGAGAGAGGTTTGGCACATTTAAACTATATTTAGTGTACGCAATTGGCTCTAGTTTACTTGCGCTGACGGAGAAAATTGTTGCATCCTCATCGGAGGTAGGTATAAATACATGTATCTGGAGCCTTGCTACTATGTCTGCGTGCTGATAGAAGTAGAGCTTATATATGACGGCCCTGCAGCACATATCTGCGGCTCGAGAGTCGCGGTCTATACACAATATTGAGGCCATGACGCTCCTGGTAATCTACCACCTGCGCTCCAGTGCGAGTAGTCAAGGCTTATGGTACATGATTGGATTGGCCATGAGAACATGCATCGACCTCGGACTACATCGGAGGAACAAGGAGGTCCATCGAGATGCGGCAACTAACCAACGATACCGCACTCTTTTCTGGACCGTATACTCCCTCGAACGAACCATCGCCATCTCACTTGGTCGCCCTGTCAGCATCGCCGACCGACACATTGACGTTGACCTTCCAGATGTGGCTGCAACGTCTTCTCCGCCATCCCCTGTCAAGAACAGCAAGAACCAGAGCAATTCGATGGCAATCCATCTTTTCCGCATTCGGATTCTCGAATCTCGCATACACCATTCAATCTACCGAACAGACAAGCCCTTATCTGCTCTTCGTCAGAAGCTGGCGCATCACTACCGTCAGCTCGAGGAATGGAAAATGGACTTGCTCCGATTATTCCCACATGTCGTTGATCTGGACTATCCCATCCTGCACTACAATCGAGCCATGCGCCTACTTCTTCAGCCGTTTCTGAGTATTCTACCATGCACCGATCCATACTATATAAATTGTCTCGAATCGGCGTTGCAAATTTGTCACATTCACAAACGGCTCCATCAAACACTTGACTACGGTCACTCATTTATTGCCGTGCAGACTGTATTTGTAGCAGGGATAACATTGCTCTTTTGTGTCTGGACCAAAGCATCCCATGTCTGGTCAGTCAAGATCAGCAATGGCATCCGCGCTTGTTCTAATGTATTGTTTGTCATGGGCGAACGGACTTTGTGGGTAAAGAAATACCGTGATGCTTTCGAGTTGCTAACCAACGCCACCATGGAGAAGCTACAAGGAAACCTGAAAGAAGAGGCAGGCATCTTGGAGACAGCCTTGAGTGTCTCCGGTTATCAGCATCAAACCGCACAGCTTGACTTGCAAAATCGCAGGTTCGAGGACTATTCGCAGTCCGGGCGACGAGACTCGGGTACAATGAAGATCGTCAACGAACTAGCAAGCTGGATCGACCAAGAAGGCCATTCTATTTGGATGCCTGATTTTGAATCGCTACAAGGAGCGTCTGATCACATAGAATTTTGATAAACAGGTAGATATATTAGGTACTGAGGTTATATCATAAGCAAAATGACAAGAAAAGCTTTCAAACAGAAAGATAACCTTTCTCGCTCATCGTGAAAGCCTCTTTGGCAACTTGACTTTCATCGTCTACTCCAGTCAGGACTCTTCCTCCAGCGATCATATCCATTGACTCCCCATCTAGAAGACCTTCTGTGGTAGTCATATACTCCCACGACTTGGGTGTGTCTGCCTCAGCTAATTCGGGGTAGATGGCAACCGGCCACAACAAATTAAGCAAGTAAAACACAATGCCACCCATGAAGAAACTCAACAAGAAGCCAAGCTGGTACATATGTGTACTGGCTTCACCCACGCTTCCCGGGTGCAGACTTCCAGCGACTCCATGTACCACAAAGGCCACACCGCAGACCCAAGCCACCAAAGCACGGGGATTCCAACCGTGCCAATACGCGTACGGTGTTCCGGGGGCTCTTGTATAGAGGGATGGAACATGGAAGTTGCCCTTTCGTATGATCCAATAGTCTACCACCATGATAGCACAGATAGGCATAAGGAATACGGTGTAGGAGCCGAGGAAAGTCAGGAAAGACGATGCCGAAGCGATAATCTTCCATGGGACACAAAGTGGCGCAAGCAGGGCACAAATGACTTGTCCGCGCACAATGTTGATATATCGCGGCCACAGGCCACTCGAATCGGCGCCCACCGGTAGCGAGTTTGTGCCTGCGTTTGTGGCGATGATGGCCAGAATCATGCCGAGACTAGCGAAAAAGATGCCTGCGCGTGCGGCTGGGCTCCAGTACTGCGTCAAAATGGCGTCGTACAAGTCCCAGACATTCCAGTATGCTGTGCCTAAAAGCTCGGTGGTAGCACTGGTTGTCGCACAGCTGACGAACATGACGAGGACTTTGGATAGTAAGATACCGGTGCTCTGGGACCAGGTGACTTGGGAGTAGCGCTTTGCGTATCTGGCAATATCAGGCTGGTTGATCAATATGGGGCACAGGGCACCCATAACCGAATTGATAGCTGAGATCATGGGCCAGACAAGCGCACTGCCGTGGAGCGAATTCTTTTCAAAACTGAATGATCCAATAGAGCCGCCATTCTTCTGAATAGCCCAACCCATAACCCCGAAGAGCGCAACGGTTGTATACACAGCCTTGAACACAAAGAGGTGTCGGAGGATGGTTGGGTGAACAAACATCACTGGAAATTGAATAATCCAAAAGACGAAAAATGCGAGGAGATTCTGCGAAGTGATTCCTGCGTCTGCAGGGAGATGATTGGGTATGTTTTCCCATTTGGGCCCAATCATCGCCCTGAGACACACCGATGTCAATCGACCGCCGTAATATGACTGAACCGCGAAGTAGATTGTTGCGACAGATGCTCGGACTGCGATAAATAGCTTTGAACCCCCCACTCCTGAGCTTGCGCGCGTGTAGACGGGGAAGCCGACATGATACTTGGCTGCCCCTCGCGAGTTTAGCACGACAACAATGCTCAAAATGATTGATCCGATCACAGCAGCAACCATGCCGTGCCACCACTGCAGCCCTGTGCTCACCAAGGATGAGCCCAGGTTGTACGATGACGGGCTGAAGGTGGTAGTCAGATAGTATGCAAAGAAATGCATGGCCGTCCAGGTCCGCTGAGACGGCGGCGTGGGCAAGAGATCCGCATTGTAGTAGGCCGAGGAAGCTTCGTCCTCGTCTGGAGATTCATCTGTTTGAATAGCCTTCTTGAAGGAGGTCCACGAAGACAAGGCCCCGTTGGCTCGGGTCAGATTACGGGTGGTCATGACCGCAGGTTACTAGTCGTGTTCGGTTTGACGATATGTCCCAACTTCATGATGAATAAATAACTGCCTAGTTATAGAAATATGCTGCTTATCAACTAAGGCGACAAGAAGATACGATATCCACCAAATATCAGGTCGTTGGGTGGCGCTGATAAGCGATTAGCTTTTCTGTTCGGAGCCTCCGGCAATAGCCCTAATTTGTCCGGATTAGGCTCGGAGGCTCCGTAGACTTGATAGCACTCTATATTGCAGATTCATCTTATTCTCTGTTTTTTTTTTATTGTGGACTACCTGTCTCGGCAGTGGGAATATATCTGTTCCACGATGATATGTCTCATTTCTTTCAAATCGATGAAGTAAATGAAAGAGATTCTTCGTTGTACTGAAAGATAACGAGCCAAAAAAGAAAAGAACAGATAAAAAGACATGCCAGCCAAACACGATGTTACTACTTCCTTGCAAAACCAGGAAAATATCCTCCCCAAAACACGACTTCTCATTGTCATCAGCTGCCTTTCTCTCGTCTTATTCACAGCTTTCATCGATCAAAATGGAGTTTCCGTGGCCCTTCCAAGCATTGCAGTCGACCTCAACGCCGAAGACAGCATACCTTGGGCCGGAACATCGTCACTCATCGCGAACACCGTCTTCTCTGTGCTCTATGGACGACTGTCAGATATATTCGGACGTAAATCGGTGTTCCTAACAGCATGCGCCATCTTGTCACTCGCAGATTTATTATGCGGCTTTTCGCAAAACGCGCCCATGCTCTACTTCTTCCGTGCATTGGCAGGGTTGGCTGGTGGTGGTATCACGAATTTAGCAATGATATTTGTGTCTGATGTCGTGACCCTTGAGGAAAGAGGGAAGTATCAAGGAATCATCGGCGCATGCCTTGGAGTAGCAAATATTGCAGGCCCCTTTATGGCTGCTGGCTTCATTCGGTCCGCTTCAGTGGGGTGGAGAGGGTTTTTTTGGACGCTCACGCCGATTGTCGCCGCTGGAGGTGTTGTGTCATGGTTTGTTCTACCGCAGTCCAAAGTCACTGGTGGTCTTCGCGACAAACTTTGCAAAATTGATGTCTGGGGCTGTCTGACATCGTCCGCTGGGATTGTTCTATTGTTGATTCCCATCTCTGGGGGTGGCCTGTACTTTCAATGGGACTCGGCCATGGTTATTAGCATGTTGGTGGTTGGAAGTTGTGCCCTAGTTGCCTTCATCGTTGTCGAGTGGAAGGTGGCCAGAATTCCAATGATGCCCAGTGAGTACACGATAAATCACACGCCGCTTTTACAGTGAAAAGCAACTGACTAGTCAAACAACGAGCAGTGAATATCTTCCAGAACCAATCTATCCTGGCTCTACTCTTCCAAAGCTTCTTGCTCGGCTGGGTATATCAAACCTATCTCTACTACCTCCCCCAATACTATCAAAATATACGCGGCTACAGCGTGGTAGCCAGCGCAGCGTTGAGCGTCCCCTTGGTCTTTATGCAGGCTGTCGGATCTGTGGTCTCCGGCCAATACATCTCTCGCCGCCACCACTACGGAGTAATTCTTTGGAGTGGCTTCACAAGCTGGACAGTCGGGTGTGGCCTGACTACATTGTTCAATCAACACACAAATCCCGGGGTGTGTGTTGTAGCACTTCTTTTGATTGGCACTGGTGTTGGATTCGTCTTCCAGCCTACTTTGGTCGCATTGCAGGCACACTCGCCGAAGCCTCAGCGAGCAATCATAATCTCGAGTCGAAATTTCTTTCGCTGCGCTGGTGGTGCATGCGGATTAGCGGTTTCGGCTAGCATTCTTCAGACTGGGTTGAGAAATCATCTCCCAGCGGACATGAAGTATATTGCATCTTCGATATACAATCTGCCAACCTCAGGCGACCCCGAGACCACGGCGCTCATTTTATCTGCATACATGAAGGCAACAAAAGATCTGTACATTGCCAACACTGTTGTGATTGGCTTGTGCCTATGTGCCTGTCTGTTGGTTAGAGATCGGGGACTGAAAAGGGAAGGCGAGAATGAAAAAAGAGAGACGCCGGCGCCGGATTCCGTGACTCTTGCTGTAACTCTGCCAAATACAGGTAAAACCACGGTTGATGTTGCGAGCGTAAGCGAGGAAGATGTTGAAAAGTGTGGTCAACCAACACAAGACGACAATCATTTATGAGCTTTCCCGCACAGATCCATGGACAGGTAACTATATTATGACCAAAAGTTTAACGTAGACTATAGAATCATTGACCTCGTCTCAACAACTAAGAGAAAGACATAGAATGTGTTAGTGTGCTTTCCTTCACGAGTCGAACAGACAAGTTCTACACATCAAACTTTGACTTTGCATCGACACACCCATTGTTCATATCAGATTTCCGTTTATAGCAGTCTCTCTGGAGAATGTAATACAGGATGATTCGTCGACCTGGTGCGTGAGCGAAAAGCTCGCACTGTGAGACCATAAAATAACTAAAATAGGCCATTCAGTGTCATATAAATCTTGGAAGTCTTTCAACAAGATATGAGCTTCGCCACGGAAAATAAACCCAGAAGTGAAAGTTGAATTACATACATTCCTACAAAATCTTTTTTTTCTCTCTTTTTCCTCATCCAAGATTCTCGCTGACCGGCAAGCACAACAGACATGCACGGTCATGAACCGCCCTTCTTGCGTTACCCAGTGGGGCTGCATTCAAGCCAGCTAGGTCTTTGATTTCCCAACAGACTCGTCGTAAAGCACAAAACAAAAGAAAAGGCATATCTCGCGTGATGCGCGGAGAAGGGCTAATGTCTGGGAGTTGGTCAGATCCTGGCATTCTCGCAGGGGTCAAACTCGATGACTGCATAAACCGGTGCCTGATTACGGGGGGGCTGCTAGTAGTGTTGAAGAGAGATGCAATATAAAAAAACTTCGTAATCCAACACATTTTATTGACAAATCATAATTTTCTTTCCTGCCTTGACCAACTAGTTAGTGCCGTTGATAGCATCATCCATGGAGCGAGTGCTGACAGTTTTTGAAAAAGTGACGGGTAGGAAGCAGGGGCATGTTTTCGAGCATGTATCTGCATTATCCGAGGATGCATCTTGGACTTAAGAAAGTTTTGTACACCTAGGCAAGATAAGGGTATGCATATTGCAACCTTAAGTGTAGTATACTCTCTTGATCATGGCACTGTCCACCCTTCCTAAGAATTGGGAGCTAGAGTTTGGCCCCTTTCTGACGCCTTCCAGGGGTAATGCGGCTTGCCGTAACATATTAACTAATCTGGACGTGGCTGCGACTGCTAGTGCCGCGTATATAATAATAATATTAATATTATGGCATAGTTATCTAGAAGGATTAGAAACTAGTGAACGCCCGTTACAACTCCGGAGCGGAAATCCTGGATTGCCCAAAGCGGAAGGCAAATACCTATTTAGGAAAGTGGCTGTTTCACGCAGCGGGGTTGCTCGACTGCTTCACATATACCAACATTGAGGAGTTCGCGCCTATCTGACAGCTTTTGGTGTTCTACGCGCCCTCAGAATGTCTGGTGTCGGTTTCAGCTTTCACAAATCCTTTACCGGAGCCATGGTATAGCTCTTCGAGATTGTCTTGGAGTACTACTTTATTAGCAGGCGATCTCCACAAAATTTCCAGCTCAAATATGAGCAAGGTTTAAAGCACATTCAGTGCTGCACATCTGCCACTCTATCTAAAAGCATGGGACTAATGCCTGAGTCTCCCACGAGTGTCTCTATCTCCATTGGCCTCAACAACATAGTCGCTCGGGACACGCGGGTTGAGGTTTGTACTCGGCAGATTCCCCCTCTTTTCGATATTATACAGGTGCAGAACAGTATTTCTAATACGCTTAAAGATGAAGCCCAAGTTCTCGAGTGAAACTTCTAGCCCGAGGTCAAACAGTCCGGGCGACCGATTAAAACTCCAAGTCTGGCCCGCCCTGAAGAAGGGTATCTCGTCTAGTTTGGCCGAGGGCTCTAAAATGGCACGAAATCTTTATGAAAATAACTCATCAAATCCGCAATTGACGTCTGTATCTTCTGACACTACGCAGTTGACGTCAGCTCCGAGCAAATCGTTTTCAGCGAAGCGGCAAATCGCCATGGCAGGGGTAGGCGTGATGCCGATGACAACAGCACATGATGCTCGCATGGACTCTCGTAAGAAGGTATGCCATCATATATGAAAGCTCACAGCAACTGATATTTATCAGCAACTATTCCAGGAATGTTTCCCGTAAACAGGAGATCGGACAGCACTCCAGAACTGACACCGAGCCACAACCCGTTCCAAAGCTCGATCCAAAAGCCGATTACAAAATCACGAGGAGATCATAAAAGAACTCCTGCAGTCAATACTAGACCACTAGCCTGGTCAGAAAATGGTCATCCACTTCATATAACTACAGTTATGGACACTGCGGGCGAAGATAAACCACCAGCAGTGCCGCCAAAGTCCCCTCGTTTTATGAATCATTCAACAACAACATTGCAGGATGGTTCAGGAATGTATAATATCACTTCTAAGGGAAACAATGCTAGCTTGCGGCCGCGAGCTGTGACGGCTACAGGGTTTCAACCACGGGAGCATATAGCTGGTGAACTACATCGACGTAATGAGAGCGCTCCGTCCGTTCCAATCTCTTCAAAGGACATTGAACAACTCAGATCAAGACACATAGCAATCAAAGAGAAGCACGAAATGGCAGAAGCACTGGCTCAAGGCTTTGATCGTTCGAAAAGAAGACGCAATTTCGTTGAAGAACAGACGTCGAATCAGGTTGCAGTAATGGAGAAAGTGACGTTGGCTCAACTGCCTGTGGGATTCAACGTAACCGATGCAAAATCACAGCTCAATTCGTCGGATGTAGAGAAACTCCAGAAACAGGCCAAGACTCAAGCAGAAAAATTCAGAGTTTTTCAATACCATGAGGTGAAAGCATTGTCCAAGGTAAGTTGGGCTGTACCTCAGGTCTCCGAGCGATTGCTGACAAGACATGCCGACAGGAGCTACGTGAACTTGACGCCCACTGTGATTATATTCGCTCTACGAGCAGAGCCCTCCGTGCTGGGCGTAACAATTTCCACAGACAAGTGATAGCCCGCCTTCGGTCTTCCCAGTCAGCTACGGATTCTCGTGAAAACATATTAGGGGAAGAAGAGGCTATAGCGCAACTTGACAAATCCATAGACGAGTGGGTTGCAAAGCTAGAGCAAGTCGACAATAGGAGGACCCGAGTTCGCCAAATGTTGCTGGAACATATTGCTGCCTCCTTGGTCCTTTCGGCGGCCCCGTTGGATATAAAACAGCCCGCCATCAATAACGAAGTTGATGCTGGCTGCACAGATATAGCTCGGGAGTCCATCCGAATTTATGCAGACTATGGAGTCTATGGCGATGCAGATATGACGGGTTTGCTTGCAGATATCGAGCATCAAATAGAAACGATGAATGGTCACCAGGTGATGATCTAGTCTTCTTGATGCTGCCGATAATGGATGTGATTTGCTCAGGTAATGCCTCGGTACACGAAATGTGGATGGAAGAGTTCCCTTCCTTATTGATATTGCTCCATTCCTCGTCTGATGATGTAGTTTAACTCTATTTTCGACTTTCATTTTCCTTCTTTCAAGGTTCTTTCGTATCGAGATTGTTTTGGCAAATGCTCCATGTTTTTAGCCAAAAAGCAAAGTGTTTTAGAATGACTCAAAGTATTCAATCAGCAAGCGCAACATTGAGAGTATAATCAAGTCAGTAATTTTCTACTTTAGCTAGATAATCCTTGTTACGTGACATTTCCTCAACCAGCCCTGATCGACGTGTACTCGTCTAGGGCCAGCAGTGTACGTATGTCCTGTGGGATTCCTTTTCACGAATTTGCACATATTCATTCGGTAAAAGTCGCATAAATGCAGATGTGCAAGTTTCATTTCAAAGACCTCAGCTTCAGATTCTCGAAATACCGGCAAGCGAATCAAATAATGATTTCGTTTCAGCCAATTTAGGGCAACGTGCTGCTTACATAATACTGTACCGGCATTTCGGCGGCGCGTTTTTCCAGGTTAATTTTTTGGGCCGACCAAAGAGTTAAAGAGTCACATCTAACCTCAACCACCGCAATCCCTTTCTTCCATTTGCCGAAGACCAGCCTCGAGTTATTCGAATTTCACCGCATACTATATAAATACAATGTTGCAACGCACAATTTTTAGACAGCGCCGCGCTGTGGCCTCCGCAGTATCCAGATCCGCATTTCCGCCATCTTCGGCACTGAGACAGACCTCACCCTTCCAACAGCTATCTTCAAAACAATCTTCCTTCAGGACGGTGCCTCGCTACTATTCTACAGAAAATGGAGCAAACAAAGAAGATGCCAAGAAGGAGAACGACGAAGCTGCTACCGAGACTCCTGAGGAATCTCTCAAGAAGGAGCTGGAAGCAAAGAACAAGGAAGTTGTCGATTTGAAGGTACGCTCGGGAAAGCTAACAATTGGTTGAATTGATCGTTGTATGATTGATGCTCATCCGTTTTCTAAAGGACAAATACCTTCGTTCTGTTGCCGACTTCCGAAATCTCCAAGAGCGCACTAAGCGTGACATGGACAATGCTCGTACTTTTGCTATTCAAAAGTTCGCCGTCGATCTCCTCGAGTCAATTGATAACTTCGATCGTGCTCTCTCCGTTGTTCCAGCTGATAAGCTCACTGCCGAGCAAGCTGAGGCCAACAAGGACCTTCAAGATCTTCACCAGGGCCTGAAGATGACCGAGAACATCTTGATGGCCACACTCAAGAAGCACGGACTAGAACGCTTTGATCCCTCGGAGAATGCGGACGGCAAGAATGCAAAGTTCGACCCCAAGCTTCATGAAGCAACATTCATGGCTAAGATGGAGGGCAAGGAGAATGGGGACATTATGTTTGTCCAAAGCAAGGGTTACAGTTTGAACGGTCGCATATTGCGGGTAAGTCCAGTCGTATAGTTCACAAAAGCTCTTCAACAACTAACTTTTATCTTTAAGGCCGCCAAAGTCGGTGTCGTCAAGAACGATTAAGCAGGCGCGTTTCCGTTCTCTCATGTCTTCCGTCCTTCCTCGCCCGTGAAACTACAGCCTATCTTGGCTTGTATATGACCTTCTACTCAAAACTGTACAATATATATTTTTTTATTCTCATTTACTCTTCGCTGGAGACGACTCTTTATCTTCACTGCACTTGAATTCGGCGGGGATCCAGATTGATGACCGTTCTGTTACGTGTATAATACTATGTGGGATACGTTTGTCTAGTCGTTCACTGGTGGCCTCGTATTGCGTGTTTTCTGTTCTTATGTTCTCTATCTCTCTCTCTCCTCTCTCTGCTGCATTTCATATAGCACGGCGCATGTCTGTTCAGTATTTGGACTCGGGTTTCTCAGTTGGAGCATTGGCATGTGAAAGCAAGGATGTTTGCATGGTTACAATCATGTTCTATTTCTATTAATGTCATTATGTCTGTGGGTAGACATTGGCTCGACATTGGTGTTGGATGAAAAAATGGACGAGAAATGCTAAAGCACTCGCGACCCCGATTTATATCATGCATATTTCGTAGATCCTGATCCAAGTCTTAAAGAAAACAACTCTTAAAAATTTTTATAGTCCTGTTTAAAAAGTTGGTTTATAATCTTGAATCATCAATTACCTCTGGTTGGACAGTGTAGAGCAGCAACAAAGTTGTCCCGAGCTCCGCGCGCATTTGTCTATTTTCGGATCGCGGAATCGTCCTCAGACAGAAAAAAGCCGTCGAGCTCAATTAAGACGGAATCCAGGGGAATCCAGCGACAATGCGGCTCCTCGCTACGGGCAGGGCCCTCAGACTATACAACACAAGATGGTCGATGGGTCGTGTCAATATTAAGCCGGCCTGCGCACTGTTTAGTGCTCCTGTTGTACTCGGCCCGGGCTTCAGATACTCAAGCTCTCAATCACCAGCGCAGAAAACAACTCCAGCAGCAGCAACAGCAACAGCATCTACGCAGTCTACACTCGGAGGAAATTCAAAAGGAACAATTACCGTGGAAGACGTAACCTACCCGGCTGATCGATGGACAAACGCAACCTCTACTATTCTCTCTCACATTCCGCGACGAATCTACCTTGAAAAAAACCACCCGCTCGATATGACAAGAAGATTGATCGAGAGCCAATTTCCCGCTCCTACTTACGGGAACTACACAGAAAAGTCTCCTGTGGTTACGACCGCCCAGAATTTCGATGTCCTGGGATTCCCGTCGGACCACCCAGGGCGCAGCAGGACGGATACCTACTACATTAACGAAAAGACTGTCCTCCGAACCCATACGAGTGCACACCAAGCCGACTATTTCCGACGCATGAATGGAGAGAACAGTAAAGAGGATGGATATACAGTGGTGGCAGATGTGTACAGGCGAGACGCAATTGATCGGAGTCATTACCCGGTTTTCCATCAGATGGAAGGCGCCCGCTTGTGGAAACGCCCTGCGGGCATGACAGCGTCAGAGAGCGCGGCCAGGATTCTCGAGGATGTGCAGAAACTGCCTACACACGACGTCGAGGTTGAGGACCCAAACCCTGTCACACACCCAGAACGCAATCCACTTCAGGAAAGATATCACTCTCAGGAGGAAGTGAATGCAATCGCAGCGCATCTTAAACGTAATCTAGAGCTCTTGGTGATCAGGATATTCACCGAGGCTTCTAAGGCTTCTAAAAAGGCGGAGTTGAAACAAGAGCCCTTGAAGATACGATGGGTGGAAGCGTACTTCCCATTCACGAGTCCTTCGTGGGAGTTGGAAGTATTTTGGCAGGGTGATTGGCTCGAGGTTCTGGGCTGTGGCATCATCAAACAAGAACTGCTCAACAACTCCGGGGTTCCTGACCGTATTGGCTGGGCATTCGGAATTGGCTTGGAGCGCATTGCAATGCTCCTCTTTGAGATCCCGGACATTCGACTGTTCTGGTCTCAAGACTCGCGATTCCTGTCGCAGTTCAGCCAGGGGGAAATCATCCGTTTCCAGCCCTTTTCCAAACACCCTGAATGCTACAAGGACGTGGCTTTCTGGCTGAACTCGGCCACGGCAAGCGGCACAGGAGCCGGCGCTGCTGGCGGCGCTGTCCCCTTCCACGATAATGATATGATGGAAGTGGTGCGCGAGTGCGCAAAGGACATGGTGGAGGATGTTCAACTGACTGATCAATTCGTCCACCCGAAAACCGGGCGGAAGAGTCTGTGCTACCGGATCAACTACCGAAGTCTCGAGCATACCCTGACGAACAAAGAAGTGAATGTGATGCACGAACAGGTCCGGCAAACGCTCGTGCAGAGATTCGGCGTCGAGATACGCTGATGGCGGCTCGTCGATGTATTGATATAATACCATAGCCAAAGCTCCACTTTGTCACATTAGTCCTGTGTTATTAGCTATACATACATATACATCATAATGCATCCATGTATATCTAGCGGATATATGGGGGGTCAAATAGCCAAATATGTGTGTCTGTCTGTCGGCGTCTAATAGAAGCGCCGAGCATACAGCCGCCACGCCCAAAAAAGGCGGGTAAGTCGGCAGCTCCGCCGAGCCCGCAGTGGAACCAACTGCAACCACTCCATATCAAATTGTCAGTTCTATTTTTCGTCTTCCTATGCTCCTCCAGCCTCCGGAATGAGTCCGTGTCTGCTGTATCATACCGACCAAGTGCACAATGGCAGTTGGCACCAGCGTCAAGGCAGACCTCTTGCCCCCCGTGGCTGAGCAGCGCAAGGAAAAGACGCTGCCCGTGGTGAAAAAAATTCACTATCCGTTCTGGTTTGGTGGTTCGGCCTCATGTTTTGCGGCCAGTGTTACGCACCCATTGGACCTTGGTATGTTTGTTAGTTTTCTTTCTTTGTCTTCTTTCTCGCAGTTGGCAGCTCACAATTGAGCACCCGTGAATTTACAGCAGGCTAACTGCGAAACTACAGTGAAGGTAGCTTTCTTTTAGATACCCCGCGACGTATACCATCCCATGAGAGCTAACGGCGAGTCCCCCAAAGGTCCGATTGCAAACGCGCGCTCCTGGTGCGCCAACTTCCATGCTGGGCACCTTCGTCCATGTGTTTAAGAATAATGGGATTTTAGGACTGTACAGCGGCGTATGTGGAACCTCTCGCAGTTTCGGACAGAGGAGAGAAATAGAAGAGAAATGATTCTAACTCAATTGATGGACGTCTAGCTTTCCGCCGCCATCCTGCGACAAATGACCTACTCCACGACTCGTTTTGGTGTATACGAAGAACTGAAATCGCGAGTTGCCAGTCCCGACGCGCCTCCGAGTATGCTGAACCTGCTTTGGATGGGTTGCCTTTCAGGTTTCCTGGGCGGTCTGGCCGGCAACCCGGCTGACGTTCTCAACGTTCGCATGCAATCCGATGCTGCCTTGCCTGCGCACCAGCGGCGCAATTATAAGCACGCGCTAGACGGTTTGATAAAGATGTCTCGCGATGAGGGACTGACCAGTTTGTTTCGAGGCGTGTGGCCCAATTCCACAAGAGCGGTCTTGATGACTGCCTCGCAGCTCGTCTCGTACGATATCTTCAAGCGACTGTGTACCGATCAATTGGGCATGCCGGATAGCCTCTCCACCCATTTCACGGCTTCAATCTCGGCTGGCTTTATAGCCACGACAGTCTGTAGTCCCGTGGATGTCATCAAGACGCGCGTCATGAGTGCGTCTCCAGCTGAAAGCAAGGGTGGTCTCATGCATCTACTGCGCGAGATCTACCGCAAAGAGGGCGTCTCATGGATGTTCAGAGGCTGGGTGCCAGCCTTTGTTCGCCTGGGCCCCCACACGATTGCTACTTTCCTCTTCTTGGAAGAGCACAAGAAACTATATCGCAAGATCAAAGGCTTATAAAACTTGACTTGACTTGACACCAACCGACTTCCGCTGAACGGATGTTTTCATTTCCCTTTTCGTCTTATATTTTGCTATGTGAAGGAAGATACCTTTATAGACGTCGGTTCTGGGTTATTATAATTTTTTTGTGTGGTACTACACTGCCTTGTTCCTTTTTTTGAAATGGCGTTGGGATATATTAGAACTGGAAGAGTCGCAAGATCTCTGGCACATACTTCAAACATGTTCTTTTTGTGTTACTTTTCTCGTCCTTGTTTCTTTCTGGTTATAGATGAATGTATATATCCAAGTTAATTGTGGTGGTATATTGCTTTACTTTATAGCCTTATGTGCGACCAGAGTTAAGTAAAAACAGTCTTCAGTGTACTGGTAGAGAGTAAACACTTCTGAGAAGCCAGTTCCATAGAATGCTTCTCAACGCTGGAGAAATATCGTCACTTTTGCTGCAGCGTAATGGGAAGATCTGCCTTCCAGCCATCTAATTGTAAACGGACTTTGTTCCACTTTCCACCTTCCTTCACAAACTCGTACGGCCCAAACTATCAATTATCTGTCAGCAGGGGTATCATAATAAAAAGCAGTTCGTGACAACCCACAGCTCGACTTGACTTTCGCACAATATCGTTGTACACCTTCCCATTCCAATCTTCTGATTGGATTGTGAAATCCGTCTCATCGGGAACTTGGTTGACCGCATCAAGGAAAGAATTCCGGTCGTGCACCGTAATACCATTGACACCAGTGATGAAGTTGTCATAGGGCATTGACGATTGCTGACCTGGGGACCCGGGGGCCTAATATGATACATTCTATTTAGATTTGCAGTCAAAAAGCCCAGAGAGAGACACCACTTACTGAGCACGTAATGATCAGGTCGCTTGGGAAGTCTTGGTTGATATATTTTATAGAGGTGTATGGTCTTTGGAAGACCATGCCAAAAATGCTGGACACTCGATCTGTCGTCACATCGGTGGCTATTTTCAGAGGGAAATCAACGATTATTTGATTGCCATCGCGTACAACAAGCAGCTCCGCAGTTTCAGCTTCTGTGTTGTCTAAAGCGTCGAAGTCGAGGAACTTGTTGACTATTTTGCCATTTATACTGAGAAAAATGTCACCATGGCGAATATACTCCCCAACTTCACGGGTGGTCCTTTTAACGCCGAAGAATCTATGCTGCGCACCGTTAACACGAACACCGTAGCCTATATACTCATCGTCCACGCCCATCACACGTGCATCCTTAGGCGGAATCACTTCCAAGCGAAAATTGAATGTCTTGCGTGGCTTTGGAACGCCTCCGGCGAGAATCTTGCGTACTACAGACGCAATGCCTGTAGTTGGAAGCACATAGCGAACATCGTTTCTCATGATAAGCCAGAAGCCTGCAATTTGGTGAGACTCGTTTACTATAACACCTGAAAAACACATCCTCGCAATATCGCTGTCAATTTGCAAAACGTCTATGGCTTCCGCGTGTTGCACTGAAGACAAAAAATCAGCAATGAAGGAGCCGGTAATGGCGGTCTTTGCAGAATGAAAATTGTTGTCATCATCCATTCCAACGAAGGTGACTGTATCTAGTTCTTGTGGAGGCCCTGTGGCGAGATCTACTGTGTTCAGTGACATAGTACTGGTGTTGGCAGCGTCGTACTGAATAAGAACCCAGTTCTGCCGGCAATCTATGTGCAAAACTTGGCCGAATACTTCACGGCCGTCAATGTCAATATAGATGTCACACAGGTCATGGGGACACGTTGTCTTAGCAACAAGTAGCAAGCCGTTGTATATGATAAAACCAAATCCTTCTAGCCTTGTCTCTGGATTCTCGTCCAGGCAAAGCGCTGGTGCGATCCACGTCACCTGCACAAAGCGTCTTTTAAGCTCAGATATCCAGTGAGCTTCAGGAAGTTTGGATTCAATGTCCGTGGTGTCCGAGTTCTTGATATCAAGGCTTCCAGATTGGATGGTGTGGACGCGAGAATATTCCCATTCCTCACTCTTCGGGTTGAAATGTGTCAGCGTCATCTGATTCCAGTGACGGTCAATTGTGATTTGTGTCGTTTGCACTCGGGTATTGCGCGACGCCAGAGTGTATCGGACAGCCACTCTTTCACGGTCTGTGAGTTCGTTAGTCTATCTTTTTCGTTAAAAGTCAGAGCTGTTAGTTGAGAAACTAAACCACAGTCCCCAAGAAAGGTTTGCCCTGGATGGACTCATGGTAGTCGCTCATCCTCGAACAGCTTTGAATAAGTTGGCCGAACCTTGGATCTTCGATAGTGCTTTCTCCCCCTCGACCACATTGGGCGTCGAGATATTATTGATGGAAGAAATTATGTAGCCCGAGGCGTGCCCTCCAAGAGAGAAATTCAAACTCGAAGATGCCACATACATGCCTCTAAGGGGGACGTTCCAACACACAGCGGTCCTGTATGGAACATCGTGAAGTGTCGCACCAGAGTCAGACAAGATCTGAGTCGGTGTGATGGCTGAAAGATCGTGCACAGTCAAGTCGAAACTGAGTTTCTTCCCAAATCTGACGACGCCGACTTGTACTTTTTCCCCGACAGTGCTGTTGAATACCTCCTCCAGTTCTGAAAAGTCCACCATCGGCTTCTCATTGATTGACAGAAGTATATCGTTCACCTTCAAAAAGTTATTTGCTTCTGTCTCGGGAATAATGATCGAAGCAACCAACAAGCCGTTCTTGTCGGTGTCTATTTCGGCCTGATCTGTACGCGAAAGCCCCAGCTGCCGACATTCATAGAATGGCAATCGTTTCCAGACCGTATGGATTGTTCCTCTCGACACGGGCCTTTTATGCACGATGTCGTTTAAAACACGGACAGGGCAATGCAAGGGGAAGAACCAATCTAAATGCGAATTGTTATGGCCACTCACGCAAATCCCAATCGCTTCACCATCCAAGGTGAGCAGTGGGCCGCCCGAACACCCTCCTTTTCCAGCCGCGGAGGCCTGAATGAGTTCAACGTTGCTGTCAAAACTTATCGGGGAAGTCGTGTCTAGTCGTGATATTGTGCCGCGTAATATGTTTACCTTTTCACCACTGTCGTTGCCAATCAAATAGACGTGGGAACCGACGATTGCACACTCTGGACTGAGTGTAAGACACACTAGATCTAGCGTCTCGAGTTTCTGTGGTGGGCACTGCAAGATTGCATAGTCATGTTCTGGGTCTATGTATTTGACTCTGAAATCACACTACTTCACATCAGTACAAGAAACTCAGGCTTGGATCTGATCCTGCTGGATATGAAGAATATAATACCCGCTCATCGTTATGAGAGATTATATACCCCTCGCAAGGGCCTTGCACGGCATGAGCTGCCGTGAAAAATAAACCAAAGTCCTGGTTGACCAAGAAAGCGCTGGCTTGATATGTTCCTGCAAAACTTGACTGATATGACCGCGTCTGTCGCACGGCGACCTGCACCATGCTTTTGAGGATATCTCGCTTGAGAGAGGTATCGATGGGCACCGTCGCAGCACTCGATTCGGCCGGGGTTATGATGGGAGACGATGAGCGGGAGGAATGCTGCAGCGACATTTTCATGTGTATTCTCCCTCTATAGGGGAGTAAATGTATATAAGAGTAACCCTATAGGAGCTCGCTGCCTGGAAAAAAAAAGAAGGAAGGGGAGCGGTTTCGTTATACGCCTTGTCGTTCACGGAGAGCGTGAGAACAAAAGATGGATCAGGGGACTCAACAGTCTAAATAGTAGACCCTCCATATGCAATGAGGCTGACTCGGGTTTGTACAACTCACATCGGCACTAGTTGAATCTGCAATGTACGCAGCTCTACAGCGAGGCTGGGCCGGCGCAGGCAGCCGAGCTGAGGCTATAGCTGCAGCTAGCAGGAGATGGCGCGGGGTTCTGCAGCAGCGATAACAATGGCATTTAAGTGCAAGATTCAGCCGCGAGCAGCAACGGACCTTTGAAGAGCGAGAGAGCGAGAAACAGGCAGGTAGAGGCCATGAAGGGAGGTGAGAGGTTTATCTCGACCAACCTTGGGAGACTCAGACCCGCAAGGTCCTGCGCCGCATGGAAGGTGCGCTTCGCCAGGCAGGCAGGGAAAGAGAGAGAGAGAGAGACACAGCCGGAACTTTCTCAAATTACAACTCTGGGCTGGAATCGACTCCAGATGGTATGTACACAAAATAAAACATGTCATGTCAGATGCGCTGAAAAAAGTTCAGTCACGAACAACCAGCCCATGAGCAGCAAAAGCGACGGTCTCCTCGCACTCGCTGCTCCTTTACCTGAGAAGTCGTCTACGGTGGCTTCACGGGATTGGTACACTTTCACTGAGTTTACCAAAAAGTACGAATTCGAAAACGCTCGAGGATTGGCGGCAACATACGCTGCGCACGTCGGAAACCCCGTGCTGTCTGCACAGCTCTGCGAGGCTGATGTTGACGACTCGTTCCAGTTCGTGCCACCAGCATTCTCGCCGCAGAAGTCGATATTGAAGATCTGCTCGTGCAAAAGACCAGGAGGTGAGTTCGTGAATTTGAGTCCTTGGGACGGGCTACTCACAATTGTCTGGTTTTTCCACTGCTCACTCACACGACATCCGCTGCTAGACGCGAAATGCAGCAGTGGAACGCCCCATTTATCGAGCGTCAGCTGCCCTCCACTTGAGATTTCGTCCGGGATGCCATTACGAGGAAACATCCAAATGGCCAGTTCGTCTTGTCTCAAAAACAATGCCCATACTCCTCCACCTTGGCCATTGAATGGATCTCCATATGAGTTGGATGGACCCGAGACGCCACAGCCGTCTACATAGTTCGTCTTGAGCGAACAGTCAGTTCGTACGTCGGTCCCTGATTGAGATGTAGAGTCGTCGGTTAGTTGGCATTGCGCACTCGTGTGCAAGCTGATATCGTCTCCTACTTGGTCATTGACGCCTTCAATGATGTCAACTTCACCGTACGGGTTCTCAGCGTAGTCATATGTCCAATACGCCGGCCATGCCCCGCATACACCACTCGGGACATGTGCGAAATCAGTGATGAGAATGCCCTGATCAAAGGTGTGGAGGCTCTCCAGCCTGACACTCCTACGGCCTGTGGTCGCGCTGCTTGAAACATTAAGCACAGTTGAATTATCAACTCCGAGATAGACTTGACTGTTATTCACGGCCCTCGCAAAACCGGACGCCTGGGCCGTATTGGCATCAACATATTGGACGTAGCCGTGCGTTGGATCGTCGTCCTAGAACAAAGATCGTAATCAGCAATAGGCTCTGTGAGGTCTAAGCATCAAGGGAAGTCCCTCTCTTCCAGGGTCGATTACCGTGTAGAATCTAAATTCGTCGAAAAAGTTGCTCCCGTCATATATATTAACCAATTCATAAGAATCATGACCCCGTTCCCAGGCCCAGTGCCCCTTCACCTTGTATCCGAGCACACAAAGAGCTATAAATTTCAAAAAACCATGACTGGAGACTGGCATGGCTAAAGACTGTTGCCTGTTCAATAATGTGAGAAGGCCTGCTTCAGGTAGAAAGGTTGGTCTTTCAGTAGTCAAATGTGTAGTAGACACATGAGATGAAGACAGACAATGCCGCACAAATATTGGACATGTCCTAGAAAGGAAAAAGAGATTCTAGCCATCATGCATCCTGCCTATCTACTTACCTAGGTAGTAACTCCTGCTCGACTGTCATGTGTAGGCAGCAGTGACCTTTTCTTTTGTGGAACCACCCATGAATATACCACAGTGTACGGCGAGTGTTACCCCTCCAGCAATGTGGCTAAATTATTGCGAGGGCCATGAAAAATCCCAGCTCATCCTTGTCGTATGTAACTGTGATTGAGCGCTCAATTCAATAATATGCGACCACCATGGAGAGTTACAACCAGTGTGACAGACAATCAACATGGACTAAATGTCTATATTCATGTCAATGCTACTACATAATTATGGATGAAATGTACGCTGCAAAGCTCTTAAGCTATTGATGACGACTAAAGAAGAAAATTGTCCATGATGTGCGAGCCCCCTTATACCTAGGTATGGCAACAAAGCGGTGCTGGTCTAGGCTCCGCTACCAGCGTCTACCGAAATCAAGCTCTGCAAAATTGTCGTTATATACTAATTTGATGCAGGCAAGCTTGGCTAGTCATCTAGGACTATGATAAGGCTATGCAGCGGTTGGGTGGACATGTAAATCCTTGGAGTGAAGGATAATTAGCAGGCCAAGGAAGGTATATAATTTATGTGACATGCCTGGGTAGAAAGTATCGAATCATGCATGGGCCACAATTTTATCAGCAAATCCCGCTGGTAGCAAAGTGTGCCTAGGATTCTATGGTTATGCCTTGGACAGAAGTATCCGGATTTCAAGTATTGATTGATATGAAAACTTATAGATTCTAACACGTCTTTGCATAGCTTGACAACATCGCGCTTTTGTACAACTTTCCTGGCTCTTTGTGTACCCCACTGAGTAGAATTCAATGTCATGCGGACTAACTCCAACACAATGTAGCACTCGTTATCTATGAGTCAAGGCGGACGGGAAAGTTGCCGGCATCTGTTTCTCCAACATTAGCAGAGGCATCAGCACGAAGTGTTGACGCATTACTCACCACGCTGATCGTCCCATCGGTCAGTCCATGACTTGGGGCAGAGAGATCGGTAGGCGAGGAAGAACTGTAAGTTGGGCAGTCAAGTTTAGCTATTGCTCATTGTGGCTGACTGAGGAGCATCATGTGGTGGAATTACCTGTTGGCAAGGACGGAACTCCTCACCCTTGGCAATAATGCACTTGTGGTAATCAACGTAGTTTTGCCAGCAGTGCTTCGTCCTAGCGAGCCATTAATAACAGACAGTTTGGACGCGGTAAAGGACTACATACTGGTTCTGGTAAGGAAAGCGGGCGTCGTAGCCTTTTCGGGGGACATCGGCAGTCAGTGTATGTGCAACTCGGGAACGGGGTTGTCACTCCATTCCAGTCGAGCGATGGGAGGATCGGAAATGGAAGTTATCAAGGAAACCTACCAGCTGTGATATCGGTTAGCAATTGGCATCAATGCGGACTGTGAAGTGAAGTGAAGCGCGTGTGGTGGTCAACATCACGCAATGGGGTCGGAAGCACACTCACCAGTCACGAACTTGAAGGGCTTGGTCTCCACGGGCTCATCGGGGTCAGCCTCGGGAATAGTGCTGCTCATTTTGAAGACAAGGTCTGGAAGGAGTCAATTGGGACGAGGGTGAAGGTGTTGCTGTCGCAATGGCAGTGGAGTTGTGTCGAAGAGAGAGAACGTTGGAGGTTCGGGTGCGCTGCGGAGCTCTGCCTGGGCACAGCGTTGCCGTTCCCGACCTAGCGAGAAAAAAACCAGCCACTCGTGGCGCAGGAATTACCCGCCGCCCCGAAAACCAACGACATGCCACCGTCAACGACCTTGCCGCTTCGTCCACAGTTCACCCCAAACCGCCAATTCAAGCTTCGTCTCTGAACTTGCGTCAAAATGTTCGCTACCCGACCTCTCGCTATGCGTCCTACGCGCCCTGTGATGGCTGCTCCTGTACGTGTTTCCGCACTTGGTCTCCCCTGTGTCATGTGTTACTAACTCGTTTTCTAGAAGGAGGGCTTGAGCGGTATGGAATTGCCTGACACGACTGGCGCTGAGCCAACCGCGTTAAGCTGGGCTTTACTGACTGTTACTACTAGCTCACACTGTTTCGCAGCGTCTTCGTCTGATCAAGAAGATCCCACCTGAATTGATTCCTCTCGGTAGGCCCAAGATTCCCATAGCCATTCTCATACTATCTTATAGCTAACTAATCATACGTTTTCAGGTGTCGTCTTGGGGTAAGTTCCCGAATATAGATACACGATTCTAACCCGCATTTCAAATGACCCGGACTAACCGGATTGCTGCAGCGTTGCCGTTGGCGCTGCCATCTACTCCAGCACCCACAAGCTATTTGCCGACAAGACCCTTCGCCTGTCACGCAACAAGCCAGAAGATCGTGGCCACTAAGGAATATGGCTCGTACGTGGAATTGTCAAGGTGTGGCGAAGGGAGGAGAAACACGTTGTGGGATATTCCAATCGGTGGCGACGGAATAGTCCTTGCAGAATTCGATGGCTTTACAAATTGTCTGTCGGTCTTGTATATAAGCCTGGTTCTTGAATTTTTTTTTCGTGTGACAGTTTGCAGAATGGTCAAGTGAAAGCTTCATGTAGCAATATCATATGTATCGCTGTGCTCCTTGAATTGTGCTCATCTCATTCATACGCGTATTACTCTGGTTTGGGGCCGGCAACGTCCAGCCCTTCGAGACCTTGCATTGGATCTTCGGGGCGGCTATTCGCCGCCAATCGAGCTTCTTCAGCAACTCGGCGGTCTTCTTCGCTAACGGCGTATTTTGCCAAATAGCCCTCCTGCAGGAAATAGTCAGATGGAAAATAGTCCGTCACAGCAGTTTTTTCCATAGTATCTGAGTAGTTGCTCTCACCTGCTCCCAAACAGCTGTTTTACTTCCTAGACCCTCGTTCGCATCCCGTTGGGGTTTTGCTGCCGCGACCTTTATTATGCGACCATATAATTCACTTTGATCCATATTGTCGATGGCCTCTTTCGCGTCTTGTGGAACCTCGAATTCAACATACCCAAATCCTCGATGGTTGTCTGTGGATGAGGGCAAGTCTGGCTTCGGTAGTGAAACATGAACGACCTCTCCGAAAGGAATGAAAGCTTCCGTGAGCGTTTGAGATGTCACAGCTTGATCGAGGCCGCCGACGTACACCGTGCTTTTTAACCGGGCGGTTTCGCTCATGGTTTCGGATGTAAAGGTAGGACCGAGGGTAATCTAGTAGCTGCCGGCTTCGAAAATAAACGGTTGGAAGAGGACAATGAGCTGCTTTCCGTCTTGGATCATTGAATATTTCGTATTTGATCGCGAGTATGCCCCTCTGTGCAGACTCGATGCGATTCATCCAATGACGGCCGCAGCGCGGAAAAGTCACGTGGGGTGTGTGCCTAAGGCGTCGAGGCTCCCCCGTCCGCGGCGGGCCCGAGCTAAGGCAAGCGGCGCCCCAGGCCAGAAGGCCACTTGGATACATCTTGACGCAGCTGTGTGAACACCTTCCAGCCCACACCTCTGCAGGCAGTTCAATCAACCTCCTGGAACGCCCGCGGTTCTCAATCGGGTATTTCTTAATCGAGTGGAATCTCTTCACTAGTGTGCTTATTGCTTGCTTCTGCACTTCGATGCCCTGATTGTTTACCCTGGGCCCCTCGCGACTAGTTTGAATACACAACTCCTCTCTCCGCCATTGCCATGGTGCGCATTAGGGAGATTCCCCGAACGGCCACGTTCGCCTGGTCTCCCGGTGCTCAGGCGCCCCTGTTAGCCACCGGAACCAGAGCTGGTGCCGTCGACTTCGATTTTTCGAATGAAACCAACTTGGAACTGTGGGATTTGGGACTCGACAAGGATAACGTTGCCGCGGAGCTGCAGCCTTTGGTCAAAGTCCCTATAGAGTCTGGGTACGTTACCATGACCGTTTTCTTGACCATGCATCAGCAGCTCGCTAATTGGTTTTCACTCCATAGTTTCCACGATCTAGCCTGGAGTGATCATCTCGATAATAAGCGCGGAATTGTTGCTGGAGCTCTCGATAACGGATCGCTCAAGCTCTGGGATGCCGACAAGCTTCTGAACGGGACAAGGTTAGCGGGGCGAGTTAAAGATACATCAATTGTTTGCTGACTCTTGGATGCAGTGATGCTTTAGTAACCTCAACACAAAGGCATTCCGGCGCCATCAAGTCTTTACAATTCAATCCAAAACATTCGAATCTCCTCGCTACTGGAGGCGCGAAAGGCGAGGTATGCCCTGTCGTTACAACCCGTATACAGTTGGGACACTCTATTGATAGTCATGTAGCTGTTCATTACGGACTTAAATAATGCCGAGAACCCTTTCCGTCTAGGAAATACCGCCGCTCGCGCGGATGACATTGAATGTTTAGACTGGAATAAGAAGGTTGCGCACATCTTGGTGACGGGTACCAGTGCAGGTTTTGTGACTGTATGGGACGTTAAGACGAAGAAAGAGAGCCTGACCTTGAATAACTACGGCCGAAAACCCGTTAGCGCTGTGGCTTGGGACCCTGAGAAGGTTTGATTTTTTACTTCCCATTCTGACAGCTGAGTTTTCTCTAATAACGTGTACAGCCAACAAAATTGGTGACATCCACACCATTGGAGTCTGATCCGGTCATTCTTGTTTGGGATCTACGAAACTCCCATGCCCCTGAACGGGTAAGTAACAACACTGATTACGTCTGGACTAGTATAGAAGCTTACCATTTTATCTCTCTCTCTTCTAGGTGCTAAGAGGACATGAATCCGGAGTGTTGTCAGTGTCGTGGTGTACCCAAGATCCCGATCTACTATTGTCATCAGGCAAGGACAATCGAACAATCTGTTGGAATCCCCAGACAGGTGAAAACTACGGAGAGTTGCCAATTGTAACGAACTGGACTTTCCAAACACGATGGAACCCACATAATCCCAACTTCTTCGCCACTGCATCGTTTGATGGCAAAATCACTGTTCAGACCATCCAAAATACTAGCAAGGAAGCTGCGCAGGCAGCTGCTACTCAGAACCAAGCGCTGGATGGCGAGGATTTCTTTGCGCGAGCACAAACCCAGCCTCAAGCCACCACATTTTCGCTACCGAAAACACCCAAGTGGCTTGAAAGGCCCGTTTCAGCATCATTTGGATTTGGTGGCAGAGTTATCTCGGTTGGCCTCAATGATAGCACCAGCCGAACTTCCAAAGTTAGGATTACTCCCTTTCAAGTCGACTCCACCGTCGGTAGTGCTGCAGAGAGCTTTGAGAATGCTCTCAAGGAGGGCAATCTTAAGAGCATTTGCCAGGCTCGTATCGAGAGTGCTTCAACGGAGGAAGAGAAGTCTGACTGGAAAGTCATCGAGAACTTGCTCTCGGAAAACCCGCGGAAGGGCCTAGCCGCTTACCTTGGCTTCTCTGACGACGTCAACGATATCGCTGATGAAGTCAACAAGTTAGAAATCAAGGGAGAGACGAATGGTGAGGTCGAGCAGGCAAAGAGTGAAGAGAAGAAAAAGCACAAACGTCTTCAGTCAATTTTTGACACCTCGGGAGATTCAGACGATTTCTTGACTGACCTAGGTGCCTCTAAAGGCGCGCAAACTAACAACCCATTTAACATCTATACCGGAGGTGAATCTGAGGCCGACAAGTCGATCACTAGGGCGCTTTTGCTGGGTCAATTTGAACGAGCCCTTGACGTAGCGCTTCAGGAAGGCCGTCTGTCTGACGCATTTATGATCGCGGTCTGTGGTGGAGACAAATGCATTGAAAAAGTTCAGGAAGCATATTTTTCGAAGCAAGACGGTGGGCCAAACTACGTTCGTCTATTGTCTTCAATCGCAGGCAAAAATCTATGGGATGTTGTGCATAATGCAGATTTATCCAACTGGAAAGAAATCATGGCGACATTGTGCACTTTCGCTGACGAGAAGGAGTTCCCTGACCTTTGCGAAGCCCTTGGTGACCGGCTTGAGGAACAAGCTAGAAACACTGCCGATAAAAGCAGTTGCAAGGACGCCTCCTTCTGTTATTTGGCAGGATCGAAACTGGAGAAAGTGGTTACTATCTGGCTTGAGGAATTCAAAGAAGGCGAAAAGCAAGGCATTGACCAGGCCCAGGAGGGATCCAGTTTCTCCGTCCACGTCCGCGCCTTGCAGGCATTCGTTGAGAAAGTCACGGTATTCCGCCAAGTGACGAATTACCAGGATGCTGACCGCCAGAAGGATGCCGATTGGAAGCTCAGTGTGCTCTATGACAAGTATATCGAGTACGCCGATGTTGCAGCTTCGCATGGTCACCTCGATGTGGCAGACCGGTATTTGGGTTTGGTTCCAGACAAGTACGACGAGGCAGATGCTGCCAGGAACCGGATCAGACTGGCAACACGGAAAGCACCTGCTGTCGCCGCCAAATCCGCCGCTCAAGTCCCGCAAGCACGAACGAGCTCTCTCCCACAACCAAACATCTACCAACCGCCTCAGCCAACATTCAGCCCGGCACCGCCTGTCAGCAACATATACGCCCCGACAAACACACCGCCACCTGCTGTGCCCGCGAACCCTTATGCCTCATTTGGAGCCAATCCATATCAGCCAAGTGGTGGTTACCAGCCTGTGCAAGCTGCAAAACCTCAGGTTGCACCTCCTCCGCAACAATTCGGTGCACCTCCTCCACCAGGACCTGGGGGAGTGCCACCGCCCCCTAGGGTTTACAACCAGCCTCCCTCTGGACCTCAGGTATCAACATACACAACTAGAACTGATCTTCCAGCCTGGAACGACTTGCCTGAAGGATTTGGAGCGCCGAAGCCAACCTCCAGACGCGGTACACCGGCTGCAATGGCAGCTCCTTTCCCTGGTCAACCGCAGTCATTTGGATCTCCAAACTCTCCACCGGTCGGTCCTCCCCCTGTAGGTGGACAAAGAGCTCCTCCTCCTCCTCCACCACCTAAGAGCGGTGTTCCACCACCCCCCCGTATAACGTCACCCCCGGTGGCACCTCCAAGGGCACCATCGGTGTCATCAAACCCTTCAGTGCCTCTTAACGCGTATGCTCCTCCAGCGGCTACCCAGTCTCCAACAACCCTTCCCGGCATGGCCATTCCTCCACCCATCCCACGGGGTCCTTCTCCTTACAATGCACCCCCTACTGGTCCTCCGCCCACGAATCGATATGCGCCTAGCCCTGCGGCACAGCCAGCCGCCCCTCAAACAAGACCTCCACCAAGCGGTCCTTATGCCCCTCAACAACCAGCAGCTGCCTCCCCAAGCCCGTACGCGCCAGTTGCAGGAACTGCACCTATCCCGCAAGCTGGACCGCCTCCAACTGGAGCAGCTGTCGGACTGCCGGTGGCTGCGGGATCGCGACCGGGAACGGCACAGTCGCAGACGCAGAAGAAGGCGGCACCACCTCCACCCAAATATCGTAAGTTTTTTCTTTCCTTTTCTCTTTCTCCCCACCCCCTTTTTTCCAGTTTTTTAAAGGTTCCGAGTGACGGAGTGCATGATACTAATAACCATTATCAGCTCCCGGTGACCGATCTCACATTCCATCAGACGCCATTCCTATTTACGAACTTCTCTCCAGTGACATGCAGCGTGTGAAAGGGCGAGCACCAGCATCATTTAAAGCGCAGGTTGACGACGCAGAGCGACGGCTAAACATTTTGTTTGATCATCTCAACAACGAGGACCTCCTCAAGCCTAACACAATTGCCGATATGGTGGAATTGTCCAAGGCGATACAGAACAGAGATTACGAGACCGCAAAGAATATCCATCTCGATATTTTGACGAACCGAACGGATGAGTGCGGTAATTGGATGGTAAGCTTTGTCTTCTATATCTATGGATGTAACTGGACTAACTGACGGATCAATGAATAGGTCGGTGTAAAGCGATTGATTAGCATGAGCCGAGCAACCCCATGAACGTCGCCTTTATGATCGAGATTGTAGATCAGATCAGATACCGTGAAGGTAGTGGTTCGAAACATAAGATTTATAATCTAAATAAAACTTGCTTGTTATTAATTTTGTTGTTTACCGAAAGCCATGCATGAGTCATATTTGAATGTTTTCTTTCTTTTTGTGTATCTGTAAGATTTCGAGGTCGTACTTATTGTCATAAATATATGTGCGTTTCTTAGATAGTCAAATGTGCTTATTATGAATTCGTGAAATGTACTGCATAAATACACTTCATAAAAAAAAAAGAAAACTATCTAGTAACCCCCGCTGGTCTCCCAGACGGGAAATTCCTCGCACTCAGCAAAGCACCCTTCACGCCTCTAATCTCCGCCCTGAAAGTTGAAATAGCATCTTCCTCTTTGGCCCGACCCGCGTAACCCGACGAAGAGCTATAGATATTACTATACATGGTATTAGAGGCGAGGTAGGGATTATACGACGAGTAATTCAGTCCGTCCAGATACGTCTGCAGACTCGCTACTTGGTCTCGCATCGAGTTATCGATCTCGCCTGAGGCAGCGTGGTTGGAAACAAACTCGCGGAGATGAGAGGTTATTTGTGTAAGGCTTTGGGTATGGGAATCTATGGCGGCTTTGTGTGGGTCGCTGCTCTCGGGGTTCTTCTCTTCGCCAGACGAAATCGTGGGTAAGGCGATGTTGCTGTTATTGAGAAGATCGGGAGATGTCTGCGTTGCAATATCGCGATGGAAGACTTCTGTGGGGTCTGATGTGATTGACTCTGTTTCATCGGGTTCTTCTTTTTCCTCGAGTCTCTGTGACGTAGATGTGTGCATGGGGATCTTTGAAACGTTCTTTTCGAGTTTCTCGTTCAGTGTTGATAGATTAGCTAGGGCTGTTTCGGCAAGGTCGTGTCGGGCATCGCCGAGCGTGTTGAGCATCGGTTTTACGAGGTATTCACTGGCACTGTAGATTGTGGCGCCGAGGCCGGCGGCGCCGTAGAGAGTGTAGAGGACGCTTCGCAGCGATAAGAGAGGGGGTTTGTGCTGGGCGGGGGGGTTGACGAGGAATTCTGGATATGTTATTATTGGCGGCACATCTCGTGCAGAGGTTGTTGGCGCGGTAGTTGATATAGCCGTCGCGGACGACGTGCTGGTTTCGACATGTGCTGTCTTTTCCTGGGTGCTGTTGGTATCGTCAGACACATCTGCGTCTTCATTGCGGCTTACCCCGAGCAGTGAGTCGATTTCGTCGTTTGTGAGGCCCTTTGACTCGAGGAACGCTATTTTACGGCTAGTTGTAGCATCGCGAATTGCGGGATCGGAGAGAAAGGTTTCTGCCTGCTGAAGAAGAGCTGATCTGTCTGGATCTGGATCTGGATCTGGTGCTGGTGCTGGTGCTGGCTCCTGCTTGGGGGAGTCTGTGGAGGACGAGGCTGGCGTGGAGTTGCGTTGCCACTCCGGGATGGTGGGCTTGGAAGAGTCGTTCGTCATGTTATTGTGCGTTTGGCCTATTTGGTGTTCATTGCGTGGTCTGGCGAGCCATGAAGCTAGTCACATCCCTTTGCGATGATAGCGGAGATGCTCTGTTTTGCCTCGGCTCAAAATGATAGCCCATCACGTGGATCTGGCCACTCACACAGCACAATATATTACATACGGTCTGTATTCGGTACGAGCCGCGGTGGTGTGCCATACGCAGCCCGTACGTGTAACCAATAATCCCAAGGCTGCAAGGCATGCACACACACACTCTCTCTCTCTCTCCCTCGCGCGCGCGCTCTCTCTCTGCCTGAGGCTGCCGTCGACATGAAACACGAAAAGCTTCGTGAGGAGTTAGTTCTCTTGTCGTGCAGTCTGACTATTTGACTCTCCTCTCCCTCCGGTGTCACGCCGTGGACCTCACCGACACTGAACCCAGCCTCACCGCCTTGCCGATTCTTGCTCTTGTGCCACCTCAAATAATCATTAAATCATCGACACAGCAAGAAAGGAGCATCCTATCACCAGCGTCATCGTCATCGTCATCGCCACTGCTCCTCTTGCTCTTATCCTGGCCTCTAGAAAGCCGCGAACCCGTTCCTCCGGCCTTAGTAAGTAAGTACAGAGAGTTCTATGAACGACACCAACCTGCATATCGTCTCCCTTGCTCGCCAGTTGCTGCTCTACACACGAGCTCGAAATGTTGTGTTTGCTGAATAACAACAAGCTTGGCTTGTTTTACCCTGTCCACATAAGCCAGATGGCGCAGAGAGAAGACCGCGATGCATGCATAAAATAAGTGTATCTGCTTATCGCCATTCTATTTATTTTATTCTTAACGAGCGCTAGCCCATCCATCGTCGACGCTCAACTGTACGAAACCGCGCACTGCCGCCCACCCCCGCACAGCATTACATTTTGTTGTTTCCCCCGAGCTCTCCCTCTTTGGTTTTTCTTTCCACTCTACCTTCGTTTTCCCCATACAGATTCCCCGTTGCTTGCTTGCTTGCTTGGACTTGCTGCCATGCCATCGACTCGTGCGCTCCGCTCGCATGCTGGACAAGATGCTAACACGCCCACAAGGACTGGCCGACTCACGCGCGGAGCTGACCCCGCTCCCTCCGTGACTGTGTCACGCTCAGCGCCAACTTCGCCTCCAGGCTCGAGGTCGATTCGGCTGACAGTCAAGATGTCGTCCAGCAAACTCCGCCAGGTGGCTAACAGCAGGAATAGTCGGGCTGCGACTTCTGCTCGCCATAACATCTTCACGGAAGACCCCGTGGTTCACGGTAAACGTAGCAGTAGGAACAACAAAAACCTCAAAGAGATCAGTGAGGATGATGACGATGATGACGATGATGATCTGGACGAGGAAGATGATGATGATGATGATGAAGAAGAAGAAGAAGAAGAGATTGGCGACTCAGAAGAGGACGAGGAGCTGGACGCCGATGGTGATCTAGATATGGACGACGAGACGCCTCGACCAGCCATGTCCAGACGCAATGCGGCTCGACAGCCTGCAGCGGCAACTAGCAAATCCAAGCCTCTGAAATCTGTTGAACAGAAAGAAATGGAATTAGCCGACAATGACGATGAGTTGTCTGAGATAGAGAGCGATGCCGATGCCGAGCCTGACGACACCATGCTCCAAGATGAGGAGATGGTGGAAGCGGGCGAAGAAGAGGAGGAAGAGGACGAAGAAGTCGGTGTTGAAGAGGAAGAAGACAACGATGACGGTCTAGGCTCAGATGATGACAGCGCTTTGGACTTGACTAAACTCACCAAACGTCAGCGAGGTTCATTAGGAACTGACTTTTTACAATTGCCCATGGGTAAGGAACCATGTCACTACTTGGGAATTCGAAATGGTCTGCAACTAGTGGCTAATCTCACGATTCAGAACCACAAGTCAAGAAGCACCTCACCGCAGAGGAGCACGCTATGCGCCGAGCCGAAATGGCGCGACGAAGGAAGAACTTGAGCGAGAAGCGCAATGAGGAAGAAAAGGTTTGTCTGAAATAACACAGCTCTCTCTCTCTCTCTACTTTGACGCTGACTAGACTTGTCCAGATGGATACCATCAATCGTTTACTCAAAAAACAAGCACCAAAACGCCGTGGCCGCGTGCCAGTTGCTGAACTGGGCGGCGAGGGTACGCCAGATGTCGCGGCAGAATTTGAGAAGCCAGACGAAACAGTCATACGCTGGATCAGTAACCGCGACGGCTGCAAGGTAGCAGTACCTGCGGAGATGCTAGGGGCACCGGTGAGCCGTCCGTTTGGGAGCTTCACTGGTATTGGGTCTTCAAGGAGGAAACTCATCGAAGAAGTCTAATATCTTTTCCCACCGGCATGAAAAGGGCTTCGATGGGATTTTCGTTTACATACGGGTTCTGCTTAGAATGGCATCAAGGCGTTGGGGGGTGGATTAATAGTGAATGTAAAATATGGTCGAGGTTAATCATGTGTTGTGGGTTGGTTTTTATCCAATATTTCTTTTTATTTATTCTACTGTCAATTGTTGTATATCCTCCATCTTCGTTGATACACATCCAACTACCCAGGTAGATAACTATGCAGTCATCCTATACATCTGCATCTTTGTAGTCACCAATCTTGAACAGTTTCTGGGCGTTTGTTTTCCCAATCTTCCTATAGTCTGTTTCATTCAATTCCACATCTCTATCAAACCACACGCAACCGTCCTTGAAACTTTCAAAGGGGTAGTCGATTGAGAACAAAATCCGATCCGCGCCAACCTCATTGATACAGAATTGCAAAGTCGGGGTTGAGAAATGGCCCTGGCACATACATCTCTAGCGTTAGTTTCGTGGCATGAGACTTACTCGGATATTGCTCACACTTGTGGTAATCCATATATTCTGAGCAAAGTACTCTCTGATAGTCTTCTTGCAAGTCTCCTTCAGTCCCAGGGGCTTTTTCACATCTTCAAACCAATGGTTGATTCTCCACAGGTCAAAGGGGAGGTGTTCGCCGAGATGTCCGATGACAACTTGCAGGCGCGGGTGGCGGTCAAAAACTCCATTGGTGACCATGCCCAGAAGATGGAGGCTTACGCCCTGGGCAAAACTCAATGGGGGTCCGATGAGCCATTTTCTTTTGGCCCAGAGCTTCTCGTGAATGGTGCCTGTCGGGTTACGAGGGTGCAAGTAGAAAGGCACATCAAGCTCGGTCACTGTCGACCAGAATACGTCCCATTCTGGTCCGTCATAGAATACCATGTCGTCTCCTTCGGGGCCTGAACGTTGTGTATCATTGACCAGAGCCCCTTTGAAGCCATACTGAGTCACTGTACGGCGGAGCTCCTCGGCAGCTTGTTGGGGGTCATGCATTGATAGCGTTCTTTGCGAAGAAGAGCCCAAAAGATCATCAGTCAGCTTTTCGCCTCCTATGAGTAAGTTTTGATACTATATGATATGAGTTGCCTACGCAAAAGCACCAAACCGGTCCGGATGTTGCTTGGTAAGTGGACCAATATAGTCATTGATCTCAACAGCCAGGGCATGAGCCTCCTTAGCATCCCAGATGTCCTGCACACCGGGAGCTGTGTATGACAGAATCGTATATCCCACACCGTATTCGTCCATGTATTTGATACGCTGGTCCGTGATGTCGCCGATTTCAAAGGCGTGCTTTTCAGCATCAACCGCAAACAACGAAGCCCACCATCTAGTGCGCTCTTGGAAGCGAGGAAGAGCAAAGGCTTCTTCAAGGGCAATCTTTCCCAGCATTGTGATGGTCTGTCTTCCTTTTTTTTTTTTTTTTTTTTTTTTTGTGGTGTAAAAATGTAGTATGAAGAAAATCTGATCAGTGGCGTTCAATAAGTATCAGACTCATGTCCGACAAGACGGCACCTTTTTATACCCCAATTTCCCCAGTATAACTGGGGGGCGCCCGCGGGGATCATCTATCATGAAAAGGTCTCGGTCCGGTTCCGGGGTATCCCTCTCTTGTTGTTTGGTATAATGTACAAACTAAAATCTGCATTATACTACTTACAACTCCAGCATGCACGTTACTGTTTATATACTGTGACCCATGGGGTACCTAGAAACTTGAATTGTGGGGAATTAGCAAAGTTATCTGGCAAAAACTCAATTTGTCCAAAGCCAATTTGATGATCCCCTTGGAAGAGGCTACAGCATCGCGGCTTTTATTAGAATCCCTACTTTTGGCGGACAGATATCTCTAGTAGAACCCCTCAGGAATTCAGCAACATTGGATACATCGTCAAAACCTGAAGAACTGCCCGAGTCGCTCTTAAAGCTCCTCCTCCCGACTGTCGCAGGATGTATGAATGGACACGAACACCCTGATAATGGTTTCATTGCCAACGGTCAAGGCAGTCCTTTCACCAGAGAACTTTCTGTCCTGGGACGGTCCACCCAGCACAGCAAAAGGATATATCTTGCAACCCTTGTTTACGACGAAGAAGCGTAGGGTGATGACTGTAATGATATTTGATTTGTGTTCGTATAGTTACCGTACAAATAATTGTACGTTTTGTATTTGACCGACCAGCCAATAAAATGGCCCACTTTGATTTGCAACAAACTTGTAGTTCCCGGCGCTAAGCTTCAATCGGGGAATGAATATGACAACGGCCGTATTTGCGTAATGTTTCCGAACCTTAGCAAGGAGGCCGCATCTACTCATTCTGTGATCTATAACAATCATCAGAATCAGATATCAGGCATGCTCGCATTACCAACCTCTAAGATTATAGAAGAAAAGAATAATAGTTTCGTTGTGTATCTACACGAGCGTGGTTAGTAGGACAAACCGAATTTGAACGATTCGTGGTACGTATCCGACTGATCCCACTCTATAGATATATATCTTGGGTGGGGATGTGATAAAATGCAAGAGTCAACCTCCGAATCATCTCCTTCACTTCAAGGCGAGTAAGCACCTTTTCACGCGTAGAATAATATTGATAGCCTCCCTCGTTTCTCCAATAAATAGCCTTAGAAGAAAGGGTCTTCTACCCCGGACTGGAGCATGACTAAGGGTATTGGTCCGGTGTGCCACCCTCCGTTATCTCTGCTTATCAGTGTGCATCATCACCACTTTCTCCGAGCGAAGCTGTACATATCCGAAACACAATTCCAGCTATTCTATCCCTGCAAAAGGAGTTCACAGCTAGTATACAACTACATACTATTTTGCTTACCCCGCGGAGATAACAGATGCCTAGACCCAAAGTCCGCCCGGAAGATCGCCAGCGTTCATCCAAGGCCTGCCTGCCCTGTCAGGCATCCAAAATACGATGTGACTCCCTGAAGCCATGTACATCCTGTGCCCGGCGTGGCAGATCCGAGACCTGTGCATACAGTGAGTCACAAGGGCGGCGGCTGTCAAGGGCTCGCCGCAACCGCGAGGTGAGATTTGCGCCTTACAGCGGCCTTGAAACTGAAGCACCCGCCTCCACACCCGCGAAGACAGCGAAGGAGATTAGAACTTCTCCTCCGGACCAGAGTCACAATGAAGAAGACAGCTTATTGCCGGAGACTGCATCATCCATTGCTGCCCCCGTGCAGTCGCCGGAATGTACAGAAAGCAGGTTGCTTCTGAGCTCCAAAGGAGAGAAAGGTAGTAGTCTCGTACCCAGGGACAGCTGTGATGAATTGGTGCGCTAAACTACAAGTCATGTCTCTAGTTTATATTGGAGAAACGTCATCACTGTCATTCCTGCAGTTTCTCCGCGGTATTATGATTCAGTATATGGGCCCATCCTCGTTTACGGAGAATGGCCGTCTGAACGTCATGCTGGAGGCGGACACGAATGTGAATCGTAATGTCACCATTGAAGAGAGTTTGGCAGAAAAGCAAGAATTGATTCAGATATGCTTTGAAGCGGTAAGTATATTTAGATCCTAATGAAGGAGAGAATCTCTAAGTTGACTTTGGTTATAGTGTAGCGGCTTCCTTGATCTTTTTGATAAAGACGACATTCAAAGGCTCCTTCTTGAAGATTCTTCTCGTGAGGGTAAAGTCAATAGGGAAGAAATGGCTGTTTTGTATATTGTAATAGCCATCGGTGGCCAATGCCGCGGATCAAGTCATTCGGACTTTCAGTACGCTGCAAAGTACTTTGCAAAGGGTCAGCAGTATGCATTCGAGGGTATGCTTAGGGACCCGAGCATCAACTTGATCCGCACATTCCTCCTCATGGCATTTTATATGCTTGGGGCATGCCATCGCAACGCGGCATATATGTATCTCGGTATTGCTTCCAAAGCGGCTGCCGCACTAGGATTACATATCGGAAAGCAAGATCAGGGTCTATCGAAGGATGAATTGAGAACTCGGTGAGTTTATTCCAAGTCTATTTATTTCTATCAACATAAAGTCACAAAACAAAGTTCTGACCTGATTCAGTTGGCGAACATTCAAATCTCTAAGAGTTTTTGATCTCGTGGTCAGTTTCCTCCTGGGACGACCTCCGGGCTCAGTGCCTTTTGACAGTATTCGTTCGCCATGGGAAAACGACTCACCTTCCCATAGCGTCGCGGTTTCAGCTGCTTATAATGGCTCAGGCTTGCTGGAAGAGATTGTGCAGCATCTGAAAAGAGTTGGTAACAACTTCGACATTCCAACTGCAGAGGGATTTCTTCAGCGTTTACGCCAATGGATCCAAGGCTTGCCTCGCGACTTTCGGCAGATATCCTTTGATGAGGGGGAAAGTGTCTCAGCAGTCCGAGAAACTGCCATTGGTAACATTCATGTTAGCTGCATATATTACTTCGCCATCATTCTGACAACACGATCGTTTCTGATCTCGCACTTGATTTCTCGACTAAAGGAAGCTTCTGTTGTCTCTCCGGATCCTAGGCTTGCTGCAGTTGGAGGTCCAGAACAACAGCAAATAAGTCCCCAATTGGCCCACGTATGCATCAGTGCGGCCACATATATGGCAACCATGTGTGAGAGAGCAATGGTATCCGATCTCCTTTTAAACAACATGTGTATGATGAAGTAAGACTACTACTCCTTGTGTGAAACCGATGTTCTTGCTCCATCTTCTAACCCATGGATTTGTAGAGCTTGGGTCTTTGCAGCGGGGCTAATACTGGGCTTCTCACTCTTCGCCTACGATGTCGCTGAATCCCGCGTTGAAACCGAGTCTGCATTTCAGAGTGCCAGACATGTCCTACGAAATCTAGCCATCTTGAGTCCCCAGGCAAAGCAATACGATGAAATATTGACTTCGTTCGCGGAGGCAATCGTCCGACATCGACAGCAGAATCTGTCTGCGCGACAAAAAGTAGCAGATCGATACATTGACTGTGTTCTGAATATCGACGTAAATGTCATGGATCCGATGCAACGCCAAAGTAGACTCGGCTATCCCGAGGCCTGGGAGCAACCACCCCTGATAGCTACTCAGATGCCCAGGCTATCGGCGCCAGAATCGGGAGGCGACAACAGCGGTGGCCATATAGATGGGACGGAATCCGAGATTGGGGACGGCCTTGATCTTGATGGTTTCAACGTGTTGCCTTTTGATGATGGGGTTAATTTATCGATTGATTATGAGCCGTTTGGGCTACTGCTTGATGGGATTTAGGGCACTGCTAGATATTAACTACGATGTATTTCACTAATTTATTTAATAATCATGTACTTCTAGTTAAGGCTTCCATGTACAAGGCAGACTTGTCTCTGGGTTTTCCACATAGCTCCGTTCGGAAGATCGTCAACTAAAGCCCATATCTAAACCTGCAATTTCTAATCAAATCCTACATGGCATCTCGAAGTCTCGCATATCTTAGCCAGGAAAGTCCATTGTCAGGCCAAGCATCGTTATCTAAGGTTTTACTTGAGCAGGAGAAGTGCGCGGTCCGGGGCACGGCTAACGCACTTCCCAAAAGCGGCAATTCTCGGGCTGAGCAGAGGAGCTTATCTCTCGAGAGACTGTCGCATGACTCTTATTTATAGAGGCATGCGAGCCTCCTCGTAGAACTGGAAATAAAAGATATCTAGATACGCTCGAACTTTTTCTTTTCACACCTTGAGGTGCAACGGTTGACCCAGCAGAAGGAATATATATATACATATATATCTATTTTTATATATAAATCTCCTAGCTCGTCCCTACCCGGAACAGACCATAACACCACTTTCTCAACATCGAAATGATCTCAAAAACAGAAGAGCCCAAGTGGCAGCCCCTGTCCATTGCAATCATCGGTGGTGGTATCGGTGGTCTGGCGGCGGGCATTTCCCTTCGTCGCAGCGGACACACTGTCACAATCTACGAGCGTGCCGACTTCGTAGGAGAGGTTGGCGCCTCCATCTCATGCGCAGCTAATGGCACTCGCTGGCTTCATGAATGGGGCGTCAATGTCGAGATGGGAGACCCCGTTATCCTGCGCAAGCTGATTAACAGAGACTGGAACACCGGCGAAGCCATGAACGTTTATGACCTGGCAGATTATGAGGAGAAATGGGGTCATGTGAGTTCATCTACGTAGTTGAGATTTGCTCGGTGATGCTACGATGCTAACCATATACCTAGGTTTACAATATGTTCCACCGCCAGTACATGCATGCCATGTTGATGGAGAGCGCTGTTAGCGAGAAAGGCGAAGGAACGCCTGTGAAGATTGTGGTTAACCACAAGGTTCGTCTGAACCTTCTGTACTTCCCGCACGATTTGTACTGACAAGCAACAATCAAGTGCACTGATATTGATGTTGAGTCGGGCCTCGTAACCTTTGAAAACAAGGATACCGCTCAACACGACGTGGTTATTGGCGCTGATGGTATTGGCTCAGCGGTCCGTGGTATTATTGGCATTCACCCAGAAAAGACACCATCCTCTTCTAGCTGTCTGCACACCAACGTCACCACCGAGGAGGCCGTTGCCCTTGGACTTGTCGATTACTCCCAGAACAGCGCCATTGAATACTGGGGCGGACACGGTACACCCAATAAGATTGTTTTGTCTCCTTGCAATGGAGGCAAGCTTCTTTCTTACTATTGCTTCTTCCCAAGAGAAAAGGGTGACTACGCGACCCAGAAGTGGGACGCGGAATCCACTGTGGAAGAATTACTGGCACCCTACCCAGACTTGGACCGCAATGTATTCAAGCATTTGAGTATTGGAAAGGATATTCGCCCATGGCGATTGTGGGTACACAAGCCTTATGAATGGTGGCAGAAGGGAGTCGCTTGTGTCATGGGAGATGCCGCGCACCCGGTAAGGACTTCTTGCAAACTCCGCCTCCTTTTTTAGCTTCAAGCTTGTTATGCTAATGACCTCGGAATTAAACAGATGATGCCGGATCAAAGTCAAGGGGCTTGTATGGCTATTGAAGACGCAGCATGCCTTGGCCTCGTATTTAGCAAGGACCATTTCCGAGGCGATATTCGTCAGGCTTTGGAAGTATACGAACAGACTCGCAAGCCGCGAGCAACCAGAGTCCAGGCAGCCTCCCAGCGAGCTAGGGAAAACATCTATGAACGTATTGGTATGTTTCTGAAATGACGGCAAAAAGGAAAATTCTACAAACCAGGGAATTCTGACTGTGATCAAAATGGGCGAACAGGATTCTCGGACAATACCAACAATGCGAGATATAAGGTCCAAGATGAGAGCAACAAGCTGACCATTGAAGAGATGAATGGGTAAGGATATTCGACGCATATACTTCTATTGGAGGAAATGCAGTATGCTAACATGATTTTTCCAGTTATGACATGAAGAAGGACGTCTCGGAAAAAATGGCCCAGCGGACTGCGGCCTAAACCCTAACTCGTATCTTAGTTCACTGCCAACAAGTCTTAGGTTGAGCAGCCATTGGAGCAATATTTATATACCATATGTTATGTTTCACAAAGTATCCATACGGTGGCAGACTGTATAATTGCCGTTTTGTGTTTTCACAGTTGCCGGAACTCGGATTCCTGCCCGTTACGCAATGCGCGCATCACTAGAATGACATGGCTTGAGAAGAAATAGACCAGCAATTGATTTTTCTCTTTTCCGTTTTGATACATTTCAAGTTCTTTTGAACATCAGTCACAGTGACTAGATCTAGTATGAAGTCCGTCCCACGATGCCAATCGCTTACCGCACCATCCTCACAATAAACAACCACCTCAAAACCGACCTCTATGATGGAGATCCCAAGTTACAAGCTGGTTCCATAGATGGAGTCATGCCAGACTATATTCGAAGCGGCACGCAACAGACAGTCTACATCAGTGCGTCCGGCTCATTTGCTGGCTCCAGCGGTGCAATCTTATACAAGACGCATAACAGCGCCAGGGACCGCGAAGAGAAACTCGCCTTTGAGTTTAAATGCGTTAACGAAGAGGCCAATTTTGTTAAATTCAGCAGTTCCATGCCGAACCAGTTAGGGGTCAAGGTCGATCCGTACACGCCTACGGACCATCCGTTGTATGGTAAGTTGCCTGTTGCCACGTGGAACTTGCTTTTTCTGATAATTCCATTATCATTTGAACTAGCTACGTTCACAATCACTCAAGAAGAGGCATAGAAATGACTCGTGGTTTCATAATGGCTAGGCCGATGGGTGTTTAGAGCGCATCAGTGAGACGTTACGAAGAGAAATATCAATACATAGATAGCTGATGACTTCCATATTCATTTCATATAGCAGTACAGGAATTGTATGAATGATACACAACGCCATCGATGCAAGATAGTCGTAGCTAATCAAAGCATAAGGTCATTAGATTATAAAGTCATCAATGTCTTTCTCATGTACGTCGTACGTTGTGATCGTTTCGGTTAAGAATGGACGAAGTTGGAGATCACTTTCGTCAAAATCATTAAATAGCTCTAAGCGACTTAAGAACTTATTTGCTGCATCAACAAATGTCGCCTTTGCTTCCTCTGGATCAACAATTTCTCTCAATTTGACAATATGGCTTCTGACCTCTTTGCCTTCCTTTCCTCGACGGATATAATATCTACCTTCGTGCTTTGACCAGTTGGTAGCAAGGCACGTTTGGAGTTCACGGGCTGCAAATGCACGAGTTTCTGTAAAAAGCGAGGGCACATCGCAATGGCGCACCGGGGTTTCAGAGGGTGGTGGCTCATCTGTGTGTGGATCTACTATGGTGGATGACCCAACCAGTACCCTTCTTGCGGAGACCGTATATCCGCGTAATGTTTTCAACATAGACATGTTATGAGCATCATAAAACCCATTTCTGTTGATGTAATCAAGAACCTGGAGCATTGAATCCATCATTTGGACAAAGCAGTGAAGAACAAGTAGCGCAGAAGACTCTTGAACATAATACGAGTAATCAAAAACTCTGCGGAAACCCTTTTGGATGGACTCAATTATAACACCGAATATGCTGCTGGTTGACGTGATGCAGTCATGGTCATTTATGTCGATGTCATAAAGCAGCTTTTGAGCTGCTCTAGAGACTGCCTTCGCGATTGGTACCACAAGAATCCAAGCAGCAGCATGATTCAGCGAGTATTCAATATATGCTGGAAAAACACACTGAAATAGGAAGAAGCGCAGTGTCGGCTTGTTTACGTCGCCCGACTCATATGTATCATCATATGTATCATCCATGCATGCGCAGAGTTGATCGACAAGATCATCCTGCTTGTCATCCAAAGCCGCCACTTCGCAAACGCTCTGCAAAAATGTCACCAACGCCTTAGCAGCCTTCCTTGAAGGAAGCCGAACTCCGTAGCCTTTTAGCCTTGCCACAATATACTCTGGGTCGCGTTTCGGGGGTGGGAAACAGGTTGGGTCTGTGAAGTATTTATCAAGAGGGCATATTGCTTGGCTATGCTCCTGCATGAAACTGACTATACGATGTACGAACTCAACGTACTGCCCTTGCGCGACTTTTCCTGACTGGTTTAGTTCTTGATAATTTGCCTTCATAGATGACATCAAGGCCATGACCAGTTCCCTATATTCATCACGCGCATCGGACAACCTAGCGCTAAAGCCACTGCCCTCGAGCTCTTCCAAGTGTTCACGCATGTTTGACAGAAGGCTGGAGATCAGGGAAACACGTCTGTCTGTAAATTCAGAAAGCGTGATGTGGTATCTGTTGTCCTCCCGTCGATAGAACGGGAGGTTCTTAAACAGCAACAACCCCTCCTGTTCATTCAGAAGCACTTCCGTTAGGCGGTGTTGAAATTTGAGCATCGAGGTCCTCTCAACAAGACATGATGACCAGATTTCAAGTATTTGTAGTCTGCAGTCTACGAAAAATCGTTTGTCCTTTTCTATGCAGCTAGCAAGGAACTGGGGGGCAAACTTCTTGGTCTGAGGTGTCGTTCGCAGGGCAGTCCAAGAGTGTTTACTGAAAGAATTGAGATAGCTGTTCCAGTGATGTAGACCATTTTTGACAAAAGACTGTGCCATGCAAGACCAGCATTCTGTCACTTTAAGAAGCAGGGAGTCTTCTGGGGATTTTTCCTGGCCAAAACAATTTGAAAGAAGCTCAGAGACAATCGGCTGAACCGTATCGTGTAGGTATTGAATTGCTGTGCTAGGTGCCGCAGCTTCTGAAATCTCATCGTACACTTCTTCAATGGCAGACCAATCACCGTACTCTTGGCTGTCTTCGTTTATAGCGGGAACCACAGCAACAACGGCCGGAGATTCTTTTGAGACAAAATCTATAACGATTTGAAGCGCCTGGTTGATAATAGGGTTGACTCTCGAGTTTGTTGGACCGAAAAGCCCAAGTAGTTTGGCAAAAGGGACGCCCTCTAAGAGCAAGCAAGCTTGTTCGAGGGACCGCGTTGACTGGATGGCCGATTTCATTGCGGCCACAGTCGAGGATAGGATTGCCTCAATTTGACGTTGGTTGTGCGATATTGTCGATTCTAGTACCTGCGTCGAAAATCTAATTTGACCTTTTGCCTGCTCTTCGACCTCAGTCTTTGCAAGTAAATGTTGTCGAACCAGTTCTGACGTAAAATATTCATACCACTCAGCAAAGGGTTTCAGGCCAAGATCTTCTTCATTCGTTGACAACTTGAAGTGCACAAGTCTCCTCCACGAGCGAATGCTCAAGTTGCACGTCTCCAAATGAGACGTTGCAGGGTCAACTAGGTTGCGGATAATCTGAAGTCTAGGTCTACACCCATCTGGAACAGCCCAATAAAGGGTGCAGAGAAGATCATGATGGTTTCTGAGGGCATTGAGGTCTTCGCGGTCGAGAGCTTTCTCTTTGGGGTAGATTCGCCCGTGATTCGGGAGAAAGCGCCATGCGATGTTTTTCATTGCCTTTTTGTCGTGAACCTGGGAGAGATATCGAAGACCGCTACCAAGGATCTTGAGGAAAAGATGGAAGCAAGAGTCACCAGCTTCGATTTCGATAAGAGGATTGCTATCCAGCATATCAAGAAACGACGGAGAGCTGAAAGTCTCCTCAGTTTTGAGATTATACAGCATATTTTTGGCATAAAAGCTAAACAAAGTATGTAAGATTGCTTTGCAATCGCGCCATCCCCATGCCACCATTAGGAGGAAGCACCTTTGAAACACAGCACGGCAGTAGTTGATGTAATGTGCAGGCCGCTCCGGATCGAGACTATATGCATCCAAGACCATCAGCACCAACGATCGGATAGTTGACCAGTTGTCTTGTTTGGCACGGAATCGAAGACCTGGACGAGTATGACCGAACTCATCAATCTCATTGAGTGGAATAGTAGTGAAAATCGCTTTCCACGAATCCTCCAAATGTTGGATGCTCATAGTCGATGCTTTGTCGCCGGATGATAAGAAAAGTGTTTCTTCCAACAGGTCTTTGAAATGGTGAGAGGAACGTAAGAGCTGGAAAGCTATGACATAAGCTTCAACAGCAGGGAAACCGTCGCGAATACCAGCTTCACGAAACTCGATCCTTCTATTATTTTCATAGAATTGATAGATATTCTGCAGGCCAGGATGGCTAAAAATTATGAGCAGAAGCTGACGAGAAATATCCTTGACTAGATTCAGTGTTAGTTCCTGCCTGGATATGTTAACCAATTCATGTGATGCAATTTGCTGAATCTGACCAGCCAAGATTGTGTTGAGGCTGGCTAGTTTCAAGCAACGCTTCAATTCAGTGTCTCTCGTGTGGTTGAACGTAGAAACGTGGTCTCTGATCTTGCAAACAAGAAGTTCAATGCGCTCTATGAAGGATATTCGATCGACAGGGTCGAAAAAGTGGAGTTTGTCGTTGATATATTTTATGACAGAAGTAAATATGTGGAAAGGGTCAGGATCCAGAGGTAATTGATCCGATGAGCCCGACGCCACAGTATCTCTTATGATTGCATCAATGACAGTGCCAATTTCTGAAGATACCTGTTCGTTCCAAGGCCCCCAACGATATCTCTGCTCGTCCGATTCAATTATAGCAAAGCCCGCGTCCTGGTCCAGATTCCGCATGCTCAGATTGATTGAGCGCGACAGTACGCCTTCACCAATAAATGTAGAACTGTGGAAATAAGTCCCTACATGTACAGGTACAATTCCGAAATCAACTGAGAAGACTTTGTAATTTCTAAAGCCCTGGAGGTCATAGGTGCAGCGGGTATCGTCAACTGAGGCAATGGAAATACATTGCTGTGATTCTGACGAGGCCATGTGTGGTACTGCATCAAGGTCACTCATATCAATACGAGTAGGTGGCCGTTTTCTCGAAAACTTTAGTCGTGTTTGGTTTGGTCTTGCTGACGGGTTAATTTTAGATTGATCACGATCAGCGAGAGGAACATGCACGGGAACTTTCTCAGACGGATGTTTCCGAGTTGAAAGGAAGCGATCCAAGGTAATGGGTCGTTTACGATACGCTTTGTTCAATTCAGCCAAAGGCATTGAGAAGGCTGCAGAAGAAGTTTCCTGAGATCCAACATTCTCGGATTCCACGGGACGTGCAGTGCTCCTCTTCAGAGAATGAATTGCTAGTGATCGCGAAATGACCTTCATGTTACGAGCTCTTGATCTTTTTGCGAATTTTTGAACAGCTTGCTCTTGGGTAGCAGAAAAACTGGCTGATTGTGCGAGTGTTTCAGTCTCTGATGTCGAACTTATTTCTTTCAGGCGTTCTGGCCTAGCTTGATTGGCTGAGGCCTTGGAGTAGGTAGCTAAATACTCGGATTCGCCGATAGCTTGTGTGTTTGCTTGTATATTTCGAAGAGGTTGACGGACATGATTAGAAGACCTGACCATCGGAAGCTTCCTTTGCTTCATAGTGCCCTTCTTCCAATCCCGCAGCAACTTATTTGTATCTTCTGTCTCCTCGAGAGTTGTCATTCTGAAGAACTTTCTGTTCGGACTTGACCTCCCTTGGTCGCGTCTGGACCGTACTTGCCTGGCTGCAATCCGTAAAAATTGAGGCTGTTCTTTACGGGGTAGCTGAGCCATATCCGGGGCATCGAGGATACCCAATTTCGGTGCTCTTGGTCTGGAAACACGAATTTTAGGATGTGAAACCCCGTTCCTATTCTGTGTCTGCAGCCGCAACGGGTTCTTTACCAATGAGCGATTGTTATGGTTATCGTGATTTGCCTTGGATGTTTTGGGCCGACTTAAACGTGATTTCTTTGGGCCAAAGAACGAACGAGGCACTCGTGGGAACATGTCATCAATGCGATTGTCCTCAGGAATGTCATCGACTGTCTCATTGTGAAGGTTGCTAGGTCCAACGAACTCGACGGATACTTCGCGTGCGTCTTTTCGTACCGCAGCATCGCTATCCGAGTCAGATGAGTCCGATAATATTTTGTCCCACCGATGTATTGTTGGTGACTGAATAGTGGAAGCCTGTGCTCGAACAACTTTTCGGGCTACACCTTTGGTGGGCTCGGCATGGATGGCATGAGAGTCAACTTGTCGTCTCTCCGACGACGAATTGGTAGCCCTTTCCCCTTGATTTTTCAAATCTAAACGCAGCCATGAAGCTGGGAGAACACCCTTAATTCTACGCTGCAGTCGTTTCACTTTTAGATTCTCTTCATTCGGTATACCCTCATCGTCGCTGTCTTCATCTAGTGTTGGGAGTTCATCAATAGGCTCATCATTGGACACATCAATTTCCATCTTATCATGTAGCGCTGAGTCATTGGCATCTGCCGATAGTAGGGGAGTGCTTTTGGAAATTGCCGTGTTCGGTGGCGGTGTAAATCCTGGAGGAAAGCGGAAGCCATCTCGTCGCAGTATCCCAGAAGGCAAGCTGCCTGAGCGAGGTGGTGATGGAGGAATATCCACAGGTCTTATAGACTCATTGCTAGATGGGGAGTTGGCCTGGTTGATAACCACCTGAAAGCTTGAACGCTTTTGTCTCTCGACTTTCGCTTGGCTAGCATGAAATAGCTTCCTTCTCTTGTGCGCTTGTGACTGGTCTTGTTCCAGTGTCGAATGGGATATTTGCTTAGGAGTCCTGTGCCTTCTATCGGAACGAGGTGATCTGTAAGGGTCTGGGGGCGATGAGGGGGAGTAGATAAATTCGCTTGGAGGACTGCTTGGAGGAGATTCAGGCGCATCCAGAATACTCCCTTCTTGGCTTTCTTTTTGATGATCTGCAGGAACGTGTTCGGCCGTGGGTATTCGGATCGGCTTAATTCCAGAATTTTTAAACTGGCCTCGATACTTGGCATCTTCTATGAGATACGGGTGCAGTTGTATAGGCTGTCTCTGGCGTAGTGATCGCCGTGCAGGTTGTATCAAATCGTGCAAGACTTCGACGGGGATGTCTGATGGTGGAAGCAAGTCCATGGATTTTTGCGATGCACTGCCTTCTTCGGGAGATTTCTTTTCATCCCTTACGACAAACCGTTGTGACTGAGTATGATGAAAATCGTCTATTTGAGGTAATTGTTGCGTTCCTTCTGGTGAATTTATCTTCGAAGGGGGAGGAGAAAGCGAGGAAAGACTGCTGTCGTCATCAAATACCAGGCCAGATTGATCAGTTGGGGGTTTGGAGGTGTAACTCGATGTGGGTTTTTTCGGCAGAGCTCCAGTGACCTGCAGCTCATCCTCCGATGAGCTTGCATTATCTTCGACATCCTCCACTTTCTGTTGCGTGTCTCTGAGTCCTATGGACTGCGAAGATTCGACCGCTTCGTCCACCACGGTTTTGACATCCTCTGCATCATTTTCCTCTCCACGTGACGTTCGAGATTGTAACTCAGCATTGTGTACTGTAGGGAGCCCTTCATCCTTGGCATGTGCATTCGTAGTTCCTTGACTCTCGAATTCGTCGTCTTCATCTGAGTCCGGGACGTACCCTGTATTCCTCCATGCTTCCATTTGTGGTCGTAAAAAGCATAACCCATTGCCTTAGACGTTGTCCGACCAACACGGCTAGGTAGACATCAGGGCGATTGGTCTGCGTGTATGTGAAGCAAATTCACAAAAATTCGCCTGCAAAGATGGCAAAGGCCCTTGAGAAGACGCGTCTTGGTGTTGGTTGGTGGGGATAACAGAAGGAAGGCAAGGACGCGTTAATTGATTGGCCTTGCTTATTTTGGGGTAGCTCGGGAGGAAAGGCTTGGCACTTCCGCTCACTCAGCGACGACTTCACCACCACCAAAGTATTCTCACGTCCAGCACAACTACCACTCAACGCTACCTCATTTTTCATCTGGACAACAGCCGTTGCGATGAGTGGAACGCGCGGCTTCGTCCCCGCAGTGGTGGCTGTCGGACTGGGTATTTTTACAGGCATGGCCGCCTATGATGCCCTCGTAAATTGACATCGCCAGCTAATCGTCGCTATTCGTCCCTCGACAGGATACTATACGTTCCAGCCTGCTTTCCGGGAATTACATGTCGGACAGAGGACGGAAAAACTGTCATTACCCTCATCTCTCATTTCTTAAGCAAGGAGAAGACGTGGCTAACGTTGTCAATAGACCAGGATCCCAAAAAGCTGACGAAAGCAGCAAAGAAAATCTACGTGCAGACACTCCTTCCAATACACAATCTCAGACAAATGAGCTCTCCGTCAAGTCAGATAAAACAGGAAGTTCTTAGTCACGTTTGTTGGTCTTGTGCATTTGGTAGGTTCTCGGCTGGCTTCCAAGATGCAAAATGACCGAATATCAAAACAATAAAGCACGGGAAATGTGGATATTTAGAGGGCAGAGAATATGTGATGTGAAAATGAGGTCTCGCAGCAAAACTGTATAATATCTGTGTATATATAATATTTAAAATAATCTGCCCAAGATAAGACAGATGATTGATTACATTCTGCCCTGCCGTCCATGGCTGTAAAATATTCTGAGTGCGTGGGATAATGATTGAATACGAGTTTAGTCTCTACAAGAACTGTGCCTAGCTAGTAAGTGCTGTGAATACGCAACAAGTGCTTAGGTATTGAAAACTCTGCTTGTTAGCAATGAAATGAAGAGTATTATTATTAAAAACTTCAATGGTTGATAATCAACTTGCATGCCTTGTGATAAAAGCAACTGTGCAATTTCCACCCATTTTAGGATAACTATTACATACACAACCTTATTACAGTACGTCCTCCAGGCTAAATATCATTTTAGCAGATTGAACAAAATTCAACAATAAAGAGTCGGAGATAGAACATGCCAAAAAAGATATACTGGTGTCCATCACTTAGTCAAAATTACCAAGTACCACGGCCCTTCAATGCAGGCAGCTCGCTGTCATACTCAACTTTGAAAGCTGCGATATTGTTAGCTGGGGTTTCGATTGATCAAGCGTAGAAAAACTTACTGGCTGGGAATGGAGTGTAGCTACCACCATCCTCTCTCATGTACATATAGTAGCCACCAGCACGTGGAATCTTCTTCAACACACCCTGGGCGCCACGCGCGGGGCGCAGGTTGTCCAGAGCGCCAACGACGCGAAGCATCGAAGTCAAAGCAATACGGCTGGCATCCTGGCCGAGGCAAGAGTGTGGGCCAATACCAAAGTGGACATATGAGTCAAGGGGACGGTCGAGGAGAACCTTCTCCGGCTCGGGGAAAACGGCAGGGTCGCGAGAGGCGCTGACGAAACTAACAAAGACCTTAGATCCCTTGTGGACGCGGACCTCATCGCCGCCATCATTGACCGTAACGTCTCGCTGAGCTTCACGGTACGCGCCGTAGGTTCCGTTGAGACGAATTGCCTCCAGGACGTAGCGGGAGAGCGTTTCATCAGACTCCGGAGTGTTCAACTTGGCCAAGCGGTTTATCTCTGGCAGGTGAACCTTGCCCTCAGCGGAAATGTAGAAGTCGAGGACTTGTGTAAACTGTATAGCGTTTTATCAGTACATCGTTAACCTACGTGGTAGCGGCTATCACTTACAACTTGACCTAATTTGGGCACCATGGAGACGACAGCAGGGAGGATTTGAGTCCAAGTGACTTCATGGGGAGTGAGCCCGTGGGCAAGCAATTTCTTCACCATGTTGCTGCCATACTCCGACAAAGGATTGTCTTGCTTGCGCAAGCCATCGATGAAATGAGAAATAATGCCATTAGAACCCAGAGACTTGACGTTGATTTCCACGATATCACCAAGTTTCTTAGCCACAGCACGGGCAGCTTGTCGAAGAGGGTAAGAGCGCATCAAATCGTAGTCGAAGAAGATAGCCTGGAAAATCACAGCATTGCTCATGTACAACTCATGCTCCGTAAAGATTCCTCGGGGATTGCCCTTTGTTTTCAAGGGGAGTCCGAAGACGTGCGCAGCAAAGTGCACGGCGGCGAGGTTTCCAACGCTGTAATGCGATGTGTTAGATTAATGATCAGGGATTTGTTAAAGAAAAAAAGTCTACTCACTCCCGAGTGATGTCAACCTGTCTATTACCCGCAAGAGTATAAGACTTGTCGTGAAGTAATTGGAGCGTAATCTCCTCGAAAAATTCCTTGAGACGGGATTGCCATCCATCCTGATAAAGGGCCCCCTCGAGGAGCTCCCGCTGCTGGCTGTGGAAAGGTGTGTCACCCGACAGCATGTAATCAAAGCCAGTCTTCTCGCCAAATACCCAGGCACTTGCATCGCCCCAAGTGACGCGGAAGTTGCGGGAATCCTCCAGCACACTCTTTGCTGCTTGATAGGTTTTCAGTTCAACACGAGGAGCGTTGAATGTTGGCCTGTCCCAGCTGTAGTCCGCTAAGCGTCCAAGGTCTTTCATAATGACCTTGTTTTCTTCTGGGATTGTCATCGGATAGTGGGCATAGATGGAGTCGGACTTGAAATGATCAGGGAATGCACGGAATGCAAGCTTGTAGAAGACGCATCCTTGATTGATGTTGAGATCATGACCACTCTCTTGCCAGCCCCAGTTGGTCAGGTTTCGAGGAGTTTGATCGGTCTGGAATCGGTCAGCACGTTTCACCACCCAAGAACTGTCTTACGCAGAAACACAATACGTACCGTGTAGAAGCGATCACCACGAACAAGAGCCACAGCATCCGAGAGCACAGCACGGGAAATTGTGTAAGTAGGAGCGATACCGACACCGGGGGCCATTGGTGCCTTGGCTTCCTCAGCAACGATACCTGGATACAGTTCGACGTAGTCAGGGTGCTCGTAAAGGTGGCGTAGCTGGTCTGCGACATACGGATCTGAATTGATCTCTTCAAATGTCTCATATGGCTTAAGATCGAAGAACTTGCGGAACTCATTGAGAGAACCAATGTTCCATTTACGAGCCTGCTCGATACCGAGAATCTCAATGGACCGCATAACCTTTGGAACATTGCGGGCTCCGAATGATCCTATGAAAAATTAGAACAATAATTCGACCGAAACATGAACCACGACGACCTCACCAGCAACATCCTCGACCGCATTGGTCATAATCTTGACAAGATCATCGTCCTTGAATTTGCCATCGGCCTGACGCTCAAGCCCAGCGAAAGTACGTTTCGACGGGTCCTTGTCAATTGACTGTTCGTATTTATGAAGACCCATAAGAAGCTCCACCATGGAGACTTCCTCCGCCGGCTTGCCAAATATCTCCTTGTAAACATCCTCCGTCCACTTTTCATCATTGTAACTCGTAGCCGAGTGCCAACGGTAAGCGAGGTTGAACTCGACTGAGCACTGGTTTCCAAGGCCCGAAGGCGTCACATGGGTGCCCTGCATTCTAGCACGAGGGTCCTAATGGGCTGTTGGCACTTTGGGATTGCGATTGAAGGAGAAGTTGCACTTACCAAGCACCATGTACTATTAGTTCTGTTCAGGTTGACAATTGTACGCAGGTAGTCATAGAGCGTGATGTTGATATACAAGCCACAAGTAATACTTCTTTGGTTAGTACTGTCGATCATACGCATATTTGCATAGGAATTGCTTACAGTCGTCCAGTCTGGAACAGATCCTCGTCATATTTCTTCCAAGCCAACTCAGTCTGCTCGGGTGATAGACCCGGACGAGGCTTGTTAAATCTACCATTCTCATTCACCAAGGCCAGTTGCTCAACTACGTTGTTGTGGAATCTGTGCACGCCGTGTTAGCTTCGAAGTTGAATAAAACCCGTCATGGAGAGTTTCACCTGTTCAACATTACCATGAGAACGTTGCACATGGCTGGGAACGCTTGGAGACGGGGCTCCGAGAAGCTGTCAGGCTTAAGCTTGCCATCCTTGAATGTACGAATCTGATTCTGGTCGTCTTGGTTATCACCATATAGGATGGACAAGTCTAGGTACGCTGAAGTTTGCGAGATGTGAGGGTTTCTGTAGTCGGTCTGGAAAATATCTGTAGGGGGTTAGCCGATCCTGAGTCATTATATTTCCTTCTATTCTATTTATTCTCTTACCATGAATGATAAGCGAGGCCCAGGCAAAAAATACACTTGAAACCTTATTAGGGTGTGGCGTGAACTTTTCGCGGGCCATGATACTGTCGAAGACAACCCCTGCGTCAGGAAGTCCGCTTGGCTGGATTGTTAGTGGCGCAATAGAACGAGCATATTCAGTGTTGGCAGCGCCCAGCCATGGGATAGTCGGGTTGTTCCATGACCCGTCGGCGGATCGATACTCAAACTTTGGTCCAACGAATCTGTGCTCTGTTAGATAAATTCCCATGAGCAGACGCTGGAAACACTCTTACGAGAGAGGTGGGTGTGGAAGAGATTCCCAAAGCTCATCAAGGAAGGCATTTGTAAGCTCGGTCCGGCTCTTGGAATTGGACGGAAGACCGCTGACGAGCTGGATGATCCGTTCCATCAACATGGTCTTGTCATCTGTATACTCGCTGGAAGCCTTGTTTTTGATGACATCCATCAACGTGCCGTAGTCCTTGAAACCCAATGACCGTAGGTCTTGGAACAGGCTCGTTGAGTGGTCATGGCCGTGCTCCAAGTAGGTGCCGTCGCCGCTTTGAGTTGGCAATGGGCGCCGAGATGCATGAATTACTTGGGCGTATTTTTCAAAGATCGCAGTCACTTCATTGCGAGCCTTGCTGTGATCTTCTGGCTCCGGCGGGGTATAAGTAGGGATTGGCTTGGATTGCCGCTTCTCATTAACCTTCCCATTGCTTTGGCCGTTAGTCTTTGACTTTGTGTCCTCCTTCTTTTTGAAAGCAGTTGAAAACCTGCGCATCATGTCTACGCTGGTACGTGGCTTTCGGATTATAATCAAAGAAAGAAAAGAAGAGAAGGGGACGAAAAGCAAAAGCTAACTCAGGGGTATCACAGTGCAAAAACACGTTCACATCAGTTTCCGCGCAGATGTGGCGGAGGAGGAGTATTTAAGAGAAAAAAAAGAAAACAACATAAAACATCGCAGTGGGCCCTCCCTCCTACAACGAACGAGGTAGGTGAGCCACAGCAAGCTGTAGACGCGGCAAGGCCTAGGGATGCATTGCTTGTTTACTAGTACGTAGTACTCGGCACGAAGACCGGCGCACACCTCGAGCTTCACCTACGCGTGGCAATATCATTGGCGATTTCATGATGTCACGGCTTCTTCTGTTTCCTCGCTGGCGCACAGGCCAGGCCATGTTTGTTCACAGGTTTGGGAAGTGGTTTCTGCAGGGAGCATCGAGCACCATGCTCCATCTCGGGTATGTTAGCAGCCAATGGACGCCAGTGAATATCTCAGAGCAGGCGGACCAGGGGTCTATCGATTGAAAAGCCGGATCCAGCAAGGACCAAAGACTCGAAAAGTGACATGGGCCATGCATGCATATCTAGCTAACCCCGCTTTCCTTGTTGGTAAAAGCACAGACTCGGGACCAGGAAATTATATCCTGTGAGCCGAACAATGACGGTCTTTCTTAGTTATTTTGACTTCTTTCTAGTGCCTTTTGCAACTTGTGCATTTCCATCAATGAAGGGCCTAATGATTGCGACAAGAAAGGGGGTTGTTTAGCGGGGGAAACCCAATGAGTCATGAGGAACCAGCTCTAAATGTCTTTGATGGCTGTCTAGATTTGACACCCGTACTAGTCGAGGCATGGCTGGCGTAAAAGATGAGATAAGAAAGACGGAAATCTGTAACTAATGAGGGAACATGCTTTTCGAGCACGTATCCTGTTTGACTTTCACCGCCAATCGACAACGACGCAAGGACCCAGCTGCATCGTCAAGACTCGAATCCAGTCAAGTGCTGTTTTTGTCTCGATCCGTGTGGTTGCACGAGTACTCCGTACGTAGCATATAATATTTAGTTCGCAGGTGGTACGCGAGCGATCGTACCGAAAATACGGAGTATGGGGGTGCAAAACAGGACAGACAACACGAAGTTGGAAAGGATACGTCGCTGGGGTCTCCACTCCTCAGTTCTCCTATTCTCAGGTTCCATGGCCTGGGTGAAGAATGCACCACGAATTAGTCCGTATACGATTTTTCTCTTCCCTGATTGGTGAGGAGCGGGGGAAGGACGGCTCAGCCAAGCAGCGCAGCATTCACTTAGGCGCTTTTCAGGTGGTTCTGGTTCCTTTTCAGCCCGCCACGCGCGAGCGACATTTCGTACTATCAATCGCAGCGGATTCACACTGGACACACTCCAAGGTCCACACGAAGAAATGCTCCGTAGTTCGGTCACAAGAGTCGACTAGTGAATAAGTAGCATTCGCTAAACTAAACGCTAGCGGGCAAAGATCACGGACCACGACCGATCGATCTTTATTGATTGGATCTATAAGATTGAGCTATGGGGTTGGTTCTTCAGACTTCAGATCCAGCGGTGGGTAAGCAAGCAAGCCGCGGTGGGCCACGAGTCCCACGAAGAGACCGACGCGGATCAGATGTGCGAGATGGCAAACGACAAGAGTGCGTGATGAACGGCCATTGCCCCTTGTCCCATGCCTCGCCCTGGTGGAGAGGTGACCGTGAACGTAGCGCTACGTAGGTAGGAAGGAAGGGAAACTTGAAAGGAGCTCTTCCTGCCGTGGAGCCACTGTCACGGGTCCGGCCGGGCGATCGTCCCGCCGCCAACCAATCCGGCTTTTAGAGTGCTTAGGAGTGTACTAGTTATATAATACCCTCTAACTTATATAGTATTAGAAGCCACTGCCAGAGTGTCCACGCCACGGCTGGACGGTGGATCTCATTTACTCCGTACAATATGTCTCTCTGCCCCCTTGCTGGCGACTACTGTCACTTTGCAGCTTGCCATGTTCAGGACAGTCTTCTCCAAGCTCTCATAGGCTGCATCTCGCTTTTACTTTTTTCCCGTGTGCCTCAGGCAAGGCCATTGGGTCGATTGACGGGCTGCTTCCTCACGCTTCGAAGCCTGTCATGGATACATAGGTCTAAACTCAAATTTCAAGCCAGGAATTGCCATTGTACCTAACCTTCCCCTCAAAAGGTCTCTCTTTTCTTTTTTTTCATGGAGAAATTCGGAAAAAGATTCGTCAATTCCATGGCAGATCCGAAAAACACAGGATGGGAGGTCGTACAACGATGACGACTCGAGCGATGGGTCCTCATGAAATAGTTGGCTAGGATTATGTATAATACCAGTATTAAGATGATGCTAATAGTGATTAAATAAGGCCATTGCCTCTAAGCGTATCTGATGAAGTATGCCGAGTTAGGGAGACAAGATATGCCTAAAATTGAGGAACCCAGGCCGGCCCACTTCGACGCGGGCCGCTCTCCACCGCCCCTCGCTGGCCAATCGCGAGCCTTGCCCACACGAACCCTAACAGTGACGCGGATATATCTTAGAATTTGATCCATCACAGTGCTAGCATCATTTGACAAGGACGGACAGCACGAGGGTACAGCCAAAGCAATGGGGACTCCTACCAATCCACCCGTGACATCAGGCAAAGCGAGAAAGAATGCTCGAGGACCAAAAGAGGGCATTTGCGCCGACTCGACTTTGTAGCGTTTGCATCTTGTCTGACCGAAGCTGCATCAGAGGTGGAGGGGGGAAAGCGCAGGGGCCACTTGCATGATCAGCGTAGCAAGAACAAGCGAGTCGTCCATCCATTCTGGCCTTATATCAGCTATTCAACTTGTTACGAATACGCCCGTACTACGGAGTAGTACGGAAAACATCCCGTAGTCATGCAGTCCGTCGTACCTGCGGTCTGTGGGTGGCGTTGCCAATTCGAAAAACAATGGATATGTAAACACATTTCCTGTATGAAAAAGACCTGCCGTCTCCCTTGGTGGGAAAAAATATGCAATGGCACGCCGTGACACAAATCCTCTTCCTTTCCCAGCCTCTTCAATATATACTTCATCGATTTAGCGCCTATGAGCCCCTAATAGACTTCAGTCTCGCGTCGATTAGTCGTACTTAGTCTCGGTTGCTCGGAAAATATTCGCTGCGCAGCCGATGCGTAGGCATTCGTTTCGTTGTGGACGGGATACAAAACGAAAAAGGCGCAAGGCGTAAGGACCGCACATATTTGCCATGGAGCCGCCAATGGGGCCGCAACCAGCACCGAAGACATTTGTGCTTTGCTTTGATGGCACCGGTAATAAGTTCTCAGGAGACGAATCCGATAGCAATGTTTTGAAAATCTTTCGTGTAAGCAATTTGCTTCGGAACAGAATGTCTGTTCTTTTGTCGATTGCACACCCGCGCCGACTAATAGACCCCTCTAGATGCTCGACCGTAGTCGCGGCCATCAATTTCACTACTACCAGCCCGGGATTGGGACATACGTGACATCGACTTCCCTTTCTAGTTCCGGTACGGTCCATCGCATTCGATCGGCTTACTTGAAAGCCAAAGATTCCGCCATAGGCTCCTCCTTCGACCAACATGTCATGGGCGGATACAAGTTCCTGATGCGATACTACATTCCCGGTGATGATATCTACTTCTTCGGTTTTAGCCGCGGCTCATACATCGCGCGCTTCTTGGCTGAGATGCTAGATTATGTTGGTCTTTTAGAGGCGGGGAATGAAGAATTAATTCGCTTCGCTTGGAAGACATTTGCAAAATGGCAGCAGAGAAGTGGCCAATCGGAAGAGGATCAAGAGGAGAAGAGGAAACTCTTCAACTACATGAAGGCTTTTCGCGAGACGTTTAGCCGCCCGATCAGTCGGATTCGCTTCATGGGGCTTTTCGACACGGTCAACAGTGTTCCACGCTTCGAGTCCGCTTGGATGCAACGAAGCAAATTCCCATATACAGCGCGAAGCTCTGCTCGTGTTATTCGACATGCAGTTGGCATTGATGAGCGCCGGGCCAAATTCCGCCAGGATCTAATTTCAGAGGCGAAACCGTGGCATCGGAGTCCCAAGCATCGCGACCACTACCTGAGGAACCACATGCATCATCTTTACCATGATAACCGTGGGAAGCAAGATGATGTGCCTAAGATTACTCTAAACAATAATGACAACGGCGTTAGTCTCGAACAATCGGAAATGGAAGAAAAAGAAGAGAAACCAGCCCCGCGACGGGGCCGCGAAGAGACCGACTCTGTCTATCGAACACCCCGCGGTTCCAGTGCCGGCAGTTCAAGAAATGTGGATCGTTACCGTCCACCTTCTCCAGCTAGGAATTGGAAAACAGCCAACTCCAACCTTGGCGTGCCGGAAATTAACGCACCCGCGGATGATAATGGGTCAACAAACAGCGAAGTTACATCCTTACAGATTCCCCACGAACTGGGTGAAAACGACGAGAACGAGCAAGATATCCGGGAGATCTGGTTCCCAGGAGGGCATGCCGACATTGGGGGTGGTTGGAAACTCGAGAAGGGAGAGTCTTGGGCTCTCAGCCATGCGCCATTGGTCTGGATGGTGCAAGAGGCACAGAAAGCAGGACTCAGTTTTGACGTCAAAAAGATGAAGCAATTTGAATGCTGCGAAGAATATGTGGCTGACTACTCTCCCATCCATGAGTATGAACATGAACCGGATTGGTGTGTAGACGCCAGTCATGGCGTCAGCGAGAATGGCAAAAGGCGAATCGCAAGCACGCCCTCGGGGAGAGATAATGAACGAAATGTGAGTCGGGCACTTCATCGCTTCCTGGATGCTCTCGAAGACTCCAGTATGAAGGGCGTGCTGCATGATTGTCTTGAATATGGCGCGGGCCTCCCATGGTCGTCCGTGCTATCCTGGCGAATCATGGAGTATCTCCCATTTCGACGAATGGATCTACAGCCCGACGGATCGTGGAAACCCATCCGCTGGCCCCTCCCTTGTGGGGAGGTTCGAGATATCCCTGAGGGTGCGGAAATTCACGTGTCAGCCATTCGTCGTCTGAAACACGACCCAAAGTACCGCCCTGGAAATCTGATTATTGGAGGCGGTGGACGTGGAGTGAGAGTCGCTCCAGCAGAGTATGGCATTGGCGAATGGATTGTTTACAGGGACGAAGGCGACCCTGTTCGGGAGACGTATATACGGAAAACAGCATCCAGACAGGCGCAAGAAAACGGGAGTGGGTAGTGTCGTTTTGATTCTAGCGCTAAACTGTGCGATTGTGCATTCTGCCCTCGGAAAAACTTCCTGACTTTGTAGTCATAATATAATTCTTAGTTTCTTCGAGATGTGCCTATCAAGGAGTGCAGTGACTGGTTGTAGACAGCATTCGTATAAAGATGGTATCGGTTCCTTTCCAACTTCCGCAAACCAACCACCAACCTGGGCCAACCAATTGCGTATTGTCCACCGCAAATACTCGAGGAGACTTGTATGCAACAGCGGGCGTTAGCGGGACGCGAGAACACCGCAAATGGAATTAATTACCCATGAACCCGATTGATCTTTGGAGCGTTCCAGAACACGGGCACTGAGGCGAGACCGCTGCAGACCGTAGAACTCGGATGAAAGGTCCCTTGCTGTGTTGTGTTGTGTTGTTTGTTGTTCTTCTTCATTGAGCGCCAACGGGTAGGGGCTCATTGAGCAATTCACATTGGCTGTCTCTGTCGCGCCTTCCCTCCGACACCTAGACTCCGTACGGATTAGGCAGGCGCGCTAAGTCCGCCCCCACCCAATCATCCCCAGCAAATTTGCCCCCCTCGCCCCTTTTGGAAGTTGCCGGCAACCTCCAGACCTTCTCTCACGCTCTGCGAGAACCAGCTCTACACTCCGCCTTCCCCCGTGGAATGCATTCAAAAACAACCGTCTTTGGGAGGACTTGCTGACCAGCCGCGGTGGTTGCTGGTAGCTGGTTCCTTTCCGCCTGTGCTACGTAGCTGATTTGCTCATCAGTCAACGAAGAACCGCTCAAGCACATGCAGCATGCACTCGACTGCACCTTCCGGAGGATAGCTTTACAGAGCCCATCATGATGACTGAATCACATCTATCTCCGGAACAAATACGGCTCCCGCCCAGTCCGACTGGGACTCCGCCGTCGAGCACAGGGAAACCTCTCGGCGATGGCGTTCGTTCGGTTCCTCCATTGCTTACCACTTCTTCCTCTTCGCCCCGAAACCACTCGCCTCTGTCGCGAACACATTCTCGCTCCCGCTCACTAGCGAGCTCCTTTCCCGTGCAGATGACAAGAGCCCACTCTTCACCCGGCATAGATTCACGGGGCCGATATGTTTACCCGCCGAACGCCGCAAGACCCCAAAGTCCGATGGAGTACTCGATCCGAAAACATAGTCCATTACGGGCTACAGATGATATGCGGACCTGGAGCATGGGCTCGCTGAATATTTCAGAAACTATTTCAGAACATGCCGAACTCGAATTGCCTCACACTGCATTGCCCGTTCAGACCGAACTACAACAAACGGCTACACCATTACCGCCTTCCCTGAATACCTTTTCGCAGCCTACTCGACAACAGTCGACATCATCTTTGCGTAGCAATGTCTCGGGTGTCACAGGCAGTTCTTCCAGTAGTCCCGGATCTGTGCACTCTTCTCCCATCATACTAGCGACCAAATTTAACGAGCCATACCCCAGTTTTACTACATCCTCGACCTCCTCGGTCCCCTCTACTCCCACCAGTCTACGCTCACGAAGCCCCAGCATCTCCTCCCTAGAAACTATTCCGGACATTCCCGATGCCGAGGCTGACGCCGAAGCCCAAGCAATCGAGGCGGACGAGGTGGCTCGATTGAAAATAGCCACCGATGGTGCCGACACAGATATTATGCGACGCCGTTCTAATCTAGAAAGCTCTATCTCTGGGAGCACGCGAGGCTACGGAACAAGGGCGGCTGACAAGCGGAAACGATGGAGTGTTTGTGGAGCAGAGCGACGGCAAGACTTGGATTTGGAGACTATATGGGAAGACTAGCCTAACCAAACGTCGTGGAAAGCCGCGAAACCTCAAAGACAGATGGTATCTGTGTCCTTGTTTTGCATTTTGATTTGATTTTTGCCTTTTCTTCGAATTGCAAATTGTCCCCTTAGCAATGGCGTTTCGGAATGCATCGTGTTGATACCCGATACGAGAGAGGCTAACCGTACATGTTCTTCCCTTTTTTTTTCTTTCCTTTTTCTTTTTTTCTTCAAGGAGTTCAGAGGTAGTGTCTTTTTCCTTTGCATCAACACACGGAGTGGCTGGTTACCTCCGTTGCTGTACATAGCTAGAACCTATGTAACAAATGTATGAGCCGGGTCTTTCTCAATTTCCTCCACCGCTCGTATTTCCCATGTCACGCCAAAGGATGAACTTCGAATTGTGCGAACTGACTGCTGCTTCCTTGGCCTGATGATAAGAGGTAAGTTGTCTGAGATCCTCTACGAGACGACAAATTTCGACATTAAGTAATTAATCAATACCTTCTGCTTTATGCGATTCCGCGAGCTTTGATCTTAGGAGGATCGAACTTGGATGGTGGCAGCTTCCAACCTAGGAAAGTGCCGAGGTCCGTCAACTCAGTGCTCACGTCATCTGCCTGGGAGGTATTTAAGACTGACTGCCTGTACCCCTCGACGTATTCATTGCTATGTGATGTTACTCTCAACTTCCACAGAGCTATTATGGCGACAGGCAAATCTTCAGTCATTATCATTGGGGGAGGACTGGCTGGCCTAGTTGCGGCAACCGAACTGTCAAAACGCAAGGTTCGTACCATAATCGTCGATCAGGAAAATGAAGCCAACCTAGGAGGACAAGCATATTGGTCGCTTGGTGGGCTCTTCTGCGTGAATTCGGCCGCCCAGCGGCGCTTGGGTATCGAGGATAGTAGAGAATTGGCGATGCAAGACTGGCTGAACACAGCTGGCTTTGACCGTGATACCGACTTTTGGCCTAGGAAATGGGCACAGGCATTTGTCGACTTTGCCACGGATGAATTGGAAACTTATCTGAGAGACGTTGGGATTTCATTCTCGAGCGTTGGCTGGGCAGAACGTGGCAGTGGAAGCGCAAATGGCCATGGGAATTCCGTCCCAAGGTTTCATATCACCTGGGGTACTGGTCCGGCAGTTGTCAAAGCCTTTGAAAAACCAGTACGCGAGGCAGCTAAGAATGACATTGTGCAATTTAGGTTCCGGCACAAGGTGGACCAAATTATCGTTGATGAGAATACTGGTGCTGCTGTTGGCGTTCGAGGCCAAGTGTTAGAGCCATCAGACACAGCACGGGGGATTGAGAGCAGTCGGACAGCTATCGACAGCTTCGAGATTCGTGGCGGTAATATCATCATCACCTCCGGTGGCATTGGGGCCAACCTTGACATGGTGAGAAAGAATTGGCCCGTGGATCGCTTAGGACCTCGAGTACCTCAATCATTCGTCATCGGTGTGCCAGCTTATGTCGATGGTCGAATGATCCAAGTCGCAGAAGAAGCAGGGGCAAACGTGATCAACAGGGACCGGATGTGGCACTACACAGAGGGGTTGCACAATTGGAATTCTATTTGGCCGCAGCATGGAATTCGAGTGATACCTGGTCCCTCTTCGTTATGGCCAGATGCTACTGGGAATAGGCTTCCGCCATTTCTTTTTCCTGGTTGTGACACACTGGCGACGTTGAAATATACATGTTCCACGGGTTATGATTATACATGGTTCATACTCAACAAGACCATCGTCGCCAAAGAATTTGCCCTCTCAGGATCAGAACAGAACCCAGATTTGACCAGCAAAAGCATTTTAAGAACACTTCAGCAACGAGTGTTTGGATTTGGACCTACAGCACCTGTCCAGGCATTCTTAGATAACGGCCAAGACTTTATAGTTGAAAAGTCTCTATCCGACCTTGTAGATGGAATGAACAGGCTTGCCGAAGAAAAGGGCGGCCCGTTATTGGATATTGAACAGGTAAAACGCGAAATTGAGTCTCGGGATATCCAGATTGACAACAAGTATACCACAGACGCACAGCTGATGCTCATTGAAAATGCACACAAGATTTGGCCTGAAAGACTATCGAGAGTTGCCGCACTTCACAAGATCTTGGATCCTCGACATGGACCCCTGATAGCGGTGAGAATGAACATCCTGACGCGGAAAACACTCGGAGGACTCGAGACAAACATCGACGCGAACGTCCTTCGTCAAGATGGGTCAGTCTTCCCGAACCTGTATGCTGCTGGTGAGATTTCTGGATTCGGCGGAGGAGGAGCTCATGGATACAGCTCTCTTGAAGGGACTTTCCTGGGTGGATGTATCTTTTCAGGGCGGACTGCCGGCGTTAAGATTGCAGTGACGATGGGAGTGTAGCCACAGGATAATGCCATCAAATAATAGCATAGCATAGCGCAGCATCTGAGATTGGCTCTTGGATACGAAGCAAAAGCGGGGCACAAGTGCCCGGTTCTAGGACTTAGCTTACTATTTCCCAGTCATGAGGAGATTGCATTCTTATATACCTTGACCATGTGGATCTATTGGCTTCGCCGACTGAATTAATTTTACTACGCAGTTATATATACATACTCTAAGGCTCTACTCCGTGCAAGAAACCCGAATCCGCATCCACCACCAGGATTTTCTGTTATAGCATCTAGAAGCTTGTAGATAAAAATTTATCCTTAGACCTCGATGAAGTTGAACATAGAACGATCAAATTAGAATGGCTCGTCACCTCGTGGAACAAGGCCCGCTAAGCCTAAACAGGGATAGGTCGCAACAGCGTTTACTTCAGGTGCATACATTCATGTAACTATTCTCTCTATCCTCTTGTCATTTCGTATTAAATATCCGCCGTCAATATGAGACAGTTACGCCCTCTCATACAACTCTACAAAGCGTCTCGCTTGTATGCATTCACTCGCGGTTTTACAGCAAGTTTCAACTCTCACATGTCTTCGGTTGAGAGAACCCCTTGCCTCGAATACCAGCCGATTGAGAGATACCAGCCGGAAACCTTGTCTATGGAGGTAAAGTAAGGCTCGACTCATTTTCGGTCTCTCTTTACTTGGAGAATAGCAACAAGGCCGAGAAGAAAACTTGCGAGAATTAGACATTCATCTTAGGAATATTTTGATCCGGCTTCCACGGGGCTTAAACCAACTCTCGGTCGAGCAGCTTTACAAAAAGTTTGGTGAGTCCTGCCTCTTGAATAAGCATATGTCTTCTTAGTCCTCCAGCCAAAAGGGAAAAACTTGCTGGTAGCAGATACAGAGACACCGGTTCACCGGCGCGTCGGGATTTGGAGAAATGCCGACATAATATATAACTATATAACTACCCCATCAAATAACCTCGTTGTCTTCGGTTGGTACGCACTCTGATTGGCTGTGAGCTGCGACCCAATCAGAGCAGCGCACTCCACACATGTATCTCCCCAATCTCTATGGTGGGCTGTGCCGAATCCGATAAGGACGTTAACTTGTTCTTTTCCCTCATCTATAAAACGCCTTGCCTTGCCTCGCAGTCGTAGAACACCAAATCTGGCTCTCCCAGTCCGGCATCACTTTGCAGCAGCACTACTGCTCTTCGAAGCGGGGAACGTCACAAGGCCGGCCCCTTATCAGCCCGTTGCACAACCTGTGAGTGGCGCATTCCGTGTTCTCGTTGCTTTTTGCTGCATGCCCATACCCACCTCCTATCGATCGGTTTGTCGCGGCTCGCATTCATCTACTCGTCGAGGCGACGAATGAGATGCATCGGAGAAGGAAGCTGTGTTTGTCGCGGTAGCCGCCGACGCAGCTTTGCAAGAAACCAGCAGGATTCATGCATCACTATGGCTGTACCTGCCTGTTTCATCTCATTCTCGCATGCCAAGTGCGAGTGACGACGCACTCCGGATCGAGACGAAGGCAGTCATGGACAAGGGTTACACATGGCCTTCCTTGCCGGTATTTCCTGCGCCGTTGGAAGCAGTCTGGGACGTTTGTACGTTCTTGCGAACTACATCGAAGAGTTACCTGGTCTTTAGGAGCCTACTCAATATTCAACCCATCAGCAGCATCATCCAATTTACCTGTCGTCGGATAATCTTAGAGCCATGGAGTGTAAAGCTAATCAGTTGGCCCAAATAGCGAGTTGGTTTCAGTACACGAGATCTCGAAGTCTCAGTTCAGGTCCTGATCCCGCGTTCGTCGGCCGAAAACTGCCGCTGTCTGCACTGAAATACAAGACAGCTCTAATGGGAAAGACTCCACATGTTGGTGTCATTGGGGCTGGTGTGTCTGGGCTAAGATGCGCCGACATCTTGGGTCAGAATGGTGCCAAAGTGACCATCTTGGAGGCAAGGGACCGTATTGGAGGAAGGGTATTGCCATCATTCTGAAGGGGACACAGAAGCCTTCAAGACTCTTGCGCATCAGCACATAACTGACCGTCTACCACAGATAGCACAGGTTGAAGTCGGGGGGCATTTGGTAGATTTGTGAGTCGCATACCGATATTTCTTCTTAATGACAGTATACTGACCACATGCCGTAGGGGAGCCAATTGGATTCACGGAACTGAAGGCAACCCCATTGACCAAATCAGCAGAGTGTCAAATACGACCACTTGTGAATGGGATGGCCGCGAAACAATCTACGATACATCAGGAAAACTTCTCGATGAGGCCACCACCATGAAGTTGGCAGAGTGGATGTGGACCACCATCGATGAAGGGTTTGAATACAGCACCAAGAAGCAGGACCACATCCCGCCGAGCATGAGTTTGTACGACTTCTGTTGCCAGCAGCTTGAGAAGACCAGTTTCACTGTAGAAGAAAAAGCTGCTTGCAAGGAGTTTGCCAAGTTCTGGGGTGCATACGTTGGCGAACCTGTTGAACGACAGAGTATGAAGTTTTTCTGCTTGGAAGAATGTATTGAAGGAAGTAAGTTGTCTCTTGTATATTCCTATATGAAGACCATCAGGGCTAAGCAGTGCAGCGAATCTGTTTGTGGGCTCCACATATAAGAATATCCTCAATCACATTTCAAAATCGGCATTGAGACATGCGGATCTCCGTCTGAATTCACCGGTTGTCCAAATACAAGCAGCCAAGAGAGATCTCAGTAGTACTCGGCAGATCACCGTCACGGTTGAAGATGGGCAAACGTACCAATTCGACGACGTGATTGTCACCTGTCCCCTTGGTTGGCTGAAAAAGAACAAATCCATTTTCAGCCCGTCGCTAACCCCACGCTTGTCTTCAGCCATAGATAACATATCATACGGCCGACTAGAGAAGATCTACGTAACCTTCCCACACGCTTTCTGGCACAAGCCCACGGAACGCAAGTCTATAGGTGGCACCGGTATCACGGTGGCGAATGGGCCTGATGTTGTGCTAGGCAAGGACGGTGACAAGTATCCTCCGGCTTTTACGCAGTGGCTAGAACCAAATTATGTCAAATCCCCCGCGGAGGATGGTAGTTGGAATATGCAATGTGTTTCCCTTGCAGCACTTCCGCCAAACTGCGCTCATCCGACGCTACTCTTCTACATTTATGGTCCTTGCTCCACGTATGTTGTGTCTAGCATCAAGGACATGGATGAATCATCACCCGAATACTATGATTTCCTCGATCGTTTCGTGCGACCTTTTTACTCTCTTCTCCCGGGGTATTCTGCTTCTTCTGACGCCTGCAAGCCGACGGCATTCAGAGCGTCCAAGTGGATAGCCGACGATTACGCCGGGAATGGCTCCTATGCTAATTTCCAGGTTGGACTGGAAGCTGGTGACAAGGACATTGAGACCATGCGGATTGGCATGGGACCCGAGCGTGGAGTCTGGTTTGCTGGCGAACACACAGCGCCTTTTGTAGGGTTAGGTACCACGACAGGCGCTTACTGGAGCGGCGAGCGCGTTGCAGGCCAGATATGTGACCTGTACAGTCTGAGCCAGTTGGGATTGGGGACAAGGAAGGACGATTCATTACCCACTGGAAGTACCGGAGTCATCACCGGCAACACTATGTTCCATAAGGGGAATACAGCGGCGCTCAGAGAGTCGACGATTTTGGCAAGTGTGGTGGAAGGCCAGTAATGACTTTCGTCGGCCTGGCAATCCGAAGTCAATATAGATATATGCTTCCTCTCTTTTTCTTTCGGTCTCTCCTTTTGTGCACATGCATTGCAATTGGTATTCAACATGTCGGCCATCTATAGTTGCTTCCACTACCCGCCTCGGTATAGTTGTATACATCCGAATGAACAATATTGTTAGGTTATTTCGTACCTAGATACCTAGCATCCATTTCTAAATACTAAGTTTTTGCTTATGAGTTATCGGAAACATTGCAAATATCTCGTTGCAAAAGCTGCCAAGCCAAATGAGAGCTGGAACGGGATCACACGTCGACTATGTATTTATTTATTTGCCTAGGTAACCGGCCTTTCGACCATCCCATCAAGAGCGAGCATTTGTCTAGCTAGTTAGAGTCAGCAGTGTGAGGTGTTCGATGCAGCTGCCTCGTAGGACGTCGCTCCTGCCGTCTGATTGGCCCAGAGGGAGTGCCCGCCATCCCTGCCTGCGCAGGGGCAACTCTGCACTTCTATCAACTCTACAACCACCTCGGCGCCTCCCAGAACTTGTGTGTTCATCGTATTCTTCATTATTGTATTGTATTGGCTGATCGACATCTCATTGCGAACTGTACACACTGCAACACCGAAAAAGACGAATCAAAGATGGCTTGCTCCAAGACTTCAAGCGCAAAGAGATATACGAGGCATCAACCAAAGAGAATCTAAACGGCAATACGAACCAGACAAGAGAGCAGAACAAAAGGAAATACAAAAGAAAAAAAAGAGCAGCGTTTCTTCGTTATGATAAAAGTCTCGTCGATCCTCGTGGTCATCGCCAAGCGCCCTGACTCAAGGATAACAGACCCTGGATGCAGTGCAAATCCTCTTCGCGACTCGAGGAGCCATTCTTGGACATGAACGCAGCGACTTCGGCGTCGAGTTTGTTGGTCGCCTGCGACGTGTCTTTCATGTCCTTAGTGCCGCGCGGGCCACGATACAATCGGCCGTGCTTCGCCAGAGCAAGGTCATCCACGGCTGTGTTCCTGCGAACGCCGTTTTCTTTGAGTATAGGGCGTTGCGTGTGGGACAAGGCTCTCGCATGACGACGCGGAATAGCTCGGCGTTGTGTCCCCGGCATCCAGTTTTCTTTGTCGGAGTCCCCAGCTTCCCAACTCACATCCTCGGACGAGTCCTTTGAGGCCTTACCAGTCAATGGAAAACGGGCAGCCAAACCGTTCTTCAAGTTGCTCCCCTGTTGTGCCGATTCAAGCCGGCCCAGAGATGACACAGTACGAGAGAGCTTTCTTCTTTTTTCACCAGAGACCCCCAGGCCATCTTGTTGACTAACAGTGCCGAAGTGAGGCGACACGGACGATTTTGAGACTGAACCACGAGCTAGCGATCGATGGCTCCCCGATCGATATAAGCCTGGCGTGCGAACGCTACCGGCACTCTGGGAGTTTGTCGGGGTTGATAGTGCGCTTCGTGCATCGTTATCGCAGTATGACTCCCACGTACGAGCATCGCGAGACCGACCGAATGGTTTGATACCGGCTCCTTCACGGTTTATTGGCGTAGCTCCGGGTGTTCCAAAATTGATTGCACTCACACTTCTCTGCAGACCACTCTTTCGCGGCGCTCGGCTGAGAATGCGCAGCCGATTTTTTGAGGGAGACGGTTCATCTTGTGTGCGGATGAGAGCCTCGCCATCCGAAGACAGGGAAATTCTCACAGCGGTACGAGCTCTGGGGGGCGACGGGGTGAGCTCTCCTTTTTGTCTGAGAAGAGCTTCTCCATTACCTGACAGGGATATTCGGAGGGATGGAGGCGACTTGATATTATTCTGTAACAATTGGGTATCGACTGCGCGAGACCCAGTTTCCAAATTCGAAAATCGTCGCTTTTTTCCAGCCACGTGTATACCCAGGCCGGCCAAATCTGCAAAGTTTTCAATATGGCCTCCAACTGATGTTTCGGGGGCCACCGAAGTAGCTGGGGTATCCGGTTCTGGGTTGTTAGCGTTGCTATCCGGGTGTTTGCCAGACACATCGCCATCACTTGTTATGGGCAAAATATCCTCTGCAGACGAGCCTTTTTCAAGTAGTTCGGGGGTTCCTTGCTCCGTACCTTGCTGTGGGCTTGAATCCAACGAGCATGTATCATGGCTGTTCGGGAAGTCCTGCAGTGTTCCGTTAGAAGCTCGCGGTCCGACGAGTTCATGCGGCTCGAGCGGTTTTGATTTTCGACGGTCGTTCTGGCGCCTGTTCTGAAACCATATCTATGCGTAGGTTAGTGGTGCTCTGCCTCGTAAATCTCAAACGCGCCGCCGACGCGTACCTGGACTTCTTTTTCACCCAAAGAGACTTGGTTAACTATGCTCACTCGAGCGACCTTGTCGGGCTTGGGATTCTTCTTATATTCGGCCTCTAGAATAGCGTGGTCCTCGGGACTATGGATCGGGAAGACAAGATCAGCTATCAGCCAACGAGGACAACCACAACAACCACCATCCCCACGCATGTAATCGAGGGAACAATATTCACCTGGTACGCCGTCGTTTCTGTCGTGCAAGCAATTTGTTGTCAACGCGAGGCGGGAGGTTCTGCGTCAATGTTTTCTGTGAATGGACGAGGAATGCATAGTGGAGATTGGCCGGAGACGAGCCATAGGACTGAGGCGGCGAAGACGAGGCGGCAGTGGTGGATGATAATGATGATGATGATGATGATGATGGATCAACTGAAATCATGGTTGACCAAGTACACTTGTTTATGGATGTGTTTGGGGGGGGGGGGGAAAGGTGGATGGAACAAAATCCCACGTGGGAATATTCTACCCAATCAATGCATGAAAAGAAGAAGAAAAAGAAGAGCGACAAGATTCAAAGCAGGATATTGTGTATGATAGTTGACATGCAACAATTAGTAGAAGTAGGTAGTGGTGTGTTGGAACTGAGAACTTAGTATAGTAGTAGTACGTAGTGTGAGTATTGGCGCGGGCGCGCTGCCATCACGCGCGGGTTGCACGACTTACTCCGGTGAGGCGCCTAGGGAACTATGGCCCTCGCGTCTATCAATGGCGACGCGCGCTGACTTTAATAATAACAACAATATAACTATTAACCTATGGGTCTTTGATTTTAATATTCCATAAATGACATTAAGTATAGAGTATGCATATGCACACCGTTCTCTAACAACGGATTTAGTCCTTGCATTGGCTCTCTGCATATCTGCAGCCAGACAGAGGCAAACTGGGAGAGTGGTGAATTTACTGGTGTGCACGGTGTAACTAGCATATTCACATTTCTATAACAATCAACAGCTGTGAACAGACTATAAAAACAAAGCGTGGATTCATCGACAAACAAACCCGCCGCGTGGCCACGTGCTTGACGCGAGGTCCCGTGACCCACGCGGCCTTGGTGCCTCAGGCGCCAGCAGCAACCTGGCCCTCGCCATCATGCCAGAGTCCTACTTCTTCGTTTTTCATCCCCTCCCTCCTCTTTCTACCACACACGCGTTTCCCCTTCCTCCCCCCCGTCTTTGCGCAACAGCAATGCGGCTGATGTCCGCCCCACGGCCAGACCGCCAGTTTGCTGCCAGGCGGAATGCTCCAACGGCCGAACTGCTCCACATCCGGGTCGTGTGCCCAAGTCGCATTGGCCGTAGCATTGCTGCGCTGCTCTCTTCACCAGCCTCAGCGGGCGGTCAGATCTGGGATTATGCCTCACAAGGCTGACATCGATCTCCCATACATCTGTCTGTAGAATGCTGCCTGAGACGAACCTGAAGGTATCCGGCTTGTCCGACGCCGACTACAGCTGATTGATTCACTACAACAGCGAAATCCGCCCCAGTCTACTACTATAACCCCCCTGCTCATAGGGCGGTTTTTTTTTCCCCATGAGCTGCTTCTACATGCTCATTCGACAAACTACTGGAAGCCCTTTTCGACCGTTGAACCTCTAGAAATTGCTGCCCGGCCAATGGTAGCCTTGATCTAGACAATAGCCACAGGAAGTGGCCCAAAGACACGGGGACGTCAATTATCAGATATCCGCAGTGTGAGGTCCTTAACCTAACAGAAAAGGCCAAATATATGTCCTTGACCCACTGGCCTGGTGTATAGATTTGGCTGACGTCGGCCTGAGGCCGGGGTCTTGTATAGCCTTGCACCTGAGGTTTTTGACATGTCTTAGTTTCCCACTAGGAAAATGAAAGAACGACCTGGTCTGAATTTTTTTCCTTTTCCTGCATGCATGGCTGATTCCTTATCCAATTTTGTGGTCTCGAATGGATCCCGGATGAAAACTTTGATTACAATGCTGTTATCATTCCTGAAACTATTCAGGGGGCAAGGGCTTTTATGGCAGCCTTCCCCGTCTTCCATTTTGCTTCTGCCTTGGTGCACCTCTCTCTTTCTCTCATCATTTCGTTTCTGTATGTCTTTTTTTTTTTGCTGTGATACTTTCCCTTTACGTTGTTGTAATTCAATTTGTCCCTCGTTTGGTACCATACATTCGTTAATATAGTTGCTGGGAGTATCACTGAGGCTTTCTCAAAGCCATTTATTGTCCTGTTTCTCCCACCGATCCAATGATAAAGATTGCACTGGCAGGGACCAGCGGTCTCGCACAGTACATTGCTCATTATCTCTCCACTCAGACGTACCACCAGTTCATCTTCCTTTCTCGGAATGTAAGTGCCTTCATACACCATGTGATTTGATATGGACCCTGACAAATTCACACAGCCTAATCCCGCCCTTACAGCACGAGGGTGGCAGGTGTTACCTGTAGATTACAATAATCCCAGCGATGTACGCTACAAGCTCGTTGGTGTAGACACCGTCATTTCAACCATCTCAGGCCAGGCGCAACTATCGCTGATTGACGCCGCTGCCGACGTCCATGTGCGTCGATTTGTGCCATCGGAGTTCGAGGGTTCTCCGCGTCAACGGCCGGAGGACGATCCCCTTGATCGTGGACAAAAGCTGGCATTGACTAGACTTCGTGAGAAGCAACAACGTGGGATGGAGTACACGATATTCACTTGCGGTATATTCTATGAAAGGTTTTCTCCCGGTGGCATGGCTGCGCTTCAACTTGGTGCTGGGACGCACATTTCGGCGGAAGGCAGCTACATCTTAGATATACGCCGTCAAACAGCTAGTATACCCTTTCATCGCTCAGGTGACGGCGTGTATATATGCATGATGTCGGCCGAAGATGTTGCTCGATATGTGGTGGCCGCGCTTGACCTTCCTAGCTGGCCGAATGAATTCTTCATGGCAGCAGAAAGGATAAAAGTGGACGATATTGTTTCCATAGCAGAGGTCATGTACGGTATGTTTGCTCTAGCACTGTTCCTAATCTTCTTCGACTATTGTTAGCTTGAGAAAAGATTATTCATAGCTAATTGCTTCTCTGTTCTTGGAAACCACTAGGTGGACTGTTACAACGTCGATACTATGACAAGGCTACGTTAATGAACGACATTTCCTTCGCTCTTGAAACATGCGATGATTCTGAGCATTGGCGTCTTCGACATCTGATGGCTACCCTGCAGGGCCGGTATGATTTCCAGGAGACAAATCTTAACCAACTCATCCCTATTCAACCGAAGGCTTTCGTGTCGTGGTTAATCGCTGCTTGGTCTAACATCACATAATGCAAAAAAAAAAAAAAAGAATGGAGCGACGAGAACATTACGACTATTTATTTGTTGTTGCTGAGTGTAGAGCACTCCTATATCTCTCTTCTTTCTCTCTTGTATTGATGAAATTTATTCTCCCTGTTGATACATGAAGTTGCATTTCTGGCGCTGGTCGTTGCAATCAGTTTCAGTGTATTAGACGTCCAAACGAACTTGATCCTACACAAGGACAAAAATATGGACTGGAAGGTCTTCTCGATATGGTGGAATTTTAGGCATCAATATTAATGAAAGACTTCGATGTTTTATCATCACCCAGACCCTGAAAATTATACAGATACGCTTACTTCGACACTTGGAAAGAATTCTCAGAAAAGATCTCTACTCGGACAAATAGATAGCATCGGTGGTATCCAGGTACTCGCCATTTCCGGACGACAGAGGAGACATGATCCCATTTCCGGGAACACAAGCAAGAAGCATTGAAACAACCGGATCAAAACGAGTCATGCGACCTTTCCATGTATTGCTCCCCGTTATCGGTGAAGAAGGCGAATTTTCGTTGCACAACAGAGACCCTTACCTAGTACATGTACCATGTATGAACTCTAATCTTCGGGCTAGAAAGGACAAGGAGTTTCACAAGTTTCCTCTGGCTTTGTGTTCCTTTGTCTATCCATCTGTCATCATCTCTCTTTGTCTATCTTTCTCCTTTTCTGCTTCTCTTTATGGCTTCCAATATAGCCCGAGAAGTTATGGGAGTGTGAAAGACAAGGTACTCTGAATCATACCCAAGATTTCATCTTGATTTCTATTGTATTAGCCAGGGGTTTTATAAAGACACAAAAATCATGGAGTTCCACTATTATCCACTGCTGGTCGATTCGCCACTCAACAAGCGCCAGAATGAGATCAAAAAACATGAGAATGATCGGCAATCAATTGATATTCTTCTGGCTGTCATTCTTGGCGTCGCAGTTTTCTTTATCTTCAGCATGATGTAGGCCGCTTTCTTTATCTCGGAGAAAAAAAAAAACGATAAGCAGAAGTCCTCCTCGCTAACATTCATTATCTTGCGCGCCGCCCCAAAAAAAGAATTTCCATTTATTGCAGCTGTCGCAGGCGCAAAAGAGCGGAAGATCCTCAGTGTCAAGTCTCATTAAATCGTTTACGAAAATTGGAGGCAGTAGCACCGACGCGCAATTTGGATGAATGGTGGCCCACAGTGAAGCACTCACTGCGTCTATCAGAAGCTGTAGAAAACCATTTTGTTTGGTATAGTCACTCCATCCCAACCATGTTTTCATCTAGATAATAGTGAAAGCAAATGCGATTGATAGGCGACTAACGCACTTGGGAAGTGTCGTCTGCTTTGACCAAGTTGAGTGCATGCAAGAGATTCACGAGCTAAGATGTCTGCATGTTTTCCATAAGGAATGTCTCGAGAAGTGGTACCTCCGAAGCCATTACACATGTCCCATGTGTCAGTGTGTCTTTTTTGAAGAACGCGAGAGGCACCGATCCGCATCGGACTTTATCATGGTAGCTTGAATGACTCTGCTCATTCCTAACTAATGGCCACTCGTGCTATTTCCATCTATTCCAAACATGATGATATAATGGGACCGAAAAATGAAACAGCATGCTTTGCTTGTTCAATTTCTTATTATTGATGCATCATCATAGAGCCGTTTTGTCCCTAAAGCGAAAAGTACTCGGAATTGAAGTCAAGTGTATTGAACTGACTCCAGTCCAAATATGGTTCCAACCCGGAGGCGACATCTTCAACGAAATTTAAATCTTCATGAGGTGCAACAAGTGGAAGTGGATCGAGAATCTGATCTAATATGCGCGACAGCTTTTTCTCGACTTCTTTGCACGCGGTATAATTCCCGTGGCTAGGGCTTGGACTTGCAATCCAAGCAAGGCACGAAACAAAAACGCTCAAATTTCGAATGATTTCGGATCGCGGGAGAACGACTAGGTGAGGGCCTGGCTTCTGGCCCTGTCGTAGAACTTCAAAGGCAAGCACGCATGCGCTTGGAAGACCATAATAAAGCATAACCCAGGACACCTGTTTGCTTCTGTCCGTTGTGGTCTCGCGGTCGTTGCAGATTCGCAGGACAGTTGACAGGAGTAATCTCGCAGTGTCGAATAGTGGCTTGTGGCCGACGTCAGTGTGCTTTACTACGGCTCTGTGCAAGAGAAAGTGACTGTGCAAATAGTCAATGTACAATAAAAACAACATCCGATAGGTGTCATGTAAAGGATGCACGAGCTCATCTGGAGAAAGACAGTCATATCGCAGATGTGCAGGGCACTGGCCCCATGCCTTCTGTGCCCGTTCCAGAATTTGTCTTCAAAATTAAACATTAGTCCAAAAGTTTCGAAAAGGGATAGGGAGTCAAGTTGGAACTTACTCGGCTTTACGAGGCATGTCACGTTGGTAGCCATCACCTAGCGCAAGCTCTAAAATCTCTTCACGGAAAAAAGAAAGCTGCAACCTGATGCGGTTAACACTTGGACGGCGTTTTATACCATCTTTGTCCCACCCATTTACGTCCACATGCGACAGAACCTCTTGCTCGTTATCCGCGAAGAGTATATCATCGTCGATGTCATAAGGCAGAGTAAGAGAGCAATATCGATAGTTGATAAGTGGCGGACGACCCACAAACGTTGCAACTGACTTGTCGGTGAAAAAGGCGGCAGCAAAACAGCCTCGCCTCACTTGTTTTAAAAAGAATGGACAATTTTCGTCTGCCGGGCCGTCCACCTGGTGCAAACCTGATGCATACACAGTGGCAGCGAGATCACTTAGTCGACGCCAGGCCTGGTAACCTACTATTATCAGTGTTTATGCTCTTCATCGCGATCGCGTCATCATGCCTCTATCTTTTGACACCTGGAAAAGAAGGGGCGGGGAAGGGGGGCGCTTACTTGAGTCACCATATTGTTGAGTTTTCATCACAACATCCGCGTATTGAGCATAGGCAAGAATCTCATTTGAAGATGAAGCTTGATCGCAAAGCATTAGACAATTGCTCGTTGCATCCGAAAGCTGCAAGACTAGCTTGTCTTTCAGCTCAGAGCTGCCTTTCATATCATCGCTTCCTCTCAGTTCACTAATCAGTGGATCCTGTTCAGGACGTGAAAGTAGCCCAACGCCTGCAGTCGCTAAGATAAGAGCAATTGTTTCCCAACGAGTGTTAGGCCCTGTAAAAGTTCCCGCGTAGTCATCAACAGTCATGGTCTTTGATCGAGGAATTGGGCGAGATGAATTGCGGAATATTCGAAGAGCAAACCCTCGAAGTCGGCCTTCAATCTCTGGGGCTTCAAAACTATCATATATTTGGCGAGTTGCATAAAGCGTTCTGTCAATGATGTATGGAGGCAAGACCTTGTACCACTTTCCAGCATAAAACTGACTAATGATAGAATCAAAGAATTTCAGATTGTACAGTATACCTAGCACCCTAACAGCCATTTGTGCACGGTCAGAGTCAGGACTGATTATGGGCACGGCAATCGTTGTTCCAGGTGGCACGTCGACATCACCGGGAATCTCCTTCTGATGTTCTGCAAGCACTGCCGAAAAACTTGTCGAGCCAAGGTACCCCGGTGATGCCGAAACCTCCAGTCCTGGAGACTCTGTCGGGGTAGGTACCAACGGCACGTCCAACCCAGGGCTCGAAACAGCAGAGCTCCTGCTAACTGACGATAGTCTAGACTATCTAGGTAAGCATAATCACGTGTATAGATACGATTAAAAGAAGAGAGTATGGATGTGATTAATACCTTGGACTGGATAATTTGTCAACTCTGTACTTATACATCGGGTTTCCACGGCTTGGGTCACTGCCCGGTTTTTTGGTCATGGGCGATGGGTGATAGAAGCAATGTTGACCCATGTTTCTGGTTGCACACCGACCACACACGGGCCGGGCATGGTCACATCTCAGCTTTGATTTTCTGCATGGCTCGCAAGACTGTGGTTTGCCATTCCGACGTGTTGTTGTTGTGGTCTCGGGCAGATACATTCTGTCCTCTATTTCGGCGGAGCAATGAGTTCGGTACGACTCTCACCCGAGACGAGTAGCGGATCTAGACACCAAGCAGAGTCACGAGTGGATGAAGCTCGCGTCAATTATTGGGGCTGTTCATGAAACATTTGGGGAGACACATGTCGTCTCCTACAGGTGACAAATTTCGGCCGGAATAAAAACTCGGACTTCAAGTGGGCGCTGGCCAATCGCAACGGCGGAACGCTCGCCGGTGTCTAACCGCAATTAGGCTGCTTTGTCACAACCCTAACCCTAATCCTATCTCTGTGGATTGCTGCGGAATCTGGGAACATAGACGTCTGTATACATGTAGGTGTATAATATCCATCGATATGTATATGCCGAAAACATTCTATACGGATAGGTGTTGTTGTTGCTGCTGTATCCCAAGGAATATGTCAGTATGGACACCGCGATGAGGGCGGATAATTGGGAGATTCAAGACACAGTACGGAGTAGTCAGGACCCATATGAGCTGGTCGAGCTGTGTTATATAGCTTGTGCCGAACGAAACAGCCGCAACAATCATAAATACATATCAAATTAATGCAGGATATACCAGGGAAAAGAAAGATCCGGTGCATCCACAGTTTTAAACTGGATTTGACGGTAGCGTCGAGTAGTGCCTAAAGAACAAAGAAAGTCATGACTCGCTCCAAGTTTGCTTTAAGTATTTTCAACATGTCTACGAAGTACGGAATATGGAGCAAGATTCTATAGTCTATACAATTGTTGATTGCCACATGCCAATAGGTTATGATGCTCGATGTACGCATTATCAGTCACGCTAGGCACTTCGCCGGCTGCAAATTGTACACAGATCCAACTTAGGAATCCGTAGTTCGCACTATCATAGTACTATCGGAGTCTATCGCTCCCAAAGCAAAACTATCGTTGACGCTAAGTCCCATTCAAACGTCTTTCATAGTCCACTACCATCAAGGTTGCATGTCCATGAGTGACTGAGTCGGTCCGTGAGCTGCCGGCCACTCCTCTAGCCAATCGATCTGCATATATATCCTCCGTACATCGCGCCAGCTGTTTACCTAACATGGCCGTGCAGCGACCTCAAAGTTCGGGCATAACGAGCACCCGCTTTCGAAGCTTATCATCCTCTGTGTGACTTCCTATGTACGGTACCTACGTAGGTGGAGTTCCATAAACGGTGTATATCCGTTTTCCTGTCCAATCCACACAATCTTCCAAGTTCCAAAGATTGACTTAATAAGCTATAAATAGCTCTGCTTGCCCAAGTGAACGATGCGTGATTTTGAAACTGGACTTCGCAGACTTCGCACGTTTTCCATCACATCGACCGGAAACGCTTATTTACGTTCCCAACAGAAACACTAACGAGCAACCTTGGAAGACTTCACAATGAAGTTCAGCAACGTTCTTGCCCCCATCGTCTTTCTGGGGATGAGTCATGTTGTTTCAGCTGAGACAAGCATTACAAACGCGTAGGGTACCCTTTATCTGCCCTCTCTGGCACTCACCTCACCTCACTTCTTCTTTCCGTCCCTCGTCAATTTACATCACACAAATCACTACCAAAAAACTAATATTATGTGTATTGTACCACCGAGTATGAGCTGACTATTAAAAACTTAATAAAAAATATAGAGAAAAGTATCTCTCCTCAGTCGGAATCACTGACACCGGGATCACGGGCACTCAGGCAACTTCGCTCGCTTACGCTCTTGAATCTGCATATTCATCCATCGAGACTCGCTCGCAATACACCTCTGCTTGGAGCGTGATGGCTACTGCTATATCATCCGACACTTTTGAGTCTCTTGCTTCATCAGGCTACAAACACATTGTTACCACTGCCGAGCCAGCCTGGTTCACTGGACTACCGGATTCTGTAAAATCGGAGCTTCTGTTGGAGCAAAGCCAACTTGATTCGGTTGAGATGAGCGTTTTGAGCAAATCCACTTCGACGTCCAAGGGCGATGCGCCTCAGAATACCCTGGCGGCTGGTGGTTTTTTCGCTGCCGGTCTTTTAGGCGTTGCGGCGCTTCTATGAATGCGAATTTGAGCTTTAATACTTCTCGGAATTACGCAATCTTTGGGAATCAACTGTTAGGCCAGGGGGATTTAACGAAATAATCATGAGCTGATGAGGGATTCGGTGTATACAATTCTAGTTTTAGTCATGTAATCGAGCAATTTGAAATTCTGATAGTACTACTCTAAGTAAAATTTACTCGGTGCAAGGTGTCCACAAGCCATTCTCCACGCACTTCACTGTTGATTGATAAGCTCGCCAATTTTCGAGTTCGTCTTGCAAGAGTCTTCAAGTGAAGTGAGCGCCTCGTTCACGAGCTGTTCAATTGTTATGAAGTCAGATACTGTACAAATAAAGGATAGAATAAGAGGGGGAAGGGGCAAATGAAACTGAAAATGACAACAAGCCCGCGAAATGAAATAGAAGATTGGAATTAATGCGTTGCAGACGAAAGGAAACTTACCTCTAGACCCGCGTCAATTCCCTCGCCGCCAAAATAACCATACTCGATTATGTATTGAATGATATGCTCCATGGTTGTCTGGAAAAACTCGGGCACTCCTTTTGCTGCAAGGCCAGATTTGAATGTTTCTAATTCCACAGGAATTGGCGCAATTTTCAGACCTCGCTGTTGGAGAATGCTGGAAACCTTGTCAAGAGTGTAATACTTCTCGGCAAGGTTGTAACTTTGACCAATCGTCTTATCTGGGTTGAGAAGAACAATTTTGATAAATTTGCCCAAGTCTGCAGAAGGGTCAATGATTGGCAGTGTCGTTTTCCAGTTGGAGGTACCAGGAAAGCAAAGTCCATAGGACAGAGGATTGGTTGGTAAGGGAGCAATAAAGTCCAGAAGCACATCAACGTAGATACCTAGTCGAACAACTGTGGATGGAATAGACAAGGACTGAATATACTCATCTACGGCAGCTTTACCGTCAAAATGAGCTGCAGCAGTAAACTTGTTGTTCGAGACTTGGTAAGAGAAAACTTGAGTTAGGATTTGAGCACAAAAAGTTACAGAAGCTGGTAAAATGCTTACTCTTGGATATACTCGGGAGACTGCTCCAGATGAAGTGCTTAATACCCAATTTCTGCATTCTGTTAGTAACTTTAGCTTAGACAGCCTAGGCATTGCGTACCTTAGCGATGTCAGCAACATTCTTGCCCTGTCTTTTCTCTAGGGCAGCGTCATAGGTCTCGAAAAAGTTTGTCACCAGGAACAAAGCATGTGCCCCGGTCAAAATTGAATTCAATGACTCTTTATCTTCGAGGTCACCCTACAAAAGGGAAAGTCAGAACATTCATCAGTACGCCAATATTATATAGAGGGATATGACTGAGAAAATAACAATTGAGGTTAAGATAGTATGCTTGCCTTCACAACATCAGCGCCTTGGGCAATAAGAGCCTTGGCAGCAGGTTTTGTAGGGTCTCTTGTGACTGCTCTGACTTTGAACTGCCGAGCAGTGATGGGATCACTCAAGAGGGCCTTGGCTACCGAGCCACCTTGAATACCCGTAGCTCCAAATATCACAACGGTTTTGGGTTCTGTAGAAGCCATTCTTATTGTGAAGTTCAGGACGATGCGGCGAAGATAAAGATTTAGGTCTTGTTAGTTAGATGCGAGTGGCCAATTAAGTTGAGTATTAGGGAAAACTCAAGTGCCTAAGTGTATTTTATAAATAGGAGTGATGTATCAAGAGATATTGATTGATGCTAGGAAGACTTAGAACAAGGATTGGCATGCTATTTATGCATTGCTTGATTATCTCAGTATCATATACCATCCGTGTAGATTTGTCAGGATTCCAAATCTCGCCGAATGAGTCGGGTAAACTAATTAGGCCGTGATAAAATCCGAAACAACATGATTCTCTCCGCACAATTCAAAATTGTGTGGTGATTTTATGTTCAAGGTGCAGTATCTCTCACTGATTGGCTGTTTCGCAATACCTTCCAAAAAGGTTTAGCGCGATCTAAATGTCGGGCGGGTACGCGGGGCTGAAAGCTAAAAAAGCTAAAGCTGTCGTCAGAGAACGGCAAGTAGTTTGTCCGCTCTCCGAGCATCTACCAGCATCCGCATCGTTTCCCTAGACCTAGATCTGAGGAGCAAGCTCTGTCCTTTCCTAAACTACTTAGAGTTGACTTCGCATATTTTGCATCTCGTGGAAGTCATGGTCCGACATGGTAGGTTCTCGAAAGGCTGCCAAATCTGCAGGAAACGCAAAGTCAAGGTCTTCCTCTCCCGCTCTGCAAACCATAATCTGTTACAGAATACCTATGTGCTCATATCCAGTCTAGTGTGACCAAGCTTTGCCGGCTTGTGGCCAATGCTGTAGAGCCGGTTGGACATGCCCTCAGTACGGAGACACTGTGGATCGAATGTTTCAACATCAGTCTGTCAAAATCAATGATAGACCTACGATAAAGGCCAATGTCAGAAGTAGCAATAAAGGAAGATCTCAAGTTACTTGCCAGACGCCCACCGTTACTATTATGACTCCCTCGGTGAGTTCCACAGTCCTTCCGTCATCTGTGTTTCGCACAGTGGAAGATGTTGCAATTGAATTTTTCTTCGCCAACCATGTATTCCGTGAAACTGGTGTTGATCGCGGCCATTTTGAGTTTTTATCTGTATATTCTTCCGCTATTAACTCCGATAAAACATTATATGCGAGCTTAAGTGCTGTTGCACTTGCAGCGTACGCCTACAGATTTCAGTATCAAATAATTTTGAGAAGATCCAGAATTCACTACTGTCATGCTCTCAACAGGTTACGATCTGAGTTATCATCTCCCATAGAAGTGGCTAATGGTAGTTCCATCGTTTCGATGACGCTACTGGGTACTTTCGAGACGATAAGTGGCGAGAACCTGAACGCATTAATAAGAACCGGCGTACATATGAGAGGCGCAATGAAAACAATTTCCATGCAAGCCGATAAATTACTGAAATCACGTCATGGAATGCAACTGTTTTTGCAAATGTCCTGGTGCCGTCTCGTGACCTGCATACTTCGCTCGATACCGACACCTGAAGAGCTATTCCGAACTCGAAGATATGCTGCTAGCTTGCTGAAGAGAGAAGACCCAGCTTGGAAGTTGTCGGAAATTATGGAAACAGTTGCCAAATTCCGCGCGGATATCAAACAGGGGGTTTTTTATGGTCTATCTCGCATCGTTGATGTAGCTTTGAGGTTAGATCAAGAACTGTCTAATCTTGCAGAAGCTATGCCAATCGAATGGAAATTCAAACAATTTCCGGCTCGGCAGTCTGAAATTGTTTTTGGATCACACTATCATGTTTATCCGGATCTTTGGGTGGCCTGCATTTGGAATTTCATCCGCAGTTGCCGGTTGGTGTTACACAAAGAAATACGCTCTCGACTTCTGAATGGCCTCGATCTAGTAAATTTTGAAGACTTGCCGGAACACGGTACTCCGTTTAAAAGCTCGACCGCAATCGTGGAAGCTTTAATATCCGATATCTGTGCCACTGTTCCGCAATTCTGTGGTATTTCAAGTATGTTATCGGACGCTAATTTACATCAAGGTGGACATTTTCAAAAACCACACGTCTATGAGGATACTTTAAAAAACGGTGTACCAACAACCGCTTGCGTTTATCACCTTTTCTGGCCATTGCTCAATGCCGGTCAGATGACTCAGTCGGACTTCCAACGAGACTGGATTGTTAATCGCTGCCGCTATATTGGAAGAACCACTGGAATTCAGCAACCATTTGCTCTCGCAGACTTGTTGGAAAACCGCGGGGACATTGAGGCTTGGTTTGAGCTTCAAGGCGGAGAGAAGCTGCTATCATGAAGTCTCGGACTAGAAACTTCAATATATCCCGAGTGGATGAACCGAGGGATAATTAGGGGATAAGAAACGATGCTTCTATAGGAAATACCACAAATGAAATAGTTATATATTGACATAATCCTGTGGCACGTAGCTCTGCTTCGTTAACTTTGAAAGCGCAATTATTCATTTGCGTCTGTCCCCGACGTGTTACCTCTTTTTCATGCTTGGTTATGGAAGATTTGATAGTCAGTCGTTGATTTAGGAATTGGCTCATCACTTATGTGATTTGATTGTCACAGAGCGTCAAATATGAACATTATAGTTCTTCTCTCCATGAAGGATAGGATGTTGGAGATTTCTCAGCACTATTGAGAAAACGAGATCGTTCCGAACTTTGTCGAAGAGACGCAGTGAGCGCCTGCAGATGCTTAAAATTGGGCGCGTCCTCGCCCAAGCCCCAGGCAAAAACGCCGCCAATGCTGTATTCGTCAACCATCCTTGGAAACTTTCGATGAATGGCATCGGGATTATCCCACGTCCAAAATATTTTCTCCGCTTCATCCCAGAAATAGTGGCCACCGCCTTTTTCATCATATACCCCTCTTAGAAGTGCCCTCTTAAATGAATCCGCAACGTCTGACGGCACCTGATCATGCCAGGAAAAACTGCCAGATTGACTAAGATCAACACCGGTGCGAGGATCTTCAAGCAACGCTGTCTTGCAACCAATCCCATTTTGAGAGGAGCATTGGCGTGTATCTTCCATATTAGTCTTGAACCACTTCACATAAAACGCGAAGCCCAGATTTGCTTTATGGGGAGTTAGTCCGTTGCTAAGGTATGCATGAAGGCCATCCAACGCCATTTGTACCCCCGTATGATGTTGCGTAACATTATCTCGCCGATTCATTAGGTCGTAAGTCATTATATTGAGGAAATCTATGGAGTTATCGAGATCCCGTAGGTTTTTCTTCGTAAAAGCGATCATATCGCGCCGAAGGCCCGGTACTGCTGCCGATAGTAATTTGTTTGGACCAAGAGCATGTCTAATTTCCGCCATTAGCTTAGGATATGCTTCCACCTCCCATGCTTTTTCGGAGTTTGGAATCTGTTTGTAGTCCTCCCCATTCCCACTAAGTCACATTCGAGTTGTTAGTCAGACACTGAATCACAAAGTTGATATTTATGGTTCAGATTGAGGCAAAGTTACCCAGGATATTCCCAGTCTATGTCCACTCCTGCACGATAAGCTCACTGGTCAGCCAATGCTTGTAGCTTTCAGCAATGGGTCACTGCGAAATTACCATCTGCGCCGGTTTCTTCAACCATTTTCCTAATATTTTGCGCAAATAGCTTCCGGCTACTTCTTGTAGCAGCTGCTTGCGAGAATCCGTTTGTGTCTCCCCACCCTCCAATGGCCACCATGATGGCGGTTTCTGGCGGAAATCTGGAACGGACCTGTTCGACAATCGAAAAAAGCGGCCATTCAGTGACATGCGGCATGTTAAAAGTAGATGATCCCAAAAATGCCATGATAACATGTGTGATATCTTGTACCATTGCTAATGGAGGAACAACGTCATGTTGTCTTGTGTCCATCATCAGCATTGGCTAAATTATTGTTTGATGCCGACTCACCCGGTTAGGTACATAATACATCTCCTTGCCTGAGCTACTTGTAGGATGATTAGAAGCCCAGGCCAAAGGATGTGACACAGCATGGCTCGCTACAGTGTTGCAAATCCTTCACGTTGTGATTCATGGAAGGAGTGGAAGCTAGATTGAGACAAGTGGCATGCCGGGGCGGGATCTTCAGGTGTCCGCTTGGCTCGGCAACTGGTTTGCTATGTTTGTCCGTCAGACTGGCACAGGAAGTCTTGCACATCCTCAAATTTCACTGAAAGCCATCGTATACTAGTTTAGATAGAATATCTTGTACCCTTTTTAAAAAAAAAGAAAGATCCTTGATTTATTTGCTGCATTTGGGACACTTCAGACGAATTGAAGGACGCCGGCTTTAATTGACAGCTACCTAGTATATATTAACATAGATATCGCTAAGGGCACATAGAACAAGCATACAGCGGCCCTCTATATGTTCAAGAGTGCCACAGTATGTGGCCTGCGCGGCGTTGCACTCTCGCCATCTATAATATCTGGGGAGAATTTCATGTTGGCGTGACACCATGAGCCTTACTGGGTGCAACATACACCTCCTTTGTACTGCCGGTGGCACTCGCGATAGACATAGTATTTAGGCAAATGTTGAAACAACCGAGATTGAATAGCGCAGTTCGGTTCTACCAAGTGATGCCTGGGCGTCTTCAAAGTTACTCAAGGCACCCGTAATGGCAAAGGCACTACAGGCTATCTGCACCAATGCACCAAATAACCTATGTGAAAATGCCGCTTTCCGAGTATGGTAGATAAGTTACCTACTTTTGTAACACAGGTTAATTATAGTGCAGCTGACGGCTTTCATAATAACCGTGGCCTACATCTAATATAACGGATGAAAACAACGCTGGAAGTTCTATGATTATCACATCTGCAACATGAGACTCTGCAACTTTATCATGAGGACATTATAATTCCTGAAAACGTCGTTACACTGAAAAAGTGATTCAAACACCAACACAGATGTGGTGATACGTCGGACGCTGTTTCTTCACCACCATGATGCATGCATGTACAATATAACAATCACGAAAAGAATGGCTGTGAGGAGCTAGCGCGATTTTGCTCTATGTTTAAAGTCAGCGATTAGACCACCTTTGGATTCCCTCACTTTCATAACTTCAAACTCAAAGATTCTTCGCAGAACTTCCCGAGGTTCCATTTTCAGTCATTTTCATTTTCAGCACGTCGGTGAACGAGCTTTTGCGTTATCGAAGATGAAGTCCACCGCAGTTGTATTCGCAGCTTGTGTTTCAGTGGCTGCTGCTATTCCAATGGGCGAAATGAATTCTATCAGTATGCTTTTTTCCTTTGATGAAGATGTGATACAGCAGGTGGACCTGATTATCTGAACTTGACCGGCTCACATATATAAAATTCAGAACATAATCATCACCATGGAATTGAAAAGAGACGAGATCTTTCTATTCCTATCCCTAGTGAGACCGTACCAAGCATCGGACTACCAACAGACGATGGAGAAAGCATCATTTTACCACTGAGTATTCCAACTATATCGATTGGCACCTCCAAGGCCCGCAGAGATCAAATACTGGACCCCAAGAATATTAAAATGCTTCACGACGATGCTACCGCCGGCAGACAGAATAACTCTGGCATCACTGGCGGCATCAGAATAGAAATCCCTGCGAGCTAAGAGAAGCGTACCTAGAGCGTACCTCGAAGCTTTACAGAAAGGTTTTATGGGGTCAGGGTGGTTTGATTTGGTCTATTGCGTTGGTTGTAAAATTCGGAGGTTCTTGTTGTTTCCGTGAAGAGACAGTATATGTACTGAAGCAGCTACAAAACTATTTGAATGAACAATCACGAGTTCAGTGTTATGAAAATTGAAAATACTACTGGTAATGGTCCATAGCCCAAAGAGATATCTACATAAATATATATTAGAAAGAAGGCCAACCAAAGAAGCAAAACAACAGTCGTAAAGTATAACTAGGTAGCCCATCCAATAGAATCATAATCATGATAAAACAACAATAAACATTGCATATATGGCTTTTTGCATTGCAAGTTTCCATTGTACTCTTCTGTTATATTTTCAATATGGTATTCATATCATGCAACACCGGTACGACGTCTTTTGAAGACCACTAGAAGCATGGAAAGCATGGCAAATGAAAGCAATGAGAAACAGAATGGTCTATGTTTCCTCGTGATTGTGCTGAGAACTATATTAGAGAGTAATGGGAAAACAGCGATATTTATTGTCTTGCCACATATGGTGACGCGTTTTCACCTAAGAAAGTAATAAATGACAGTGTAGAGAAAATCCTAATCAAATAAAAGAGTGTTTTCCAATCCACTTTGTAAACCGAATCTCGTCGCAAGCATTTTCAAATAACGCCACGGCTTTTATAAGCCTAGAATGGATAAATCAAACCTTAAACAAGTCTGGAGATTCAGTGTAGCCGATGTGATCCTCTTTTGAGAAGTTTAGTCTTTAAAGAACTCGGAGGGTTTGGGTGGAGGCATTCTGAATGGCTGAGATAGGTGGTTTGCCAGATGGATGAGGCCCGCCCGAAGTCCTCTTAGCGCTTTTCCTTGAGTTAACCAGGGAAACCGGGTTCGGAAGGCGGAATAAGACCGACAGATGGCAGAGGAGCAAGACTGGTGGATGGCAGTGGTGGCAGAGTGACGGATGGTAGAGGAGCACTGCCACTTGGCGATGGTCGGTGGGCTGGCGGCCTGGCAACAGATAAGCAAATCAAGGGGAGAAGAAGGATGACAATATTGGAAAAGAGCATGATCAAAGCCGAATATTGACTTTTCTAATCGATGGTTTTCGTAAAAGGAAGGAAGTAGTAGAAAGTAAGGAACGTATGCATAGCTTGGTACGTCAAGATCGTAGAGAACGAGGTTGCTTGTGAGTTGAGTGAACTGGATGAAGATCGATCATGCTTAACCTAGGAAGAAAGGCCTTTGTAGTTGAGAACATCTCCTCTCCATCTTTTAAGTATCACAGGCGGCATATACATGTTGACATATCCGGTATAATTGAAAAATGCTGTCTGAATATTCCAATGTTTCCGGATATGTTTCAACTTTGATTCCACCAATTATTTAAAACCTGCCCATGTACTCACATACAGATATCGATAGCAAGTGGTAGAAATCGCGCATTGATGTCCGCTGTGAGGGGATGCCTGGTTCCGCGAATGGCTGGCAGGGCTCAGCATTAACCTAACGCAGTAATAATCACATGAAAGTGTAGCATCATGTAGTGAGTGATCTCGCTGATATCATTTAAGTTCTCAATAGCAAAAAAGATAAATCTGAAGTATAGCATAGATGGCGTGTAGGTAGGTGGCCGGCCCTAAGTCGCATCCCCGAGATATCTGGACATTCAATTCAGACTACATGGGAATTAACCATAGTAAGAAAGCTAATTGAGAATAGTAGGGCCTCAGTATTGAGTGAAGGTATTAAGAGATGCGCTAACTGATCTTCTGGGTATGAAACGTTGCGATAGTATAGTAACTAATAACAACCAACGTAGTATAGTCCTGTAATTAGACTAAATTCTGGGACATCTGAGGACTTTCCGTTTGTATTTCACATCTATTTGAACTCCTTATGCTGTGGTGTCAGATTTGAGTTTTGAGAATCGATCATCGATGCTCTAATAATGATGAAGTAGGACGTCTTACTCACTTTATCTGACTCGGCATTGGTGATCGGAACACGGAACACACATCCGAGCTTTTTACAACATCCACGTAAATGTGCCCTTGTACCCTACTTCGCCGCTCACGATCCGAAACCATTTGGGTTGCTTGTTTCAACTTCTAGTGTCTTAAGTATTCATCTCGCCACAAGACCTATGACACTGTTTATCATGTTTTCAGTTCACAGAGCGATGACTAGATATGTCAACGGGTTTACTCCGTTAATGTCCTCTTCGTCGGCTCTACCAACAATCGGAATCAAATTTAGAAGACAATTTTCGTGCACTTCATATTTGCGGAGCTTCTCTCCCTCCGGATTCGCTGAGATACGAGAAACGGAGAAAATAGAGGAAGAGACAATCACCTGCCACAATTTGGAAGACTATTATCCCGTCTCCCTCGGTGAAGTGTTTAAGTCAAGATACCAGATAGTTTCAAAACAAGGATACGGGGTTGGTTCCACCGTGTGGCTCTGTCGTGATCTGATAGAAAACCGTCATCTCACACTCAAAGTATGTGTTCGGCGAGCGAAACAGCAGAGCCACGAGCTGGAGATATCTGATCATCTGAGCAAATATGATGCAACACATAGAAGCGGACATCCGGGGAAGAGGCTAGTTCAGACCGTGTTTGACTCCTTTGAGATTGATGGCCCGCATGGCAGACATGTCTGTCTGCTTTATCAGCCTCTGGGTATGAAGCTCAGTGAAGTCATATCTCGCATGCCGAATGGGTTGATGCCAGCGGATATCCTGCAGAGAACAACCCAGCTTCTTTTTATCGCTCTTGATTACATCCATCGCCGTGGTATCGTACACACAGGTAAGCGTGTTAAAGCAAGAGAAGGAAGAGCAACAACCCGAAAACTACATGTGTTACTAACACAACTGGATTGATCTTTGTTTAAACAACATCCTCCAGAGCGTCCAAGACGATTCAGTCTTCACGTGTATCGAGAACGACGAAATGGAACGACCAGTTGCACGGAAAGTTCTTGCCGACCGCCATGTATACTTTTCTAGACCGCCTGCTGTTAGTTCCGGTTCACCAATTCTATGTGATTTTGGTGGTGCAAGCGTTCAAAGCTCGAGAAATCGAGGAAATGTTATGTACGATGTTTACAGACCCCCTGAAATAATTCTGGATATGGAATGGGACACCAAGATAGACATCTGGGGCCTATGTCTTATGGTAAGCAGAATTGCGGCGGTCGAAGAAAGCAACATACATTGTTTTTGTCAACACATCACTTGAGTTAAAACTGACAATTGTCGTTATCTGCTTATGCTACGTCTAGGTCTGGCGTATGCTAGAGGGCAATCATTTGTTCTCTGCTCACAAGTCAGGCGCACTCAACAATGAGCAACATCTTGCAGAAATGGTATCCCTCATGGGGCCTCCGCCCTTGGAATTCTTAAGAAGAAGTCCTATTAGCCAAAGATACTGGGACGAAGAAGGTATGCTTTGTTTTTATTCGCTGTATATCTTCCCATTCTGACAAATCACGCAAGGTAATTGGCAAGGGGTAATACCAATAACAAAAAGATCAATTGAACAAATGGAGAGAAGATTGTCCGGAGACGAGTACATAACGTTCATACAATTTATGAGCAAAGTCTTGCGATGGCTCCCCGAAGAGCGTCCCACAGCTGGAGAACTAGTTTACGATGATTTTCTCATGCAGGCAGTTTTGACATTCAGTACAAGAGCTAACAGTCACCTATCTGTAATTGATCTGTAGTATCAACAAGTTTATAGCTATGCCAATTGGCTTAGCGTCTATCTAGTTACGGGCATACGATAGTTATGCTAGTTTAAGACCTATGTGATAACTCTTAAAACGGATTTAGTAGAAGACCAGCTAGTGAGAGATATAGAGTCTCGAATAAACTAGGCATCTTTCCGGTAGTTCCTTCAACAGTAATGTCTAAATATCCCCAACAGACGCGTGGAATGGATGCCTCAAATTTAAGGTTTCCGTATCCTGACACTTTATATACCACTTCGAGTTTGCCCATACATAGGAAGCCATTCATTATATGTACGACCGAGAAGGGCCGTTTACCACTTTTGTTCCTTGAGATAATCCTCGAAAGACCTTACCTGGACTGGCACTTTCAATTGTGGTGGCTCAATATACCCATCAACACCTGCCATATAGCCGTATTCTGGAAGATACAGTGCCGCCTCAAGAACCTCCCATGGAACGCCGGATTGCTCGTGCATGATCTCAGGGGTAATCTCGATAATATCGGCCGACTTTCCAGAAACCCGAGACCAGAGTTCGGTTATCTCTGCAAGGGTAGGATAGAGGTTGTAAGCGAGAAGCTTGGTTCCAGGGTCTTCGTTTTCAATAAGAGCCTGCACAAATTTACCGGTCGACTCCTCATGAAGTACGACAGGCATCTTGAGTTCTTTCTTGAATGGAAACACGAATTTGTAAGTTCCAGTAACGGGATCCAACTGCGGAGTGATTAAAGGATTATTGGAATACGCGCCGAGGTAAATGAATGAGGCTTTTTTGGCAAGGTCAGGCAGCTCGGTTTCAATGTACTCGACAACCCTCGCCTTGGAATTCCAATGGTGCGAACGATAGTATTTCCCATTTGAGACCTTCTTCATTGGACCGAGAGCCGAATAGACATACCGCTCGAGAGTTGGCACAGAGGCAGCTGCGATAGCAGCATTTTTTCCGTTTTGTGCCTCTACGTCGAGGGAAAGCTCTTCGTTATTCACGTCCTTGTGTTCGGTCCCGGTCTGCATTTTTAGATAATGACCCCAGAAATCGGTGTTGACGAAAATGGAATGAGCACCATCAAACGCAGTGGACAGAGAGCTGGGGTCGGACAGATCTGCTTTAACAACTTCAGCGCCTGTCGATGCTAGAGCTCGAGCAGCTGGAGAAGATGGCTGGCGGGTCACAGCACGGACACGCCAATTTTCAAGCGTCAAAAATTGTTTTACCACAGAAGAACCTTGATATCCCGTGGCGCCCACAACGACGATTAACTTTTGAACAGTGGACATTGTGGCAAGCAAATCAAGAGAGGTGGAGTCCTTGAAAAGCGTGGAAGAAGATGAGGGATATATATCAAGAGTAGCTTGGCTGCAGAACATGAATATGGGAGTTGAGCAGGATGAAGCCCGGTATATATAGGGTTGCATACCGGGTCATACTATATACCTAACCATCTAAGAATGCTTACACCCCATATTCTGCTGTGGCAGGCTCTTTCCTAAAGTGGAAGTCGATATGGCTTACTCTAGAGCCCGTGGATGCCTGGGGCATCCGGCTTACGGCGACATCTGATTGGCTGAATACGCGTAAGCCATGCCGCGAGTGGAACCGCTTGCCACCTCGCTGCGACGACTCGGAAATAAGCGTCACCTCTGGGGGTTGCACAACGCTGCTCGCATTGCGCGCGCGGCCGGAAAACAGAAAAATGTACACGACAAATAAACAAAGCCTGTCCCCAGGAAAAAATTACTAGTCCTGATTCAGAATGGCCGATGTTCACTCCCGGCTGCCGTCAAGTACAGCGGGTGCCCGGAAGCGCGTTATCACTCCAGCTCGAAAAGAGCAAAACCGTGTTGCTCAGAGGGCTTTTCGTGAGTATTGTCGATGAAAAGATGGACTAGATGCCGTTATCTGATACTCGAGGTCTAGGTCAGCGTAAAAGGGAACAGCGTATGGCAAATAAAGAGCAACAACCCGGGGCCAATAAGACGCACATGAAGCCTGTGAAGATCCAGCCCTACCCTGCAGGAGAAGTCTGCAGTACAACCAAGAATGGCAGTAGTGCCATTAAATGTATATCTTCGAATAATAAGTTTCCTGAACCAATAATTGGCCTTCATCGTACGAAGATCGATTTGCCACAGAAAACGAGCGCTGAATCCATAGCCAGTCGCGAAATATCAATGCCGGAACATTTCCTGCTTGACGATATATCACCAACTCAAACATGTAATTGGCTTGCAGGTTCAGGAATAGACGTCGCTCTTTCTGATGTCCAGGAACCTTTAGATCCAAGCCTTTTTCCACAGCTGAGTCACTCGTCTGCTATGGACATGGTAAATCAATCGACATTATGTACAAACGGTTTGCACGCACCGACCTTTGACCTCGAGCAGACTATATCATCCAGTCATAGTTCAATTTTTAACTTCTCACCTGCGCTTATTTCGGCCCCGAAATTCATACAAAACACGGACAAAGCGTCACACGGCAGCTTTATATCTCCTCGACGACTTACGAGTCAAACGCGGCAACACTTTGGGGATGATAAGTCTAATGAAACTCCACACTCCGACATAATGCTACAGCCATATGCAAGGAGCCGTCGTAATTCCGTGAACCGTAATGACATTTTCCAACTCGCAGATCCCTATCAGAATGCAATCAGCCTTTCAAGTGTCACAATTGTTCAAATTTGTATCCTGAATGCATATTGTCTTGGTCTAGCTCCTGAGGACGTTGTCAGTGCAGACTGTCTTTCATTATGCTCCCCATTTTATAAGCCAGTTACAGCCTCGGATGACCCTAAGGCTTTACTGGCAGCTGTTACAAAACCAACCATCCCCAAATATCTACAGCCTACGCTCACACAGATTTTATTCCCACACCACCCCATGCTCGACTTAATACCTCTACCAGACTTTAGAGAGAAGGCTATTATGCTTTCATCCACTTCTCCCGCAATGCTTAACCCGCTGGAACTAAAACGCGACATTATAGAAGGCGGGCTCATTTGCTGGGGTGCTAGAACTGACCCATTCAATGCGGGTAATGGTCAGCCCTGGGACCTGCGCAGCTGGGAAGCAGCGCCTTGGTTTCTCAAGAAATGGCGATTACTAGTAGGCGGAAAAGATGGAGAGCTATGGAAGCAGAGTATGTGGTGGCGAAATATGAGAGGTGAGCCTCTTGAGGCATGATTCTCGATTCTCGATTATACAATATTATACACATGGACTTGAACAAGGCATCGGACGTGTGAGGATTATGCTGGACTAGTTCTAACGAGGGTTGCTATAGCGAGCAGTGATGCTGTATCTCAAGAATAGAATATATATATGTTGATTAGTGCTGTAGCCGTGCAATACAAAATCAATACTACGTTTCTCGGTCTGTCAAAACGATAGCTGAAGTTCTGCTAGCTTGTATACCCAGGATCTTATGCCTGCCTAAGTGCTCCTAAATGATAAAGCAAGTTATCGAATGAAAATAATCTCGTCAAGTAGCCTATCATATCACAATCTTAATTGATAATATCTAATTTTGGCATTTACTTTTAGACCTTTTTAACCTATCGATTACATAGTTACTCTAAGTTGTATCAATCTTCCCTAAACATTGATAAATATGTCTCTTTATTTACCCAACAAACCCCGAGAACCATATAAATGCATGCAACAATACATTGTAACCTTGCAGAACAAGTTATTTACCAATTATAGAACCAGACCCTTCACCTGCTTGATTTTTCTGACATCGACGTCCTCCCAAAACAAAACTGAACCCCAGGTTAAAATATGTAGACACGTCGCCGTGATGAGCATTAATCGTTGTGTATCCCCGTAAGCATGATTGATAGCAGTTCGTGTTTGACTGCCGACTGGATACGATGACTGCACAGTGATGGAACCGTATATCTCTGCCAAATTGCTCTGCGCAGTTGTTGGGAGGTAATTGGCCAACTTTTCCGGGAAAACACCACTCCAGAGCGCCTCCGCGATGGTTGAGCCAATGGCTCCACCGACAGAAGTGATCATGCTCTCCATTGAAAGCAGCGCTGGGATCATTGCCTGACTGCTGACAGCCATGATGGTCATCTGTTCACATATAACCAACGTGCCACCACCGAAGGCAATGAAAATTTGACACATAGCGATATATCCGATATTGACACCAGGCTGACGGAACTTAATCATCAAAGCAACGCCCAGGATTGTGATGGGCACGCCAAAGTAAAGCGCCTGCCACTTCAAGCGTCCATTGTACCGAATGATGATTCCCATGACAATAGACCAAAAACATGAACCGATAGTATAGATATTTCCGATGTACGTGGCATCTGCGACGCCAGTGTCGAAAACGACAATCAGCATTGAGTAGAAATAGCTGTCCCAGATATACCACGACGTGTATAGACATGCCACCATTGTGTATGTGAAAAACACGGTTCGGTTTTTCATCAACTCCCATGGAATAAACGTCACTGGTGCAAGGAAATGCTCGTAGAAAGCAAACGCAATGATCAACAGGCCTCCAAAAATAATGAAACAAATAATCAGGGGGCATTTCCACTCATTTTTCTGGTAGGCGTACAGGTTAAACGACAGCAAAAAGAGTGCGAGGCCTGTGGAGATCAATAGCAGTCCAATAACATCAAACTCGCGGCAGTAGTAAACGAAGTTTTCTGAGCAAGTACGTCCGCTGGGAGCTGTAGTCAACAAGCCCAGTCTTTCGGCCTTACGCTGGTTGTAATAGAAAAGGAAAAAAAGTGGACTGCAAGCCACTGGTATAATTATAGCCCATATACCAAATCCCCAGCGAAAACCGATAGTTTGAAGAATACTTTGAGCAGTAGGGCCAGATGCCCACACTGTTGCAAGCCAGGGAGAAGACGAGAACGCTATCATCAGAGCTCGGTTTCTCAGTGCAGATGTGTCTGCTATGAAGATAGTAATAGAAAAGTCAATACCATTGTATCCGACATAATAGAATACCTGTGCTGCGCAATAAGTCTGGACGTTGTTGCAGCCAGCCATCATTATCGTGCCCAATGTCATGCTTGCAACCATGAGAGCAAGGCCCTGCGGTCGACCCCAGTTGTCAATTAGCTTGGCGTATGGAAGTTTTACTAGGCCTGCAATGAGGCTGGAGATGACCGAGGTCAATGCAGTGAGCGAATGTTTCTGAAATGAGCTGGTGACATATGGCGTGAGGGTTGCGGTAACTCCAGAAGAGTATGCCAGCGTGAATTCAATCAACCAAATACTAAAACACTGTCAGCAAAAGACAAAAGCGCATAGCTAATATTAAGTATTTGATCCAAACTTAAAGGGGCATCATTCATACAAAACGTAAGCCATCATCAGGTGGTTCCTCGTCCAAACTTTGTTGACAGCTTGCGCTCTGCGAACGCCATATTGAACATTGCTGTCAATCGAGTCGTTTTGCTCGGAAACTTTGGGGGCAATATCCTTCGCATCGTGCTCTTTTGAAACGAAATTGGTAGCCTTCTCAACGACTAAGGGAGAAGAGTTTTTGCTCGGAGAGATATTGTTCGACATGATACTTGGCTGCGTGTGCGATTGCATCATTGCGTCAAGGGAAGATCAAGGGTTTGAGAGAATAATGCAGAGATAAAACACCATGACGACAGAAAAAGATAGAATGCATGCATGATAGAGGCCTGGTTAAATAATGGTCCACAACCGATACCGTCAGGATCAATGGCTACGGGAAACTTTTCAGAGACCGATGATCGGGCGCATATTACAGAAAAATCCAAACAAGTACTTAGTTACCAAGGACCTCGTATTTACTACATAGTGGCATCCACTCATGGATCCATTGCCATTAAGCAACGCTGCGGAATTTTATCTGATCCGAGAAAGTCAACTCAGTGCAGGCCCAACTGACGTTAGTTGTGGAGTAGTTATAAATGACTCAGCTAGAGAGACATCTAATTTGCATGAACACTTCTATGAATGCAATGCAGAGTGCTTGTTACTCGGTTAGCCAAATAATAACTACGTCGCAAAGGGATCACAAAGCCGACTATGGTCCTAGAAGAGCCGCCGTAAGGGGGGCTTTTCTGGCCAAAAAGAATCAACAACCAATGAAATAGTGTCTGGGCACTTATAACGTGGTTTTAAGTTTGGTAGTGATGGCCTGGAATGTTGATCGAACTCCAAGATGATCTGATAAGATTAAAACCCACAGTTTTCATGCGCTAAAATCAGCTGCCCTGATCCACATTTACGCTGGCACGAATCAAGATTCTTCCTGTGCTTTCCTCTTCGTGGTGTACTCCGGTTTCTTTCTTAGCAGATTGTCAATAAACCTCGCAAACCTTTCAAGTCATCGCCTGTGACTATGCCCGTTATCAGGATCAGAACTTGCAATTTGTATAGCAGAGGAATGCCAGTATCTTCTTTGTCGCTTTCCAGGATCTCGGCACGACAAATCACCTGGGGAGTTGAGCATACATGAGAAACCATGCCTGAATCTTCTTGCGCAACTATTAGATGTGGATGGTAAGCTCTTACCCAATGGAATACTACTTCACCGACCAACCTAGCACTTCAGTTCCGGAAAGCTAGCCCCAAGGCCGCAGCTAATTATGCAATGTCGAGGGCCAAGAATGGCAGTTGGCAAATCAACTGCCTTTAACTAAGTCTTTACAAGCTTGCTTACATCAATTTTAGTTCCGGTTTAATCAGGAGAATACCTGACATGTGGGTTTGTTGACCGGGAACAGTGCCTCATTTGTTCAATGCCAACCCAGCGTTGAAAAGTTTCCTCTTCCTGAACAGAATAGCGCAAATTATGAGCTTTATTCCATGAGTTCGTGGTATCTACTCGAATGGAGGAACATGCTCGTATCCATGGCGCGGCCCATTTCTGAGAAAATGAAGGATTCTGACTCATTCCATACGATAGTTAGTGCCTCTAAAGGCAGGTGGATTCTAGGTGGCACATGAGCCTTGCACGATACTAAGAATTTTGTCATAGTTATCTACTATGACCCTTTCCTGCTTCTACGAGATATTGCTCTTACTGAAGTTGGTAATCAACTATTAAACAGGTAACAACTACTCATACATGCGCTAGTAAACTAGTACGTTCGCAACCTTCACTACACAAGAGCCAACTTTCTACAGTTGAGAGAGGCTTCCAATGAAGCTGGAAAAGCATATTTGCCTGACAAAATCTTCACATCGCCCGCATAGTCCCAAGACATATAAATGCTACCACTACTCGGTTGAACGCGGACCTCACTAACAGCATGGCTTGTACTGAGGAACACTTATTTCTGGCTATCGATCCGTGCTTAATAGGGAGCAATGCACGCGCGACATATTAGATGTAGTTCATGAGATATGTTCTTTTCAATACAATGTGAATGGTTGACCATCTTATCATTTCAGATAATAGAGGAGAGAAAAACCCCCCCACAGATCTCGGCTTAGATTGCTAATAATATAGTATTCCTCGAGCTTGGATTTAAGAATACGCGTCTTCCTACGTATGCTCTGTACCTCGGCATGCATCCTGGTCGAGTGGACAGCAGAAAGCCACGTACCAAACGCTCTTGACCGTTTCGGGGAATCTAAACGTTCTGTGCCCTGTTCTCAAGAGCTATTGAGCGTCGTCTGCGCCGCATTAAATACTAAACCCTGCATCCGTCAGGCCAATCGACGGCGATCATCCCCTCGGTAACTCCATTGATTGGATGCGAGACATGTAACTATTGACATCTCCGCATTAAAGCCGTTTTCCCCGTAGGGTCAATAGTAATGTGACACATCATTTGTCGCAAACCGACGGATCTGGCCGCAGAATGAGAGGGGGCACCGTCTGAATTTAAGCAATCGCCGACTATCCTAGCCACGAGCCCTATGCAACGACCATAAAGTTCTAGGTCTGCTGTGCAACATTATACTACCTCTTTTTAAATCGGATCGGCTCGCGTCGTTGGCCAAGAGGAAACTGCAAACATGGTATTCAAGGCAGACAGACAGGTAGAAATTCCGGCGAAAGACGTTCTCTCTTATATTTTTGACAACCCTAGTTATGATCAAAACAAACCAGTGAGCTCTTTCCCCTCAAGGTTACTCGATTATATACCTCATGTAGATGAGCTTTACTGAGCGGACTGGGGTTTTATTCGCTGCTTAGATTTACATTGACGTGCACAATCCATCACGTTTCATAACTTGCAACCAAGCCAGGAACATAATATGCAAGCTGATTGCAGGATTCAGGGCAGCCGGGGTACAGGAAGGGGACTGCGTTGCAATACACTCTTTTAATGATGTAAGAAAGCTAACCAGACTCATAACTTGACGGTACCTTGATGCTTAGAAAACAGATTCTGTACTGCATGCTTGTACTAGCCATTATCGGTGTTGGAGGCGTTTTTACTGGCACCAACCCGTCATATACATCGGCGGAGATTGCGCATCATATCAAGGCGTCAAAGACCAAATATGTGATTTCCGAACCTGAAATCCTCGATCCAGTCATTATAACAGCTAAAGAGAACAATATCCCACGGCAAAACATTTGGATATTTGATCCTATTGGGCAACCCATTCCGCCTGGCTGGCGGTCGTGGAGGGAACTGCTCAATTTCGGAGAAGATGACTGGATTCGTTTCAATGATATTGACACAAGCAGGAAGACTACCGCAGCTAGACTCTTCAGCAGTGGCACGACAGGCTTGCCCAAGGGGGCAAATATTACTCACTGTAATTTCATTTCACAGCAACAACTTACAATATTTGCGCATCCAAGACCATATCCTGTTAGTTTGACTTTCTAGCGAGAACATCCAAGACATGTTGCGTTTTTATCGGAGTTTAACCATACAACCGTTCTTCAGGTATACTAATATCCAATTATTACAGATATCTCGAGTGGTTGCATTGCCCATATTCCATGCTGCTGCTGCTCCATCGACACATGTTGGTGCTCTTGCAGGGGGCGAGGTCATTTACATGATGCGCCGATTTGAGCTACAGCTATTCCTACGCACAGTAGAGAAGTACGGTACTACTGAAATGCCCACTGTGCCACCGATCGTTTTGGCGATTGTAAAGTCACCTTACTCTCGGACACGGCCGTTTCTTAAAAGCGTCAGAAGCGTCACCTGTGGCGCTGCCCCGTTGGATAAGAGCCTTCAAGCCAGACTGTCAGAATTGTTGAAGGATAATGCGACATTTAATCAAGTCTGGGGAATGACAGAGACTTCGTGCATTGCCACTATGTTTCCTTGTGGTGAACAAGATCATACAGGCTCCGTGGGAAGATTGGTCCCAAATCTTGAAGTAAAGTGCGTTATGCTCGTGTATATTGAACTCAACACAAATTCTATCAATCCATTTCTGAAAATAAGCATGTGTTACTGACATCTAAATTAGACTCATCGATGACAATGGGAATGACATTTCAGCCTTCGGGGTGCATGGAGAAATCTGCGTTCGAGGACCAACAGTAACGCCAGGGTATTTCGAGAGCCCACAAGCCAACACTGACAGTTTCGATAGCGATGGCTACTTCAAAACCGGGGATATAGGATACTGCGATGAAGCTACGCGTAAATGGTACATTGTCGATCGCAAGAAGGAGCTCATCAAGGTGCGCGGTTTCCAAGTCGCACCCCCAGAGCTTGAAGCCGTTCTCCTTTCCCATCCTCAGATTGTTGATGCCGCGGTCATTGGAATCTCCCTTCCTGGGGGCGATGGAGAGTCACCTCGTGCCTATGTTGTTCGACAGCCAGGCTCTGCGGGAGCCAGGTTGACCGAGGAGGAAGTGAAGGACTACCTGAAGAGCAGACTCGCTAGTTATAAAGCCCTAACTGGGGGAGTGAAGTTTGTTGACAACATCGCAAAGAATGCTAGTGGGAAGATTTTGAAAAGGATGTTGAGAGAACAGAGCAAGAGGGAACTTGAATCTGAAATCCTCAAGCCTAAACTTTGAAGTGATTAGCGAAGTTGTTGATTTACCTCAAAATTTGCAAATATCTAGCTATAATGGTGTGCATATTCATCGACTTTAATCGAGAATCGGATGGTAAATCAAAAGGCACTAATTCGAATCAGGGATTTGATCTGATGCGGGCTTAGGATGTGTTGAAACGGCCCTGGCTCTCAGATAAATTGCAACGGAACGATTCTAGATCTATTTATTACAGATTCTAGGACACACCTATGTATCAATTACTGTTTTCAATCAACCGTTCTCGTTTGACTTAGATAGATGAGATCCTCGCGGGATCTATTTGGTTGACAATTTTTTGGCGAATGATCTTTTGTTGACTTAAGCAATATGAAAGTCAATGGGTATTAAGCATCCTAGCTACGTAATACAATCTCTTTGTGGAATCATATGATGCTTAGGCAATCCATGAGGTAGAGGAGTAATCGAGGTCATATACTCCATGCCAAAGGCAGCGACATTCTCGTTCCACACCGCGTGGGATAGCATTCTGTCAATTTAGGCAGTTGAATTTATGCGCATGTAATATGTATTTATGACCGGTGACAGCTCTCGGTGTGGTATAGCTGCCACCCGGTCTGGCTCGTATGTATCTAATGTGGGAATAAGTGCAGCGTTGAATTGACTTCGCAGAAGGATTTACATCAATGTCTGCCTTCGCAACCTACATAAAACCATATCACCTATGTCGCCGTACGATACCATGCTCTATGTCGTGGTTGTCTCTAGTCATCGCCGCATTATATATTAAGAGGCGGAGCGCAGATGGAGTTACGACACAGATGATTTTTGGACTTAGAGTCGTTGATCCCGAACAGTCCATCCAATGATAGACCCGATCATTGAACTGGCAAATGAAATGACTAGAATCGTAAGTCAGCATCTTTCCTATTCTAGCCTGCCACGGCGACAAGGACTCACCGTAAGTATGGTGCAAGCCAGACAGGTAACTTTGCAATACAACTTCTCTCACACGGCCCGTGAGGCTGGCAATGTATGATGTGTCGGACAATGCGTGACGTACGATCTGTGAGCTGTTAGTATTGTGGCGGGTTACGGGGGAGATCTGAAGGCGTACATATTCCACATCAGGATGTTGCTGTAGTCCGCGCTGCATATGATGCTTGAATGTTACGGTCAGTACCGTGTTAGTTGCCGTCACACCAGCTGTTATGGCAAAAGTATAGAAAACGATGTAGCCACTTGTTGCCATCGCGACTTCACCTGATCCGAGGAACGAGGTCATGGTCACAAATGTAGCCGCCGATGCGAATGCAGTGCCCACTCCGCCTGGAATAATATACAAAGACTCCCAAAACCCAGTATGACCATTCCAAAAAAAGAATTGAAGAACATAGGATATAGAGGCGAAGATACCGGCAATGATCAACACGGGCTTATAGCGACCGGTCTTTCGGATGAAGAGTCCAGCCAACACACCACCTATTGTGTTCCCAAAGACTGCAGGGACCAGATGAGCACCGGCAATGGTCGGAGCAAAGCCCATCATAACCTGAAAATACAACGGAACAGTAAACATCATACCGACTTGGGCAGAAATTTGCAAACCGCCAATCAGATAGCTTGATACAACGTTTCGACGCCGAAGGATACGTAAATCGAAGATGGGCTCAGGGGCAACATAGGATTCCACATATACAAATGTGACAAGGGCAAGAATGCCGGTGACAGCAAGTGCAATGGAAAAACCAGAAGTCCAGGAAAAGGCCTGTCCACCGCGGTCGAATAGAAGTATAATGGCTGCAATGCCAGTAGCTAGTAGAGCGGTACCGAGAAAATCCACGCGACGAATGGAAGGCGAGCTCTCATGGTCATCGGAGACCTCTGAGCGATTGGGATTTTCCAAAAAGAAAAATACAAGCATTGCAGCAATACCTAGTAACGGGGTCTGGAGAAGGAAGAGCCTGAAGCATTGGGTTATTCGAAAAGCCATAAAAAGAGTGCTTGGAGAGGTGCAGTGCAAGTCCTACCAGCGCCATCCGATGGTATCTGTAAGCCATCCGCCCATGGGCCCGCCAGCACTGCGACCAAGAGTCATAGAGATATTTACATAAGCTCTCCAGGTGGCGACGTCTCTCTTAGGCACGATATCTAATGCGTCGAGGTCAGAAATTCCGAAGGGGCATGATGACGGTAATTGAAGCCCTACCTGTGATGATAATGGCACTCATGGCAACGATACCCGCGCCGCCCATACCACTGATTATTCGGCCTAGAATAACGACAGGCATTATAGGGCCAAGACCGCTGTATTTTCTGTTAGAGGAAAGGGGTCAAGGTTATGCGAGCCAAGACTTACCAGATAACACAGCCTAGCGCAAGGAGAAGGTAAGAGACTAGCAACAATGGTTTGCGGCCGTAAATGTCGCTGAGTTTACCATACTAAGATTGCGTGAGTCTCAGGGTAGCGAGCAAATGGGCCGAAATAGTAACGTACCATAGGCTGAGAAGCACATAGGCCCAGGGTATAGGCAGTGGACAGCCAATTAGCATCATGCAACCGATTGAACTCGGATGAGATAGAGCCCGCAGCGGCCATGATGATTGTAGAGTCGGCATTAGATATGAATTCGCCTATTGGGATTAGCACGAGCCATGTGGAAAAGTCATTGCCTTTGCGTTCCCACCAAGCAAGAGCACCGTGATTACGCCCGCGATGCTAGTTAGGGCTCGCTGCGGCACATCGTTTGTGCTTCCGATGAGTGGGCTTTCCTCGTCAACACTAGAGGTGTGAGCCTGCAGCGCTGGATTGCTAATTGGCTGACTAGCATCATCTCGATTGACAATTGATCGGTCCGTCTTTGGCGTGAGAGAAGGCATTGCGAACCGCAGCACCACACTATGTATAGATGGCACCTTCGCCGTGAGGTTGTGTGTAGCTGGGATGAAGACGCTTCACGAGACATGCCTGATAAATAGGTTGGCCTATGGCGTGCTCACTGATTGGCCGTCAACCAAAAGCAAAGCAAACAACAGGATCTCCACTTGGCTGATGGCATCATCGGCGCTGCGGCTGTCGTGATACCCGCGCTCTACCGCGGACGGTACGGGCCATCTCGGCAGAACTGGTTGTGCTGTTTACCTTATTATTGTTGTTGAACAGTTCAATTTTGCATTGAATGGCCCCGTACTTGTATTATATTCCATGCTCGAGTAACTCGACTCAATTTGAACATCATGAGGATCGCAAAATAAAATAGCTTGAATGCGTCGAGATATCTCACAGGAATCGGATCTGCACAAGTGGTTTGCATTGTCCGCCCGACCAAGCCCTAACTACTCTCCATAAAACACGCTAAGATAGTCGCGCATCTTTTCACGATTGGCGATACAATCAAAAAATCCTCCGAGAGATATCTGTGTAAGGAAATTACTGCAATCGCCCTACTTGAGGGTCCTGATATCATGAAGCTTGTAGCGGTGATGCTGAGCGTGCTGTCGAGCACTGCTATTGCAGCGACTGGACTCCAGCAGGTCCTCGGCACTCATCCGGAACAGAGTCAGCCCAATTTCATCTTCGTCATAACCGACGACCAGGACCTCGAGCTGGACTCTGTCAAATACACGCCTCTGATCCAGACGCATTTGCAAAGTAAAGGTACTTTTTTCAAAAACCATTTTGTCACCACCGCCCTGTGCTGCCCGTCGCGCGTAAGTTTATGGACCGGGCAGCAGGCGCACAACACCAACGTCACGGATGTTAGCCCGCCATATGGTATGTATATGTCATGCAGAGCGCTAGTCGATAAACATGGCTGATGTACGCTCCAGGCGGCTATCCTAAATTCGTGGACCGTGGCTTCAACGAGAATTTCCTGCCTGTTTGGCTGCAGGACGCCGGGTACAACACGTTTTACACAGGGAAACTGTTCAACACCCATACTGTTGAGAATTATAACCAACCCCATGTGAACGGCTTTAATGGGTCCGACTTCCTTCTGGACCCGTTCACTTACTCTTATCTTAATTCCACCTATCAGAGAAACCATGAGCCCCCTGTGAGTTACGAGGGCCGCCATACCACCGAGGTAATCACGGAGAAGGCACTCGGCTTCTTGAACGATGGATTGGTAGCCGAGCAGCCGTTCTTTTTGGTCATCGCACCCATTGCACCACACGCCAATATCGATGGAGGCGCGTTACACGGCGGTGGTGCCCCGACAGTCATGACCGAACCGATTCCGTTGGATCGTCATAGACATCTCTTCAAGGACGTAAGAGTGCCACGCACCGACCATTTCAATCCAGTTGAAGTAAGACATGTTGTCATTCAAACTTCTTGTTTTGTTTTTTCAATCGCGTCTCGCTAACAAACCACTAGCCGAATGGAGTAAGCTGGGTTCGTGACCTCCCTCGACAGGATCAGTCGACTGTTGCATACAATGATCACTTTTATCGCCAACGTCTGCGTGCATTGCAAGGAGTGGACGAATTAGTCGATACTTTGGTCACTAGGCTTGAGGAAAGTGACCAATTGGACAATACGTATATCATCTACACTTCTGACAACGGGTACCATATCGGCCAACATCGTCTCCCGCCAGGCAAGGCATGCGGCTTTGAAGAGGATATTCGAGTGCCCTTTTTTATTCGGGGGCCTGGCATTCCACAGGGTAGAGTGCAGGAAGCCGTCACAACACATATTGATATTGCGCCTACCTTGTTCGAGCTTGCCGGCATTCCGTTACGGGATGATTTTGATGGAACACCCATGCCCATTGCGCCGAACTCTAATAGCACGCGACACGAACACGTTACCGTTGAATACTGGGGGCACGCATATTTAGAAGGGCTGAAGGGTTCCATAGGTATGTAGGATGTGTGTTGAGACTTGAAATCCGAACGAATGGTTCTGACTTAGGTATAGACAATTCACCGGTTGTTGCTAACAATACATACAAGTCGATTCGCTTGATTGGCGACGGATTCGACTTGTACTACTCCGTGTGGTGTACCAACGAGCATGAGCTATACGATCTGACGGTAAGGGTCTATCTCTGTAGAACGTGGAACAACGCACTCTAACATCCCAATGCAGACCGATCCGTATCAAATAAATAATCTCTACGACAAGCAGGACGTTTACAGTCCATTAATACACAAGTACGGCCTCTCGCAGATTGTTTCGCGGCTTGATTCTCTACTCTTGGTGTTGAAATCGTGCAAGGGCCGCACATGCATCAAGCCGTGGGATGTTCTACACCGCCACGGGACAGTCGTGTCTCTCAGAGATGCACTCCACGCGGAGTATGATGCCTTTTATAACTTCCAGCCCAAAGTTGCCTTTGATCGCTGCGAGTTGGGCCAGATTCTTGACGCGGAGGGGCCTCAGGAGCCGCTTGTGTATCGAGATGGCCTGAGCTGGGATGTCTGGACGTAGTACATGTGTTGGGAGAAATAGGAAATTTGTATGGAAAAAAAAAATAGTTCAGAATTATTGTTCTACGACCATATACAGAGGACTACTCGGACTAGTAAAGGACGTACCTGGCGGAAGCCCTAACCCTAGCCCTAAGTCGCATGGCTCCACTAGGCTGGCCGACGTCAATGGGCCGCGATGGCGCCATAGCAGCCCGTGTTGTCGCGACATGCGATTTTGCAGCTGCAGACTGATAAGCATCTATCGTAATCAGTATATAAAGTATGTAGTGCGCACGGGGAGCACTGGAGATGCCATCTCTCTCAGTGCCATTCCCACGTCTCGTCTCATTTCGCACCGTTCACAATGAGCACCCAGGAGCAATTGAAAGGCTCCTACACCAAGGAGGAGCCTCTATCAGATGGTGACGCGGCCGAGAGTGGCCCCGGACCTGCGGAGGGCATTGTGATGGACTGGACTCCGAGAGAGGAGGCTGCAGTGCGGCACAAGTCAGTGACCCCATTTCGCGACTTGGAGGATATCGTGTACTGACATTGATCGCACTCTGTAGAACAGATTTTATCCTGTTGCCCATTCTTGGTCTCGCCTTCTTCGCCCTCCAGCTCGACCGGGGCAACATTAGTGCCGCTTTGACATCCACCATCACCACAGACCTGGGCATCGATACGAACCAGATCAATGTTGGGACCCAGCTCCTGTCCGCCGGTATCGTCATCACTGAGATTCCTTCAAATATCATTCTCCAACGTATCGGGCCCCAGAGGTGGTTGGCCGGCCAGTTGTTTGCCTGGGGATTGGTCGCAACTTTCCAGGCATTCGTCAAGACGTATCCCGCATACCTGGCTACCAGAATTCTATTGGGCTTGTTCGAGGGCGGATTTATTCCTGGTAAGGCGAAGAGGATCCTGAAAGTGTAGGTCATGTAGCTTACTGTTATGGAAGGTGCCCTATATTACATTTCTACATGGTACAAGAGGGATGAGACTAGTCTTCGCATCACCTTTTTCTTTTTCGGGCAGATATTTGCTGGAGCCACGACCAGTCTCATCTCAGCTGGGCTATTGAAACTATCTGGCAAGGGTGGTCTCGCTGGTTGGCAATGGATTTTCCTAGGTATGTTTTTGGTGCTCGTCATGCGCAAAATTGAAGAATCTCAAATTAACTTGGCCATGCAGTCGAGGGGCTCATCACCATTTTCGCTGCCACTGTTTTTGTCCTTCTCCTTCCGCCTCGTGTCGGCAATGGACGCCCACTGGCCTCTTTTGGCCGTTGGAGTTACTTCACAGAGCGAGAATCACGCATTATCCAACATCGCGTCTTACTTGATGACCCTCGCAAGGCACGCGGCCACATCAAGATCACCGGCAGAAATATCATCGACACCGTTCGACAACCACGAGTGATTCAACATTTCTTTATTACGCTTGTTTCGATGTCGGCCGTACAGGGCTTGACGCAGTATACTCCCACCATGATCAAGAGCTTGGGATTTAGTGCCGTCCGTGCAAATGCTCTGACTTCTGTTCCTGTATACTGTTCCATGGTCATATTGGTGATTCTGTCATACCTAAGGTACGTGGTGTCTGAGATTCCCGTGTTTATATGACATAACGATAAGCTCATTCTGGGATTGTAGTGACAAGTTCGGCCACCGGGGACCGGCAGTTTTATTTGGTGCTACGTGGAATGTTATTACATACGCTTGCTTCCGAGGAACATCAGTCCATTCCTCTCGATGGCACAGGTATGGGGTCATAGTAGCGGCTGATCTTTTCTATGCCGGCGTACAGTAAGATTCACCATCCCCTATCTCATATTGAACAAAAAGGCCTAATATTTTTTTCGTATAGTGTGTTGAATGTCGGCTGGCTCTCATTCTATTGCAAGACACCCCAAGAACGTAGTGTCGCCATGGCGTAAGTTTGGATCCTTGTATCTAATAACCAACTCAGACGGCTAACCGTGTGAAAATACAGACTGGTTGTCATGGCTGCCAACGCCTCGGGAATATCTGGCTCACAGATCTTCCGTACCTCGGATGCACCTCTGTATCGTCATGCCCTGACAGCTGTATGTGCCCTTGCAGGCGTTGCATGGGTACAGGTCCTTGCGTTGAACTTGCAGTCGTGGTATTTCCAGTCCAAACAGAAAAAGAATCAAGTTGTAGTTGCCAGCGAGACAGGCACAGACTCTACTGAAGTCGGATTGCCATCGTCTGAATGGGAATCAGAAAAATAATATCTCTGAAACTTTCGGATTACACGGCAATAAAATTTGATTGACGTGCAATTCAATGACTTCAGAAAGAGTGACATCCATGGATGTATATACATATTGAATCCTAGACATAGACACTAGATGGATTTGTGTTGGCCGCATATCTATGCTCCATAGAAACCGCATTCACGATGGAATCCTAGTATGCACAACATGCTCAATGGATTGGAAAGTCACGGAATCCGCCTTTTAAAAGTTCTAAGAGCATGCAGAAATGTAAATGGTATAGAACAAATGCGCCGAAACGCTGCTGTTGGTAGTACCATCATTGCCAGCGGCAGAATTCACGCCAATTACTTCTGTGACGTTGTAGTCGGTTACAGTCACATTATTACCACTCGTAATCCAGTATTCCGGACTGAAATGAGCAAAGCCCAGGAGTTCTGGAGGCAATTTGGGAACTGGGTCGTCTGTGTGAGTGACGCGGTAGTTGCTTCCCATGTCTTCGGTAGTGATAAAGTCTGCCAGGGCTAGGTTGCCGATACGAGGTTGACCGTAGTTGTACTGGAGTTACTGTCAATATGTTTTATTGTATACCTACCTACTTAGGTAGGTGTTTGAGAAACAAAAGGTGGGGGGAGATAAAAGCAAACGGATATGCAAACGTACCAATTCAACCGTATAGCCTGAAACGCGAAAGACAGTCGCTGCAATGGCTGCTAATGCAGCCCCAAGACTATGACCCGTTGAAACAAGCGTGTAACCGGGGTAAGTGCTTAAAGCAGACTCGATCTGCGCTGTAATATTGCTGGCTACAGTTTCCCAGGCATCCCAGAAACCCTCGTGGAACTTACATCCCGAGCAGATGTCACTGGCATCAGTGAGAGGAAAGTCGATATCGGCAATCCAATTGCTCAGATCAGAGCTTCCGCGAAAAGAAAGAATAATAAGTTTATGTGTTGTATCGACTGCAATGTAGCCGGTGGTGTCTCCAAATGAATTGGTGCTAGATTTACATTGGTTAGTCTGTGAATTATTATATGCCCGGTAGTGGCAGATGTCGCTCACTCGTCGAAATTGTAGAGAATTGTAGTGTCAGATGCTTCAACTAGAGGACAATTGCCCACATCACATGCCAATGCTGTGCCAGTGGTGTTGAGGTTGGCTGAGCAGTATGCTGCGGCACTGAATTGGGCAAACAGATCTATTTCATCTAAAACAGATGTGGAAATTGCTATTGCGTAGACAAGTTAGTTAAGCCAGAGAGAGATCAAGAGAGGAATAGAAAAAGTAAACAAAAAAAGAATTACTTACTACGACGACTGACTGGCTGAGGAGCGGCCGTGACAGGCAACGCCAGCAGGGCTGCTGCACCAACTGCAGTAGGAAACTTCATCTTTCCTATTACCTAGATAATCACCCAGGTCGATGGAAGTGGATATGCAGAAAGCAGCTGGAATACCGCGGCTGTGTATTCGCTGCGTTTTCAGCTGCCTGTCCAACTATGTTTCTCATGCAAGCATGGCTGGGCAGCACCCATTTTATATTCCAATCAGCAGCTGTCACTCCCAAAGCTTTGCAGAGACCCAAAAGTTCCTCTCGGAGATTTCCCGATTCTTTAGCCAATGCAAGCCTTAAACTGTAAACGGCATTTTCCTGAAGATCCTTTGTAGGGTAGTAGTCGGGACATGTAAATCCACAAATCCCGCATACATCTACTGCTTAAATACGACGATCGATACTCGGAATACCGCATGCATTCGTAATATGTACTGCGGCACAAAGTAGGTAGACACTAGCAACTACGAGGTTTAGTACGTAGTTAGCAGGTCGTCTTGAGTCTCCGAATTTCTGTAAGAGCCCTTTCTTATTTTTTTTTCCCTCTCCTTTTCATTTTTATTTTCTTCCATCCTTCTCGTCTATAGAAAAGTGGTAATATGAGCTCGGCCCGATCCATTGCCGATTTGGACTATCCATGCAGGAGATCAAGCTGAGTGAGTACGAAGTAGGCAATAGTGTGACGTTCCTATAGCGATGCCGCTATCCTATCATCGCAACTCGCAAAATAGGATGTGAAACACTGTGCTTGGTGTCGTTCGAACAATCACGCCTATCAATGCCGACGGAAGTATCGCAGGCACTTTTTAGCATGTGATCGTGGGGGCCAATTCTGGCGCCAACTGAAACTGGCAGCAAATCAGCTGTTAGGTGGAAAATAATTATGAAAACTGCGCACAAATAGTTACATTACTTTTGTAGCAAGTTAAAGCAATAAATTCCAATGAGCGTTAGCCTATAAGCATGAGTGTCCAAGACTCCATACGAAAAAAGCCTAGCCCAATGAACATATCTATGAGCGCCGAGTAGTTCGTAAATATGAAGCCGTAAGAAAAAAGCTTTAGACTGAAATAAGCATTGTCTAACTACAACTAGAAGGTGACTGCAGAGTGTTAATGATGACGAGCACGAACCAATGGTTATCATCTTGGTAATCCTTGCATACTACCTATACACAACGAGGATCGATCAGCAAGATGCTTGCACACGAGTTATGGATGCTCCCAGTGTTAACCAGTTCATAACTTTTTCATATCTAATGATTTGAAGTTATGCTAATCGATATGTTCAAACACGCTGGTCCTTTTCTCTCTAATGGCCCCTGAGCCTCCTCCTGATTACCTTGCGTTATGAAAACGGGCTCAACATCTTACTCACCAGTTTAATCGCACATGGCAATTCAACTGCAATTGAAGAGAATAGAGACTCATCACAAAAACCCTTGAACCGTTCAAGTCTAGCGATGAACTACCTAGATACATCGGGGCCAATCAGAGGGCAGCCGCCCCGATCGCGTCTTTGTCCGATTCCAAACAACGATATGTATATAAATCACGACAAACACCGTACTCTTAATAAAAACACTCTGAGTCCCCAGCTATGCAGTCAAGCAAGCGAGTGCGCGAGGTCTTTTCATGTGTCTCCTGTGACACAGGAAAGCAGAGAGTAGGGTCTTTGAATGATCCCTCACCTGCGAGTCTATGGATGGGTGAACTGACCTTCTCGGCTTCAGTGCAACCGCCAGTATCCCTGCGACAGGTGCACCCGCTGCGGCGCTGCGTCTATTACTTTTCGCAGCCGCATGAACTTATTAGCCCGCAGACACCGGCCGAGAAAAAGGTGGTGTTGACGACCAGGCGGCGCGTAATGATAACGAGCACAGAGTGAATTATTCCGGCATGTCCAGCCCGCGCGGAGAAAGTGTCTACCCCTCGTCTCTGGCTGGAGTCTACGTATATGTAGCTACGCTTCGCAATCCATTCCGTCTTTCATATATACTATTGACAGCATCAAAGGGTAGCCCTAGTAGGCATCCGGAAGCCGTGTGAAGGTGTGGTCATCACCCTTGATCCAGGATCTACTTGTCTCGATACGCAAGGTTTCTTGACATGTGTACTGCACATCCTCTTGGCCGGTTTGGGGTCTCTTTGCACAGGCCGAATGAATGGTTTTTGGAAAGTGCTTAGCTGTGGTAGTCGTATCTTAGAACAAATTGGCTTACATAGGGATGTTATCATCTGATCCAGAAGTGAAGATGAGTTAGAAAAGGAGATGACCCGTTGGGCGTTTTGTAAACTCTATATATCACATAGGTATGGACTACTTACTTATTTTTGGTTTTGAATTTATGACATGGTTTTAATCTTCAAAGTATGCTAAGTGGAACAAATAGTTGTTTGACGAGACGCCTCAATAATATATCATTCTCACCGGAGAGTCTAAGTGAGAACATTATGCCTTAGATGCGTCTCCTGCCTGGTGTTGATATTGGAGCCAATGCGTCGGGTTTCTTTGCAGCACGCGTTCTTTGATTCCGGTTCACTTAATTCTGGAGACGTCATTGTACAGCAAAAATTTCGTACATGACACAGTAATAGTAAAAAGATTATACGAGACATTTTGCGAGACCTTTCTACAAAACCTCCCGCCTGCGTTTTCCCTGCAGCCAGACAAGATTCTTCCCATACTTCCTATGCACCGTCAATTGCTCCACAACGCTATCTTTGAGCACCTCTACTGGAACATCAGGCTGGTGGTATTCCAAAAGCCAGACCAAGTCAACCATCTTCCGAGGTATAAGCAGATCCCAATAGAATACAGCAAGCAAGGGCCAGCGAGGGCTCCAGTTAATCTGCTGGAAGGCACTTCTGCTCTTCATGTTATGATTTGTAGTTCGCATACACGATTCTTAGATGTCATCGTGCCGGCCTTCGAGGCCGCAGTGTCACTATTATGCCTGTGCGGATGGGAACTTCGCAGAATATACTGCAAAAAGTCGATGTGGTACAGGGAAAGTAGATCCATTAGGAATCGGGATAAGCAGCCCAACACGGACAAAATGCATACAGACAGCTCGGGATGCGCTTGGTTGCCTACATAATCTCGCAGGGCTCAGCAAGCTGGCGGAAGCAGGGGCAGGGAGTCTATCTCCTTGCTTTGGCAATCACAGTGTCTTCCTATATTGAAGATTAACGGGAAGATGAAAAATATATAGCAAGGGGGTGTTTATATTTAACGACGTTTGTCAAAACGATTCGCATTGATTTACGTAGTAAAACCGCAATCCAGGACTACAAAAGAAATGTTGAAAAGGGGAACTAATGTGCTCACCTGAGCTAGCGAAGCTCCGACTTGAAGCTATTCTCTGCTCCGAATTAGGGCTTAGGGTTGCCATGGGAAAAGTTGAAGCGTGCGCGGCTTCTTTACACGGAGATCTCATTGGAACGACAAAATAGCAAAAACGCCTAATTGTGCTAGACCTATCATTCCGAGGGCTCAACTACTTAGTCTTAAATTCGCCTAAATCGTGCTTATTGGCTTGTTCCGTGCCGGGGTCGCTGCCGTCCGGCACACAATCTACGGTGCCGGCATTTTTAACTCGATCTGTCATTTTTCCCTGGCCGCTCTTAATCTGAAACCAACACGTCCAGACACCAAAACCTGATCCGATTTTATTTTTGCAGTTTGGACACCGACCACTCAAAAGTCTCAAAGTTTCAACCCCACAACAATGTCGCCAAATGAAGCCACCAACAATATGGCAGCCTACAAATTCTGGAAAACCCAACCAGTGCCTAAATTTGACGGCAAAGACGACATCCAACAGGGACCTATCAAAATCATCGATCCAGATGAAACGCCTAAGGATCCTTACCCACTGCTAGATGGCTTCGAGTGGGTGACTCTGGATTTGACAGAGGACAATAACGTTGTAGAGTTGTATAATTTATTATCAACGCACTACGTTGAGGATGGCGAGGGCGAGTTTCGGCTGAATTACTCACCAGCATTCCTCAGATGGTAGGGCTCACTTCATGAAACAGAATCGCTGGACAACAGCTTATGAATGAAATTAGGGCCCTGACCTCTCCCGGTTGGCAAAAGGAATGGCATGTTGGAGTTCGCGCGTCCAAGTCTAAGAAACTGACGGCGTTCATCAGTGGTGTGCCTACCAAGATTCGTGCCCATGACCAGACGGTCCAGGTAGTAGAAATCAACTTCCTCTGTATTCACAAGAAACTGCGTTCCAAGCGTCTGGCACCACTCTTGATCAAGGAGATTACCCGCCGTTGTTATCTCAAGGGTATCTATCAAGCTGTATACACCGCAGCAGTGGTCCTGCCAACCCCTATTGCTTCATACCGATATTTCCATCGTCCCTTAAACTGGCTGAAGCTATATGAAGCTGGGTTCGCTTTCCTACCTTTGAATTCTACCACAGGCCGTCAGGTAGCAAAATATCATCTTCCAAGAAATACATCGATACCCGGCCTGCGAGCTCTGCGAGAAAGCGATCTTGATGCACTTCAACATCTGTTGGAGCAGTACTTAGCACGGTTTGATGTTAGTCCGAAATTTACAAAAGACGAGATCAGACATTGGCTGTTCCATGAGGAGAAGAAGGGAGTGGAGCAGGTTGTCTGGTCATATGTTGTTGAGGATGCACAGACACAGAAACTCACCGATTTCTTTTCTTTCTACTCCTTGGAATCGTCTGTGACTTCACATTCGAAGCACGACAAGATCCGGACTGCATACCTTTACTATTATGCATCGGCGTTCTCATCTACCGAAGATGGCCTGGAGGCCCGCTTAGAGATTCTCATCAACGACGCACTCATCGTAGCGAAGAAGGTCAGTTCCTCCACCAAAGTAGAATGCATAAATTAAGTGGGACTAAAACTCATACTTAGGCGGATTTCGACGTTTTCAATGCCCTCAATCTCCAAGATAACGCCCTCTTCCTGGAAAAGCTCCGTTTTATGAATGGAAGCGGTGAGCTTAATTACTACCTGTTTAACTACCGCATGCCTCCAGTGCGCGACGCTCAGGAGAAGAATCTCCCGTTAATGGGGAGGCGAGGGGGGGTAGGCATAGTTCTTGTTTGAAATGTTAGGCTGACATACATTTGTAAATGCTTGGAGTTTAGGGTTAACTCTAGCCTAATCGGTCAACTGCAGACGTTCTAGCGGAATCTAAGACAACCAACCTGAATTTATTGATTACGAGACATTCAAATATGAATTGGTCCGTTATCCAATTAGGAAGGTATACTACGGCGAATGGCATCCTTTGCCGAGCGTCCCCATATTGCCCAACAAACGACCAAATAGCTTACCAACCATTCGTTCTACAAGTTTTAGTTGCTTACGATACTCCGTGATAGGTACGGAGTTTATTAGTAGCATGACTATACGAAATTCTCCGTGCGGAGTTCGGAATCGGGTGCGGAGCTTACTCCGTAGGCTGCGGCTCGTTTCAGGGGACCCTGACGAAACCTCGCCAGTGATAAGTCATAGGCATATCGTGATTTGCCCCGCCAGGATGCACTATATACCGTTTATGGACATTTGTGCGGCGAAATTTTCTCCACGGAAAACTTACTCCGTACAACTAAGCTCAGCGAGGAAGGTCAGTTGGTTCTCTGCAGTTGTTCCCCAGTCCACTTGAGTAATTTCCATTGCAACGTTAATTGTTAGCCTCTAATCATATCTCGTATCCGGCGCTCAAGCTTTAGGTGGCAAGCGCTAAGGAATGTAAGCATTGAGCAACTTCACATGGCAGAGCTTATTACTTCGTGGTATGACTGAACACTGTTGGGTCTAGTGATAAAGCTGTCAATCCTGGCATATTATTGGCAGGATTTCAATGTAACCCAACTACCTGAGATAACAGCTGGGGCTGATTCCGAGAGCGGCATTTGGTTGTTAGTCTCAAACGTTAGTGAATGAAATGCAACAGACTGCTTGCTAACTACCTATAAAGCCCAGTTAGCCCACGATGATGAGATTGCTAGTTCTTCCGTGCGCTGTGCGGCTTGTATCGTTGCTTCCGGCCCAAGATGGCTTCCGATTCGCTCGATGTCAAGATGGCAGAAACGACTTCTGGAAGTTCTGAGACCAAAGGCGTCAGCGAAAAGGATGGTGCCTTCATCAGTGACCAAGATGTAGAGCAGGGTGGAAAATATGAGTCCGATGGCATGGCGGAGGGCGTTACTAACGAGGTCGAAACGGCGAAGGATCTCGTAACTAAGATTATCCACGTTAACGATGACCCGAATATGACCGTGGTGACCTTTCGCGTGGTTTTCCTTGGTTAGTTTGCCCATGAGTTGCTTTAAAGATTATCCTTGTGCATAAACTAGGTGATCTCGTTTGTGGTTACCTACTTACTCCGTACAGGCATAGGGCTTTCCGTCTTCGGCTCTGTCCTCCAGGAAATCTTCTATTTCAAACCGCAGACCATCTTCGTCTCGTTGATTTTCTTGACCGTTTGGGCTTACATCCTGGGTGATTTAATGGCGGTTTTTATCCCGACGGAGATCAACTGGAAGATTGGCGGTCTCCATATTACCGATGGCGGTATCCTTCGATACTTGAATCCAGGTCCCTTCAACTCAAAGGAGCATGCAGTAGGTCGCCAGACGAGAGCCGGTTCTGTTTGTTTATACATGCTAACAGCAGTCCTAGGCGATCACCATTATGTCATCCGCAGCTTCGCAGTCTGCATTGGCTACAGAGGCGCTCGCCGCTCAATATCTCTTCTACGGAGGTTATCCGAGTAAAGCAGCTGGCATATTCATTGTCCTGACATCTCAGCTTATTGGCTTCGGTGTTGCTGGACTCTTGCGCGAGGTCATTGTGCACCCAACGAACATGATCTGGCCGATGACGATTCCCGTTTCCAGTTTGCTCGAAACAATTCATCAGGATCGACGGGAAACCAAGCGAAAGATGCGGGTTTGGTATGCTGTTTTCCTTGCTATTTTTGTCTGGGAGATCTTTCCTGAATACATCTTCACCACCTTGATTGGCGTCTCAATATTCTGTCTTGCGGACCAGCATAATCTCTTCTTCACCAATTTCTTCGGCGGAGCAACAGGAAATGAGGGCCTCGGCGTGCTGAACATCTCATTCGACTGGAACTATATCGCACCCTTTTTCAATCCGCTCTGGTATCCGCTCCAAAGTACTGTCAATACAATGATTGGAATCATTGGCTGTTACGCACTTTTCATAGGTCAGTGATACCAGATCCTCGCTGTACTTTTTGCTGTTAACTCATTTGTGTTCGAGTCTAGGGCTATATTACGGCAACATCTGGGAGGCCAAGAGTTTGCCCTTTCTCTCTCAGGACATGTTCAATCTCTCTGCCTCAACATCGACTTCCTTCAGCGTCTACAACCAGTCTCTCATATTGAATGACGACTTCGAGATTGACCACAAAAAACTTGACGCTGAGGGTCTCCCCTATCTGACGGCCACCTATGTAGCCTACCTCATTACTACCAACATGGGCATGACGGCTACGTTTGTATACATGCTCCTGTGGAACTGGGACGACCTAAAGGCTGCCTGGAGCTGGGCATCCCCGGCCAAGCTTCGAAAGCTATTTAGTGCGCAGGGACTCTATTTCTGGCAGAACCAAGAGACTCCAGAGGAGAGGCTCCAGAGAAAGGAAAATGACCCTGAACTAGACCCTCACTACAAGCTAATGCTGAGAAATAAGTACGTAGAAGTGCCTCTATGGTGGTGGACTCTTGTCATTGTCATTTGCTGGGCTGTTGGCCTTGGTTGCCTTTACGCCCTAAAAGTACGTGCCTCTTGTTGCATCTTTAATTCTTTTTTTTTTCTCTCTTTGATTTATGCTGATCACTTTATAGTCCACTTTGCCCTGGTGGGGCTTTCTGCTAGCAACAGTATTCACTTTTATCTTTACGCTCTTCTTCGGTGCGCAATATGGAATGACAGGATTTGGCTTCAACTTGCAACCGATCTTCCAAATGCTTGCTGGCTACATGTTCCCTGGTCGTCCACTGGCCAACTTTTACTTCACTTGCTTCACCTACAATGCCACTAGTCAGGCTCAGCTTTTAGCCAAGGACTTGAGATTAGCGCAGTATTCGCATTTGCCGCCACGCATAACTTTCGTGCTCCAGATCATTGGCTGTTTGGTCGGAGCCCTGATGAACTGGGTTATGATGGAAACCATTGTCTCCGCACAAACACCCGCCTTGGAATCTATTCAGGGTACTAGTATCTGGTCTGGACAGAACATCCAAATCTTCAATACAATGGCCATCTCCTGGAGCATAGCACCCAAAATGTTTAGTATCGGCGCGCGTTATGAATGGGTCACCATCGTGTTCCTACTAGGATTCATTGTCCCGATTCCGGCATACATTATGTACAAGGTGACCGGCAACAAGATCTGGGGTTATCTCAACCCGTCAATCATTCTCTGGTTTATGGGCAATCTTTACGTCGGTATTAACAGTGGTTTCACTACCTTTTTCATCATTGCGTTTGCCTTCCAGTGGTACATCCGAAAGTACTACCCCCAGTTCTTCGTTAAATGGAACTATCTCATTTCCGCGGCGTTGGACGGTGGCACGCAGATTATGGTCTTTATTCTCACCTTCGCAGTCGCAGGAGGTAGTGGCACTGCTCATCCATTCCCTTACTGGGCAGGAAATCCTGATTTGTCGAAGCATAATACCGACTACTGCATGGTTAATCCAGGAAATCAGTGATAGCTATCTTCAATTCTTGGCGGGTGGTCGTTTCTATTTTCCGAACTAGCTATACACAATCTTTAGTAATATGCCCCTATAGAATGTTCAATTAGGTGATGCTGAGTGCATTCCAATTTCAATTTTTGGCATATCTTCCCGCAGATTATTATAGTTTGAAAGCTTTTATATACCGCTTATTACAATTGAAGTGGTTTAGTAATCCTTATTCTTACTCTGGAATCCACTGGATCCTTCCTAGGTCTTGATCAAATTTAGTTACCTATATAAGCCCATAATTAGATATTAGAGCTTATTAGTCCTTACTTGTTGACATTAGGCAAGTCTAGAGAAAGCTCTACCTAGGCATCAAAAAATCCATTATATATATATGGACTGAGCAGGTCACTACAGATGATAATTAAATTTCTTACAGAACTAACAATCCGTATGTGTCTGGCTCTAACGATTCTCAAAACACTGTCCCGTCGCTTTTTATAAGGATCGGACTCGATTTTGTCTCCGGACGATGCTTTGCTGCAACCTCACGACCAGACTTCCACGACCCAGCTTCAAGGAGTTGTGCCATGGTCAAGTGAACTCCATCCATACGAGATAAGACCATCTTGTACAACTCGTCGATTAAGGCAAGAGTAACCGCCCGCCACTCAACAATAACATCATCTCCTGCCTCGAACATCGGTAATAAGCCACCGGATTCCTTTAGGCCTCGATTGAGTGCTTCTTTTTTAAGCTGCAAAACCCCCAAATCCACAAACAGTCCACCGTTACGGTACTCAGCCAAGGCCGTCAGTGACTCAGCGTTCACCCATTGCAATCCCAAAATTCGCTGGAATGGCACCATTAAGGAGTATGTAAGCCACTGTGTTAATTTGTGGAAAGGTTGAATACTATCTGTTAGATTATGACTAGAGCATGCCTTGCGTTGTAGGACTTGGAGAGGCCATGCATCTCCAATGGCCTTTCCAGCAATAGTTATGCGATCCTTCGGCCAGATTGGTATTAGTAAAGTCTGAAGGGTATCCCACAGAGTTATAATATCCAGCTCCGAAGAGCCGCCGGCCGTTTTTATCATATAATCTGCAGAGAAATGTCGTTTAGCAGGACCTTTTTACTCTTATTCTTCTTGTATCGCAAGAATGAGATTTTCTCTGGGCGGCACATACCAACAAGATTTCCTGGGCGACCTTCATTCCCAAAGATATCAGGATGAGCGAGTAAAGATCTTCCTAGGCTTCGAAGCAGGTCTCCCCGCGAGGCAATCCCGAGCATCGAATTGCTGTCCGAAACTTGAAATCCTTGCTCTAACACATCCGTCCTCAGTTGCTCCAAGCCCTTGCCTGTGAAAAAAGATTGAAATCAGCAGATTGACAACAATTTGAACGTACGTTCAATGAGCAATTTACCATTGACCAATGGCACCTTGTCAGATTCGTGCTCAGTATAAGCAAAGGCCAGTGACTGGAACATGTACAAGCTAGCCACTGCGATGCCTTCACTTCGTTCGTATTCTCGCTCCGTACTAGGCTCAATATAACGCCAGTGGTCGCCGGCACCAGCGTCCAAAAGCACAGAGACAAAAAACAAATCAACAAGACGGCGCGTAACTTCATAATTGTCACATTTAGCAGCATCTACTTTCCAATCTCGGATCAAGGCTGTGATGCGTGGCACGTTGCCCAAGTCAAAATGCTGCCATCGGCCATGTGGAGGAATTGTGTCAAATTTGTCAGGACCGTAGTCGCGCTGAAAAGAGGAAACCATGTCAGGAAACTAAATAACATTATATAAGCGTCTATCAGCCAGACCTTAATCACCGAAGTCACAAAGTCGGCAACGTCGCCCAGCAGATCTTCGTGAAAGTCGAAATGGCTCAGCTCTCCAGCATGTGTTGCATCGGCCACGATTTTGGCACGCTCTCGAATTGCCCGGAGCGATAAAAGGTACTCAGTCTGCGAGTCCATGATTTTATCTAAAAGACATGGAGGTGAGTGGAAGGACGATGGCTTGGACTAGATCTGCAGATTCGCTTCATATCAGCCGTGCGGGGCTTTACGAGGGGCTGTATTATTACGTGAGATGGTAGTACCTAGGTAGCTAGCTGTCTGCTTGTAGTCTATTCGTTAGTTTTGTGAAGATTGCCATGTTGCTAACGAGTCTCGGGATAAATCTTAACTTTCGAAGCCACAACGAACATTTGCGGCGCAGTATACGGTCATCATCAAGAGATAAACGATTTTTCGGCCAACCACGTCCGTAGAGGTCCTCAGAAGTGTTGGCGCGATACCAGCTACGATCATATAAGAAGTTATGGTGAGATTGATCTTTTCAACTGAGACATCGAGAGACTTGGATAATGCCGTGATGGAAGCGAAAAAGATAAATGATGACATAGGAGAAAAAGTTGCCGCAAAATTGCCTCCAAGATGACTTGAAGTTTGTCCCTCGCACTTGTTTCAATGTCAAGGGCAAACCCGTGCTCCTCCATATAGGTATGTCTCCTCGTGTTGTCTGCCGTGAGAAATCCCTTAACGATACTTGTGTATTTCTTTCCCATTGTGACGTCTAATGAAGACATAATCATGCTGGGGTTGACGCTGGTGGCGGCTGAGAATGTTGAAGAATCCCGACTTTCCATCATATCTAACTGCGATCCCCCAACTGGCAATTGGCAGAGTATTAATTCGTGTCTCAATTTTAATAGATTCAGAGCGCCGATTTTGCCATTGCTGTTCTGATTGTCGTTTACACTCGCCCCCTGAGGCAACCGCGGCGTCGATCCAATCTTTCAGCGATCTTCAAGAATCTGCCGAAGACTCGACCAAAGTCCAATTTCCAACAATGTGCACCCAACACTGAATATATCCCAGTTTTTATGATAGGAATGTTGAGGATTTCTTAGCAGTGCCGGATGACGGTATAAGTCGGCTTCAAATTCCGACCGCAGAGGTTCTGTCATTTCATCGGGACTGTCAATACGTGAGTAAACGTAGCCGGCAATGTATACAGAGCATTTCTCTAAGTCACCGTTAGCAGCTCCCCTGCAATTGTCGTTCCCCCCTCGAAATGAGAATAATGTTATCAGAATGAAGTGCCTTGTGAAGCCATCCCGCTGTGTGAAGATTTAACAGTGTATCCAATAACGTCATCGCAAGAGATAGCTTTGCATTAAGTGAGGGCGATGATGACTGAATAAACATTCGGCTTAAAGTCTTCAATTCTGGCGTCGCATAGATTGTGTGTAGATGTCGACTTGGTTGAAAATGACTGAAATGTTCGGGAAGACTGAATATGTACCCATACCGCTTTGTTATACGATCTATAACAAATCCACGGCACTTCAAGCTATGAAACAAAGGCCCTCGGTCTTGAAGGAGTGAAGCAATTTGATTGACTCTTCTGAAAATGGCCATTTCGGCGATTTCAGAGATATATTTCCACTCTAGAAGTACTATCTCACCGTCGTATTGAGCTAACGTCCGAAGAGGCTGAGGTCTCGCCTCTTGAGTAGTGTCAGAAGTCTCATAGGGAGCTTCAAATCTTTTGATAACACCTTTGAGATACCGTGTGTGGAAGAATCGTCTTTCTTGGCAGTTTGCCTGTGCGTGAGGCTTCGGAGAGAAGAGATGACGAATCTAAAGTTAAATCTGAGAAGTCTAGTTTGAGCCTTGTCTGCTTCAACCTTGCCGAGGCAGCAATAGCAACATTTGAGGGAACTTTGTGATATTCTCTTTCTATTATAGCAAGATCTTCCTGGCCATTGGCATTCAGTATCACATTTTGGAGGGCGAGCTCTAGGTAGCGGTCTCTCTTTTTCTGCTTTTCTTGCTCGAGAAATTTCTCCATCTGGGTGACGTAGCTCTTCGATCTGTCCAGTAACTATTCGAATTTCTTATCGTCTAACGTAACCAACCCAAGTTTCTTCCACGGTTCCCTTTTTTTAATTGAAAGATATCTGATTCGATCTTCTTGCTGCGTCCCGTGAGATCCCAATTTTCGTCTGCCAGAGACTCGATCGTATCTGCAGTTTTTGCTAAATGCAAACCATATCGCTGCTTCAGTTGCTTTAGATCGGAGAATAAAGCTCCTAGTTGGCCGAGTATCTCAGGAACAAGAACGGCATCGTTGGCGCTGATCTTCAAGGTCGGGGGTTCTTCTTTTAATCCAGCCTGTTCAGCCCATGTGAAGAGTGAATGAAGCATGAATTTTGTCTGCAACTGAATGTTTGAAACAATCCCGACTGTAGTGCTTGGCTCTTCCAAGAATAATAAATCCTTGCACAGCACCATGGAAGCACGTGAGGCTCAAGCTGACAAGTCCCACAACGTCTGGCACAGTGATAGAAAGATTAACCGAAATGACACTGAAGCTATGGCAGAAACATTGATAGCGAGATAATCTGGAAGGAGCATAGCAGACCTCCAAGCACAAAGAGATAGCCTTAAATAACCAGCAAGTTTCATATCGACGAGGCCGAGGTGGGGCAAAGCATTGATTGTACTACAAGCCATATAAACCCCCGACTTCCCATAACACCGCCTTGTCATCTTTCCTACGTTTTGAAAGTCTACTCTCATTGGAATAGAGGAATACGCAATGATTGCTCCCAAAACAATTTCCATTATCGGCGGGCTAGACCTAGATCTTATTATTATTGCCAATCGTTTGCCTAATGGAGGTGAAAGTCTCTTGGCAAATGAGTACTTGGAAGCTCTAGGAGGAAAAGGTGCAAATTCTGCCATTGCGACTTACCGAGCCTGCCACAGGAAGCCTATGGATATGCACGATCCTCCACAGGTTGGGCAAGTAGACGAGGTAGATAATGCCATTCACGTCGAAGGGAAAATTGCCGAAACTCGAGAACAAGCCTCACATATCGCCACAAGTAACAGCCTCGACGATGATGTTGAAATCAATGTTAGGATAGTCGGTGCAGTTGGAGACGAGAAATACGGTGAAAGACTTTACGTCGAACTCAAGGAAAGCGGTGTTGACGCTTCTGGCATCATCACCGTTCCTAATACCCAATCTAGCATCTGTTTTGTGATAGTTGACAACTACACGCGCGAGAATAGATGTCTATTCACCCTCGGAGCAACCGCCACATGGAAGAAGATCATTTCCTCAAAGTGGAAGATCTTGCACATGGTGTACGACCGGACCTCTGCATTGCTCAAATGGAGATACATAAGGAAGTGGTCGAGCAGATGATCGAAACAGCCGGTAAAGCTGGTACTGATTTCGTTCTAAACGCGGCGCCAGTAAACCCGACAACGAATCGCACGTATTGGTATGTGACTCACCTTCTAATGAATGAATCAGAAGCCGCGATCATGTCTGGACGAGACTTGGATGAGGTTAATAAAGATACATGGCCAATTATTTGCGAAGAATTTCTTAATCGGGGGGTGAATAATGTTGTGATAACGCTTGAAGAAAAGGGGGCCTACTACGTAACAGCAACAGATCATGATCATTATCTCTCATACGAAGTCAACGTAGTAGATACCACAGGTGCAGGGTACGGTTTCCACCACCTGTCTAGAGACTTACAGGTGCATATGCTTCTGACTACCTGCGACAAAACGAAACAGGTCAGTTGGATATCAGACGTGCTGTCATTCGCGCCAACAAAGCAGCTGCGTTAACAATTACCAAACTGGGCGCCCACAAGGGTATGCCTTGGGCTGATGAGGTTGATAATTTTGATGCTCCGTATAATGATGATACTACAACGCTGAATATCTTTGATGAGACGTCTGGGACTTACAGGACGACGAGTCGTCACATCCCTAGTTGATGAGTGTTTCAGTACCCCCAAGATTGCTGGTTTGATTCAAATCGATAATAACTTTATCGTGCAATCTTACCTAACTATAAGTTGTCTTGGAGTCTAAGTTTATATATTGACTTGACTTGATCTGCAAATTGTGCTGAATGTAATATCATATCATAGAGTAGTGCTGTTGAAAAACGTGATATAGTAGCCATCGACCTTAATTAGATATTTCAGCACATATTATATCCTATTATATCCTAACGTAGTTCCCATTTCATACCAAAACACCTTACGAAAACATGAATTAAGGGGTAAGCCAATGCTTGCAGACCCCAGTCCATAGCAAAAGTTTGAAAAAAATAAATAAATATTTAGAGAGAAAGGAAAAAGGAAAGAAAAGAAAAGGAAAAAAGACCGGCAAAGGAACTCATTAGGAATTCATTTTACAGAAAAGTGGAATGTAAGCATTTCTTTGATGTTAAAAATTGTCAGAAGCATGTCGAGCCGGAAACAGTGTCGCCTTCCAACCGGAGAGTTCGCTTAATATCTCTCGCTTCTTTTCTGCGTGATACATCGGGTTCCAACATTCTAAAAGTCTGTTCTTTCAACAAGGTTCCAACAGAATCAGTTGAAGGAATCGCATTATCTAGCCACTCGAAAACCTTTTCTAGATTCTCTCGAAGAGCGTAGGCATTATCGTGATGTTCAGCAAATCGAAAGGTTTGGTAATCTTCCAGAGTTCGTTTCTGTCTTATTGTGAGCATTTCACTGAATACATATCCAAGAGAAAATACGTCAGCCTTTCGCCATCGTGGCTGGCTTTCCGGAGCCCAGTACTCTGGTGTGCCAAATGTAAGTGTCGACAAAGAGCTTGAATTGTCCAATCTCGAAAAGGCTTTGGCAGAACCGAAGTCGGCGAGGTATGGCTTATGGTCTTTAATCAGGATGTTGCTCGGCTTTATATCTTCGTGCTTAATATTTTTGGAATGTGCAAATGAGAGCGCGCCAACTAGACAACCAAACCACGATGTAAGGTATGTTAGTTCCGTTCTTGGAAAATGCGCATCTATACATTGACGAAGGAAGCGGCGAAGGTCGCACTCTGCCACTGGTAACATAATAATGCTACACGAATCTTGTTCAAAAACATGGAATTCCACAGATGCAATATGATGATAACGTAGCCTTTGCATTATGGAAACCTCGTTGATGACGTCTCTTTGTACTCGAGACCTTGTCCTCGGGTCGCTGACACGTATAACTTTTTGAGCGTATATTGTTCCCGTAGATGTTTCGCAAACCTTTGATACTTGTCCATATGTTCCCTGTCCAAGAGTTTCTCTCCATTCAAAAGCTGCTCTCGTGATGAAAGGATCCAATGCTCCTTGCGTGCCATTGTAATAGCTAAATTGTGAAGGGGCCTGCCTGACTGCTGCCAGTTCTTTGGACGCGTCGTTAACCAACTCCTCCCACTCCCCTTTCAAACGCTGTTATTCCCTGGACAGAAGAATCAACCTTCTCGCGGAACAAGTCGAGATCTGCTCGATTTTGATATTATTAAATGATCTCACACTTCATATTATTGACTTGAGCACCCACCCCGCTTATGTCTATTTGTCAAATGTTGCAGCATTGTATCGTAGCAATCCATATATATTGCAAAGATTCGTTGCAGGGGATTTTGAACCATGGCATTGTCTGGAAACAGAGAGATGTTGGCACCAAATGCTGGGATGGTGTCTCGAAGCATGGGGAAGTACTGTCGGAATCGGAGGTCTTTCTGCTGATTTCGTAGGGACGTCTTGACTACGATTAGAAGATCGGCAGCTACGTATCGCAAGTGCAACTAAGATCGACTTACCGAGACGGGTTCAAAAGCCTTGGACCAAAAAACAGAACCCGGACAGCTTGAAGCTTCGAGACGAGTTGATTCATCCAGCGCACCGATGAATGCTATGACTTGGTCACGACCATCGTGGCAAACTTTCCAATCTTAATTCGTACAGCGCCAGACACGTCTATATGTCAACAATCCCACATCCAGCGAGATGCACTTGCTTCAACCATAGCAGAATACCGCAGTACGTCGCACAGATACCTCAGTGGCCATCTTTTCATTGCTACCATGTCGATCACGGACAGCGCCTCCTCCACTTGGTCTACAATTTTGCCGGGATCGGACGAGTTTACAGGAGTCAACAGCGAAGCTATATTCCATCAAGCCTTCCTCCAAGTATGCTCCGAGACTCGCGAAAGGGACCCTCAGCGGCTGCTAGCCAGGTTCCTGCGATAGCATGAAGCTGTGATAGACTTTGCTTCCCAGCAAATTGGCGGTGGGGACTCGGGAAGGGAAGGCCCGTCCCACCTCCACAGCACGGTAGATCATGGGGCTCTGTGGCCCTAGCCCCGGCCTTAGAATAAATTGAATGTTTATTATCTGGTCGACCTTGGTTTCATCAATAATAATACGACACTATGGACGATACCAGCAAACTAATCCCATTAGTGAAGGATAGTTAGCTAGTAGGTATAGCAAAGTTGGTACACGAATATGAGAGAGCCATGCTGCTATTTGGTAGTAGTCAGTGTGTCGCTGCTAGCCATAATATACATCACTTTTAATATCATGAGATTATTGAGCAATTGGTAGTTTCCTCAAGACCTGTACAACCCTTTTCCTTCTGACTATCGCAACATCCTGCCCGAAATATCTCTCAGATCGGAAACTTGTCTACCATTAGCCACTTGACCTACATATAAATATCCTGCGAGAGACGCTTCTAAGTAAAGAGGATAGACCCACCTCCAATTCAAGTTTGCTGCGACAATGGCTCTTACGCTAGCGATGTATCTTTGCACATCAGCATCAACTCTCTCACCCCACGAGGGTAGCGTCGAAAGGGCAAGAAACCATCTCTGATATAATTTGGTGAGAAGTCCGCCCACGCGATCAAATGCAGCCTGTGGATGTGCTCGAAGTGGGTCATTGGAGCATTCCATCTGATAACGCGTCAATACAACGAGATTGTGGGGCACCCCTTCAGTCTATATCGCGAATCAGTGACAATTAAGTATCTCTTGACTGTCTCGACTCACCTCCTCTTTACAATAAGATAAAATATCATTCTGGCTAGTTTCGAGGGAAAAGGATCTGCCATCAGCCAAGTTCGAAGTCAAAGATTTCTAGGCGCAACTTACATAACAACGAAATCAACGCCGATTTGTTGGATCTCTCGAACGGCCTTGCTTTGAAAGACTTCCTCTGGTATATCCAATTTCAGCGCATACCTTGGTACATCAGCGTAACATACATAAATGGTACTCTGAGATCTTCACATACTCGGCCAGGGCAAATAAGGGAGCAACTCCAGCTGATTTCCGTCTCATGTCGAGGAGATCGTCAAAGGATGGATACCGCCGCTGAGACCTAAAACACACTTGCTCCCTACTTCCTTCTAAGTAGTCATGCACATAGCTGGCAAAACGCTTTTGGACTCCTGTAAACTTTTCAGCTCTTCTGCACGTTTGCCTTTAGTATAGACAACATTCAACTTAACGTACCGACTGAAGAGCCCTGTGTAATCCTCATCCAAACAGATTGATGGACATCCACGAGCGCCTGTAGTTCTAGAGGTAATTGGCTACGGCTACTTGTGTTAGCAGAGCCTTCCCGCACAATGCCCATATCTGATAGAACAACGTTGATAACCAATTGTGCCTCGTGTATATTATCTTTAAGGTCGCCGTTATCAAACACTAATGACGCAATGATCAGATAACCAATCCCCGTTCATGAAGTGTTTAGGGTTAAGGCGTACAGTCATCGAAAGGAAAAACCTGTTGACTTGGTATTAGGATATAATACAGAGTATCATGTATACGAAAGAAGAGCACACCCAATTCCCCCAGTCACACATAGTTCTTAACTCAAACGCTCCTGCATCTGGAGCTGTAATCGCACAGAAGTATGAAAAGTCTGTCAGAGACAGAACGCGTTTTTGACGAGCGTTTAATCGGCATCTCCTGAGTAATTGCAGATCGAGGTTAGTCATTGACGTTCAATAAGCTTTACATTCACTAAAAGAAAACGCTGAGGCAAATTGAGAATCCAGCGGAGAAGTCAAGGTGAAACGAACTCTGAAAACCAGGCTTCCGATTCGGCCTTAACGAGATCGTAACTTGAATTAACGCATGGTGGTACGGACAGAAAGAGCGTAAACATGTCGGGGAGAACAACATGGACTTTACTGTCATCAAGTGGCCCAGCTATAGCCGTGAGCCCAAGCTGGTTTGTGTCAGCTCGTTTGTCTGACTGCATGTCGTGCTTTGTAGACAACATGTTCACAGTACTAAAGATCGTTCGAGTAATCACCAAAGATAAAATAACGAGTCCAGTCAAGGGGAAATGGCTGACTAATTCCTGTGATGATCACACTCTTACGAGATACCAGCACGAGTGAGAAACCGAATTTACTCCGTAGGCTATTTGTTAATTACCTTTCTGAGATTACACAAACACAATTCATCTCAAGGAATATAGTTTTAAATTAACTAGTCTTACAATAAATTGTCTAGGCTGTGCTGTTTTATTGGCAATCAGCAAAACTATATACGGATAACAAAGAGCTATGTTAAATAGTTTCGTTATACGAATTGTCTCATAATGAACTCATGACTCAAAAATTTGAGATAAGTTTTTCATCTCCTTTGTCCTAGGTTTTTATCTTTTTGTTTTTTTCATGTGATGGTAATCTCAAAAATATGTTAGAGACCGTTCTAGCCAGTGATATTTAACGCTACTCGTAAGATGTAAGGTCCTCTGCCTGAACGGTAAGCCAACTCAATTATCATATAAACAACAAATCTCACTTGAGGCATTCTCCCATACAGTGCATTATAATCAAACGTGGCATATCCCGGCAATTGACATACAATGATCACCAAAAACCAACAACAGGGGAAACAAAAGGCCCAGAAATGGTCGTATAGTTTCACATGGACGGATCAACATCTTGAGCCACAACTAATGCAATCTTTGAGACTCGAGTACGATGAAATCGGCGCCCAGGCTCTAGACAGACTTCTTGCCATCAAAAAGACCAAAAATTGCCACGGCGACTTTTACAAACTCCTCGAAAAGTATCACAAGGAAGACGACATCTTGCGTCGGTTCTGGGATGAGTTGCACAACGTTCCAAAATGGGTGGATTGGGCCCAGCTTGCACGTGGACAAGAGTTCTTTTACCGATATGCTTTGGCAAACATTATTGGATTTGCGCTGCAGGGCTTCATTTGCGAAAACTCGGCATCCACTGGTGTGGTAGAGGTTCTCGTTCGCACCGGAGGCTTTTCAACACGAGTTCTCTGGTTTCGTTTATTGGAGACTTTCCAATGGCTTCTTCAAATTATGCATGATATTGAGTCCGTGAAACCTGGGGGTGAAGGATTCCAGTCGACAATCCGTGTTCGGTTGCTTCATTCATGTGTCCGCCGTCGAATCTTAGGATTGGTCAGTCGTCGAGCGGACTATTACAATACTGCCGAGCATGGTATACCTGTCAATGCCATGGATTCAATCCACTCAATTGCAACTTTTGCATGTAACCCAATGTTTCTACAACTGCCTAAGATGGGGATCCAGCCGCGTCCAGACGAGATCGAAGACTATCTTGCATTGTTTCGATATGTGGCATACCTGATCGGAACACAACCGGAATACTTCTCGACATTTGAAAAAGCCAAGGCTACAATGGAGAGTTGTTATGTGCATGAGTTGAGCCTGACAGAGACTTCTCGAACAGTCGCATACAACTTTATTCGTTGTGTTGAAAGACTTCCTGCACCCCTTACTATTTCGCGGTCCTTTATTGAGGCGGGCAGTCGCTGGCTTAATGGTAATGAGATTTGTGATCAGCTCGGTCTAGGAAGACCAGGGATATTGTCATATGTTGCTTTTAGCGGATTATGCTCCTTGGTAATGATGCTCGCATGGACCCAACGAATGATACCAGCGTTTGACCGGTTCATAGTCCAGGTAAGTAACCACTAACTGCTTTTGGTCATTGCGGTGTCCATATGATGCTTATCTTTTAACATTACCCAGTACACTAGACGCCTTCTGTACTGGGCTGTCATTCGAAGTGAAGGGGGTCTAAACGGAGGCACTACTTTCAAAATGAAGTACAAGCCAGAGTTAAATCGAATAACTGGGCGGGAGGAAGCAATTAACGGTACGAACCGGATGCATGTTATGGAGTGTATATTTATACTCTCGGCTGCTTTGGTGCTATGTACAGCGACAATTTTGGGATACCTTCTATCAAGAGTCATGACTATGACTCTTGCTATTGCCGCTGCGGAATGAAACCATCTATAAGACCTGGAATGATAGGGAATCGCCCTTCATCGGTGGCGAAGGGCTGCAAGACAATGGTCTTTCTTCGTTACCTACCGGAAACGGATTTTATGCCCTAGATATCTGGGTCAATAGAAGCGGATTTCTTCCTGTTTCTTTTTCTGAAGATTGATAGTGGACCTTACGCAGTGGAGATAGGAATCCGCCCCAAGGTTAGCTTTTGAAATCAATCATTAGTGCACTCAAAACCACATGTTTAGCATGTGATAAATGCCTCCAAACTGATTTAATATCTATCATCGGTAGCAGCACCTTGAGGAAACGACACAAAATATATACATGCGCAAATAGACTATATGTACAAGAAGTGTCTATGAGCTGTTATTTATCCACCTGTTGATGAACGACGCTTTTATAGAACATTGACGGATATTCGGAAATAACAACTTACTTCATTTTTAATTATCATACCTCTGGCATCTCGACAGTTTCATTATACATCTTTCCAGTGTGCATATCCTTCCCACAGACAGCAACTTGCATCTTGAAATCGCTCTGATAGAGATCCGACTTGTCCGCATCTTCTGTGTCTAAAGGCAAGATAAAAAGCACATCACGTCCACTTTTCCTCTCATCTAGGATGAAACTGATGATTCGTTTGATAATTCCAAATGGCAGTCCGCTTTCCAGTGGAATTCCAAAGTCTTCTACTCGGCGTATCCAATCCTGGATCCACGTTGCCACATCTGCACGAGGACAGAGAACTATGCACGCGGCAAGGGTCGACAAAATACCAGCAGTGAAGATGTTCTTATAAATACAGTCGGAAATTTGAATTCCGGCAGTGATACGTAAGATAAGCTCGGCCCATGGACTATCCTTTCTCGTAAGAGCAGGCACGACAAATTTCGTACCTTTGAGTCGAGGGATCACATCTTGGGAACACATCAATTGAGCGTGCGCGTAGTACGTATAATTCATAGCGGCCTCGAAGGTATGGAATTTTAGAGGAAGTATGTCAATCTTATCCATTTCGGTGGATGACTGTCCGGTTACACCTTGACGCTGAGATACGTAGCTTTCTATTGGGAGCTCCGATAGGTCAAGAGTAGAGTGCCACTCATCCAATCTTTCCCGTTGCTCCGCCAGCGACTTCCAATAGCCATCATCGATAGCAGCTAGTTGTGAAACTGACTCTCGTCGCGGCTTGGGAATCGAAATCTGAGTAAGTATTTTGTCTAACGCGGAGCTGTCGCTGCCACTGCGAGTCTCCCCTCGCGCCACACACAAGTCGAGGATAATTCTTCTACTCAACAGTTTACAATCACACATCATGATAGTGATGGAATCGTTGTGCGATTCTCCTTTATCTATCGTGCGATTTAGTGGGAAGGTATCAATGCTATGACTAGGCATCGAGGATATGTGACTTCCAAGATAGCGATTCACAAACTGGGAACGCAAATTCATCCACGTAGATAGTAGTTTTTGCCCGGCTCGATATGACCTGATTTCCTCGTCATGGGAGGCAAGGAATTTATCAATAACAGTCATGTGCCCGATGCCGCCAGTAAAAGATCCCGAGTCTAGTTCGAAATAATAGGACAAGAGTAATGTTGCTAGTACATCAAGGGACTTCATCTGAGGGGGCATTTCAACGCACTGTCCGATGCCCGTTATAACCTTATTGTAATACTGTAAACTTTGGTATTGGTGGTCTTTTTGCGGTATATAATATGATTTTCGGTTTCGTCGATGGGCAGTGCGAACAATCAGGGATTCCAGGTGAGCCACGTATGCCGCTGAAATAGCCAGAATTGCATTTCGCAGGGGGGGAAAGTCGGGAATCTCTGTGGTTATGTCGCGAAACACTGGGGGTAGGAGAGGGGCTACGCCGTTGTGCCACTGTGTAAAGTAAAATTCAGTGAGGCTTGCAGAATTCCGAATCCGAGTAAGAGGGGAGGCTAGATGAATTGTATTCTTGAAAGCAGGTAATATGCTTTCCGGCGTGGTTGATGCGTAGGAAGTGTCCCCAGAGTCGCTGGAGCTAGTTGTGTCCTCCGGCGACGAAAACCCAATCTGCGGAGCGGAGAGCGTCAGCCGTCTGACAGGAAGATTCGGATCGCAGTAGTCTGTGGATGCCCAGTTTCCGACAGTACTGAGAAAGGCGTTGTTAAAGGGCGAATACTGCCGATTGATGCTGGCATTGTTAGATTGTATTTGCGTTCCGGTCTCGGAGGCATCGCCAAACGATGACTTGCTGGACAGCAAGGTGTCAATAGCTATGGAAGGAAATTCCCCAAAACCATTATCATCCAAACGCGAGCCTGATCGCAAAGTCGTCGAATATGCGAATTGGTCTGAGCGCTTTAGTGCGGCTGACTGCTGGGGCGCGGAGCTCCTCTCTGGCACCAGGGCCGCGGCGTTGAGGGTTTGAGGATCGCAGAACTTGTACCGTAGCGCATAGCCCTCGCAACGAAGGCCAAGGTGATTGCAGGCCCGGCATGCTGGCTTCTCTTCATCACACTGCATGGGGGAGAGGAAACAACACGTCAGCGATGGTGTTTGTTATGGCTCGCCGACAGATGCTTTCACTCGTACCTACCTTGACTTTGCGCCGACGACAGGTATAGCAGCCGGTACGAACACGGGTAATGCCCGGCTTCATCCGCTTGCGCGGGGGAGACTGCGAGCGCGGTGGACTCATGGAGCGAGCGACGTTGGAGGATGAGATCGGAGGAAGCAGCAGCAAGCAAGCAAGCAAGCAGTACTCCGCATGGGGTAGCGCTTGCGAGCCTTACGAACTAGGCAGTGGGGGCCGCGCGCTAACCGCCCCTGCTCGTCACGTGCATTGCCCTGAAAAGGTTAGGCTCAGGGTTGCTCAAACCTTGAATCAATATCTGCGTACGCCGTACTGTACGCGACGGGGATAGCGGCGAAATGCCTTCCTCTTGGATATCCAAAAGGCAAAAGGGACCGGCGCAGGAGATAAGGAGTCAGCATTTGCTTCGCGGTCCGGTATATGTATGTATAGCAGATTGTTCCCATCCAGCCGACGACTGACTCGGTGCGTCTTCTGCCGCAACTTATCTTACTTTTACTTTTAAACTCATTTGTCTTATCACTGATCAGCCATCTGGCCCACCGAGCCACAAAGTTAGATTCTTCAGCGTCGGATCTGCTGTCCCAATGCGGCATGCGGGACCGACTGCTATGGCAGATGGAACAGGAACAGTCCGAAATGGCAACCGCAAAAAAAAAGGCCAGATTCAACGTCTACCTAGGTATCGCCAATCACAGATACCGCAACACCACGCCTCCGGCCATGGCTAATCGCATATAGAGGCAGGCCTAATTCCGCGACGCTGAACGTCTCGCGCTCGTCCTGTCAATTTCTTCTACCAACAAATTGGTTTGCCATAGCGCTTTGAAACAATGGCCACCGGTGATCATCGAAATGACCCAAGGGGTCAGGACACTTTCGACCAGAAAGCTCTTCCCGCAGATGTCGCTGACGTTGAAAGCGTTGAGATCCCCAGCACTCAGAACCAGTCCGAGGAGAAGAAGCAATTTGCCGGACTTGCTGACCTGGATGGCATCAAGCGTAGTTGGAGCGTTCAGGGTCTGGTAGTTATATGGATATCAGCATTGCTGATGAGTTTTGCCACCAATTTGAACAACCAGACAACAAACTCTTTTGCGCCGTATGCTACGAGTAGCTTTGCTTCTGCTCCACTGTTGGGGACCATCACCGTGGTACAAGCCGTGGTTTCATCCGGTTTGTTGTTGTTCATGCATGACATAACGACGGACCGACGCTAAGACACATGCAGTCGTTTTACAACCTCTCGCGAGGCTTGCCGACGTATATGGGTCAGTATACCAGAACACCCAGCCATCCAATGGTATTACATCTAGTCGAATATCCTCCTCTAATCTTGCTGCAGGCGGTTCGAAATATTTTCGCTTTCTGTATTGCTGTTAACGATCGGAGAAATTATGATAGCTTCGTCAAAGACTCTTAGCGTTTACGCTGGTGCTCAAGTATTCTGGGCTTGTGGTTATATAGGTATGCTGCATCTTGTCGAGAGACTTGATTCAACCAGCTGACTTGTCTAGGGATCTCTTTGATGCTTCAGATCCTCGCGGGTGGTACGTCGCTTGGCAATGTAAGTATTGCTAGGCGATCATTGTTAACAGTATCAACCATTAGATACCAGCGACCTTCATAACCGTGCCATTCTAAACGCAATACCCCTCACGCCTTCGCTCATAACATGCTGGGTAATTACCAATTCTCGAATGATGAGTTTTCGTCATTAATCTAATGCTTAATCAGATTGCAGGACCAGTCGCAACCGGCATCATTGATATAACATGGAGATGGGGTTTTGGGATCTTTGCAATTATTGTCTGTATTCCAATCTTCCGTTATGCACTGACGCAAACTAATACGAATCATATAGGTTCCTACAATTGCTATGCCTCTCCTGGTGTGCCTTTATCTCAACAAGAGAAAAGGGTTCAAATTAAGGAAGGCAGAAGGAACTTATCAGCCTTTGAATCACATGAAAAACTTCATGCAACTCGATCCAATCGGCTTGATTCTCTTCGCCGCGGGGCTCGCTCTTATACTAATACCAATATCTTTGGCATCTTCTAATACACATACTTGGAAAAGTGCACACACAATAGTGGAACTGGTGGTTGGTGCTTGCTGTCTAGTTGCCCTCGCCATATGGGAGACAAAATTCGCACGCTGGCCAATTTTGCCAATGACTATTCTCAAGAGCCGTACGGTCATATTCGGCTTATCAGGCACGTTTCTCATCCCACTCCCCAATTCCATGCAAACCGCAAAGAGTCCATCCGTAATAACTATCTCAACTAGCCATGTTGATTAATTACGCGGGCCTTTATCTCCTGCAAAGCTACCTGTTGTACTATGAAATGGTTGCGGCTGACTTGTCAGTGAATGCGGCTACCAACATATATGTTCTTATCCCATTTGCGGGGTCTTTAGGCCAAGTCGGAGCGGCTTTTGTGGTTAAATATCTCAAAAGCTACAAGTGGGTGGTGGTAACTGGATACGGAGTCATAGTACTTGGAATGGGCTTAACCTACAGATACGTCAATGGACATGGACATATGCCCCAACTAGTCATTTCCCAGTTAATCCTAGGAATTGGACAAGGAATTGTCATGACCACCCAATTTGGGGTGCAAGCATCCGTCACACAAGAAGGTAACACGAATTCCGTTCCCGGCCAAATGAGTTGTACTGGCTTGTTAACATTCCCACGCAGACATGGCAGCAGGAACAGCCTTGTACACCACCTCTGTTGGAGTTGGCAATGCTATCGGCGCGGCGGCTGCTGGGGGGACTTGGTCAAGTAAGACAATCTAACAATTCTAGGATTAGAGGATAAATACTGATGAAATTGGTCTTAGCTCTACTGCCTCGAAAGCTTCGCGCCAATCTGCCTTCTGATGCCGTAAGTGCTGCGCCTGAGATCGAAGGCTCTATTGAAATCGCCTTGTCATATGCGTGGGGGACGCCAACCCGTGATGCTATCAATGAATCCTATACTAGCGTTTTCCGCACAATGATACTTGCAGGTTTGGTCCTTATGGCCATTGCCCTACTTTGTTCCCTCTTGATGCAGAATCACAACATCGTGGAGGTGGACGATAGTCGAGAATATAAGGGAGTTGTGATTGGAAAGATTAGCGCGGTGGATTCTTTGAAAGAGAAGATTCACGTCGGTCAGGATGAGAAACCCAATCCCACAGCGGGGAACTCTTGATCATCACCAATATAACTGTCACGGTAAGTACTGTGTTATCGGAAGGCAGGTAAAGAATTATCATTCTTGGATATCCTTAATACAATGTGCATTTGCTTTGTGACTCCGTCCATAAGATCTTAGTCCCGTACAAGAAATGCAAAAGAGACTACCCAGGTAGGAGCGGTCTTGTTTGTTGGAAATACAAGTTCTTTGACCTGATACCCCTGTGAGGAACTTTCTTTGCGAAACTTGCCTCGATCAAGGCGCATCTCCATGCATACATGTTGTTTAGTTCATAAGGATGACAATCTTAGGTATCTTTGCCTTTTTTTTTTAGTCTAGATATCACATAAACATAATCCTTGCCCCCCGCTCTATAAACAAGATTACTGCAGAAACTGCCATATGTGTATTACCACCTAGGTTATTCTAGCGGCTTTAGTCGTGGTAGTATACAATTCCTGAATCTATCTACCTTTGTTCTTTTGGTCTCCTGGATAACTCGGCCAATACCCGCCGCTACTTGGCGGCGGATACATAGCGCGCGAGTCACTTAACAAGAACCTCGAAAATAATAATGAATTTAAACTTCAAAACAGAAGTTCTTGATAAGGGCAGGTCTGTCAAGGCTCTTATCCATGCGGGGACCATATGTGGATTAGCCCTAACGCTAGGACGACTTAGCCTTCCTTCCGTATTCGGAGGCTGAGAGCGAGCGTGCAGAAGCCAGGCCCTCCTCTTGGGAAATTATCAACCGTGATAAAATCTCGTCGCTGATATTTCAATCGTTTCTCTTTCTGTAAGTATCACAACCAGCCAGGCAAGAATAGCTACTAGCACACAATGTCTGAGCCAGCGACGATCGCGCCATACGGGAAATGGGACAGCCCCATTAAAGCAGAGCATCTCTCTAGTGCTAGCGTCCACCTTGAAGGAATCGAAGTCGACGTAAGTTTGCATAGCCCTCAGGCACTCAAGGTTGGCGAACCAAAACTCATCAGCAGAGGAAGTCATCCACCGGCCAAATTTTCGTCCTTGAGTCACGTCCAGCAGAAGGCGGCAGATTTGCTATTGTGGAGTTGACCAATGGAGCTGCCAGAGATGTCCTACCGGCAGGCTACAATGTCATGGGCACAATCCATGAGTATGGCGGTGGTTCCTTTGGGATACATGTCAATGGCCGTTTGCTCTTTACCAACCATCCGGACAACGGCATCTTTTTGCTAGATCCTGCGTCTGGAAGTGTGGAAACGATTATCGCCCCTGATGGATCTGTACGCTTTGGCAATTTCTCTGTTCATCCGACTGCTGTCGAATGGATTCTTGCTGTGCAGGAGACTCACCTTGAAGGTTCACCGGGGAAAGCAATTGTTAAAAATGCGATAGTCGCTATACATATTACCACAGCCAAAGTATACTATATTTCGGAGGGAGCTGACTTCTACCAACACCCTCAATTTAGTCCGGATGGGAACAAAGTCTGTTGGACACAGTGGGACCATCCCGACATGCCTTGGTCCGGAACGCTCCTATATGTAGCTGATTGGGAAGCCGGGAAGGTCTTGAATCATACTTTAGTTTCAGGAAAAGCTGGTGCTGAGAGTATCTGTCAGCCAAGATGGGGCATGGATGGCTCACTATTATATGTTAGCGACAAAACTGGATACTGGCAATTGCATCGGTATGATGGTGAATCATCAAAACTTATTCATCTTGATGGGCTGGAGACAGCAGAGTTTGGCAGTCGAGAACCCTGCCTTGGAAAGTAGGTGTTGCGTGATTTTTTTTTTTGGGTTGCTTTTCATCATGGTGACAAGTTTATCCTCTAACGTTGGCCCTTAGTTGCACCTACATCCAGCTGGACGGCAACACTCTGGTTGCATCTGTCAATCACCGCGCGACATCCAATCTGGTCGTGATTTATCTAGACACCAGTACTTGGAAGGATTTATCCTTGCCTATTGTCGATATTCAAAAGGATGCCCTCGCACGAGTTTCGGCATCAGCTTTTGCCGTGATAGGCAGCACGCGTTCCACCCCTCAGGCGCTTTACCGCGTCGACATAGGCAAGGTTGTATCTATGAAACTACTTAGACCAACCGTAGAACTTGATATACCCGAAACTATTATTTCGCAGGCGCAACATATCACCTTTCCACGAGTATACGGAAAAAGCGATGCCAACTCTCCCAATGCATACGGCTGGTTCCTTGGACCAAAGAATGTTGATTTCAAAGGACCGGAAGATACCAAACCGCCTCTGCTGGTTTGGATGCATGGGGGCCCGACATATCACGTCCCTCCGGGTCTCTCGCTTAGCAGCCAGTACTGGACATCGCGAGGCTATGCTTATGTTGTTGTCAATCACGTCGGATCTACTGGATACGGGCGGGCGTACCGCGAACTTCTAGATGGCGAATGGGGCTCTGCCGATGTTGCAGACGCCGCAAGCTGCGTTGCATATCTCGCTTCGGAAGGGCTCATTGATCCTACAAAGGTTGGGATTGTTGGCGAGAGTGCGGGTGGCTACGCTGTCATGCAGGCCCTCTACATGTATCCCGATATCTGGGCCGCTGGAATAAGTATATACGGAATCAGCAGTCTGTCTGGGTTTGCGGAGACGACGCATAAATTCGAAAGCCATTATATCGACTCTCTTGTCATAGGAAAGGGAACTAAGAGCGAAGAAAAAATAGCAGCTCTGTATAAGAGTAGAAGTGCTGTGTATCACGTGGAGAAAATCAAGGCACCATTGTTACTCCTCCAGGGAGACGTTGATACAATCGTACCAGCAATCCAGGCTACGCTTATGGAAGAAAAGATGCGTGAGCTCGGGAAAGTGGTTGAAGTAGTTATGTTCGAGGGAGAAGGGCATGGATTCCATATGGAAAAGACGATCAAAGCTTCACTCCAGCTTCAGGCTGATTTTTGGGCAGCGAAGCTTATTTAGACATTGGAATTTGATTCATTCTACTGTTAGTTGTCGTCATGAAGTCTACAATGAAGAAATACTCCTTTATCCGGCAAAAAGAAGGTCTTCATATCTAGACGTAAAGTTTGATTTCTATGTCAAATTGGTACCAAGACGAAGTTAGCAATAAAAATGCTCGCTCTACACTCAGGCGGCACGGTCAAACCAAATCAATGTATCCGGCATATTGGAAAAATCAATGGCAGCACCAAATCTGATCACCTTACCTTCGGCATTAATTTGAAACTCGGCCTTTACAACAGCATCTGAGTTTTGACTGAACCTGAAGACAAATATCTCAGCGAGGAAGAACTCAGCCGATACATGCTTCAGGTTCATTCGGATGGGAAATGACCCTCTCACAAGAACGCGGAGCTCAGGTTCCTCGTCAGAGCTCACACTAATGATAAATTCTGGATGGGCTGGATGTGTGTACGTGCCAGCATACTCTGCCAGTGGAAGAAAGAGCGGCCGAGCTGGAGAAGGAACAGAAGGATAGAGACGTTCCTTAGCTGTCAAGTTATATTCTTTACGCCGGGCAAGCTTGTTCTGGGTGCTAGAGAGGTTATTAGCATTCATGCATGTAGTGAAGGTAGTGTATCTTGAGTTAAAAACAGAAAACTTACACTTCATAAAGGTTCATACGCTCTTCTTGAGGGACATTCAACATCTCATCTATAAGATGCCATGCTAGAGCCTCGCGTCCTGGGCCGTCGGCATTGCAGAACACAAGAACACCCCAATCACGCTCAGGAAAAAGAATCATGGTCGCAGTCATGCCTTCCAGGCCTCCCGGGTGTAGAACGACATATTCGCCACGATATGTAGTCGAGAACCAACCCAATGTGTAAAGTGTCTGCTTTTTCAGCTGCGGGAGCACCTGCGGAGAAAATGATCGCGGTTCAAATATGGCGGCATATCCAGCTTTCGACAAGGGGCCAGACTGGCGCATCATGGAGCGGATGTACTTCGCATAATCAAGGACATTGGAAATCACTGCGCCAGCTCCACTTAGTACACTATCGCAATAAGGGATCTCCTTTGTCTCAGAAGTCGATTCATCCCAGCTATATGCCACTGCAAGTGTAATGTCATTATCATCAGAATCAGCGCACTTTCGGGCGTCGTCAAGGGAGAAGAAAGTTGATTTCATATCCAAGGGCCCCCAGATGTGTTTTCTAAGAAAGTCTCCCAGCCACTCGCCGGTGACAACCTCAATCATATGTGACACGGCGATATATAATGCATTGCAGTACTGCCAAGTCGTTCTGATATCTTTGCTCATTCGAAAATGGCGTAGGCTTCGGACGACGTCTCGTACAGTTCCGGGGCGACCCAATGTCATCTCATGGCCTGGTAATCCAGATCGGTGTGAAAGCGCATCTTCCAACGTAACGTGCGAAGTGGCATATTCGTCTGGTAGGACAAAGTCTTCACGAATGACCTTGTTAAGAGGGGTTGTCCATTTGATCTCCGGATACTTTTCGTCGTCGTCTACCAGCAAAGAGGCCGCCGCCGCAGTAAAAGATTTGGAAGTACTGCCCGTGTAGAACAAAGTTGAGGGCCGCACTGGGACATCTGGCAGCGCTGCGATTCCATATCCCTACTCGTTTAGTTAATATTATAGCTGCATACGAACCGCGTGTAGAGCCTGCTTACCTCGGCCCAGGTCTGATCCCCATCGACAACCGCAACGGAAACGCCTTGAATATGCCATTTGTCCAATGTTTCGTAGACAAGGCTTTTGAAGCCCTCATTCAATGGAGAGCGCTTGGCCGAACCCAGGTTGCCATCGTTGGCAAAGGGGACGGGTGTGGTTTCGCCTGATGGCGGAATGGCAGCGGTTGCATTATTTGCAGATGCCATTTCAGATGCCCAGATCGCAGGGGTGAAAGTGAAATACAAAAGTTTAATGCTTTTCCTGTCGAGATGCCCATCCACTGAAGAGGTTTGGAAATGCCACCTTTTTTATAAAGCCAATTTCGGAACGAAAACTGCGTCGGAGGCTTCGCTCCTTGCTCTGGTGTGTTCAACAACGAGGCCTACCGCGAAAAACATTTGGGCCATTCATTTGCAACTCGCGAACGCTTGCCTCTAGGAAATCTGGCCTTGCGAGAGCAGCTCCCTCGGACCTCAGCAGAGGCTCGAAAGGGACAATCTTGCCGAAAGCGAGCCAACTTTGGAGCTAAGCCGAGTCTGGAGCAGGAGAGCGAGTAAATTTCCTAATTAGGAAGACTGCGCGGCCCCACCCGTTGCTACGTCGTTTGAAGTTTCACCTCAAACACTCAAAGTACTTTTTGCCCTTCAGGCTTCAGCTGACTCAGATAAAAGAAGACTCAAGAAGAATCTCATGAAAAGGAGACACTCGCATGGCAGCTTTGGTTATAGCGTTGGTCTAGGCTTGGCAAGGCACCCCCAAGTCGCATTTTCCCCGGTACCTAGGTAGATGGCACGATTCACTTCCCATGAGCTCCAGGTATGCTTTCATAGGCGTTTCATCTAGAAACAAATTCCTTCGTCTTTCCGACGCACAGAGAGCCCTACAAGCTGCAAACTTTTGAGCTAAGGATATAAATTTCTCACGAAGAGTAAGTCTCGAATGCTCTTGTCAAGACTATGCGAAAAAAGGTCTATTGTAAGTGAGAAAGATGAGTTATCGACATAGTATCCGAACACTTAAATAACCACTTTCAAGAATCTCACGCACTGTAAGCCGAGCATTTGGATCTGGATTCAACACCCCAATCAAGAACTGGATATCTTCCCCAGGAACACCCTTCTCAACCATGTCATTTGTCCACATGTATGCTTCTTCTGGTCGAGGCGCAGGTAAAAGCGCAGCACATTGCTTATCCTCGGCATACATTGGCACTAAGCCTAGATCGAAATCAATTGCTAGCTGATCGCGGATAGCTTTTGCCTTTTCTTCCAAGCCGCCAGTGCAGATGGTATCATACATTCCCGGAGACTTGAAGTCAACTTGAGCTTGGAGCAGTTCAGCCAACTATAGATTGAATCAGTGTATAAAACAAGAATGGAGGTATGTTCCGTCTTTGAAATTTACTGACAATTATTCCCCAGGACCAGACGTCTGTGCTTTGAGTCCATGCTTTCCCGAAATAGACTTCCGGGCTGCGATACGTGAGAAGTTATTTCTCTAGTAGATGGTCTGCTGACTATACTATGATTAGAAAGAGTTGTCACGAAATCAATCAAGAGTTTCACGAACTGGAACCACAATCTGCAAGCCTCACAATGACATCGCGGACATTCTCGTTTAGCTTAGTATGATCAAATCCGCCCAGTACAACATTCTCCATCTTCAAAAGATAATTTCAGTTTCAACGGCAGATTGCTGTCAATAGCCTCATAATTACCAGTATAGACCATGCCTTTCATGTGCACTATAAAGATGCCTAAAAGAATACCCTTCATGACCCATTTGATTTCCTGGGTAGTGAATGATCTAGTATTTTGGGCTTCCCAGAGCGAGTCTGTGAACACCTCCAGCACCATCATCGGCCGCCAGGCTCTGATCCAGGTATATAATCAACGAATTTTCGGATCATTGGATCCCTGGAAAAGAGCCTTTGCATCTCCAATTCGTGCTTAAAGGCAGACAGTGCATCAGACCGGGATATCACATTCTCTTCTGGGGGTCGCTTGATAATATATTCAACCTTGGAGGTGGATACATCTAGTGCCAGCCATACATTAGGGCTTTTACTATGATGTTGCGCTCCGACAGGGCGTAAAAGGCGGTACCGTGTTCCGCCTTGTCCACGACAGATCAAACCGATTGATACGACGCTAGAAAGTGGAGCACTGAAGTGTTGAAGGGATGTTCTAGACAGAGTTGTCTGCCGAGATTGTATACAATCTGGTTGCAAATGTCTGAAAGAAAAATGAGTGAACTCGAACATGTCGACGCGTGTGCTACACAACGCGGGCCAGCCTGACGCGTAGTCCAAGGCTAGCTTAGCACTTTTTGAGACAGCAACTAAATCACACAGAGGTCATTAAAATCCGCAAATAACATCGGAGATTTTATTGTATCATAACTGTAGCCCCGCACTAAATGTGTGCGCATCCTCCATGTTATGCGGAGAAGAAGCCGCGGGGAGCCTACTAGTATTAACGTTAGATGTTAACAACGGATTCGGAACGCTGTATTAGCTAGTATTGAGAATACTATATAATCTGCATATCTAACTAAAGAGAATATTCAGGGGTTACTTGAGGCCATATTTATGATCAGAATAGGGGTCAACTAAAACACATATCCAATGCCTATTCTGGCCAATTAGATGTACCTCTATAAAATATAGTGTTAATTATAGATTACATGTTATATTCAGAATAGCAATCATAATCTACTATTATATCTCTCCAGCATATAATCTAAAATAGAAAAGAATAAAGCAAAAAAAAAAGGCAATATTTAATAATCTATATAAAAACATAATATTAAGAAGTAATAAAAAGAGTAACAAATTTAAAAATTAAACCAAGAACCAATAAAAAGAGAAGAAAAGGCATAGAAAATTATATTAGCTAGTTATTTTATTAAGTAGACCATCTTCCCAGACCTAATAAAGATTCCCTATATTAAACACCTTATTAATACCAGTAAGACTCTTAATCAAGCTAGAATTCAATATAACAACTTATATTAATTAATCCTAAGTACTTAACAAAAGCTTTATACTTCTCAATTAAGAGAGATTTAGTGAGATTATTAGCAGTCATACTATTAATATTAACTTAGTGTATATCAATCTATTAATCTTATATCTTTTTACATAGCTAGTAATTATAAATATTGATATAGTAAAAGCATGTTTAAATCACTTCATTTTTGATTATTAAGTATACTATTTAATAATTATTATATTCAATAGTAAAAAGATCCTATTTAGCATTAAATTTAATAACTTTAAAGAATTATTCCCACCAAAGAAACTATTTTTCTATATCAAATAAGACAAGAAGCTCAACCTTGATAATAAATATAATAATAATTCTCTATTTCTTTAAAATTCAGTTAATTAGATTTTTAAATAGCTTAAAAAAAAAGACCCTAATATTATATTAATCTAGATAGTCAGTAAATACTACATTACTTACTATATAAATTAAATTAATTCTAAATAGTCCTATAAAATATATTATATAGAATCTTATATAATAAAAATATAAAAGTATATAATTAATAGCCTTTATATAAACTAATACTAGATTTTACATAAACATACTTAAATAGGAAGTTATATAAATAATATTAGATCTTATTATAATTACTACATATAATATAGATCTTATTTTTCCTTAATAAAGTACAATCTAAGAAGATATTACTTTACCTTCATAAAATATCAATTTAATAATAATTATTAATATTATAGGTAATTTATCAGTAAATAGATTATAATATTTTATAACCTTCTTAATATAGGAATCCTAATATAAATAAATAACCCTTATATCTTTATTCTAAATAATTCTTTGTCGGAAACTTCGGTTTGGTTACCGTCGAGTATAGCTAGGATAGCTATTAACGGGCGAAGTTAATAGGCTTCTAAGGTCGAAAGATCTCGGTAGATGAAAGAAATAAGAATAAGGCTATAAATATCCTGATTAATAGAAGATTATATACTTAAGTTATTATAGTTAATTCAAAATAATAAAAGAAAACTAAATATATAATAAATAAATATTCTTATATAGCTTTTCTCTATTATAGTTAATATAGTAATAGCTCTATTCATTTTGTCTTAATTAATATAATTAATATAATAATAGCTCTGCTAGCTCTATTATCTTAATCTTAAGATTTTATAGATAATTTTTTATTTTAATATATATTAATCTTATAATAATTAACTTAATTTATTAATTATAATATTTTAATTCTCTAATAATCCTTTTCTTTAAAGGCTAGTATCTTAATAGCTTAATAAATAGCTTATATTTTTTAAAGTATAGATAATTAATTCTAATTTTTTAAATATTCTAAATATATGATTTTATAGTTTTATATTAATTATATCTTTAAAGTAAAATATTAATAAGAATAATCTTATATTATATATTAAGTAATCTAGTATAGAGTTATCTTTATCTTATTTTTATTATTTTTTACTAAATAAGATTTACATAAAATTAGAAATATTATTATATTATAGTAAGTATATATAAAATAATTATTATAAGTATATTTTAATAGCTTTATCTAATTTTATATAAAAAAAATTTCTTTATATTTAAAAATATTTAGAAGAAGATAAGAATAGGATAAATATTAAAATTAAAGCTCTTTTAGTAAAATATACTTATCTTAATAAATAATAAAAATTATTGTAAAAATATACTAGTTAATTTATTTAGTTAGATATAAAGAATATTAAAGAGTTAGAAAGATTAGAAAAAATAAAAGAAAAGATAAAAGTAAAATAAATAAAAAAATAATAAAAAACTAAAGAGCTTTTAATTATTATTTTTATTTTATAAAATAATAATTTTATTTTTAATATTAATTTTAATTCTTTTATTTTTCTTAATTATATTTTTATCTTTATTCTTAAATCTTCTTGAAATAATTTAAATATCTAATAAATTCTTATATATCTTTTTTAGATTTATATTCTTTCTATCTTATAAGATAATAGATATATTCTTTTTCTAACTTATATTATAGTATTCTTTTAACTTTATATTTTTTTTTATCTATTACTTTATCTTTATTTATTAGGTTAATAATTAATTTTAATAATAAAATATAAAATATTAGATATATTTATATTCTTACTAGTAGCTAAAATTTATAATTATTATTTATAAATTTCTTTTTAATAGTGAATAGTCTA